ATCATATCCGCCCAATTATCGTGAAGACCTGAATACATACTTTTGAATGCATGTTATTCCCCGTTCCATTATAGGACAGCTGCTTCAAGTGATGATGTCATTAGCCTTTGAAACCAATCGGCCAAATGCATACCATGAGTGACTTAACATCCTGTACTCCCCTTCTTCATAAGCGACTTCTTACAAGAATTGCGTGCAGCAACCGCAGCAAACAGCTTCAATAATCATTACCTCTATCGACTTGATACAAAATAATGGCCGAAGCTTGTGCGTGTTCAACACGCAATTCCGACACGACTGAGGCATGGATTGTGGGAAATGGAATTCCTGCCCTTGCATCAGCAATCTACCTTGTCCAGCATGCAAAACTGCCACCCTCTCATGTGCATATCCTGGATCCTCACAAGTCGCTGTCCAGTGCCCTGCACCAGAGAGGAAACTCTTCAACCGGCTATGATCAATTTGCGGCTTGCCTCCCAGTTCCGGCTGGCGCGGAACTAAGTGAACTACTTGCGTTGATTCCTTCAACGCATATCCAGGGAAGCATTCTGGACGAGATAAAGTCAACTTCATCACGTCGTCTTGCCACGGTCCACGGCTCCTATCCTTGTTTTCTCGTACAGAAAGGGAATAGGATGCAAAACGTGCCGACGGATTCTCTGGGGTTAAAGATTAAATATCGAATCAGGCTACTGCACCTCTTGAGGAGGAGTGACAAATACCTTGGGAGAAAACGAGTCAAAGACTTTTTTGATGAAGGATTCTTTCAGTCCACGTTCTGGGCTATCTGGTCTGCTCAGTATGTGTGGTGTGCCTAATGCCCCAATAATTCTTGGATATGCTGGTCGAAAACTAATATAGTTTCTCTTCTAGATTTTGTTTTCAACCCTGGCATAGTGCAATTGAGCTAAAGCACTCGTTGCTTCAATATGTCACCCAGTATAGAAGCTTAGATATGCTGAGCTGTCTTGATATCACTGGCTATTATCAGCATGAGTCGCTTCTCTTACCATTATTTTGGTATCTGAGGCGCCTTCAAGTTGACTATCAGTTCGATGCGAAGGTGCTAGATATTGAATTATGCTCTGAGAATAAGCACTCTTTAGCACGAAGTATAATGATCTTACGCCATGATCGATGCTATCAACAAAATTTGGCAGGGAGTGATATAGTGATTGCCACCCTAGGTTCCCCTGTCTCAGAATCCTTGTCAGGAACTCTTCATCGTCCACCAGCTTGGAGAGATTCATATGACATTACGGAACAGCTGAACGAGAGCTGGTCGTTGTGGCTTTCGCTCGCGAAGAATCGTGGGTTTGGAAATCCGTATAATTTTTGCACACGTCAATCAGAGTCTACCTTGGAGTCCTTCACAATCACCACCCGAGAGATAACCCTGTTTCAGAGCCTCACTTCCGCGGTTCACACTGCTAATAACGCCGGTACCTTTATTTCTTTGCAAGAGAGCAGGTGGAAGATTACTCTTTGTCTTCCATTGGAACCAGTCTTTCCCGATCAGCCACAAGATGTGTTGGTTCTCTGGGGTTTCGCCACTTCCCCTACACGCAGAGGGAATTATGTACAGAAAGCAATGCTTCATTGCTCGGGCTATGAAATCTTGAGTGAAATACTCGAGCATTTGAATTTCCATGAATTATCTCCGGGTGAAAGCACCATTTTGATCCCGCGCATAATGCCTCGGATGACTGCATCCTTGTTAACCCGTGCCGTGGGCGATCGTCCGGATATCACTCCAAAGGGGACTTGCAACATAGGGCTTATTGGACAGTTTGTGGAGAATTGCCACCGAAGCTCAGTGGATGTAAGCTATGGAGTCAATACAGCGAAGACAGCCGTATCCAGGTTAATGGGCCTTGAGTTAGGCGCGGCTAGACACAAAACATCCTTTACTTTATCAACTCTCAAATATGTGCTGTTTGGCAGATGAAACGGCTGCATGGGATCGTCTCCCGATCAATATGAAGAAAGAGATAAATAATGGGCAGACATTAGTTGAATACGTAAAACTCTCATTGAACACGCGTCTTCTTTTACAGATAGGCAAGACCCTGTCCGGACTTGGGACCACTCCAGCATGATGGCATTGCTCCAACCACAAGTGACATGAACGCCTTTGCTTGCCTTTTTAACCAGCTGTCTGATCGCGGTCGTCGGAGTCTCTTCGATCCAATCTCCGACAAGTCAAGCAGCATATCAGACAGCGGCGCGCACTTCAGATGAGGCACCAGCAGAGACGCCGAGGCATGATGGCAAAGGCCACTTGGGGACGACAGCAAGCGGCCGTTGTTCCATCTCGGTCCGCTCCGTGTCCTCGCTATATCACTAATCGGCAGATTTACGCCGGCATGCACGAACTCCCTTCTGCAGAAAACCGCCCGGTGTGCCGGAACAGATTACCGGTCAACGCAAAGGCAGCATCAAGGCTCCCAGACAAGTCTAAAAGTGCGAAAAAGCCGGGTGTCCACAATAGGATCGATCCATCACCACAAAGCACAAGTGAGACCACGAAGAATGCACATGCCGGACGTGATGCTGACCCCCCAATGTTGTCCCAGAGAAACCCACCCGGTCATTCCAGCTCACCCGGAGACCCACCCACTCCACAAACCTCGTGCGGCAAATAGTCTACAGTCTAGCTGGGCGTGAGAGACAAGTCAGTTAAGGTCAATTCAAGCCTAGGCAAAGTGAACAGGGTATTTACTTCCATCAGACTACATAGGCTTACTATATCGTGGTTGATGTACTTTTAGTCGGGGTAATGTAGTTTAGCGACTGTAATGGCGGCCCAATAGAGCGTGTACTCAGCTTAACTGACTACTGTTCCTTTGCCTATAGAGAGGTCATGTTATAGTCCACCGGAGATAAGTACGCACTACTGAAGCAGCTCCCCATTTTAATACCATCGGATCAATGATGTGATATCTATAAAGCTTCTTAGTATTGAGATCCATCACATGGGGCGAACTTGGTAAAGAGTGTCCTGAGCTGCCAGGCATCCATGTATTGCAATACGCACAGACATTGCTCCCTACAGGGAGAAGTTCGTTCCACAGACGTCACTTGTCCGACTCGAAAAACTCGTCCCAGTGTGACCGTGCGCGGCGCTCTCGGGCGATCAAGGATTGTATGTCGCTGCGCAGGTCATCTGCAATCGTAGATACAGATTCTGGTTCCTCAAATGCATTGGAGTGGTAGAGATCCAGCAGCTCATTTGACGTCTGGAGGATGAGATCTTGAGTTCAGGAGAGTGTAGCATGTACGATAGTATGCATTTTGGTCTTGCTGGCGGCCAATCCCACGGACAATCTCGACAATCTCGACAATCTCGTCCATCCTGTATGTACTGGGAGTGGTCCGAAGAAACTCTAAATGGGGATCGTAGTTTTAAGTGCTGCTTGATCTCCAAACGTGCATTTAACCCGAAGGATGCCGCAGTAGCACTGACCATACCGTCCACGGCGTTGCCCTCAAATACAGAACCATGCTGTAAGGCAATGCGGACGTGCTATTTATGCGGCCGTGGTCAAATCGCGAACCAGCTGTGAGATTCAACACAAGGTACTCATGGGCATGCTCATCTACCGTGATGTGAGAGCCAAGACAGGGCTTCCCCCTGGATTTTGGACGGCCGTCTCAAATTGAACCGCAAGGCACCAGCACAAAGGCTAGCATATAGGTTGTTCGACTCCAACGAAGGATCGTTAATCTCGACGCGTCGCTCCTGGCGCTCGCTTCTATCCTGCTTCCTACAACCCTGTCTGCCGCAGCTGTGCTGTGATTATTCGCAAGAATGGATACTGCCGTAGGTATTTGCCTCCAGTATCTGACAATCGCTCACTGTGACTAGGACGTCCTCCGTGTAATCTGTGAGCTCAGCGTGCGGGCTTTGCGCGCACACCGGGAGCAACAGAAGCACATCAAAGAGCATCGAAACCTCCAAGAGGCGTTGCAGCAAACCACCTCCGACCTGGAAGAGACGGTCCACTTGGCTGGTATTCTATACGAGACCAACCATCGGATGGGAAGGGTGATTGACTATCTGTTCAAGGAGCGGGGGGTGGCCCCTAGCGGGGGATCCGAGTCTTTTGATCGTGCTAGACCATGTACTCANGCCGCAAGCCACATGACCGATCTGGCCTAAGGCCCGTTAAGGAGATCTGACTGGAGGTCTAAGCCCAAATCAGACATAGGCTTGTGGTCTCAACACCCTAAGGTCAGAGGAGCCAGAGCAAAGGCCTAAGGTGGTAGGTCCAGACGCTGATGACCCGGGCGGTAAGATGGAGTGCATACGCCCTGAGAGGTAGCACCCAGCAGGCTAGACCCTGCGCTCCCGACCAGGCTGGTCGTCAGACCGCGGTCCTACGACCACCACAGACGGAGAACCGCCAACTGGCGTCTCCGGCAGGTGCAAGACCCAGGCGGTCGTCTGAATACATTGTTGCGGCCTGTCTGGTCTGCCGACCACCCCAATGTTACTGAGTCCTCCACTTCGCGTGCGATCGACCTCATTGTGTCTTCGTCCATCGCAAGCTCTCCCGCGAAATTCATAAAAATTTATCGTGTCATCGCGACCTGTCGACGACGGAGTTACTTCCTGTCACGCCTTCATATTTGAAATACATTCGACCAACTGACAACCCGTATATGGCCCGGGTGGGGACCTGAGCTAGGCAGCAAGATTTTGGCAGAACCGGCGTTTCAAGGCACGCGCCAATCCCCGACCTCAGAAGGCCAAATTGTGGGTACTCAAGGTTCCCAGGGGTGAATCGGGAGACAATGTGAGGAAGACGAGAGCTATTCCTGCCCAGGAGAATGAATCTTATAGGACGGGGATTCGTTTACGATATACTTCGGGGTCATGACTGGGTATAATGTATCGCACCCTCTCTGCCACCGCCGCCGCCTGCTTCGTCGACAGAGCGGGAAGGAAGAGCAGAACAAAGCATGCTCAACAACATGAAACGGGCAATCTGGCGGGCTTCCAAGACGAATACTATTCTTGTCCGAACGCTTGGCCGCCAGTTCTGAGACCTGTGCAGCGGTTTGGACGCGCGTCGGACCCCGCTGTAGGGCCTGGCCGACCCCAAGGGAGGTCCATACCAACTTGGCACAGTAACCCGCCCGATCAGGCCCGAAAACGCCAATGTACTGCGTGGGAAAGGTAAAGATGTTTAGAATAGCTCGCGGGCAAAGCGGGGGATAGCCTCTTCTTGTAGTCTCTGGTGCAGATTTCAGTGACTTAGCCTTTGGAATTTACCGGTGAGGCACTAGTAGACCATAAGATTGGTGCTATCGGCTCTATTTCCAATTCCACGTGTTGTATGAGTTCTGCACAATCGGAATCGATGGCAAGTAGGGTCCGAGGTAGAGTTCTGCTTGAGCAGAATGTGGCACCAACTGCGGAGACGATCTGCGCTGTCCAGGCTCTGCTAAATTACGTCACAGCCGCGTGCCTGGTTAGTCATCATGGACCCTCTTTGGTTCTCCTTCTCTTCATCCAGTTTGCTTTCGAACAGGCAGTCATACCAGGAATGCCTGCAATGCTGTCACCAGATAACTCCACACTATTCCAGCTCCGCGAGCTGCTAGGGCCAGATTTTGCCAGCCAGCTCGCGGCGCTGGTGAACCGCGTCGGGGTGACACAGGCGGCTGTTCGCGTCGAGGCCCATGTGTGCTCCACTGGAGGCAACCAGGCTGGCTCAGTCGTGGTATGACCCCTCCCCCATGTGACAGGCTTATCACTCATCGCCTACTCAAGGGATATCTCGACCTTCAGTCTGCCAGACAGGGAAATCCAACCCCAATATCTTCGCCCGGAGCGCAGGTTTGTCGCGATTTTCTCCAGCTCCTCTTTACAAATGAACTGCGGCTGAGGCTTCATTTACAGTTGTCTCCTCGGATCCACCACCTCCCTTCACCTGTCGAGCCCACAAGCGCTCTCTTAGCCACACAGTCTCAGAATGAGGCCTGCGCACCAGAAACAGCAATAACCTCCGGTTACCACCCGAGTGCTGCGTCAAAGCGACGCAAGGTTGTTGGCGGTTCACGGCCATGTACCACTAGGGAACGTCCCATCAGCACGGCCGTCGAACGTGAACATTGCGATGATGATGAAAGCAGCGCAGGGGTCAATCTTGAGCAAGAGCAGCCGCTCAAGGCACGCTCGATCCGTCAAGTGCATACGACCACCCGCTTTCCCCAGAGGACTGCGCGCAAGGAACAGTCTGTACCCATCATGACCTCCACGTCGACTGAGAAATTGGTCTGCAGCATCTGGCGACAGATACACTCGGAGATCCGGTGGGATATGACTGCCACGGTGAGTGAGCCATGCCCTTTGTATCATTTTCCTCTTCTTAGTTGCAGTCTCTAGGTCCGAACATGTATATCCACGGAGCAATGAGCAAGGAGGTGAGCCGTTCCAGGATGGTTGTTTGCTAGAGTAAAAAGAAGCTTTCTTACTCAGATACAACAGGCATTCCGAGTGGTGAATTCACTGTGTTTCACGTACCACAGCCGCAGCCAGACTTACCGCGCACTGGAGATGATTGTCCAGGCCTACTGGGTGGATTGCTACGAGGCCCGGATCACGGCAATCAGCCTGGATCAGCCCACTTTAACCGCCACAGAGGCAAGAATGTCTGCTTTGAGAGAGGCGTGCTCCGTGCAGAAGCTGACTGAAAAGGACCTTCGAAATCGACTGTGAGTTACCCCCCCCTTCCCCAGCTCAGAATATCCCTCTCTACCGCCAGCATAAGGAATCGGCTCTTCTGTAGCTTACAATGACATACCTCTCAGAGCAATCTGGCGTGGGTACAAGGAAATTAAGGATGCCGGCGGCTGGGCTAGTCTCCTGTTTGCAGGCGTGGGCGTCTATCGCTTCTGCAAATACCGCATCGGATTCAACGAAGGCCTGCTCCAGCGACTGCGCCAACTCCGACACAGCTTCGAGGTTGCCGCCGACACCCTCCGCCCCGAATGGCGGGATCTGCTAGGTGCCGTCGGGCAAAAGTCCCCTCGCGAGTACGACGGCCACCCGCACGAGTGGGTTACCATCGATGGCCGCCCGGCATGCCCCCTGCGATCCACGTACGCGTTCCTTGGTAAAGAGCTGGTGTTTGAGTTTGTAGACGACTGCGTTATAGACCGGGCTACCTTTGGCGCAGGGGATCCGCGCAGAATACTGCAGGCTGAACCGGACATGTGTGCGCAGTGCCAGCAGAAGCAGTCGGATGACGTGCAGCTCAACCGCTGCAGTTGCTTTCCGAATCTGTTTGGGTGCGTACGGCTGCCTCCGCCCGTGCAGATCTTCCGCACGGGCAATGCAAAGAATAACGGTGTTGTTGCTCGGCTTGTATGTACTTCATCCCACTGTTAGAGTCTGCGAGCCGACTTCGTTCCACTGACCAGAGGGGCACAGGACTTTGAGCGCGGCGCCGCGGTGGGTGAGTTTGTTGGCCTTGTGACGGCCGGCATTGATGGCGTCGATGTGATGGTAGGCGAGGCTTCGGGGCAGAGCTACCAGATCTTCCAGGGACAAATGGGTACGTACCACCCCTACTAACTAATAAACCCGCGGTACATATTGCTACCTGATGCTTATATTTTTCTCTTGGTTGAACAGGTAACTTTACAAGATTCATCAACCACTCCTGCCACCCAAACGCGCAGTTCCAACGCTTCTGCTGGATGGGTACGGAACGCATTCTCGTCGTGTCACGCGGGATCACGGCAGGCAGCGAAATCACCGTGGACTACTCGGACGAGTACTGGAAGAACCTGGACAAGGAATGTCTGTGTGGCGAGCCCTCTTGCCGGTATCCAGACCGATCACACAGCCCTCGGCAGCGGAGCAAGTCGTGATTAGTACCACTGGAGTTCCCAACTACTGTTTCGGTCTCTGAGGTTTCGTTCGGCTGGGCGCCGTGCCATACGACACGGGGCTCGTCTAGGCTGGCGGCGTTATTGCGGTAGGAACAATGAGCGAAATAACCCACGTAAGAAGTGTATAATTCCAGGCCAATCACAGCTGATGGATCAGTGCACGCGGAGGCGCTGGTCGTCATCAGCACCTGGGCGTTCTGGGCGGCTATCTACATCACAGCGATGAGGACCCCTGCTGCCCAGACGAGCATCCGACTGGTCAGTGAGGACAAATGCCTCCTACTAGAATCGGTACTCGATAGCAAAACACGGCCAAACTCGTCTAGCGCAGGCAAAGTACATAGCAGCCATGGTTTCAGATTCCAGGGAGTCTATTCCTTGGCCGATGAGTGTACCTTAGTAGTAAAATGACATTTCCTTTGAAGATGAACACGATCGAGTTCACCTCGACTATGCCCAGACTCGGAGTCGTAAGCCCAGACCTGGCAGTGCCAACGCAATACAGAAGCGTTCAGAAACGCGCATTCCACCCTTGGCAGCATCGAACCGCTTATAAGAAGCCACCGCCGGTTCGGCTGTGCAGCAGCAGCTCGAGCTCGAGCAATTCCTTCCCCTAGCCTCACTCGCCTGCTTGTCTTTCTGCAAGGCAGATACTCCGCCCGTGCTCCATGGCCTTTTCAATGCCCCTATCGACCCAGGAGGTCACCGAAGACCCTCGTAAGTCGTGCTACTCAGTGAGAGATGAAAGAAGAAGAAAAGAGGTAGAAAAAGTCCCCGCTCATTCACTAACCAAGCGCTGTTGCAGACCGGTTTTCGTGGGTCATGCTCTACTGGGTCGCGTTTTTGATCACCGTGGTGTTTTTCAGCCTGCTCCGCCTGTATCGATAGGCCAACGACGCCCGCCATGGGTTGTGCGTTGACTGCAGCCACGGGGACTAGACCATCGCTGTCTTCCCAAGGTAGATATGTCGTCTGATCTTCCCTGTCTGTTGTCCTTTTTCCCGCCGTAGTTTCTACTTCAATTCCTTCCACCCCACTCACCCACCCCCCTGTCGCAAAGCAACACGGATTACGTCGTCCGTTGCCGGGAATGTTACTAACAGCGCCATTTAATCTAGCGTGACTCGGATGGAACGGACCAGCCGGATGGAAGTAGATGTTGGACGGATTCATAGCGGGACGTCGCCCGATTTGCTACCTCGATCTGACTAAGGATCATGCCTCGGGTACCCTTGATGTATATTCATAAATACCGGAGTAACAGCAGCGTACTTGGCTATTGTCAGAATGCTTCGGCGGTGGTATCGAAAACGGGCTTGGACAAGAAGAGATGGTTAGAAACATTATTCAGTTACAACACAGCTGGGTGAACTGCACCATAGGAAGAAAAAGATGACCTCAACCGGCGTCACGCATATTTCCCACCTGGGGCCCGCTGAAGCTCCATATTGATGCTATTCTCCAGACAGGCGGAATCCAGTTGGTACCATACTAGTGCATTTTGTCGTGGGTTTGATCGCTGACCAACCTTGGAATTATCTGCCTGCTGGAGCTGCCTTGGACACAGACTCACGGCTCACGGCTCACAGCCACGATACTTAGCGTGCCCAGTTGATGTAAAATATGCGAGAGATCTCTCTCAGACTGTTGAGTACCTGTCAGTGACGTATCCTCAGGGAAATGTCCTGATTGGCAACATTGTGGATTATCCATGTAGAGCCTACGAGGCACAAGCCACAGGGCAATCGCTATTTCTAGGGAGGTTATCCCGCCAAAGCCCTTTAGCGCGTCTACCACTACTAATCCAACGCCTATCTATATCCACGGTTGACTTACACGATGACTATGATCTTGCAAAGTTTCGGAGTCGATAGTGTAAGCCTCTCATCCGCATTACGGCGTATAATCTCTGGGTCTTCGTAGGCACAGGATCTCGGGCAACGCAGCAATACCAATATGATGTCGTGCTGCCTGACCAAATGCCAGCAAGGCTAGAAGAAACGTTGCTCTTCTCCGCAGTCTATGATGGACACAAGAGGACGGAAAAAAGGAGTATCGCCGGGAACTTCTGATGGCTCTATAGTGTCGCGGTGGACGTGGCGAATCACGTCAGCGACAACTTTGGACGACTCCTGCTCAACTCCCGGCACCTGGAATCCGGAGACTACGAAAGGGCCATCGCGGACGCGGTTCAAGACGAAGACGAGCTGCTGCTGAGGGCGTTCCAGCAAGGCACGGAGGTGTTTGCCGAAGCGGGCTCTACGCTTGCGGCATGTCTGCTCAATCTGACTAGAGGTGTGCTCGTGGTGGAAGTATATTGCTTCGTGCTTGCGCCAGTTCCTGGACCAATGGGGAATCCCAGCTGGGGACGCCGAGGGATACCTTGGCGTATACATTCTCGTATCCAGTCACACGGCACTCATTGGCGCATGGGGTCCTTCAGAGGTGGACAAGGGGATGAGATATCCGCGACGTCGAGGGCCGTGATGTCGTCCAAGACCTCTCCGCAGTTTTACGACAGGAGGTACGTGGGATGGGAGAAAAAAAAGGAGTGGCAATACCCTCATGGCTGCAATTCTAACACTTGTCGCAGGGCACGCCATTGCGTGTCAAAGCTTTGGTCAACGACACAACGTCGGCACCCTTAATGGCTTAATGGCCTCGGCGTACGTCGATGGCAAGACGCAATTGGCAGCATCTACGGGACTGGAAACAACGCTGCATAAATGAACGGTGCGAGCAGGCTCGAAACGCCAGAAGGATCAATCTGCCTCGGTGTGGGTGCCACCGAACGACACGGATATTGCGAGTCTCACTCTGGAGTAGGGGGTTCAACATTCGACCTCGGAGGATTTACCGTGTGAAGCGCTGCTCGAACATCCAATCAGAACATCCAGTGCCGGGCGTAGTTCTGCCTGGGCAGAAGATCCAGCGGAATAATCTCCCTGACATCACCGTCCTCTCATTGTTATGCGACCAACCACGCTCTTCCACCCTTGTCGAAGATGGAGCACCCTGTTGGTAGAAATTGCAGATTGCAGCTTACAGAGATACTCGAGAGCCCATTAGGAGCAAATATCGTGCTAAAGTGGCGTACTGTGCGTGGTGGCACCATCATTATCACCACCAGACCCACTGTCCTGCAGTGTGGAATGTGTGGTTATTGCAAAGTTGGCCCCACTCAATTGACATTTGGCTTGCTCTTCCCGAGCTATTTCATACCATCCCCTGGCCGTCAGAGTTTTCGGTTTTTTCTTCCTTTTTACCTTCAATTGTTTCTCAACCATATCCTTCCCACAGAGTCGTCCCCCCTCCTCGAGAGATAACCATGATGTCGGAGGTGTCGCCGCACGATTCTGCGCCCCTGGAGAGGGAGAAAACCAACATCACATACAGCTATGAGGGTGTTATAGGGTGGAAGAGCGTGCGATATCTGCGCCCGTTCCGTGGCATGTATCACGATGTACGACGACGACTTCCCCACTACTGGAGCGACATTCGGGATGCCTGGGACTACCGCACGGTCCCCAGCATTGTCCGGATGTATTTTGTCAAGTAAGTGCGCCGGTGTTTTTGCTTTGGACTGGCTCAAAGTGAAGAGGCCACTGACCCCCTCTGCCGCAGCATTCTGCCCGCCATCGCATATACCATGGATATGTACCGGCGCACGGGGGAATTCTACGGGATCAATGAGGGTCTCTTCTCCTCGGCGCTTGCTGCCATGATCTTTAGTCTCTTTTCCGCCCAGCCCCTGACCATTGTCGGCATTACTGGTCTTATCTCGCTTTTCAACTACACTATCTTTGATATCATCAACATCTATGACCCATCCATCTATCCAAGCTTTATGTGTTGGACTGCTATTTGGGCGGCCATTTTCCATTGGATAGCTGCAATATGCAATGTGTGCGACTACATGCGCTACGTGACGGATTTTTCCAGCGAAGCATTTGGCATGTATGTCGGTATCATTTACTGTAGTAAGTCCTGGCTCTGATTCCCCTTTCGGGCTGGGTGCCAGATGCTGACCATGAGATCAGTCAAGGGAGTCGAAGAATTGGTCAACGAGTTCACGACACACGGCCGAGACGCTGGGTATCTGGCCTGCTTGATTGCGATTCTCTACTTCCTCACCATCTATGGACTGGAGAAGCTGGGTGCCAGTACCATTTGGAAAGCATCGGTCCGTGGGCTGATTGCCGACTATGCGTATCCGGTAGGCACTTCTCATTATCTGTTTTTCCGTCCTCTGCCCTTTACTCTGCTTCATCGCCATGTTCTTCCGATTGCTTTGCTGACGCCTGGCTAGCTGGGAACCCTCTTCTGGGTTGGTTTTGCCCACTTTCCTGGTAATCTGAAATCCACGCACATAGGATTCATCCCAGTCACTCGCGCTTTCTATCCAACTCAAGACCGCGGCTGGCTGATCCACTTTTGGGATCTTGAGGTCAAGTGGGTGTTTGTGGCGCTGCCGTTTGGCTTCCTGACAATGCTGCTCTTCTATTATGACCATGTAAGTCCCACTTGTTGTCCACGCTGCTCGCGCTTTCCACAATAAGCCCCGTACCCGCTGTGATTCAATACTAATCCCGACGACGCGCTGCAGAACATTAGCAGTTTGACCGCACAGGCGCGGCAGTTCCCGTTGAAGAAGCCGTCGGGATTTCACTGGGACTTTTTCCTTCTGGGGTGTACGACTTTTATTGCTGGTATAATCGGGATCCCCATGCCGAATGGACTCGTTCCGCAGGTATGCCTGACCATTCCTCCCCAACAATAGGTAATATGGGGGGGGTTCAATTGACACGCAATCGCATTCGCAGGCCCCCGTACACACAGACTCCTTGACAGTCTACGAGACTGAGCTGCGAGTGATCCCCACAGAGGAAGGAGAAGGCGCAGAGCTCCGCCGGCCCGTCGTCAAGGCAAAGGCTGTGGTCGAACAGCGTGTGTCCCATTTCATCATGGGGCTGGGGATTATTGGCACCATGACGGGCCCGTTGCTTGTTGTTCTGCACACGATGCCGACTGCCATCTTCGCCGGTGTGTTTTTCACCGTGGGCTGGGGCTCGATCGAGTCCAACAGCATGCTGAAAAAGGCCATCTTTCTCATGCAGGAGAGCCGGTTCATCCAGCGCGATGAGCCTCTTCTTTCGATCCGCAAGCGAAAAATTCTCCTGTTTATCGGATTGCAGGGTCTCGGCGTCGCTGCCACTGTGGCCATTTCCCAGACAATTGCGGCTATTGGTTCGTTCCGACTTCCTTCCCTCTCCGCGTAGCGTTTGTTTCGGACATCCACTAACGTCCTGTCCCATCGTAGGTTTCCCCATCCTGATCATCCTGCTTATCCCGCTGCGTGTATGGGCACTTCCCCGCTGGTTCAGCGAGAAGGAACTGGATGTCCTGGACGACCTCACTGCAGATAATAGTGCTGTTCTCCGCAGCCTGGGTGGGCCTCCCAAGTTCCCTGGCCAGACCGAGCTTGCCCACGAAGGATTGGCGCGCAGATACTCGGAGCAGCGGTCAGGAGTGCCGCGACAGAGAGCTGGGAGTATTACGCGCTAAGCAGGTCATACCGGCACAGGGCTCAGGTTTTACATTACACCGTCCTAGTGTTTTGTTTTCAAAGCGACGCGATGTATATCGGGGTGCTTGAACGATAGGTAGTATAATATGCGCGACCGTAAATGTACCTATCGTCCGAGCACGCCGATATACATCGCAAGAGCTCACGATTCTCGCGTAGATAAATGCGTCTAATAGCAGCGGTGTTACAGTGCATCTATCAATATGCAGCGTCAACAAAGGCAAAGAGGGGGATCCTGGTCCACAAATGTTTTAGGTCGCAGGTGCATTGGAAATCTAAATTGGGCCGAGGGCGGACAATGGGCGGCGTGAGACAGTTCCATGCTTTCTCTCAGCATGGTTCATCAATGCCGATTTACTCTCCAACTGCTCCTCGCAGATGCTGCATTTAACCCGCATGTCTTTTGGATATGGTATGACATGAATGTCAACAAAGTGACGGGTGAGTGACCCAGGGGTATAATAGTCTTTAGACCGCTCATGCTCTGGCATATGAGGATTTCCCAGACAGAGAAAGCAAACCGTCGGCCGTTCCTCTTTCTTTTTAATGCAGACAGACGCAATCGCTTGAGAAATGGTGGTCTGTGGCCCATCAGACGAAAGGCATCTTTGCCTTTTTGCGGAAGGAGCAGACGATAAAGAATCCATGGCAGGACGTTTCTGTGCAGGGTTTGGTCGTCTCGTGGGTGATCCCTCCTCCACGTCACAGAAAGCAATGACCGCATTGATTGCGGCAATCCGGCGCTGGTATTCCTTTTCGACAGTGGCGCCCGGCATGCTCAAGATATTATCGAGCAGGATCATATGCTGCGGGGTCATATACCCTGTTCGCTCCAGAGCACCCTTCACCTCGTCATCCAAGAACTTCCCGGCAAGTTGCCTCTCGCAGTCAATCACTGGCTGCTCGTTCTTATATCTTTCCAGATTCTCACGCACTAAGTGGTTACGTTGCCGTTGCCACTCATTCCGAGACACACGCTGCGCCCGGAGATGCCTCCGGACCGCGCCTCTGTACTCTTCCTCGGACTTCGCCACACGGTCAAGCGCCTGTCGAGCGGGAGCTGGTAGCTCCTTCTTCACTTTCTTCTGATTCTGGTAATCGCCGAAGCGTCGCTCAAAGTCCCGTTCCGCCATCTCAAAAGCCCGCTTCATCTCGTCCCGGAATTGTTTTCTTTCACAGACCCGCGTCTGCAGTGTTCGCACGCGCGGAATGTTGTTGACACAACTAGTGTCCTCGAGCTTGTACGGTCGGCGGGGATCAATCGACCGGCTCATGGATGCTGCGAACCGCATCAGCTGTTTCTGAGCCGGCAGTCCCCGGACAATGGCCTGGGCGTCAACATGGATGCCCACGCTATAATGTTTAACGAAGGTGTCGATGTTCGCATGCTGTAACATCACGTTCTGGAGCTCGTTCGTCACATCCGCTGTTCGACGAAGGAGACGGCAGTGTTAGTAAGGACATGATCGTTTTCGATGTGAACAAACCAGATAACTCACAGCTGTCATTAAATGCTTTCGCCGCCCCATAACGGAGACCATACGGCTTTGTGACCTGTTCAAACCCAGTGATTTCGCCTCCCCGTTTCATTCGATATCGCAGCGCTCCTTCCGTTAGTCGCTCCTCCAAAGCAATTCGAAGTCCGTCGGATTCGCGCATTCCCTGACAGAACACAAAGTGATCGAGAATTTCATCTTTCAATCTCAGCGGCTGTTCTCCAAGTCCATCCAAAACACCAAGGTTATACAGATTTTCGGGACAGTTTAACACTAGGCCGTCTTTGGAGATATTCTTGAACGCCTGGATACGGAACAGCATCCCGAGAAGGAACACATGAGGACTGAGGACCAATGTCGGGTCAAAGACGATTTCGGGAATAGGGAAGGTATTCCTATTCCATACACAATTAGCTCTATCTGGCATGCGACTTCACGCGGAGACAGCGACGCTACAATAAAAAAGGGATTGCCCAGGACTCACTCTTCCTTCTCGCCCAGAAACGTCTTGGTAAACCTTGGGGTCAAGTAAATAAATAATCGTGGGCGCCCTCCGTCCGGGTGACGGATGAGAGTCAGCTCAAGATCCCGATAGCGTAAGTTCAGCAGAGCCCCAGGGCGGCTACCGGTGATGGCCGCCAGCTGGCAGAAGAGGAGGAGTTGGATCCGAAGCCACCCGAACTGGAAAGTCATCTCCATCGTCGACAATAGCACGCGAGCGAACTCCGCCACATCTTCGATGTACATCGTCGCTTTCGGTCGGCGTCCAGAACGGAGGTCCTTCTCTCGAGCAACGATCGCCAGTACCTGTAACTCATCAGATGAGACTATAATTGATCCGATCACCGGTCGCTTACATCCAGAATCTTGACAATGAGGTCTTTGCTTAAGCCGTGGCCTACCTCTGCCTTGTAAACCAGATGCCACCACTTCCAGAATGTCTCCAGTGAGCTTTTGTATCGTATTCCTGGTGTCCGGCCCCCTTTTTTGTTTCGTCGCCGACTGCATCGCCACGAGAAGAAAGCTTTGAAGAAACGGACTGTCTCCTCGGAGTCGGAAAGCCAACGGAAACGTTCGGCAGGGTCGTAGTTGCCCTCGCGGCAGAACCTAGAGAGACACGCTATCTGTTAGCACCAGTCTTGAGACTTGGATCCCGGCTGTTTCTCACCGGTCCCAGTAATCCCGTGTCTCGTCCAACTTAGCCTGGGTCCTTGGGCTGTAGCGTTTCTGCCGTAGTTGGGAGACGTCGAGACATTCAGCCTCCTGTAAGAAGTACGCCGCAGGGAGTTCCCGTTCCTCCTCATCATCCAGGATCGAATCGTCGTCAGAAAGATCTTCCGGGTCGTTATCACTGTCTGGCTCAGACGCACTGTCCGAGGATTCATCGGTAGCATCGTCGGCGGAGAAGATGTCCGGTACATCGGTGGTGCTGCCACTGTCGTCGTCGGACCCGACCGGTTGAGGGGAGTGCCGCATGGCAGACAAAGGAGAGCGAGAGGAAAGGAAGCCTGGATATAAATAAAGAGTAGGGTGGCAGAAGCGGATCTTCTCTAACCCGTTTGAAGCCGGCAGAGGAGAGATGAATGTGTGGGCGAGGTGGATGGCAGTTTCTCGGAAGCGGAGGAGGGGAGGGAGAGAGTCATGGGGGGCGAAGGCTTTTAAGAAGCAGAGCGAAGAAGACGGTCGCGAGGGGAGCCGTTTTTGGCTCCCTCCCCAGAAGGCCTCGCTGGGGAGGGAGAGAGAGGTATGGCTGAATGACGAGCGAGCCCTCCGACGGCGGCTACACGAGGTGTGGTCGTCGAAAGTACCAGGCCAGGCACGAAACGACGGGGGAACTAACTAGCGCAGGGCGTGGGAGTAAAGGCCGCTGGCCGTGCGACTACTTCCACGTGACGCCAAGGCCGCCGAGCGTTAGCAGGACGCTCAAAACGGCGTCAAGTGTAGCCGTTTCAGGCGTCCGGCTAACTGTTTCACGGTTAAAAGTAGTATTCTGCTCCACTCACTCTTATATCATCCGGTCTTTTGAGGATAGCTATCCCTCGCTGTTTGGCAATGTCCGGTACGTGAAGAAGCGGGAGGATACCGACATCCTTCTTCGAGCCCATCATGTGTGACCTTCCTTCGTTGGTCAAATCTATAAGCCCAGAGCATTCCGTGAATGCGTGGCGTTGTGCGTCGAAGCAATTCCAGAAGTACTGGGAAATTGCGGCTTTGCTTTGGTCTTCTGTCCTCACGGCGTGCCCTTTGGAAGCCTGTAGGCAAAGACATTGATTCCCGGCTGCGGCCTGTACTACTTCCGCTATGGGGAGGTATCGAACCGGGTGGATGAGGCGGATCGCCCGCGTAGAGGCTTCAGGCTTCCTTCGAAATTCATCGTTTACGGTTGAAACTTTACCGACTGCTGCAAGGGCTTCAATGGCTTCCTTTGACGCTGTTATGCAGGAAAGCTCTTTGACCAATGTCCAGCTCTGATAATCAAATCTCGCTCACCATACAAGACAAACATAGAGATTACGCGCTCTCCGGAGCTCATGTTCAGCGTCCCCACCCCAGGCCTCTCGTAACCTGCTGATATATCCCGATTCGACAACAAATGGGTCGTTTCGATTGAATAATGACAGGAGTTTTCAGGCAGTCTCTCCGGTGTCTGCGGGCCCCATAGCCCTCAGCATGTCATTTAGCCCGTAGGCAACTTCAGGAAGAGAGACATGCCGAAATAGAAGCTTTACGTCCTCCTTGCCTGTTCGCACGACATATTGAGCCCAAAGATCCCTGTCATCGCAATTATCGTTCATTGCTGCTTGAGATGGCTTCGGTGAATGTGCCGCAGAGACGGTCGGAATAGAGGCTTCTCCAGTCATTGTGTCTGTACGGGTATCTGTGCCCTCCACGGTAGCAGCATTTGTAGAGCCTACCTCGGTTGTTTTTGCTGTTTCGATGCTTGGTATTGGCTCAAAACTGTTGTCATAAGGTTCTTCAGGAATTGCTGTCGGAGTTGAGCGCTTTCTTGGATGTACCTGGTCGTGTGTATCTGTGCCGTCCATGGTAGTAACCGTAGACTCTCGTCCAACTGCTCTTTCCGATTCGATCTCTGAGCTGGCTTCGACAGAGTCGTTAACAAATATCGCAGGATTGCTTTTTGGGCTTGGGTTTTCCCTGGGCTGTGTACCCTTGTGGCCACTTTCGGCTCCAATCTTGATTTCTACCTCAGACCGGGCCCTCGCGCCTTGGGCATCTTTAGGTAAGTCTAACCTGGGAGTGATTGATCTGGACCTCGACGTGTCACGAGCTAAGCCAGACTCGAGACAACGGGCCTCATCGAGGGCCCTTGAAGCCTCATTCTTGATGTCTACCTCAGACCTGGCACCCTCTTCTTGAGCATCTTCAGGCATGCCTCGCCTGGGGGTGTTTGATCTGGACCTTGATGGGTTACGGGCTAAGCCAGGCTCGAGGAGAACCACCTCATCGAAAGTGCTTGTCGAAGCAATCATAGAATAATTCGGTCCTGCCCGTCGGCGCAGGCTGGACATCACCTGCTCGGTAAAAATGTCTCTTGGCCAGTCACATATCAAGTCAATGATCAGAAGAAGTTGCAAAGACGAGTCATGACGAAGAATGCAACCATCCCATAGGCCGATGATCCGCTTCATGTCCAAAATCAGCTCGTATCATGACGCTGGGCTTTGAGAAACTTACTACACGAGCCCGACCGGGGACACATCCATAGACTCTCCATTCATCTCCACGGTTAGCCAGAAACCATACTAGCGGACTCATCTATGCTGAACCGGCAGTTTCCAGGCGTTTCTGAATATCCAGCATGGCGCGAATTGGAAAAGCTGTCTGTCGCTCAATCGAGTCGAATCCAACGGTGCCCTTTTCCGATTTCGCCTCTATAACAAGAAACGGAAAACACGAGTCCATATCGTTCTTGATGACGGTGGGAGTTATATCGTCGTTTGCGGCCATCAAGCGCTTTATATCATGGGTTCTTTCCAGGCTGATGACGCGGTCAGGCTTGTGATGCGCCAGTACCTTATTCTGTATTTCAAGCATTGAATTGTCAACGACAGTGCAGCCCGCGTGTGCCATGAATGACTGCTGCGGCGTTGACCCGGCCTACGAGAGGTTCGTGTTGAGTCAATGACAAAATGAAAAGTCAGGGTCACCTACCAGCCATTTTGCTCTCACGGGCTCTTCACAACGGCAGAGACTTCTTGTTGATTGTATCCGTTTCAGCTTTTCTGTTGCTATTGGGCAAGATGGAAGGGCCTGTATATCTGAGAGCCAGCGACGTTTATTGCACATATGGCTTGCCAGTCAGCCTCTCGTCCCTAGAATAGCTTAAAGCTACCTACCAGTCGACTTCAGCTTTGAACCGTTGCAGGATCAACTCTTCAGTCTCCATCCGCCAGGTCTCCTCATTGGCAGAGGTCATGCGTAAGTTATACGCTCGGCTGACAAGTTCCTCCACTCGATTGCTCATCTGGGCCACTTGCAGAAGCCTTGCGATGTCGTTTCTCACATCTGTTCTGTAGTAGACTTCATAGCAAACTTTTTCGGCATCCCTCACTAAAGCGAAAATTGAGCTGTACTTCTCAGGCCAGTCGCGCGGCCGGACGGGACCTTCGATTGAGATATTGTACTTTTCGAGCAGTGCCCGCTGTTGCTCCGGACTCGATTTTCTTGCGGTAGGTGGCATGGCCGATATTCTGGGTTGAATACCATCCGGACTTGTCAGTCTCTTAAGAGGTGGGAGGTAACCCCCCATAGGATAAGGACAGGTGGGCAAGCGACGTTTCATTTCTTGTTAAATTGTGCAAGATGAGTGGTCTGGCGATCGAGTTGATCGAGCTGCAGTAGCGTGGCGCCAACAGTGTGCGTTTGCGAACCAACAAAGTGTCCTAGCGATCCAAGCTTATCGTATGGGTGGCTATTCAAGTTTAGTGAGGTTCTATTCTTAGTCTGATTAGGGATGCAGCTCCTTCTCGACAGAGGCGGCGGCCAGCGCGATATTCTCTCTCTACGTACTAGTGAGACGGTTTTGCTCATACGACTAGTTAGTAGTATGGTAGGGCTCTTGCATCATTCATGTCTTGTACTTCTGTATTTCGATCGTCTTAGCAGCATTCCAAGTTAGGACGCCAGCGCGTAACTACCAGCATAGAGGGCATAGGGAGTAAATTATGCAACAAAAATAGGATACGAAATCATCGTAGGAGAACAAACCTTACGTGTCCAGCAGAGATCGTGAGAAGTTACCCTTTATTTCCTCATCAACTCCCTCACAGCCACGTCCAAAATCAACATTGCATATCCCCGGTGCATCCTAGCCGACCACTCCGGAATTGTCTTTTGCTTGTCCAGACCCCCCTCCTCGGGAACAACCTCATAATCATGCGCCGAGGCAAATCTCACATCAACAAAGGGCCCCTCGCCCTCTAGCCCAGGCACCTCGTACGGTTCGGACACACTCAGCTCATGCCGACCACCGGACATAAGTCGCCACGGATACCCCCAGCGCGCGATCTTCTCGAAGAACTCGCGCGGCTCATCGGACATCTTCCACGAGCCGAGGAGGCCATGCGGGGAGTCTGGAGATGGAGGGCGTTCGACGATGAAGATGCCGTGGAGGAGGGGACGCTTTATCTCGGTGACTTGCTCGCTCGGTTCGGAATTGGAATCGGTACCGGGGATGACGGGGATCGGGTTGAAGGCATCTGGTGTGCCACCAATGTCACCAGGGTTGAATTTGCGCTCTGTGAAGAAGCCGATCACGCTCCCTTCGAAGCGGAAGAGGCGGCTTCCGAAGACGGATCGCGCCCATGTTGTGCTAAGGGTCGCGTTGTCTGCGGTTGTGATCTCACTGGGGTTATCAGTCCGTGCTAGGAGAGCTTTGAGTGGTATGCGAGCTGCGTATATGTCGATATGAGGACTGTGTTGTGTTGATGGGGAGCTTGGTGTGCGGAACTCGAGACTGGACGTCGAGTCGTCAACAGGGAGTCGGGGGTAACGCGACTCGAGATTGCTTATTCCGCGATGGACGGCGTAGCCACCAATGACTGGCGGAGCCAAAAGAAAAAACAGATGACGCGCTCCCGTAGCCATTGAATGCTTCTTGGTTCTGAAGAGAAGTTGTTGCTGGGAGAGCAGCAAGCCCGATATTTCCGCGTCATGGCATGATTGCTTGGGCTTGGGGGCTAAAAGCGGGGATCATCGAGTAGCACCCTCTTTGTTTGTCACAGGGTAGGTGAGCCACGAGATACAATCTAATTCCATCTTTCAACTTCTCAACGAGAAATGAACCAGGAAGAAAGTGAAATGCGAAAGCTAATAATAAAGCAAAGGGAATCAATGGCAGTGGGTCCTGGTCGATCTACCTAAAATCGCCTTATCCACGGTTCCCCATATCTCAATTCCAACCCGATTTTTTTCCCTGCACCATCACACTTCAAAACTCACCTCAACATCACCTCCCTTACTCAAACTCAATAAAAACAAATACAATGACGACTCCGAGCGATTCCCTCGATGACATTTTCGGATCCTCCTCTCCCGACGCTCACACCACCCCAACACCCCCTCTCCCAGCCCCCCGCACAACCCTCGAACCCTCCGAGCTCCCGTCCCTCCGCCGCCAACACGTCACAGCCGGCTACCGCGACGGCATCTCCGCCTCGAAAGCTGAACACGTCCAGCGCGGTTTCGATGCCGGGTTTCCAATTGGTGCGCAGCTGGGTATGCGCGCGGGGACAATTCTGGGAATCCTAGAGGGGCTAGTAAGGGGGTATGAGAGTCGGGCTGGGTCGGCGGTTATTAGGAAGCCTGGGGTTAAGGCCGGTACCACGGCAAGTGTGGGTAATGGAGGATTGGAGGAAGCGAGACGCGTGAAAAGGAAGCAGGTGTTGACTCTCTATAAACAGGCGGTCAAGGAGCTGGGAGTGCAGGCTGTTTTTGCGGGTTTGGAGGAGGGGAAGGATGGGGAGAAGCCGGAAGCTCAGCTCTTGAAGAAGGGAGACAAAGCGCTTTCGTCGTGGGAGGGGAAGGTGTTTGTTGCGGCTTGGGAGGAGAACGCGATGGATACACTAGAGGCGAAAAGTGAGAATGGTGCCGATGGGGATTCGGATGAGAGGGAGGGAGAGGTGGTGAAGGGTTCTGCTGGACAGAGCTAACCAAGGCTGTGGATTAATTTCTCTTCATATCCACCTTACCCTACCCTTCTGTACCCTGTGCATCTTCCAGCGCTGTTGCTGCGACAGCTGCTGCTGGCCCGAACCCCCTCGCTCAGCCTTTTTTCGCTGTGGAAGCCGGAAGAGGCTTCTGCGCATTCCTCCTGCACAACACCGCAGCAGGGTGCATCGCGGAGCGCGGAAACCAGCCGGGCTTTTGATACCCAACCAGTTCTGAAGGTCGCCTGCAAGGTCGAGATGGTGGTCCCGCGCCCCGACGCGTCTTGCCTCTGCCCTTGCTAGTTACGATGCACACCTGAGGAGGATCTCCAGCAAGGAAGTCGAAATCTCCGAGCTCCGAAGAGAATATTCGCAAAAAAAAAAGGCATTAAATCTGTGCTTATTTGAGGATCTGTACTGGCACTCTGTGACGCCGCAAAGATGCCGTCGACAAATGTCGCCTGTTAAACCTGAGGTACAAGCGCGCATCCGCAACCCGAGTGTAGTTCAATGCCACGATCATGCTGGACAGACAGTAAATATCTACACTATTGAAAAGATACTTTTAACAAAGGGATCAAAGTTGGATAACCTAGAACTGAGCCAGATCTTCGAAGTAGATCGACGGGTAGTCAAAGCCCTAAGTTCAGATCCCGCCCAAGGGATGCGCCTACCAAGGGGCGCAAGACAAAACAAAACAAACAAATCAGCCAGCCAGCCAGCCAGCATAGGGCTCTGTCACTCGTTCAGTGTCTCTGGCCTAGCCCTCGCCGAGATTGCGACCTGGTACGCGGCCGTTGAAAGAGCATGGCTACGTACAACATACATGGTAGATATGTCGCGTGCCACCGTACCACTCTGGAGGGGGCGGCTAGGGTAGGATGCGAGAAAACACCGTCACACCAGGGAATTCCTCTCCCGAGCATTCTTAGACTGATCCCATTGTCATTCTGCTGATATACTCAAGAAGTTTAAGCTTAGAGGTGTAAAGAGAAGAATGATAGAGTGTCTGAATTCTTCATTTTTTGTGTAATGTTGAAGATGTAAGGAAATAGTAATCAGTAGATGGACGTTAGGTCAATCAGACGTAACACAAATGGAGAGAGATAGTAACAGAAAAGGAAAAAAAAGAGAGAGAGAGAGAGAGAGATAGCCTTCTGCGATGGCTTTCCATGCATAGTAATGATATTTGAGGTAAAGGAAAGGACACTTTGCGTGTATCATAAGAGAGTGTTGCAGCGAGCCTGTGGCGAGTAATGGATGAGATATCCAGCGCCGTTTCATAAGTCATCGTGATCATCCACCACGAACTCCATGAAAAGTATCGTAAGACATTATAGTAGAACCAAAGGAAAGACGTAGTCGTTCGGCATCGTTTCGATAGTAGTGAGTGCACAGTGCGTTGACCCGAACCGGTAATGAAGTGTACATCATAATTCCAACGCCGTTCCAGCTTTTGGGGGGAGAAAACAAACAGAAAATGGCAATTACATAGCTTTTCGCGGTCGAGGAGATGCAATATCACCGTGGCAGCCAAGTACTCGCAGAGACTCCCAGACACGTTTGTATAAGGGCGGGCGAGCGAGGGTTAGGCTGTGATGAATGGTCCTGTCAGAGCGCTCTTCGCGGCAGAATGTGCACATCTTCTCCCGCTCCGCGGACAGGGAAGTTTCGGGACTAGAGGAGCGCTGACGACGGCGGGACTTGGCCTGGATGGCCGCAGCAGCTGTTGATCGGTCAATGCCATAGTTCTGCGATTTGGCGCTGTTCCGACGGGATCTAGGATGAACCAATGAAGTAGTCGAAGGTGCGACGAGGCGAAGAGTCTGGTGTGCAGTTGGGCGTAAGATATCTCTCCCAGCTCGAGCTTGGATGGCGGTCTTTAATGGGCTAGCATATTGCTGCTCCTGTGGATAAGGGTCTGGCATTGTTGGGAACTTTTCTAGCGCTGTGTTGTTATTGCCATGCGCTGTGGTAGTCTGCAGCTTCGGCGTCGACTTGGCGACTCGAAGCTGAACCCGGCTGCGGACTTTTTTCAAGGTATCAATAGGCTTTCGAGAGAGGGGCGTGTCTTCGCCGTCCGAATCTGATTCCCAGACCGACTGTTCAGGATGCATTTCCGATGTGGATGTCGAGGGCCTCTCCCGCATTGACGGTGGTGCTGTTGGTGGCGGCCGGTCGACTGAAGGCGACGGTGGTCCTGGACTGGGCACTGGGCTGGGGCACTCATTGGCCGGAATGAATAGAGCTTGATCAAAGTGTGACCGATGTGGCTCGAGCGTTACAGGGTTAATGAGACTTGGAGGAGAGATCATGGACGGCTCAATGACTAGCCGGCTAGGTGGCTGCTTCTTGGTCGGGTGTGAAGTAGAAGGACGTGGAACGGCTGGAAGAGATGGAAGTGGCTTTACCCGCAGGGGTAAAGCTTCCTGATTTCTTGCAGGCATGGTAAGTGTTTCCGAAGATGCGTTCGGTAACACACGCTGGGGTTTGGAGTCTCGAACTGGCGATGAGGGCTCGGTAGGGAGTAGTGTTGCTTGGGATCGATTCAGAGGTGTGGACCAGTATGGAAACGTGGGAATGACAGGGCTTTCTTGTGCGTGTTTGGAAATGAGAGACAGTTGCTCGGTAGCTTTTACGACAGTGTCTGGATATATCGGAGCGGAGTAGTTGGAAGAGAAGGAGCTGCTGGGTGTCAAGTCCGGTGTGGTTTCTGTAGTATGAGTGTCTGCCCACGGCTGGGCGCCAATCTGCTGCAGGCCCAGTTGATGCTCAATCTCTACCACAGATAGTGTTGACCGGTCAATGTTTGCTTGGGATCTGATGGTTCGAGGCGCGACGCTTGGAACTGGAAGCTCTGCAGGAGGTTTCACCACGGATAGCATAAAGTATCGTTCAACCTCGTCGCCAGACCTCGCATCACGGAAGCCCTGTTGGCAAGATCCCCAGCTGCCGGTGCTGGTTAGGGAATGTTCAAGGTAGAAAGGGTCAGGATTCGTCTCGTCTGGGAAGTCGGAGCCGCGAGGAGGAGGATAGAATGAGGAAGCGCGTTTCTTCTGGGGCGAGAGTGTTGGCGGCAGGCCGACAGTTGTCTGTGATCTATTCCGGCTCTTGGGAATAGCGTTGAATTCGCCGGGGAACCGAGAGTATCCGTTAGCCATGGGCTTTGATGTAGTGGATAAACGAGTGAAGAGCAAAGGGGGGGTTGAGGAATGAGCAGAAGTCTGGCGGGGTGACTGGGGTAGTGTTTATAGACGAAGCACTGACAGACGATCCTCAGCCCAGACGCCCTAGAGGCCAGCCACAGACGAGCCGCCGACGCATGCCAATGCAGCATATCGTGTAAACAAAGCTTTGACCTTGCATGATCTCCTTCCCCAGGGATGGCCCTGCTGCAGCAAGGCGATCGATGCTGCTGCAAGGAGGCCCTTCCGGATGGAGCTCCGCAAGCTTTCCAGCTTCCTTGGATTTCTTCCTGGTTTTCTTGGATTTTATTCCTGGTTCTAAAATACTTCAACCATGGCCTCTGTCCTCGAGCAATGGGATTAAACCTGTTTCTACAGTGCAACACTCGGGCAGCGACGTGCTCATCAACAGCCGAATCAGCTCGACGGCTGTTAAACCAGGATACCAAGTCTTGTCAGGTTCAAAGTACGGGAGTTCGCTGCAGTGACCAGTCTGCAGAAAGCACTGCCAGATCGATCATGTACCGTTGCGCGTCCCAAGTACTGGGAGGCTTGGGAGCCTTGAGCGCGGAGCTGTGGATGTGATATCACCGTATCATCGTCTTAGAGTCCGCTCGGGCCTGCAGAACCTACAATAGCGAAGGCGAGAGCTCAAGCACTGGGACACTCAATTGCTGGACCAGTCTCTCGGTGTGTTTGGGGGACGTGAGGAAGAGCAGAATCTGCTGTAGAGGCCCGCATTCCTCAAGTTCATTCCGGTTGCTGTGACACTTTGACGAGCTTTTCAGTAATGACCATCCCTGCGTATTGATTAGTTGAACAAGCCGCGAATTACTCTGTACCTTGTTCTGCCTGTCGAAATCTCGGAACCTTTCCAAGTTGTCACTAGTTTGTTTGCTCAAGCCCCGAATTTGACCTATCGTAAAGCTTCTCCCACTCTTTTTTTCCGGTACGTTTGAAACCAGGCTGGCGCCTGATAAATCAACTGGGATAAATAGTTACGGAAAAAGAAGATAGAACTTGGATTTGTAATTGGTGCGGCTTGTGCTGCAAAGCACTCCGGTCACTGTTCCATGCCTCAAGCCGTGGTTCCAGCAAGCTGGAGACTTGCCCTCAGGGTTGCAAATCCCTTGACCTATAGGTCCTCTATTGCTAAGGCATTATTACCGGAGCCAAATTGCCAGTGAACCTTCTTCTGCCGAAACTCTAGCTACGCGTCGCACCGTCGAGTCATGTCCTGAGCGCGCACCCAGGCAACCATGAATAGAAACTCAGTCAACCGGCATCAAGTCAGGAAAGATGTAGCCTCGACTCTCGAGTCCAGATCTAGCGGTTCGCCTCTCGGGGAAGAAACAGAGGTGCATCGCCCACATTCTTCATGCTGCAGCTGTCTGTGACTGGTGCAGTGGTGTGAGCGAGAACGGTTATCGACTGCATGGACCCGCTGGTTTTGAATTTATGCATGATCGTCATTGCGGTGCATATCCCGAGGCAGACAGATTACAGCGCAAAGTACGTACTTCCAAATAAGGTTAGAGCGCTATATAGTTTATACGCCCGCTTTCTGATACTAGATAGTAGACGCGATCGTGGAATCTGTATACCTACTGAGAGTTAGAGCACGGAAAACCCAGGCCCTAGTCTGTGTGTGCTTGCAACTTGCAAAATCAGGGCAGGCAAGAATCAGTCGGTGCTTGTGCGACGATGCAAGAGATATTTACTAAGATTTACTCGTATACAATTCTCATTGGTCCCCATGTTGCATTAAAGCAAAATACCCCTGTCATTATTCACCTTGGGTCTGGAAAAAAAAAATGTGCATAGATCACAACCCAAGAGTTGTACAACTTCAGCATAAGTCATGAACTCCGTTCCCTGAAGGTCAGCTGGGGGGTCTAGCCCTTGTATGAGATGATTTGACCAGGTCAGCGTGTTATGACCTCGATGTTAGAAGAAATTGGTAGGAATAGGCGAGAAGAAGACGAAGGGTGACGGCGCTGCTGTACAGGCTTGCGCTCACAATTACTGTGACCAGTAAATCAGAGACCTCTCACCTTTCTTGAGAGTAGTAGTGGAGCTGTGCTGGTTGTTTCACAAGTCAAATTCATACTACCTCTCAGGGCGATGCTTCCATTATATATAACAGAGAGAAACGTCATTATGGTGCCAGAAACTCACAAGCATCTACACATCTATTTCGATCAATGACACTAAAGGGGATCTTATTCGCTTACTTACATAGGTAGTTATCTTGTGGAGAATATTGAGTAGAAGTCTTCCTCGAATCGACATGATAACTCGTGTATAGCATCTTCAAATATGTGACACATGGGCCTCGGCAACATCATAGTGTTTGGCCCACCACTCAAACTACCCTTTTCAGATGCGCTTACTGCAACGACATTCACTTGGAGATTTCCGCTTTCGCGTGAGTACCAGCATCATTTGAGCTTGACCGGGTTCGGGTTCAGAGACTGTCGTTGACGGTGCAGTATCGTGGTCAGACCCGCCAGAGTTTCAGGCAGAACATTCCTTGCCCTGCAAACAATATGTACCAGTAGGTACCGTACATGCATGTACGCTGATCTGACCTCATCGAAGGTATAAAAAAAGCGGCTAGCTCCACCGTCGGCTGCATCTCAGACATCCGCAGACACGATTGCCTTTGGGAAGCTGTGAGGGTATTCCTGCGCACCGCTAATCCTCATGACCCCATTGATCGACTTCGAGTCCACATTCCTGAGATCTGTAACTCTGGTGGAGGTCAAGAGCCGATCCATTGGGCTGGAAAAGCGAGATAGAGAGAAAGGCATGGTCTGCAAGATTTGATGTGGTAGGGGTTGGTTGATTCTCGTCAAGGGCTGGCTGTAAACAAGGACATGAGAAGTAGCCGAGTCATTCAAAACAACATTGGTAAAGAGCATGATGAGGCTGAGGAAAATAAGCACGGAAGCAAAATGTCCGTGCTTTGAGAGACAAGACCAATAACAGACAACTCCAGTCTGCTGGACCTGAAACATGCTGCAAGGTACTACTCAGGCCTCGACATCCTTGGAAGATCGCATCTCGATCATTTGCTCAATGCAGAGATTTTCGCCTGCGGTTGCCTCGACCTCTGTCTCGGGCGCTGTTCGGTGGGTGTATATGTATGTAGATGAGGCTGGTATATGCTCCAACTCCTTGATCGTAGCGCCAAAAGGAGAAACCATCCCACCAGACTGGAAGCAAACAGAGGCTGGGCCTCCTTTGTTTCTCAACTTTCCCTCGTTCAGCGGAGATTATTGCCATAGTTTGCCCATTGGGGCTGTCCAAGTTGAGAGAGAGGGAGCGATGCCGGGTAGAAACAGTATGTGAGGCAGAGACTGGCCAGCCTATAATCCTGGCGAAGACAAACCTGCGCCATCCAACCACACTGGTCACGGTTGACTGCCAGCTCATCAGGCCGGAAAACATGATCTGGCTCCCGACTGTGGTCTGGCGGATATATGTATCTAGCACCTCGTTCGTAACCTCGACCTGTCTCGCGGCTGTTCAGACATCAATTGTCGCCTGATGTTCACTCTGTGCCGTCATTTCGGGAACTGGCCTGGAGAGGTAAGGTAGGCCGGTCCTTGCTGGGTTCAAATTAAAGCCCAACCCACCATTTCCGGTATATAAAAAAGAGATCTTCTGAAAGCTATGAGCTGAGGAATTGACCTGTGGAAGTCGCCTCGAACAATTGAGCCCAGGAGCCCAGAGGATTGCCCAGTTTAAAGACTCGAGCGAAGGAAGCATTGATTACGGTACCCGACCGATACCGCTTCTTTCTCAGTAGTCTGGCGTAATTTGCGGCAGACTCGCGCGGCCCAAACTTACGTGACAGCAGCGATACGGATTCGCTGACCTTCTCTGAGCCCCCTTCAACAATCCCATCTCCAACTTCTTCCTCGACTTTCGACCAACATCGTCGATTGAGCAAACGCGGCTCTGTCGCGGCTGTCTCTCGCCTGCCCGCAGCCATTGGACTCGGTCAGATCTGCTCTATGACCACTGCGGGCCTATATAAGTGCTCGTTGTGGTCGAGGAGCAGGAGTCCGGCTTGCAGCTCTCGTTCTTCCCAGCCATCGTAATTCCACCAGAACGGGGACTCTCATTCGACCAGCCACTGCACAATAATATTCGTCGCCCGCTGCGCTTTGTTGCGCTCTGAGCTGTCCTCTCTTTCCTAGACACTGCGGGCCTTTCTTCATTTTTTTCTCCCTTCGAGACATTCATAATACCCACATTCCGGTGCTGTCAGTTTAGCATTTCGCTGCTGCGTTTCCAGCACCACCTTCAGTCGGAGAAAAGGCCGACAGCTTTCAATTCGGAAGTGCGCTTGGATTGCAGCAGGCCGATTGAGATTTCAAGGCTCAATTCTCACATTGTCGTCATATCTGCCTCCGATTCAACCACAACCTACCTCAGCAGTGCATCATCCACCTTCCCGCACGCTTGACGAGACCTACGACGTTCACGACCCTTCTACGTTCACGACCCAATCGCAGCAACGCCAGCAGCAGGCTGCTCCTAATCCTGCTCCTAATCTTAGTACTTACCCGTCTAATCGCCCCTCGAGCGCTCTCGATAACCCTCGCACCCTCCGGAGAACATCACGATATTCGCCTCGACGACCCGGTTCGGTAGATGCATCGGGACGCCCTTTTCAAATAGAACAAACTATCCCTGTACTCGTCCGACCTGCCTCCGAACATTTGCGTCAAGCGCCATCATTTACGAGAACCGAAAACGAGGACGAGGATAGTGATTCTGCCCCCGACGATAATCCTCTGACAGCAAACGGGTCGTATTGGCCTCGTCGATCTACCCGTGTCTCCCACAACACAGCTTCAGCAATCCTCTGGGCGTTAGAGGAAGCCATTCGAAAGCCGATCCCATTCACCGCCGACTGGGAAGAAGTGAATGCTTCCATGTCTGACCTAGGTGGCCCCGGTGGTGTGTCGGGACTTGCAGGTAATAATGGCCGGAGCCAGAACGGGGCTTCCCGAGCCGCACAAGGCCCAATCCCCGTTAACACGCATACTGCGAGTGGTGTACGAACGCCCACAGACATCATGAGACAGCGCCGGGATAGAGAAGCTCGTAAAAAGGCTGAACAGGAGGCGAGAAATCGGGAGCAGGAGGAGGCTGACCGCAGGCGGCTTCAGCAGGAGCAGCAGGCCAGGGCGGCCCAGGCATCCGCACAGGCCTACTCTGCTGGCGTTGCTGCTGATAGACCTTCACAGCGACGAGCTGCAGCGAGAGCTCCAGCCGCGTCCGAGCCGAGTCCCCGCCGGACAACAGAGGCTCAGCAGCCTCAAGGGCAGATTCCCCCTGCTCAACCAAGGCAACCTGCCCCGGCTGCCGCATTTCCTCCACAGCCATCCTCACAGACCAAGCTTGCTCCGCAACAAACGCAGCCTCCGCCCAGCCAGCCAGTGACATCCCAGGCTCAGCAACAGACTTCTGGCCAACAATCTTCTCAGCAGCCACGCCGTGTGGCGTTTCCCCATGCCTTTGAACGCTGGGAGACCCTGTCCTCTCACTGGGAGGGGTTGACGAGCTACTGGATTCGTAAGCTTGAACAGAACAATGAAGCCCTAGAGCGGGATCCCGTCAGTCAGCAAATGGCCCGTCAGGTGACCGATCTCAGCGCTGCAGGTGCGAACCTCTTCCATGCCGTTGTTGAACTACAGCGCCTACGCGCCTCTTCCGAGCGCAAGTTCCAGCGATGGTTTTTTGACACCCGTGCGGAACAAGAACGGGCCAAGGAGCTGCAGGCTGAGCTGGAAAGACAACTCCGAACTGAGCGACAGGCGCGCGCAGAGGCAGCCAATTCACTCCAAAAGGCAGACAGCGACAAAACCCGCATTGAAGAGCTGCTCAAAGAGATGCGCAGAGAACTCCAGATCTCAAAGGACGAGGCTCGCCGCGCGTGGGAGGAGCTGGGTCGCCGCGAACAGGAAGAAAGAGATCGCACCAATTCCCTTCGTAACGGAGAGCCCACCTTGGTCGGAGGAGTGCAGGTAGTTCCAATGATTGCGGGGATTCCACGACGAGACCCCGGCCGCCCTCCTACTCGAGAGGGCCCCTATGCCGGAGGCGGCGATCGCAATGATCTGTATGGTGATACTCCGGTATCACCAGTGGGAACTGACCCGTTTGTCGAGGGCCAAAGGTCTGTACACGAGCCCGACGTGACAAGTTACTCCCAGGCTCCAGCACCTGCTTCCACCGCTGCTCAAGCTCAGGGACATTATGCTGGCCACTATTATGAGCCAGAGGCCCCGTTTCCTCCTGCTCAAACCACTGCCGGACGTGAACCTAGCATAGGCAGCGGTGAGCCCGGTGAGGATTATGGCTATCAGCAAAACCCCCAGAGTCGCCAGATCATCTATCCCCGGCCAATGTCCGAAGAGAGTGACGAATACGAACACGGTTCGCTGGATGATAGCGAGCCAGGATATGTGACGAGCACCATGCCGCCCACTTCTGGCGCCCTGTACGCCCCCGGTTATGACCAAAACGTGGACTACAGCGGATCCGGATGGGGGCCAGGTTGGGAGTCTCTCACCCCTCGCCATCGCCACCCGACGCGCCTCAGCGACGTCCTTGAAGAGGAAGAGCCCCGGACGACTCCCAGCCGTGCGAGCCGCGCCAGCCAGGCGAGCAGGAGCGTACAATGAGCAAAGCGTACATACGTTCTAGCGATCTCTCGGTCACGACGAGTTTCATCTTCTCTTATCCCAATTTTCTTTTCTGCTGTTGGTCAATATGCGATATCAATAGTTCTCTCTTGCGATGACATATCTCGCTTTTTCGTTCCATTTCCCCTCTCTCCTCAGTTTTCACTGGTTGTTTCGTTTTCTTTTCGTTTCTCTCTTCCGGTGCATATTTTGGCCGCCTTTTCCTTTCTGTCGGTTGACCTCGTCGGTTGTTTCAGCAGCATAGACTCAGGGGCAGGAAGCGGGAGTAAATCTTGTAATTTTAGTATGATACGATCGGGGATATACGCTTGAATACTAAAAATTCATCTCACAAGGTAAACCTGAAGTCAGAAGGTTAGCCATCCACGTGATAATATATGCCTGAGGCAAGAACCTAAACCCAAACAAGCCACATCTGGAGATCTCAAACCACGTCCGAAAAGCCGCACCATTCGACAGCTCTCCCCTGAACAACCTTCTAGCCCATACACAGAGAAGCCGACAAGATGTCATTACCTCTCCGCTCCCTAACGCGGACTTTGACCCGCACATCGCGCACCTGCCACACCCCCTCAATCGCAACCACCCGCCCGATCCTCCCGCAAACCCTCCGCCAAAATGTCTCTGTCACATCCTCAAGAACAACCGCCCCCTTCTCCACAAGCCCGATGCGCAGCAAAGCGCGCACAATGGGCCAGATCCGCGCGCGCAACGCAACGGGCCCCTTTTCGTGGAAATCCGCTCTCCTCTTTGTTCTCACGGGTGCCGGAATGATCGTTTACTTTCGGGTTGAAAAGGACCGGTTGGAGCGGAAGCGCATTGCGGAGATGAGCAAAGGTGTGGGTAAGCCCAAGGTTGGCGGGCCGTTTGTGCTCAAGGATCTCGAGGGCAAGGTCTTTACCGAGGAGGAGTTGAAGGGGAGGTATTCGTTTGTGAGTTTACTTTTCCAAGTTGGGGATATACTAGATTGATATATTGGAGATGGACGACGGTTTCACTAAACGATTGTTGCGCAATAGGTTTACTTCGGTTTCACGCATTGCCCCGATATTTGCCCGGACGAGCTGGACAAGATGGCCGAGATTATTGACAAGGTGAAGGAAGCCAACAAGGGAGACAATGTCTTCTTGCCGGTATTCATTACGTGCGACCCTGTACGGGATACGCCGGAAGTTCTGAAGAACTATCTGCAAGAGTTCCACAAGGATATCATTGGCTTGACGGGGACATATGACCAGGTCAAGCAGGTCTGCAAGGCGTATCGGGTGTACTTTAGCACGCCAAAGGATGTGAAGCCTGGGGATGATTATCTGGTGGACCACAGCATTTACTTTTACCTCATGGGTGAGTTCCTTCCTCTTCTCTTTATTGCATCGAAGGATCATCGAAGGAAACTGACGTTGTGATAGACCCCGATGGTGATTTCGTTGAGTGTATCGGACGGCAGGATACGCCCGAATCTGCGACGAAGACGATCATGGAGCACATCAATGACTGGAAGCGAGAAGGCAAGCCATTGAAGAAGGACTAGGCCTTTCGATATTGTAGTAATATCCTCCCAATGTACCTTGTACCTTGTACCGTGTACCACGACCATGTATTATAGCTCTCCAATCAATCCTCCCCAGACTTGGATATAAGCTTCCCACTCGAGTCCCTCACCCTATTCTCCCTCCACTCCTTCCCACCATCTACAAACTCCTCCCTCTTCCACACCTCCAACCTCTCCTTGACAATCTCCAAAATCTCCTCTGCACCCCTCCACGCCTCCCCTCTGTGTCCCGCCCCAACCGCAACAATGATACTCGCCTCTCTAACCGGGACAACACCCAGTCTATGCGCGATATACACACCGTTCAGCCCGTGCTTGTCCACTGCGTCCTTTGCGATCCTCTCAAGGGATTTAAAAGCGAGCTGCGGGTATGTTGTGTACGAGAGTTGCGCGACAGGCCGGTCTTCAAAGGTATCGCGTGTTGTGCCGAGGAAGAGAATGTTTGCGCCGGAGGATGCAGAGGAGACCGTTAAGAGGGCGGGGGTGGGGTCGAGGGGGTCGTAGGTCAATGAGAGGTGGATGGGCGCGTTGGAGTGGGTCGTTGTGACGGTTCGAGGATATGTTGAGGGATCCAGATGGGGAGGGAGGACGTCAGAGGTTTCCGGGTCTTGGGATTGTGGGCTCGAGGTTGCAGAAGACATGGTGGCTTCTGTGATTGAGTGTGTCGCAAAGGACGAAGACGCTGGTGGGACGACACTGATAAGGTTGGAAATGTCGGTGCCTTAGGCCGCTCTGGCTATAGATAGGTCCCAAACCTGGAAGGAGCGACCGAGGCCGGCTTGAACTGCTCCTTCCTGAAAGTATTTAGGCTTGGGCTGCACTTTCCAACTTAGAGTATCTCTTCTTATACCTATCGTGGAAGGCACCACGTTGCACTTAGCGTAGCAGTTGCTGACGACAACGGAGGGTTCACAGTCTATCTGGATCTATGTCTATTCTAGCAAAACAACGGCCGCCTCGAAAGGGCGAATTGTCCATTGAGCACCCGAGAATCTGCGTTGTACCGCACTCGTGGACTCATACGTATCCAATAAGACCTTCACACTATTCACTTTCTGGGCGGCAGCATCCCACGACAGCTCGTGGTCGGTCCAATTGGCCAGCACTAAAGCCTTCGAGTCGCCGTATGCCCGCGTATACGCGTAGACTTCTTGATTGTCTCTGTCGACAAGCTCATAGTTTCCGTAGACAAAGATATCGAGGTACGCTTTTCGGAGTTTTAGCACCGACGCCCAGTAGTGGTACAGCGAATCGGGATTCTTGACTTGGTCCGCAGCGTTGACTCGAGTGTACTCTGGGTTCACGGACATCCAAGGCTTTACACTTGGCCCGGTAAATCCGGCATTAGACTCGGCTGACCACTGCACGGGTGTCCGGGCATTGTCGCGGGATTTCTTCTGGTACTCTTGCCGGGCAGCCTTTTGCGCCTCGGGACCGAAATCGCCAGACTTGAGCAACCTGAAGAGCTTGTCAGCAATAACCTCTCAGATGGCATAGTACGCGTACAAATTCCAATGGTTCAAGCAATCAATGTCTTTATACTCCTCCATTCCCCATTCGATAGGCACATTACCCATTCCAATCTCCTGGCCCTGATAAATAAAAGGAGAACCGGCATGTAGAACCAAAACAGTGGCAAGCATCTTGCCGGCTGCTGGCCGTAAAGCTTGTGGTGCGTTGACGTAGCGGTCAATCGACCGAGGCTGATCATGGTTCTCCCAATACAAAGCGTTCCAGCCGCCATTGTTGTACATGAACGCTTGCCATCGCTCAAAGAAGGACTTGAGGTCAGTAAGCTTCCAGCTTCCAGGCTTAAATTTATTGCCATGAGGGCCGTGATCAATGTCCACATGCTCGAAATTGAAGATCATGTTGATTTCGTTGCGGTCGTGGCGTACGGCTTTGAGCACTTCGGCGGTGTCCTTGACAAATGGCATCTCACCGACACTAAAAGTGTCATACTCTTTCAAGATTTTTCCAATTTCCTGCAGATACTCGTGGAGACGAGGGCCGTTCGCATAGTATTTGTCACCCCACTGCCAGGGAGTGTCCTTGTCCTGTACTGGTGCGTCAGGGAAGGCTTGATCTTTGCTGATAAAGTTGATAACATCCATGCGGAAGCCGTTGGCACCCTTGTCGAGCCAGAAGCGTACGATATCATGGACTGCTTTCCGCACGGCAGGATTCTCCCAGTTCAGGTCTGGCTGTTCAACGGCGTACAGGTGTAGGTAGTACTCTCCTGTCGGTTCATCGTATTCCCAGGCACTGCCTGTTGCCAAATTAGCTACCATTTGGATCGTCATTGGGTGAACCCTACCTTGAAAATGCGATACCCAGTTATTTGGAGGCTGTCTGTTCCCATGTTCATCGATACGTGGTGGCTTCCAGACATACCAGTCGCGAAATTCGCTGTCCTTGGAGCTGCGAGACTTTTTGAACCATTCATGCTGATCGCTAGTATGATTGACGACCAAGTCCATGAGCAGCTTCATACCCCTGTCGTGGCATCCTTTGATCAGCGTCTCGACATCTGCGACCGTGCCGTATTCGTCTGCGATGCTATAGTAGTCGGCAATGTCGTACCCCATGTCAACCTGGGGGGATTTATACGAGGGACATAACCAAACGATATCAACTCCGAGGTCGCGAATGTAGTCAAGCTTTGAGATGATTCCAGGAATATCACCGATACCGTCGTCGTTGGAGTCCTTGAAGGATGCTGGCCATATCTGATAGACGGAGCTCTCCTTCCACCACGCGCGATGAATATCGCCAGGAGGTTTGACGGGTGCAGATGGCGAGCTCATATTTTAATCAACCGTAGTACTGAAGCAATGAGGTCGAATTGTTTGTGATGGTGGTCAAAGGAAATGTTCAAGAGTAATGGAGGGGCAACGTGGGGTAGCCATCATCATCGAGCGGAGACACTGCAGATTGCCAGGTGTCGTCGCTTCAAACTGTCCATTATGAGAGCCAGTGAGATCCTCCCCAGAGCCCACTGGTCCACAAACCATACGAGATAGAACGAGCACAAACTTCAATTTGACGAGAGGTGTTGGGATTGTCTGGATTGTGCTGATCTTGACGTCATAAGCGACAACAACTCATCGAGCATGATAAGAAGTCAGAGGGGAAAAAATGGAAAGAGCCATGAGTGCGGCGTTGGATACACTATCCACTTCGACGAGTTCAAGGGCAGTCAGAGAAGACTGTGTCGATGAAAACTGAAGTTCAAGTCCGTGGCCGTCTGATTCAAGGCATACCGAAAGCGGAAATAAAGCTCGGACCATGATAGTCTAAGCAGGGTATAGTGCCAGAATTTCAAGGGGGCTGTAACCAATGGGTACGCAAGGCCAGGTCCATACATCTAAAAATGGCTTAAGGAACGAAAAGTGGGTCCTGAGTGCTGGTCCCTGGGTGTGCCTGTTCCTGAGGCGCCTATAATCTCGCTGTTTGCGAACCGTCAACTAGGAGGCGGAATGTCCCAGGAGCAACGCAATTGGTAAGCCCCTCGCCAAGGTAGCATAGGAACCACGCACAGCTCCTTCAAAAGCATGGCGGCGACGCCGCGGCAGTGGACTACTCGGGGATGACCGTTGGATTGACCCTCCTCAAGCTTCATTCACCATGGCTATCATGACGACGCGCTGGAATTTCAAGTTGATCAAATTCGCGGTGGGAGTATTCTGTACCTGTGTGATCTTCGCATTTTTCTTCAACAAGCATGATGGGTACCAATCGACTCGGAATCTGATCCATGCTGGCCGGTCGCGCTTGGAAAATGCAATGTTTGACCGAATCCAAAACGAAACCCTAGGGGTGCGTTGAAAAGCCCTAAACTCAAAACGAGTGTCCCTCACTGACCCTTTCTAGTTTCAACACATATATGCCATCGGACTCAAGGAACGCACCGACAAGCATGATTCCCTAACCCTAGCCGCCTCAGTCACTAGGATGAAGGTGGATTGGTTAGAGGGAGTCCGTCCAGGCGAAGTCTCCCAGAAAGCTCTACCACAGGTTCGTCACTCCGTTCAGCGCAGGCACATTTGCTGATCATGACGGCAGGGGTTGGATGACCCGGCCATCCCTTACACTGTTGTCCTCTGCTGGCGTGCGCATATGAATGCGATCCGAAGGTAAAGTCTCCTTTTAATTAGCCGAAGCAAAAATATATTGACGGGCTCAAAGTGTTGTTGAGAACCGCTATGCGACTGCTCTTATCATGGAGGATGACGCCGATTGGGATGTATCAATCCGACGGCAGCTGCGCGAGATAGCTCGTGGCGTTCGAGAATTGTCCGGCAACCAAAAAGCCCCGAGAAGCACACCATACGGGACGAATTGGGACCTTCTTTGGATTGGAGGATGTGCCACCGTTCAAGGGAAGAACGAAACCGAGACATATGTCATCCCCGACGATCCCACCACGATAAATGTTGACCGACGAGGTCCCTGGGATGGCCCAATCGGTCCAAACGAAGACTGGATAAAACGACATCCCGAGGTCTCTGTGGATTCAACGCGGTTTGTGTACAAGGCCGGGCACGGATGCTGTTTGTACGGGTACGCGGTGACATATGAAGGGGCGCGCAAGATCCTTGAGGCTCTTTCTTTAGAGCGGAGCAGCGAAGTGGACAACTCACTCGGCGATCTCTGTGGAGGCAGAAACGGTCGGCAGCAGATCCGATGTTTTGGGGTCTACCCCAACGTGATTGGCACCTTCAAGCCAGCTGGATCGGCCTCTAGATCGTCGGACATTCAAAACTACACCTCGGATGAGTACCACGAAGCCGAGTCGTGGAACATGGTGTACAGCACTCGGATGAATCTCCCGCGACTGGTTGCGGGGAAGGAGACAGTCTACTCTCAATGGAACACGTCGCTTATTCCATGGTCCAAGGGAGAGATCAAGCCGCGAGAGCTGCAGTACCCGAGAGGCTATCTTGTTGGATAAAGTCGATGAACGGATTCTGTGTCCGCGTTCAGTAAATAATAAATTTGGAGTTGCCTGTCAATAGCTTGATGAAATTGTTTTTCAACCATGGATTCATCAGTTATTCTTGCTTTTCCTCGAACCGCTCGGACTCGCGGAGTTCCGAACACAAGCTTGCTTGTTGTGGGTCAAATTTGTCCCAGGGCCCCAGTGTGGCACCTGTGGCAGTGTAACGTCAAAGAGAAAATCATGAACCGGTGGTTCCGGCGATTCTTGCCCCGGATCTGGGAAGAAAGTTCGCCAGGAACGAAAGCAACTCCAGCCGCCCAGACGTCAGCGTTACCATCGCCAGAAGATCCCCGCACAGATCTTGGGGACCTGACCTGATGGACGAGGCGTCCAGACTCCAGTGCCTGTGAAGATGACTCGATCCTCGGATCGGCAAGGGAATTATGTGATCTGTCAGCAATGCTGCGGTGACATGAACCAATCCTGCTGTTTCGCTTACGCCCCTCCTGATAGCGTCTCAGCCCAATTTGGAGCTCAGAGCCGCTAGTAATGCGACCAGGCTCTGTCACTGCCACACCTTGGGGGCCAAATAATGGCACGTCCAGCCTTTGTCTCATCCTTCCCCCTGTTCGCTATTTTTAAAAAACCATGTTTGGCTTCGCAGGCTCTCCGAGATGGTCTTTTCCCCCTTCTTCCTCTTTTTCCATCTCCCTTCATCATGAGTATTTCACAGCAGAACCCCAAGCACCATGACGAAGAGGCCAGCCTAACCCGCTCTCCGGCGGACACCGACCTTGGCGACACGTCAATGGAGAAATACAATGCCGACTCAAAGGAGAAGCCCGCGGAGGAATCGAAGAACGAGGTGCCTCTAAGTCGAAATAGCAGATTTTTGATATGGACATTTTTGAATGTTGTGTCGACGGTTGGAATCGTGAGTCTATTTGGCCTTGCGCTTCCTTGGAGATGGCACTAACCGCCCACTGTAGGTGTTCACCAACAAAGCCATCATGTCCGATCCCTCCTTTCGCACTCGCCAAGTCTCCCTCGCCGCATACCATTTCTGTATTACCGGTGTGACGCTTTGGATAGCCTCGCTCCGATTCTTCGGTGTTTTCACTCCGAAATATGTTAGCTTCTTTCAGATGGCCCCCATCGCAGCGGCCATGGCGATCCAAGTCGTTCTCCAGAACCTATCGCTCGCCCATTCCTCAGTCATGTTCCATCAACTTGCGCGACTCCTCCTCACCCCGAATGTAGCGCTGCTGAACTATGTTTTGTATCGGGTGAAAATCCCTCGTGCCGCTATCATACCACTCATCCTTCTTTGCTCGGGAGTTGCAGTGGTCACATATTACGACTCAGTTCCAAAGGCCGATAACGGGAGCACCACATCAACCTTAGGTGTGATTTTCGCACTGACGGCCGTCTGCGCCAGCTCAATTTATACGGTGTGGATAGGATTCTACCATAAACGGTTCGAATTGAGTAGTATGCAGCTGCTTCTGAACCAGGCACCTATCAGTGCCGGTATTCTCCTTTGTTCTATTCCATTCGCCGAGACTGCTCCCTCTATATCGACTGTGCCGTCGGGTATATGGAGCTTGGTCCTAATGGTAAGCACAGACAGACCTATGAGCTTTCGCTTGGCTGATACTAACATTAATTCCAGAGTGGGGTTCTTGCATGTTTTGTAAATCTTTCCCAGTTTTACATTGTCGATGCCGCTGGTGCAGTCAGTGGTGCCGTCATTGGACAGCTCAAAACTTGCATTATTGTAGGCTTGGGCTGGGCGTTGAGCGGTCGATCTATACCACGTGAGAGCCTCTTTGGCATAATTGTGGCGTTGGTTGGGATGAGCATGTAAGTCTTCTTCCTTTGCTTATTATCAGCATGCAAACGAATGGCTATTTTGGGCTCAATGGCTAACAGAATCTTACAGGTACATGAACACTATCCTTAGAAGTCAAAGTAGATAATTTATTACTATTCGTTCAGACCTCTTATGTAGTAAGGTCACCTTGAGTATCAAGACAGTTATTCAATCTTAGTGAGACACAAAGACCTACTTCGGAAGTCTGGCGTCAGAGTGGCTTGATTATTCACAAGCAAAAGCAAATGCCAGTTGAGCCTTTCAAGGGTCTGCTGATGCCTCCAGATGGTCCAGCGCGTCTCTGAAATAGCCCTATGGTTGGCTCGGACCGGCAGGAACTATCCGGACTTGCAAGGATCCTATTGGCGCCGTTCAGAAAGAAAGTGAACCCAAATAGGTAAAGTTCTCGCCCCATCCAGCTGGGGTCGCTGTCTTTTGAGCGCAAGAATAAAGAAGCGCCGCTTTTCGCTTCGAAGCTCGTATTCTCAATTTAATCACATTCAGTTAGACTTTCTCCTTTCGCTTTTCTCTCGACATTTCCCTCATTCTGTTGTATGTATGGAGTCTACTACTGTATAGTTTTGTATATTTATATCCCCGCCATGAATAGAGGCACCATACTCCACAGGGCCGTCAAGCTCAAGCCTGTGCTGCAGGCGGCAGTGGCCCTCGTGTTGGTATTCTCGTTGCTCAGTTTATTCGCAAACTACAGTACGTCCTTCATGGTTTCTTATCAAGTAGCGCGATACACCAGAGACTAACAGCATCTATAGCAAATGTCACGGCCTCAGTCAACCTTTCCAAGCCTCGACCGACAGTCGGCAAGGTTATGATGATCTACGGCAACAACACTGTTTACGAGCGAGCAGTCGAGACGCACAGAGCGCATTGCCTCAAACAAGGCTACCCGCTCTTCCTTTTGCAAAGGCAAGTGGTGGATGGTGTATGGAACAAGCTCGCATACCTCATCTACCTCATAGTGCAGGAGTTGGAAAAGCCGCCGGAAGAACGATTGGAATGGTTATTGTGAGTTCTCTCCAGAATCACGGCGTGCGCGGTTGACTGACAATAATATCTACTCAGCTGGGCCGACAGCGACACGATACTTACGAACCCCAATATGAGGCTCGAGACCTTCCTTCCTCCACCCCACCTGACCGATGTCCATCTTGTCCTTACAACAGATTGGAATGGAATGAATGCCGGCGTATTTCCGATACGCGTCCACCCATGGTCTATCAGCTTCCTCTCCGCCGCAGTCGGCTATCCCATCATGAACCCCGATGCCACACTCATCTGGGCCGAGCAGTCCGCCATGGTCAAAGTCCTCGAGGAACGCAAGGAGCTAGCACAGTCTGTCGTCTACGTACCTCTGCGGTGGTTCAACGCATACATGGCTTCCCCGGATGGCGAGAACCTGAATCCTGATGCGTCGGAGGATCTACAGTTCCACCCTGGTGACCTCCTTGTTCATTTCCCGGGCACCGGTAGCGCCAATCTCAATAAAACCATGACCCCGTACTTCAACATCGCAGAGTCTCATCGTCCAAGCTGGGAACTTCCGATGGAGGAGACGGTGTATCCTGCCGAAACAGCCGAGTTTTGGAGGTTATACAGCGTCGAGCATGGTATTGCATATCCTAATACGACATCTATTCAAGAAGGAATGCCCGGTTCGCGACCTTGAACTTCTCAGAGGATATTTCTTATATATACATTATAGATTTTGATCCTGAAAAGATATTCATACATCTTGCGTACAGGACAGGAGTCAACTATAGTTAATAAATGCTAATTGAATACCCGGCTATCGTGTATATTATCATATTCGTCGCCAGGAATATAGATTCTGGTATTGTATGAGCAAGTATTCCCTTTGAGTATTGCTTGTGATGGTGCTCGTAGAAATTGGGTTCCAAGCTATGATGGCTACTCAGAAAGGTAAGGCTATAGGTGCCCTACGGAGTGCTTGCTGAATCCAGAAGTCATGGCACTGTACAAGCTCGTTATGTGTTGCGAAAAACTTCACTTCATCTGAATTCATCCAAGCCTTCTAGATGTTCTCTTGTCCCAGGAGCACTCCGCTATGCGTCTCATCGTCCTCTTTCTTGGAGCAATATGCTTCGTCTTGGGCCTTGCTCTTCCAACGCTCATGCGCAGAGGTTAGTTCAGGACTTTGCTCATCTCCACTTTACCCCAATCTCACAAATCTGGGTCCATTAGAGGTCACACCCTCACTCCTCGATCAACTCACCCTCTTCTCCCAGTACTCTGCTGCATCAAGCTGCTCCGTAAACCACAATGGTTCCGCACTTGGATTACCTGTCTACTGCGACACAGGGTACTGCGCTCTGCTCAAGAGCACCGAGAATGAGATTCTCTACTCTTTCCAAGCGTATCCTTTCCCAATTTCTGTCTTATGCTGACCCTAACCGTTAGATCCACATCATCACTAACCTGCCAATTTCTTGATAGTGTTCTCCCCGGCGATATAGCAGGTTTCATCGCAGTGGACTATACAAACGAGCTCTTAGTTGTCGCCTTTCGCGATACAATGTCCAGAATCAACGGCAGAACGGACCTAGAATTCCTCCAAATCGAGGCGCCGACTGTTTGCGCAGGATGCCGAATACACTCGGGATTTTTTCAGGCAGCCGCGGCCGCGATTCTGCTTCTGACGAGACCACTGCAGGAGGCGAGGAATCAATACCCGAATCATACAATTGTCATGACGGGGCATAGCTTGGGCGGTGCGCTTGCCACAATGTATACAGTGTTCTTAAGGGCTCGTGATGTTTACGTTGACTTGGTAACCCCTTTCCAAGGGCCAAATTTATATTTTCAAGAGCACAAGCTAACCAGGAGTCTCGGATCAGTACACGTTCGGCGCACCGTCGGTCGGAAATCTGGCCCTCGCTGAGGCTATTACAAAAGATTGGAAGAGCTTTGGGACAAACTATCGAGTAACCCATGCAGATGACGAGATCCCAAAGATACTATTTCAGCTCTCCAGAAAGATATTTTTTGACTTGATTGTACCGGAGTATAGCCAGCCCTCGCCTGAGTACTGGATTACGTCTGCATATAGGCAACCTGTCACCGTGGCGGATATACGGGTTATCGAGGGGGTGAATAACGTTACTGGGAATCTGGGAGGAGGGCTAGGCAATATCAGAGATCACACATGGTACCTGGGAAGGACGAGTGTTTGTGTGGATGAGTAGCTTAACCGATCCATGCTGTCCTGTTCTTGTCCAACAGCGGGGGGTTGTCAGAGATAAGCTACACTACTTATCTTGGGGGTTGCGTGCGGGGTTATCGATGGTATAAGAACGTCCGTCTAGTCCAACCTCCCAGGAATGCTAAAGATTGTACGACAGTTTCTCAAATAAACTCTCGAAACGAGATGGCAGAGATTCCACACGTTTCAAACTGGGTAAACGGCCAGTATACCCTACCAAAGGCATCTAAAATCACAGTCCTCAACCCCGCAACCGAATCCCCCCTCGCAACAATCGACGCAACCGCCCAGGAAACCATCAACGAGATAGTTACCAGCTCCCTCGAAACCTTCAAAACAGCCTCGTGGCGCAAAACCGACCCTACAGACCGCTTCGCAATCCTCTCCAAAGCCGCGACTCTCCTCCGCAGCCGCATCAATGAATTCATCGCCCTCGAAACCGCCCAGACAGGCCGTCCCATCCGCGAGATGCGTGCCCAACTCTCCCGTGTCCCCGAATGGCTCGAGTATTTTGCTTCCCTGGCTCGCGTTCACGAAGGCCGCGTTACACCCTTCAAGGGCGCCGTCATCAACACCCTAACCCGCATACCGCTCGGCGTCGTCGTCCTAATAACACCTTACAACCACCCGCTCCTTATTGCCATGAAGAAGATCGGCGCGGCCCTCGCAGCAGGGAACGTCGTTATCGTCAAGCCCTCTGAGCTCGCCCCTCTCTCTGTCCTCCGTCTTGGTGCGCTCTTCCAAGAAGCCGGGCTGCCTGACGGCGTGCTACAGATCGTCTCGGGGTACGGACGCGATACTGGGAAATACCTCTGCGGGCAATCGAAGGTTGCCAAGATTGATCTCACAGGCGGCATCATGACATACAGGGCTATTGCACCGATCGCTGCCCTGAATATGGTTCCTGTTACGGCGGAGTTGGGCGGGAAGGCGCCTGTGTGCCTGTTCCCAAGTATGGATGTGGCAACGGCGGTCAAAGCTGCATTGTTCGCGGGTTTCATTGCGAGTGGACAGACATGTGTTACAGGCAGTCGGTTGCTTGTCCATACGGGTTTGTATGATGCGTTCCGGGCATTGTTAGAAAAACGCGTTCGGGCGTTGAGGTTGGGCGACCCGACGGATGAAAAGACGCAGATTGGGTCTGTTATATCTGCTGCGGCGGTAGAGAGGTGTGCGGCGTTTGTGTCGAGGGCTGTTGCGGAGGGTGGGAAGGTTCTATGCGGCGGCAATGCTACGGCGAACGCCGAGGGGAAGGGATTCTTCTTCGAGCCGACGATTATCGAGACGCATGCAACATCGGATCTCGCCTGCAATGAGGTCTTTGGACCTGTTATTGCGCTGCTAAGGTGTGAGTCTGAGGAGGAGATTGTTCGCATTGCCAATGATACATCGTATGCGCTGGGTGCGTCAGTCTGGACGAAAGACTTTACGCAGGCACATCGGGTTGCTGAGAGTATCGAGGCCGGGATTGTGTGGATTAATGGACATCATCTGAACGATCCATCTTCGCCGTGGGGCGGGTTCAAGGAGAGTGGGCTTGGGAAGGAGAATGGGATTGAGGCGTACGAGAGTTATACCAAGGTCAAGAGCACGGTTATGAACTATGGGGTTGCGCCGGTTTGGTTTGATGATGAGGTTTCGGGAGCGCGGTACGGATGAGGGAGATCGATTTGGGTTGGATATATGACAGTGACTGAGGACCTCACGGACGAGATGGGCAGTGTGCCACCGCCGAGGCTATTTATCCAGCATATTGGGATATAGTACCTTCATCTCAGTAGACTACACTCTGCAGAGTAACTTTTCTCAACGAAGTCGCGCTCTCCTTGGTAATTCCACTAACCGGCAACTCGCGGCCGTGCCCTGCACTGCCACTGCCAGGTCAGACTTGGAGGATGACGAGGCACTGAGGCTTTGCTCACGCCAAAGGCTGTGACGCCCTCTGCGAAAAGATCATCAACTATAAGATCGTTGTCCCCGGCATCGTAAGCTTCCCATATCTGTCTGTCCCTTCACTTGAGTCCCTCTTCCGCTGTCATGGATTATAACTGTATGGATATAGATGCCGACTACAGCGGTCAAGCGCCCACCTGGGATACCCCCGAATCCCTCTATCCCCTTCCTTTCTCCTCCGAGCAGTCATCGTATCCTCGTCCCAACCTTGAAGGGTCAGCATTCGCAGCTCCATGGCCTGTTTCTTCTGCTGCAGATAACCATTCATCCGGCCCAATCAATCCTTCGATCTATAATCTTCGCCAAGCAGAAAGTATCTTCTCGTTCGGCCCTTCCTGGGGTACACCAGCGACTTCGGTCTGCGAGGAGGATTTTGTGTCTCAGATTTCTCAAGATATTCAAGACAAGGTTGACTCGCTTGAGCGCGATGAGCTTCATCGGCTCCGAAATGTTCTCCAGAGGGGTCTTACCGTAGTCGACTCTCTATTACTGCGGACGACGCCCACAGAAGCCACCGATAGACAGAGATATGCGTCCAGAAACGTCGAATATCGGTGCGTCTTCTGTCGGTCTAACCACACATACAGAAGTCGCGGCACCCTTAAACGCCATGCTATCACAGAACATTTTTCGGACGTCACTTATGTCTGTCCTGTTCAAGGCTGTTCAATGGAGACCCGGCGAAGAGACAAATTTAATGAGCATCAGCGGAGAATGCACCCCTCGTTGCAACTCAACCTGCAAGAAGCAACAATCCGGCACCAAGTTCCCAGCAGTTGTCCCGTATGCGAACACACAATAACCTCGTGGGATGAACTATGGAAATGCTTCGTCGACCATTCAGAAATACCTTTGAATAACTCCCCGCTGCGGAGCCTAAGCACGCATGTCCGACAACCTACAAGCTACAGCTATGCCCCTAGAGCTCAGATTACGCCTACACCAATATCCCAGCGTGCACAACATGAACAGCCAGGAAATGCAGAACCGGAGAGCCGAGCGCTTTTGTCAGATGGCTCAGAAAAATCTTTGGAGCCAGGGGCGGGCATCACAGACTACAAGGTCTTGGCACCATCAAATCCTTGTCCTATGGAGCAAGACATGCACACACCAAAGAACAAGATTGGCCCTCTTTCACCAAATTCGTCATCACCAAAGTCACTATCAGCAGACACCGGTATCACGACGCCGGAAGCCGCAGAAGATCAATCTATAGACTCGCTCGTTCTGCGAGCTGATTGCCTCGATTTCATCCTCAACCCAGCAGCACACAACGAGGCGCTTTGTGCGCTCGAGGCTGAAACGGCACGACTCTGTGGCCTTTATAGGTCTAACATCTGGCCAGACGTACAGTCAGGTTTATCGATTCGGACTATACCTATAGAAGAATGCGTCGAATTACTCAAAGGATGTCAGGCAGCTTTCTGCCATCTGCGTGACGAAGGCTTTTGTGGGAGACTACTCACATTGTTCATAGAACCCCCTTTTGGAGCAGATACTGCGAAAGCAGTCCACATCACATTGGAGGATATAGAAACCTTGGTCATGCGACTTTCAGCCAACAAGGAGCGGAAACTGGATCCCTCAAGTCTTGAGATAGCCAATAAGTTAACGAAAAAGCTCCGACCCCTAAGCAGTTTGCTTTTGGACAATAGTGACCCATCCCCATACCTCAGCTTCCTGTATCGAGCGCTATCTCTCAGCATCGTTTCCTTCGCTGGCTCGCATGCAAGCGCGTTTGATGTCATCAGCTGGAATTTAGAAAAGAACATTATTCCTGTGGGGCTTGGGTATAGCTTTGCTCGACGGCGGTTAGCATGCCTGAGCAAATTTGTGGGTGGGCCTGTGTGGACACTTGGGAAAGACTCACGCACACAGGATGATCTTGGACTTGCCCTTTCGATGAACCTTCAAGATCTCCAGCAACTTTGGGGTCCGGTATGGATGGTCGGAGGAACCGAGGAAGCAGCTCCAATCATTCGAACAGAAAGAGGGTACATCACTCCTCGCCTAGCGTCCAACCCCACAAACTATACTTCAGGCGATGTTGTATGCCACTGGTCGAAAGACCTTCCAGAGCCCTACTTACCCGGTCAACTTGCTCAAAGTCACATATTGATCCATAAATCATCGCGGTTGTTGGTTGGGGCCAACGATGGCGCCAAAAGTCTGGAGCTCATAGTCAACAAGGAATGCAAAGCCGATGTCAATATGATACAACAGCAGGTTGTCTCTGAGCTCAAGTTTCCCGGTACCTGCAAGGCCTATTATATTGGGGACGGGTACGAAGTCAGTCTTAGTGGAGGATATCAAGTCAATGCAGGATTCGTCAAGAGGTGGAAACGGATGCCTGCACGGACATATAGGTCTACGCTCCTTGCGTACTGTACGAGTCCGGGTGCTGAGATTCTGCCAATTCTGAAGCTCGATGTTGGGCTGGAAGTGAGCATATGTACCGGTAATAGCAGGCGTGTTAGTCTTTGGGACGCTATTCAACTCTCACAGGCGAAACAGGAAGGGGTAGGATGCGAGTACAAGCAGGTGCTCTGCTGCCACCCTGTTGGGAGCATAGAGTGCATAAGCAACTGCTGGAATTGGGCTGCCCGTGGGGAGATTGACAGGACCTTGGACTTACCAGGAGACCACGAGGACTTCAATCGTGCCAGCGCTCGGCGCAAATTGATCAATGCCATCCTTGCGCTTGAACACACTGGCATCAATCACCAAGGACAGCTGCAGGCTTTATGGCCATTTTCCGGATGCCCCCAGGTTCTTCACATACCTTCTAGCACCAAGAGACAGAAGCACAGCTGGATAAGTCTCGTCAAGGACACAACCGACTCTTCAACTTTTGCAGTTCTGAGTCAGCGATGTCTTGAGTTGAGATATCCCCCTTCGAATGTTTGTCCAAGTCCTTGTTTTAAGCCAGACATCATGCAACCGACTCCCACAGTCTTTTGCACTCGAGTCTTCCCATGCCCATCTGACGCAGCAGAGTTCAAGCACGCCAAGTATCTAAGGATCTGCGAAGAGAGTCTCGAAGTTGTCGATAGACACGTGGGCGATCCGATGGCGGTGGTGGTGAAGAAATCTGGTGTGCGAGGTTGGATACCGCAGGGCACCAGGATACAAGAACACACTAACCCCAGCAACCTGGTCAAGAATTCTACTGTGATGGTGGCATTTTAGTGGTCTACATGGGTCTCAAATTTTGTTGTTCTCAGCTGAAACGTGAACCTGGAAGACAAAGATATCGGGCATTTTGCCTCGAGAACGGTTACACCCGTCCACGTCCGTTCTTTATCTCCCTACCTCGAGACTTTCTTTGCTCCAAACAGGGTGCTATACAGGGGCTAAGTCATACACCTAGTTTGAGAGCTCAAGTACTACTACAGCCTACCTCTTGTCATTCACGCTGGGCTAGCCTCATATCATTTCCCAATCCGGGTGAGACAAAGCACCAGCCATTTACTTGGCTATCACCACATTCACAAGAAACTTGCGCAGTAAAGAAATTTTTTTCATGAGAACCTTTGCGCACATTAATAGTTATAAAGGTGTCTTCTTCGTCTGCCCCTCTTCCATCTTTTCTTCTTCTTCTTTCTTCCCACCTCTTCGAAATCTCTTTCTTTCCTCAAGTTCGAATAACAAACTTACGACCTCCAAGGCATTCGACCTATCCACGCTTCAAGATAAAGCTCTTCTTCCTTCTTTCCTTCTTCATAACCTTTGTTATGTCCACTGTCGACAACGTTGTCTCTGCTCGTGATGATGTCGGTGTAGGTGCTGACTGGAACACTGGTGAGTCTATTTCTCGAGTCCACATGGGGATACCCGTCGACTAACACTGGACCTTCCTCAGCTGGCGCTGAAATGGCCAGTAAGGAATATCCTTGGCCCAACTGGCCCAAGGAGTGTGAGGTCGATAGCGACTGCAAGTACCCTGGCGATGTGTGCAAGGACCACTGGGTTTGCATGCCGATTACCATCATCACAAAGCTTGGAAAGAGCGAGTCTGCTCGTGATGTTGCCGCCCAGGACATCTGTCGTCTCGATAGCGACTGTCCTTCCGATGGATCTTGCATCAACTTCTCCTGCATCGTGGCAGATACTTCTGCTTTCCGTTTTATCGATCGTCGCTCCCCTCAGGGTGTCAACTGCCACAACTCTGTCGACTGTGATGGCGGCCATTGCTACCATGGCATCTGTGTTGCTGAGCTTCCTCACCTTGGGTCTGGATTCGAGTCCCGTTCTCCTCAGGGCGTCAACTGCCACAACTCTATCGACTGTGACGGCGGCTATTGCTACCATGGCATCTGTGTCGCCGAGCCTCCCCGCCTTGAATCTGAACTCGAGTCTCGTTCCCCTCAGACTTTGATCTGCCACAACTCTGCTGACTGCGATGGTGGTTATTGCTATCGCGGCATTTGTGTTGCTAGCCCTCCCATGGACCGCGACCCCAAACAGCCGGGCAGACCTCCCAAGGAGTGAATCATGACACTTTGCTCATCTCTCACATGTACTTTGCGCATGTTTCTCCCTCATGATCCTGTATTCTTTAGAGAGACAACTTTGGTCTGGGCTGGATTTGCATGCATCTCGGCTGGCTTGATGGTTTCAACTTTCGGAAAGATGCTATGGACATGTACTTAGCTTTTTTCCCCACTCGAGTAGCATGGACTACCGAATGAATGCATGAATGCTATTTGCAACTAGTTACATCGTAAATTCAACTTAGTTGTCTTTTTTCAAAGTAGTTATCCAAGTGGTGCTGTAATGGTGTTACTTGAGACCGAGTCCGCGGGCGGTGTATTTTCTGCCAGCTCTTCTTTCGTCAGGGCCTTTGCTTCAGTTTCGTTTGTCCCCATCCCAGCTTTTCTTTCCTTTACCCTCCATGTTTTTTTATTATGTCTCATCTCCACTCTGAAGATACCAGGTACCTCCCTGGACCGCCTTCCAGGCCGTTTTCCGCGAGAGACGACAGGGATGGTCGTATGTACGACGACAACTCTCCATCCCGTTCGCGCTCGCCTGGCGGTATATCCCCGCACACGAAATCCCGAGTCCATAGCACATGCCAGTCCAATACTCACTTTCTATGATATCCAGACCCATCGCGGACACCTCCACGAGGACCAGCAGCCGATAGACGGCACGAATACCCACGAGACCACTCCGGCTCCGGATCGCGATACCTCAGCCGAGATCGTGATGACTTTCGACGACGACCCTCACGCTCTCCACCGCGACGATCAAGGGGTGGGTACAGGGACCGTGATCGCGAGGGATACAAATCACGCAGTCGAAGCAGGAGCTACAGCCGGAGCCGGAGTCCGCGGCGCGACCGACCGCATTACGGACAGGAAAGTAGAGAGGTTATGATGGACGGGTTACCGGTGGATATGACGGAAGAAGACGTTGGACCTTCCCTCCCTTTTGATATCATGGAGCCCCTTATGTCCCGTGCAATGGGATTCTAGAGCTGCGCTCCGTGGTACAACCTTTCGTTATGGCATGAGGCTGAGATGTGTGTCGGCGTGGTGAACAGATTTCGAAAGAGTTGAAAGACTTTTACAATATCGAAGGCTTGGAGGAGGTGCGCGTTATTCGCGATAGACAAACGAGTGAGTTATGAGAACATTCGCTATGCGCTGTTCCTGATCTCATACGTCTACAGAGCTGTCTCGTCAGCTAGGATTTCTCCGATTCAAAACCCTCGGCTCCTCACGCTCCTTTGTCGAACGGAATTTCCCATCGATATATCTTTGTGGTCCGAACGCGCAGGACGATCGGGGTTCCAAGGTCCGCATTGCGTACAGTCGCGAGAGGGAGGATCGAGCCCGAGCGAGAGCTGAAGCTGATTGGACCTGTCAACTGGTGGGCAAGAACAACTTGATGGTTGAAACCCCGGGCTAACGAATTAGTGTTCGATTGTGAATTATTCAACTCGTCAAAAATGCTTCCGGTGCCAGGCTCCGCGACCAGGTATGTAAAGGTTTCTTGGTACTTATACAGGGGCTAACGCAAAGTAGATGCCGGCCCGACTGGCCCTCCAGGTATAGCGGCACCGCGAGTGTTTAACAACGGCGATAACGATGCTGCCCCCGAAAATCAACCCTCTCAGTTTCTATTATTTAGAGGACTAGAAACGTCTGTGAATGAAGAGCTCTTAGCCAAGGGAGTTGCCAAGCTCTACCGGCCAAGCAACTCAGATAGCGGATCAGGAACGCAAAAGAAGGGAGCAAAAGTGGCATCTACTACCGGCGACTCAAACCTTGGGGCCCGTGACGGGTCAATACGGCGTATCCTGCTGGTTCGGGACCGCAGAAGCAACGAGAGCTGGCGATATGGCTTTGCTGAGTTTGCTACGATCCAGGTACTTTGGTCTCCTCTCAGTAGATACACGTAGTCAAAGCTAACGTAACTAGGATGCCCAAGCAGCTATTGTGCGACTCCACTCTTTCGAGAAATTCACAATCTCGTCGAAACCAGTCATGGTCAGCTATATCCACGCGGGCGTTTTTGTGCCCGTTATGAACCCAAACGCCAGCACAGAGAAGTTTACATTTAGTCCTCTGAATAACCCAGCGCTAAAGCTCATGTACTGGGACGAAGACGCTTATGTGAATGAACTCATGGTCTCTTCAGAATCAGAAACCCAGCAGGCGCCGAAGACTGAGAGACCAACGGGCCAAACGGACTCAAAAGCTAAAGATGCTACTGACAAGGCGAAGAAACGAAAAGCTGACGCTGCATCCGCCGCATCAGGGGCGAAGAAGATGGCTATGCCATCACATCTTCAATTCTGGAGCAACCGACATGCGGAATTACACGGGATCCAAAAGAAAGAGCCCGATGATAAAGCTCCTGCAGATTTGAGCTCCACGTTGGATACAGCTGCGGCTCCGCCCCGACAATCGTTTGCCGATCCGAACCGGAACTGCTGCTATCTTTGTATGAGACAGTTCAAGGCGATGGCGGAAGTCAATCGACATGAACGGCTCAGCCAGTTACATCGCAGTAACTTGCAAAAGGACGAGCTCGTCGCACGAGGGATGAACAAGCTTATAAAGCATGGCATCATACCAGCACCACCAGAATACAGAGATCGAGCGCGAGAGCGCCGACAGGCATTCGGTCGCGGGAGAGCCACAGCGAATAAGCCAGCGCCAGCGCCAGCACCAGAGCGTGAGCCCTCACCATCAGCGGAAACCACATCCAAGGGCGCGTCACTGCTTAGCAAGATGGGCTGGTTCGCGGGTACCGGTCTCGGTGCGCAGGGTACAGGCATGACCGCACCCATCTCGACAGAAGTTTACGCGCAAGGCGTTGGATTAGGAGCGCAAGGCGGCAAACTCGGGGACGCGAGCGAAGAAGCCGCCCGAAACACACGCGGTCGATACGACGAGTTCCTCGAAAAGACGAGGCAAACCGCTCGGCAACGGTACGAGCAGATGGACAGGGCCAAAGAAAGATAGGAGTGTATCATAGTAGCCAGCCCAACGCCGCAATAGCATCACATAATGTACAAGTAGCACCATTCCGTTTCCCTAGCTCCCTTTTCACTCTATGATGACTCCTTCCCACCCTTAGGAAGATCCACCAACTTGTTATCCTCAACCCTCTTCCCCAAGTACCTCCCCACAAACTCTTCCACCTCCTTCTCCATCTCCTTATCCGCCTCACTCAACTCGTTGCCCTCCCCACCGAAGATCCCACTCGCCGCCCTTGTCCGCACATACCGCCTCATATCCTCCAGCCCATTGATATCCAACGCCCACAGAACGGACCCAGTGGCCATCATAGCAAATGAGAGCACATTTAGCGTCGCCAGATTCAACGCCTCGAAGGCGTCCATACCACCGTTCACCTTCGGTTTGTAGAACGGCGTCGAGGTCCAGTAGGGTGGTGTTGTAGCTTTTACGCGGCGGAGGAATGCGCGACGGGTTGTGAAGACAGAGAAGGCGAAGAAGAGGGCGCCGCCGAGGGCGAGCTTGGTGTTTGTTCGTGGGGTCCAGAGTTTGGGGAGGTCATTGTCGGCGGGTTTGGGGGTTGTGGATGGGGATGGGGTTGCGGTCGCCGTTGGCGGTGTATCGGCTTCGGCGGGTTTGGGCGGCGTTGTAACTTGCGCTTGTTCTGCATTCGCAGCTTTGGGGCTCGAGCTGAAGAAGGAGAAGACCATTGTGATTGTTTCTGCTGTTCTTTTGTGTGTAGGTTGGGTTTGGAGTAATCGAATCGGGTGTGCGGAGTGGAAGGGGCAGTAGCTCGTTGAATCGCAGGTATATGCAAGCCAATATATTTCTGAGATGAGACGGAGTACTGTCAATATGCAATCGAGCTGTAAATGAGAGTAATGATGGAGAAGGGACATTGAGAAGCTGGCCAAGCCAAGTTTGATGCGGAGATTGAAGTCACGTGGTTTATACCGGAGATAATGCCCCCGTAAGCGGAGTTAGAAGCAGTTCGAAAGAAATAGCATATTCATTAAGTCTAACCACATATATAGGATTAGACAATACTCATAAATGAGAAGTCATTAGTCCCGACGTATATATCTGCAGAACCCGCTGCACCTGGCCCTTAACCCAGCCATATTGATCTTCCGTCAGGAACTCTACGGAGAGCAAATTCTCCAGTGAGGAGAGGATGAACCACCCTCCGAGCATTGGCGCGTACTGTCGATGCGCTGCATTCAGCCCTGTTCCTGCTGCCGGGTACTCGACCCGACTGGCATTTATCAGTCCGGAGGTTGTCTGACTGCCAAGAAAGAAAGGTACAGTAGCGCAGGTGTCCGCTGCGATGGCGCGAATCATTTTGACGGTCGCTTCCATATCGGCTGTACGGTCAGGAAGGAGCTGCAAGCAATACATGATGACTTTCTGGACGGCGAGTCTTGAAGCGCGATACTTGTTCCACGTTTCTGCGATCCAAAAGTCCGCGTAGCAGTCGCACCGATCCTGGTAGATACCAGCATTTCGCACGGATTGGGGAATAAAGGATGCTGGAATTGGGACCCAATGCTGGGGTAGAGTCTCGGTCCAGGCAAGAAGCAGGCTGTCCACAAGACAGGCTTCGGAAAGAATACCCTCGACTTCGTTCAGATTCGTAGTACCAGCAGTAGAGTACTGCACCCATCGCTGTCGGAGCTTTACTGCTCCAGTACTGGCCGTGGTGAGCCGTGAAGAAGCTAGTTGTTGAATTGGAAGCACCAGTGGCCAGACATCGGTGGTTGGAACGAGCGGAGCGGCACCATCCACAGAAACATTTATCTACAAGCTTAGGTTAATCAGTGGCCAAGGGTGCGGAAAATTTCAACTTACGATTTCCGTTTGCACAGCATTTCTCAATGTATTTGATAGAACCGAGTCTCGATCGTTGGGTTGGTGTCTATTAATCAGAGCGATCGCACCTCGCAAATGTGCCTTGGATGGTTGTCTATGATCCTTGATAGCATCGAATTCCTGCAAACGCTCAGATGAAATCCTTCTTGAGTCAATGGCCACGCTTACCTCGTAAATATAGAGGAGCAGCATTGTCATGAGCAGCTCGTCAAAAGACCGACCTATGTCGCCTTGCAGCTTTTTGCGAGTCAAGTTCAGAGCATCCACAAAGCATTGCCGAGAGTATTGGAGCAGATGCTCCTGATTTGTCCAAGCGGCCACAGAGAAATACGACACAGCCAGCGCACTCATACGCACGGGAGAATTGAGTGGCGCCGCCGCGTACAGCTGTGGAAGAAGCTCCATTGACCCTACTCGGACAAGAGGATCCTTGGGGGTATAAACGTAAGAGCCGAAAAACAACCCGGTCACTGTGTCTTCCATGGGCAACAAAAGACGACCAGGAATCTGAGGAGGGGGTAGAGGAGTCGAAGTCCCAGGATAACGTGGCAAGCATGGGATACACGAAAGTTCAGAAGTGGCAAGGTCTTTTTGCGCTTGCTCCTGTGTATCTACATTGTCGCTCTTTGCGGAAGAAGCCGTTGTCTTGGAAGCTGTTCCAGATTTCCGAGGAAATGCTGCCTGGGGTCGTAACATCACGTCCAGAGGGTGCGGATATCCGGGGCACTGCCGGCCTGAGCGGACACAGGCAGTGCAGTGCGGACGTGTTTCATCACACTGAGCAGCAGGATTAGTTGTGGGTGGGGGCGGAAATTGTTTAAGGGTTTGGTTTGCCTACTTTGATGTGTCGAGAGCGGCAAGTACTGCAGCCTGTGCTAGGTTTTCCGGGGTAGACCATGCTGGCTGCAGCAACCTGGAAAACTGGGGAAAGGCGTGCTAGAGGTGGACATGAACGGACAGATCCATATTAATGGATTATGGTATGGTGTGAGCTGAAACCAACGACCAACTCGAGGAGCTGACAGGATGACTCGTAATAATTTCTGGACTATTTGCAGATGCCTGTAACTGTCACGTGGCGGCACTTGGCAAGGGTAAACGTGACCCCAACAGCCCTAAGAAAGTACTCTGGGTGAAGAGCGCAGATAGGATATCATGTCAGAGAGAAGTGTCTTCCATGATTCAATGATGAAACCAACGCCATGCTATGCGCTATAGTAAAAGCTCTTGCGGCCGTAGTAGCCGTAAGCAGAGAAAAAGAAAGAAAAGAAAACATGGTACACAGTATCGCCCAAATTTCATCACCATGTCACATTACCATTATGCTCATCGCAAAAATCATAAATCATGTCCACTGCAAATGCAATCACTTCATAGATCCTGTCGTAATGAGCATATCCGCCCGACCAGGTCGACTATACCTATCAATTCCCAGATGCTCTGTACCATCGCGCCCCACGTATATGCCGAAGCCATACCTCGGATACTCCTGGTCGCCCGGTGGAGCGATGACCAGCCGCGTGACAAGATCCGTTTTGCTCCGTGGCTCACGAAGTAACTTGTCTGAGAGCAGAGGGCTCTGGTAGAGAAAACTCATTTGATCAGCGAGAGTGCTGATGTCGTGAGGCAGATAGCGGTAGCGACCAGGCCAAATTGCCAGAAAAGAAGCCATGTACACAGCACAGAATACCACTATGGCGTAAAAGGCTGGCATCAGTGGGGTAACCCTAATCTCATTCTCTGGGTATGTAAGCGCGATGAAGACGCCTCCAGCCAGAATTGGAAGGGCACAGGAAACAACGCTAATCAGAGATATCCAAGCGACCTTGTAGTGTCTGTTTAGAACCGCTGCGATAGTTACCTCGAACGGTAAAAGAGAGGGGTACGCCAGGAGAAGACTTTGCTCCGCGGAAGCACCGTCGGGGGAGGACAACATCACGTACGGCTGAAGCGCACGAAAGTAAGTATCGATGTGTTGCCATGCAAGAAATAGAAAATTTCCAATCAGTGCCGGAATAAAACTGAACAGGAAATTTGACGAAGAAAATGCACTTGATGACGGTCGAGTTGATAGACGCGGCAAAAACCCGTCCTCGACAGCATTGTTAACAAAGCTGACAATGACGAACGCAATGAATAGTCCACAGAGTATCACTATCCAGGCGATCACAAAAGGCTTCCGGAGGAACCACGGAGTCCACCGGTAACGAACTGTTGGAGAGTAGATATCCTGAGAATCTTCTTTCCCGACAGCACCCCGCTTTTCAGCATCGAAAGAGACCTTTGAAAGATGTTCTCGGCGGTTCTTCGCCACAAGATGCAGAGAGGGGTTTCCAACCGTTCCACCATCCTCTCCAATTCCGTAAAAAATCTCCGGGTGGCGTCCTTTAGATAGCTGCCAGTAGCCGAGTCGAAGCACTCTTGATTTCAGTGTTTTGCCAACATTGAAAGCCGTCTCTGAATAGTCAAAGTCCGGTAGCACGTTCGAACGCTGAATAACAGTGATCAAGTCCGCCAGGCAGACAGGGTCCCACATCAAGCCCGACCATGTACGGAGAAACCGCAGCATTAAGATAGTCAGCCCTAGCGTCAGAAGACCGTATACCGCGACCAGCGTCCAGCCGATTGCCTCCACTGCAGCCCAGCGCCATCCTCCTTCACCATTTATAGAAGCCCATTTTACCTGGTAGTAACAGCTTAGCAAGGGCACTGCGCTGATGTTGGAAAGCCAAATCGTAAATAGTGAAAATCCCACCAAAGCCTCGCCATGGATAATGTGCGAGAGATCGGGAAGTAGGAAGTTCTTTGGCACAATCGGTAGGCCCTGTAGGACCTTCTCAAGGGGGCGCTCCGATCCCATAATCGCAAAAGGCATTACGCGATATACGGCCGCTTGAACGACGAATGTCGAAATTGTGATGATGATCCCAAGAATTTGAGGAAGAAACTGTACAACAAAGTATCTTGCGCCGCTTCGTCCATTGTAACCCCAGATCCCTTGGTTATCTTGGGACCAAACATTGCTAAAGGCAATGCCTGCGATCATAAGAAGCACACAGAGTATAACAATACCCAGTGCCCACGGCCGAAGCGGAATTGGCACGAAATCAAGCGGAGGGTAGATCAAGTTTCCTTCTGGAGGATCATTGACGGGAACGAATGCCTCCGGATCAACAGAGTCCTGAGGGCTCCTTTCTGGTGGCAACTGCTGCTGCTGCTGGGTCGGTGGTGTCACGGCACGGACAAAATGTCCCAAGGTGCCATCCCATAATAAATGCCCGGTTGGAGTTGACTCGCTCCCACTTTCACTCGACCTCCTCGGATGCCCAGCCTCCCCTTCCCGTGTGAGCTGGCTGATAGCGAAACGGATGTATGGCGAGTCATCCACGCCCGGTGTTGGCTCCCGTCCCGCATAGCTGTCGCGCACGGCCTCTCCTCCAGCACCGTCAAAGGAGATCAGATGTGTATCACGCTTCTCATCCGACTGGGTGGTACTATCGATGTTGGTCACAAAAGTATCCCGCTGCTCGGCTGGTATACTCGGATTCTGCTCGTTCCTTGGAACAGCTGATGGCGGGGCCAACAGCGTGCGCGAGACTGCCGGGGAGGAATTTCGTGATATCGGATGTGAATTAGGTGTCGCATATCGCACAACTGTCGCTCGACTGCCACCACTCGCAGATCTTGTGGCAGAGGTACGGCTCGAGAGGGAGTAGTAGTCGTCCGAGGCAGCAGCGGATTGTTGCGACTCGGTCCGAAATAACTGTGGCCTGCTTGCTGCAAAAACGTCAATTATTATCATCCAGTAGCTTCCAAGATCAAGCAGCGAGTACGTACAGCTGACCGTCCTCAAGCTCACATTCCCCGCTGGAAACATGACTGCGGAGTGGGGTTGGCCGAGGAATGTATGCGGGCTCACTTGCAGCTCCCGAAATACATTCCCAAGACGCAAATGTTGGCCTCGACTGGATGACGAGAAATCAAAGAATTGGAAACTCCAACCCCAATGGTGTTGAAGTCAGGGATAGGAGGACAAAGCTATCGCTAATCTCGAGAGGGAGACGGTTTGCTTATGGCTCCGTTTGCCAGCCCCCTCGGAGCCCAGCCACCCACCAACGAGCCCGACATGGAATCAAGGCGAATAGGACTGAAATTGACCAAGATCTAACATCACAGGCCGTGATTGGAGACAAAAATGAGATGGAATGACGTGGCTGTATTATTAAAGCTTAAGCGTGGGAGTTGTTTCTTGAGCGTTGAGCTGGCAGAGCAGATGGTGGTGTGAAGCAAGGATGAGGGCCATTACTATTGCGGCCCAATCCATGTAGCGTACCACGACTGAGGCTGAAGCATTAACATTGATAATAGGGATCTCTAATTGCAGGGAGTATATATCAACAAATAAGCATAAAAAACTCCTTCGTCCTATGTATGGCCGTCACCGATTGCGACTCGAGCAACAGACCCTCCTCTACATTTATCCCACGGCATCTGTTGTCCATCCACGACAAAATCCGAGTCACATTTATCGTGTCGTATGAAAAAAGTGTATCACGATTAAATATGAAAAGTCAACCCCCACCGCTTGTTGACTTTCTCACGAGTTGTAGAGATACGCCGCAACAACGCCGCCCCAGCCACCGACATTTTCGTTCTCCGTCGCGATCGCCTTATTGCCGTCGAGGACCATGTTGATTGTACTCTTTGTGTTTGTTCCATATAGATAAATTGCGGACGAATCCAAAACTTGGATGGCATTCTTTTGGCATTTTCCACTGGTCGTGTTACAGTTCTTGTTGTTGTTGAAGAACACCCAGTTACAGCCGCCATACAGGAAGAGATTCGAGGACGCACTGATCCTCTCAAACAACGCCATCCGGCACAGGGCATCATCTGTGGCACATTGCGAGAAGTCTGGGTCGGTAGGGTCGATGTTATCCTGCCATGGGGAGGGAGCCAACATGTTGCCCGGTCCCTGCCAATATGGGGATTCGCTCTGTTGCATTGTTGAAAAGACGTTGTGCGCAGCGTCAAAATTGTACTGATAGAGCGTATGATGCTCGAACCCCGTTCCAACAAGCCAGGTGGCCGCAGTAGCCTCAACGAGGAGGCCCCGACCAGTGGATATGGTCTGGCTGTTTGTGCCGTCGAGGTCGTGGTCTGCTGTCCATCCCCACATGTTTTCTATGTAAGCAGAGGATGTGCTGGTGAGGTGTACAGCAGCCCAGGCGGCTTTGCATTGATCTGGACCACTGGTACACTGGCTCTCAACCTTGCTTCCCACTGCGCCGCCAATGCGGATATGAGTGTTCCAGAATCCGACATCACCAGGCGTTGAGCCGGCAATGTTTATCTCAACCTGATCTCGTGAGTCTCGAGTGTCAATAGCTCTGGAGAGGGTATACAAACAATTTTACATCCAGGTAGAATATCCCCAACTGTGAAGAGCATGTCGCTAACTTGCGTCACTCCAACATCTCCTGGGTATCCGAATTTCACCATAGGTCGAACGGCCGCTGGATCTTTGAACTTGCTGCCAACACCGCTTATAACTGAAGCGTATGGGTCACCAACAATGCGTCTCCCAGCGGGCACAAAGATCGTATCCGTCACCATGTATGTCCCGGCGGGGAAATATATCAATTTGCAGTCAGCGTTCTCCGCCAGGATTTGGTTGATGTTCTGCGTATCGTCCGTTGCTCCGTCTCCGTAAACTGGCCTACCCTGGACGTTTTTGATATTCAAGACTTGGTCCGCTGAGTACTCCTGAAATGTCGGCGGCGATTTGATAAAATATTTCCCGCCAGACAGGAGCGCCGAGGATCTTGCAGTCGAGACCATTTGACCATTGACTCTTTGCATTTTTGTGTTTCCTGCCGTGTACTTTGAGCTGTCAGTGACCGTTCAACATAATGGAGTAGTCACTTACGATATCTCCGCGGACCCAGGTGTTTGGAATACTCCCACTGTGCACCACCTTTCCACCAAGGCTCACTGTAGCTCCACTGTTTTGAATATTTTCCAAGATGATTGAGTTCCCTGCTCCGTCGGGGGTCCCAGATGCCACAAAAGTTGTAAGGCCTGAACCACGAGAATCGATAACTGTCAAAGATCCAGATGTGCCCGTCGCATCTATTCCAGTCTGGCCACCATTGAATTGACACCCTAGAAAAACAATGTCCGTGCCTCCAGCAACCACGGCAGTATTTGTCCCGGTGAAAACAAGATTCTTAAAGACCCACTGTTGCCCACTAAGTTTCATCCCGATATTTCCTCCATTGAATCGTAGGTCATTCTATCTCAGCTTTAGCAATCTTTTGCCACTGCTCGCATGTAGGTAAAGGAGTGCTTACCACGATTATATTGCTATTGTAATCGTATTGCGTAGTCAGTCCCACGTGCGCGGTTGGACTTTGAGGCATGTTGAACACAACATTCGACAATTGGGTAGCTTGACTGACGGTCCAGTCAAGAAGGGTCAAGGACAAGGTTGCATTCAGGCCGGTTGAATCGAGCACAATGTTTTTGATACCGATGTAGAAATTGATCGTTCCTCCAAAGTTGGGATCTTTTGCATATATCATATGGTCTCCGGAAAACCCAGGTTGTGCTTTGAGAATAGGTGGATCTGTAGGGTCTCCCACTATGACAGTTCCGACGTAAAGCTGAAGTGCAGCATTTAGTAGGTAAGTTCCCCCGGGCAAGTAAACTATAGCTGGTTGACCGGTTGTTCCCATTGCGTGGGCGTCACGCGCAGGGCCGCCAGAGGGACCGTCTGGCTGTTATTAGTGACTAAAAAAATACTGATACATAGGGAGAAGCAGCTTGCCTCTAATTGCAGTCTGTATAGCCGACGACGCATCCTTTTGCCCCGTATTATCGGCACCATAGTCGGTCACCACGTTGCGAACAACCTTGTACTTGTCCTTGTACCCGGGGATCAAGAACGATGACTCCCCGTTATGCGCGATCTCCTCATACCAAAATTTGGTCGGCGTCGATGAGCCGGCGCAAGTCACAGCTGGTTGGTTGGGCTGGTGGGTTATGTTGTTGAGTCCGTGCCATGGCTGTGCTGCGTAATTCTGGATCGTAAAGGGTATTCCCCTACTCAAATCAATTGCTGTACGAAGCCTGCAAGGTAAATTAATACTCACGATGGATGAGGAGTGTATTTAGGCGTCAGCATCGAGTCTAATCCCGGCACAAAATTGAATCTCGCCTCCTCTAGAGCAGCTGCCAAGCCTTGCAAGCAAAGCAGTAGAGCGAGTACCCGAAGCAAGGGACAAGACAGTGCCATAGTCGCGGCACAGCAGCAGTAACCTAGGGTCAATCATAAGAGCGAACTCTATTAACGATCCGGATGCGCAGCTAGTATCTGACAGCCCGAAAGTGGACGGCGTATGGCGTTGAAAGATAGAAGAGAGAGTGCGGCGACATTGATATTCCATTGATTATTTATACGGCCTGGCCAAGTCCACAAGATTCCTGCATACCTAAGTTACGGCCAGCATGACGATCCACGCTAAAATCACCGTCGCGACAGGTCCATGAGAAAATCTGGCTTTAAGAGGAGCTGTCATCTGAGTTGGCTGCCAAGCACAGCTTTTAACATACCCTGGCAAACGTGTAATGTGCAACTGGCCAGCCAGTCAGTTTCAAGTAAAGGCCTTGTGGTAGGTTCTCGATGGACTTGGGGCATAGATCGAGCGAAGAATAATTATGCAGGAATGTATGAGGGCATAAAGGACAGGTCAAGGTAGCAGGGAATGATGGGTATGATGATAATCAAAGAATATTAAAAGGTAATAACAAGAAAAGTTGGGTTATCCTAGGCTTGCCTCCAGGGCCCCAGATAGAAGAGTGGTGAAGGAACGAGGTTCCAGCCAGCATTCCACACAGAGTCCAAAAACAAGAACCACATTCTCCCTTTAGGATTTTAACTCCGCCATAGCTAGGTCCATTTCTCGACCTTGGCCCATACCGCATTTGTTGAATGTTTGGACAAGGAATCTCTTTTTTTCCTCCGTCATCACCGGGTTGTACCGCGCGTTTTCACCCTGTGTCCAAAGTCAGAACCGACACCATTGAACCGTGACAGAATCCAGCCATACTTGCGGATATTGCCAGCGCCTCCAATACCAAATCCGACATAACGCTCTTTGGAGGCAGTGGGCTGCGAAGACGTCTCATCTGCTGGCCGCTGGTTGGTTTCTTGTGACTTGTTCGGGAGTAATTGATCGCGTTGGTCGTCACTGAGGCTGATTTTGGATTTCATCCAAGCCGACTTCCAGAAAGGTGCCATTCTAGTTTCAACGATATCGTTTCGATGTTTCTTGCTGGGTATATTCGTGCAGAAAAAATGCAGTCGCGCCACCAGGGCCCGGTGAACAGCAAGAATTCATGGTCTTTATAGAAGATCGCTCTGGGAATGGGGAAGAAAGCCGCAAAAAAAGCAAGTATACAACGGAAGTGGACTAGTCGCTCTTCGGGGTTGTCGTCGGATCTTCACTTTACGCAACAGCATTTATAACGCGATTGACCTGCACTCGTGGGAACGCAGAATGGGCTTTGGCCATCCCTGCACAGCTGGGGTAAATCCATATGCCCCTAGTGTTCCGCACACTGGCGGCAGCCTATAGCGAGCACATTACAACCTTTCGGAGGTTTCGTGGATTGGCCATGGCCCTTATCGGAGAGACCATCGAGTGAAGAGGACCGAATGCAAGCTCACGAGACAAGTCTTGGTACGGAGTAGTAGTTGAATGATCGACGGCGTCAGAAGGATTATTTACGTGGGTTGGCTTGGCGGCCAAGCCGGCGACAAAGAAGACAACGACGGTGCTGACGCTCGAGTTTTCAAGTTCGTTGCACGAGGCTCGAGCAGACGATTGCCCCAGCCAAAAGTCCTATTACTGGACGACAGTCAAGCGTTCTGCCGTTCGAAGTTGGGCAAATTGGGGAACTCGGCTGGTTCGAAGTACAATCATACTATATCATAGTAGATAGTACGGAGTACTCAGCGAGCGACAGAGACCTTTGCCTATGTTCTTGAACTTCGGGTCTTTCCAGGGAATATCCGAATTCCGCAGTGACGTCGCAAACGCTAGTTAGCAATAATCTTCATCCATAGCCCCATGGCTTGATGGGTTCAAGTGGTCTATTTACCCATAGCCTTAACTTCTCTGAGACTCGTTCTATAATATCTTCAGCCATGTTGATCTATTAAACCGAGGCTGAATATCTTGAGGTCCAATGTGATCGAACCAAGTTGACGGTCACGCTGCACACATTTTCGTTGACCTCTCTCGCTCCAATCAGTATCTGCGACTACTTGACACGGCTTGTCCTTCGGAGAAACAATTTGTATGCGTCGCCAAATCACTGGTTGCCGTTCTGATGTTTTCATTCGAGCGAGCTTATTTTGCGAGATAGAGCCGGCTCGCAGACAAGGACAGATCGCGACGTACGTGTAGGAACGAAATATCTGATGTGGATACGTCATTGGGAAGAGTCCATCAGGGACATGAGATCCCATCGGCTTGTCTCCACATCCTGTCAAGTACAAAGTGGGATCGTTAACAGGCAGTGGAGCTATCCGGTAGCACGGGCGTCGTCGCGTGGATAAGCTGGAAATTGAAGGTGCAGTGACGACTCCATGTCCCACCCTCGTAAAACAAGTGTGCCGACCTTGATCCGGGATTCTATGTTCGTCAGCAACAAGGCAAGACTATGCAAGTTTCAACGGGGGGAGGACGAGTCCAGTTGCACTTCAACGGTCAATCATCGTTTCAAGGTCAAGGGCAAGCTTCCGTCGTGGAGAAGCATTGCGCCATCATCAGCTGGCTGAGCTCCGACAGTCGGTCGCACCCCGATCGCATAGCCGATCTTACTCGAGTTGTCCTGGGCTCAAACATGTCTGCGACAGACCAATAGCATTTTAGCCTACCATGAAGATTCCGAGAAGAGCAATCGAAACGATTGTGAGACTGTTACCATGAATATCAGATGACGGGGGCAGCAATGCGACACAGGCGACAGCACTGCCCTCCATCCGTTTAGTTCCAAGGTTTCCAGGCAAGCCGCAAGACTGAATCTTATTGATGGACATAGACTTGCCCGGTGGGACTCGCCCGCATGGTTACTCATGCTGGATAGCGAATCATGATGCAGTCTTTAAGTGGTGGATGCTTCAGCCAGACAGCACTCGTTCTCGTCCGACCGGGCTCAGCCACCACGGGAGAAAGCACATTTGGGGAAGAATCAAGGGTCGCGAGAGTTTGGCAACAGGAAAGACCATTGAAAGCAGAGAGACATGGAGAGCGATCATGAAGAAGGAGGAACATGGAGGGAATCGATCTACCACGTAAGAGTCGTCGACGATCAGAAAGAAAGAAGAGGTGATTAAGTCATCAGTGAATCCACGGGTCAACCGTCCAGCGCTGCATCTCCATCTCTGTCCTTCAATAATCAAGTCGCCCGTCATGACTGTTCCTCATTCCATCATTTAACCAGTCTCACTAGCCAGATACTACTACCTTAGTATTATTCTTTCGTTCGTTGCAGCTTCTTTTCTCCTATCTTCTCTTGTCTGGACGAGATCTCTTCGTTTCTGTCTCTCCCCACTCCAAAACCTCGACCCTCGCTCCACTGGCTCTTGCTTCTTCCTTCGCCTCCTGTCATCCCCTCAGTTTCCGTCTAGGAAACGAGCCGCTGCAGGCCAATGTCACGTCAATGATTCAATCTTAAAAGTCCGTTTTTTTTGGCTTCAACTGTTCCGGTGCGCGTGCGTCGCTGTCATCAGGGGTTGGCTTCCGTTTCCTTTTCCCTTTGTCTTCGCCCTTAGTTGAGTGGCTGTCGCGGCTGCTTCGCGCTTCTTCACGATGTTACTCAAACCCGCGACACCATTGACTGTTCTTCTCCTGGTCGCCTTCGTCCTTCTCCTTCTCTCGGTGCTGTCTACTCCCATAGTCAAGAACATTCCATTGGCAACCTTTGACAACGTTGAATATGGTGTTTTTGGGTACTGCAAAGCCGGCAAATGCACAGCCATCCATGTCGGCTATACTACCGGTTGGTGTCGCGCATTTATTCTTCGTCAAGTTTCAGCCGCTAATACTACCACAGAGGATATTAGGAATACTGGAAGTAGCGATAGCGACTTCAATCTCCCTTCGGACGCACGGAAATCCCTCTCATCTATCCTCATCGTCCACCCAATCGCCGCTTTCCTAACACTGATATGTCTTTGCCTTGCTGCAGCGGCCCACTTTCACGCACCATCGCATTCACCGCGCTACCTCCTCGCCCTGTTGATTCTACTCCTCCCGACCCTGCTTGTGTCTCTTCTAGCTTTCCTAGTTGACATACTGCTGTTCGTGCCTCACCTATCATGGGGTGGCTGGATTGTGCTCGCTGCAACCATTATCCTGGTTACATGCGGAGTAGTCACTTGCGCGATGCGCCGAACCTTGGTCAGCCGTAAGGCTCGAAAGCGGCGCATCGCCGAAAACGCGGAAATGAGTGGGGATAATTACTACAACCGTCAAAATGTGGCAGCTGCGGCTTTCAATGAGCCCAAACCGATCGCACCTGAGGCCAAGGAAACATTCGTCGCCGCATCTCAAAGCTCCGAATCTGCGCCCACATTCGCTACCTTCCGCACCACTACCCGGGAAAGCGACGATGACCGTACACCTTTGAATAATCTTCCGAATCATAACCAGAGTGACCCTGCAGTACAGGACAACGCGTATTCATCACGAATTCCAGGAGACCCGGTACCGTATAACGCTCCGCGAGACGAATATGGAAACCCTCTGCCGCCAGTTCCATACAATGCTGGGTCTAGAATGCGCACTCCTGGACCTCCGGACTCTAGAATGCGCGATCAGAATCCAGACTCACGAAGAGGGCCCCTTCCTCCAGGAGGCGCTCCTCGCGGCCGTGGCGGGTATCCGCCTCGTGGTGGGTATCCGCCTCGTGGTGGGTATGGTCGCGGTAGTCCATATGGCGGCGCTCCTTACGGGCCCAATCCCCGTGGACCTCCGCCTGGCCGGAATGGCTCAATGCGCGGAGGGCCTCCTGGCACTATGGCACGTGGAGGATACCGGCCATCACCAGCGATGGCTGGATATGGCCCCGCATCACGGCCAATGGTCGAAGAGGATTACGGCTATCGCGGAACTGCCCCTAGACAACTGTCTCCTGGTCCAATAGGAATGGCCGTGTCCGCAGAACCAGGTCCAGTCGGTCAAGCAATTGAGATGATGCCGCAACAGCGCCATGAGTCGGAGCTGCAGGACACCATTCCCGAACCCCGTGCGCCGCATGAAAGGTTTCATGAGCCTGTAAGCCCGTCAAGTCTTTACAGCCGATCACCGTAAGAACCACATCCAAACCGTGATGTGCAGCTGCTAATCATATCTCAGGTCATACTTACCTCCCCGTGCAAATTGGGGACAGCAAACATACCAATCCAGCGAACCAAACTTACCCTATCAGCCCAAACAGCAGAGTCAACCGCGTCACGTTCGTTCTCACTCGGGTGGTTTGTATTACGAGGATGAGGATCCTGTGTATACAAGTCGGAACGAGTCGGCAGCTGGTAACCCTCGGGTGCCATCGGCCTTGACACCAGGGAATTCTGGTGAGCAAAAACTGAAGGAAAATGAGGTGGAACGTCCGAGCTCACCTGCTGCTAGCGAAGTAAGCCATTTCACATCCATCTCCGAGCGGCCAATTAATCCAAATTGGCGTCCGCCACCTATGCCGGCACAAGCTGTTCAGCAGAGGCGCGACGTCCTGCTCGAGAACAACCCCGACTTTGATCTCCGAGCTGGCTTGGGACGAGGCGGGCGCATGCCACCACTCTCGAATCAAAATGTTACGAGATACCCAATTCCTTAAAGATACATTACTCTTTGCAATGAGGTGTTGGCGTTTTGGTGTTGCCCAGTGATGACAGTTTGTCATCCGCATCTCATTCCCGATGTCTTGTGTTCTTGCATACCCCATCTCATTCAACCTTTTGTCCTTGATGTGGAGTACGATCCTGCATGATGCTACTATACCGAGCATCACTTTCGTTTTCTGGCGAACTGTACAGAACCGAGGAGAAGCTAGTACATAAGTAGATAGCAATATAGCTAATCTAATTCAGCCTTTCCGAATCAAAGCCACGGTCTCGCAACTCACAATCGCAAGCTAAAACACTTCCTAAAGCCCTTAAGAGGAAAAGCTCCTAATACTACGAGCGAGTTGAAAGCGTGCCCACAAATAAAACCACCGAACTATACTCATCTCTGCTTCATAAGTCATAAACAACCCAAGGTATATAACGATGATCCCAGAAACCATGCAAGAACAATTATACGACAATCCATGTACGCCCGAAGCCCACTCTTGAAACCAACATAATGTCAAAGAGCTAGGCGAGAATTTCCAGACTCCCCAGCTAAAACATCTTGAGTCTTGTCGGAAGGAAATTTTGTGAATCGTCTTCCTGTTGACTAAATGACTGTGGGAACGCCGCAATCGCAGCGACAATCGCGATGGCAATGAAGATTAGGGAAATGAGCGACCAGAGCAATCCCCAGCAGCGGGAGGAACCGCCGTATCGTTGCGCAAAGACACTTGCGTCGGAGGAGTTGACTTTCCGAAGGATGAGGTCGTCGCACTGTGTAGTATCAGTATTGCCGGTGCGATCGCGATCAATAGAGGGAGACTTACGATATCCCAAACGCTATACAGCGCCGACATGACCCCAATGAATAGCTGCAACACTAATTAGCTACCGCCCTTCTTCCACAGTATCCAGCAGTAGTACGGAAGAGGAATACTAACAACAACCCACCGCAACGCCTGCCCGTGCGCAATGAACCAACAGGCAACCAACAAGCCCACCGCGAGCAAAACCGTAACGATCGTCAACCAATCCCTGCGCGCCCACCACAGTGTCAACAGGAAGCAAATTCCCAAGACAATGCTGGCGACCTTGCTCGCGATGATGTTGAACCCGGCGAAGATGAGCAGCGCCCCGATGATCGAGGACCCTAGGTACCCTGCCGGGAGGGTAATTGCGCTGATCCCGCCCTGCATGTGCGTTACGCCGCCCTCGTGCGGGTCCAGAGAGATGGATTTCACGCGACCGCCTGTGCAGCAGGCTGTGATCGCGTGGCCGAATTCGTGGAAGGCGATTACAAGCATCTTTTTGGGGTTCGCTGTTAGTTAACGATTGGTACTGTCGAAGGCGGGAAGAGGCTTACCTTGAAAGGCCACAGGGAGTATCGGACATAAGGGAGATTCCAGAGGAGCGCGATTACCACGACGTAGGCGGCCATTACGCCGAGTGTGACTGCTTGTGTATGGTTGACGGTGAGATCGCGCTTGTAGAGATGCGGCGACTGCGCGCCCTCGACTGCGCGTTCGCTCAGAAACTCATAGTAAGGAGCCATGATGCTGATTCTGTGCTATCTCACTTTTCCGCCCTTGAGAATTGTGTCGATGAGGATATTTAAAGACATTTGGAGAAGCCTCGTGGATTCTTTGCCGATACATTGGCGCCTAGTCTACGCGTTCGGTGTAGATGCTTTACCTAAACTGGCTAGTGTGTGGCTGGTCACTCCTGTTATTTTTGGGCTGTGGCTGGGGCGGTGTCCTCATCTGGTCCAATCACGACGGTGACGCTGGGGATCAATCTCTGCAAGGCTGAGGCTCGTCTTCACCTAATTCATGACAAGGTTGATGTCAACCTTTACTTGTACTGGCATTCTGTCTTTTCCTGAAAAACTCAGACAGCATGCGCGGGCCCTCGCCGTTTTTCTCAAATGACCCTTCAAACGCCGGAATACCAGCTGCGATGCCTTCGTCCAAGCCAAGCTGTTCCCACTGTCGGATGAGCTTCTTCTGCCGACGAACGGCCTGCGGTCCACTTCTATCAAGCAGTCGAACCCACTCTTCCAACGCGTGGTCCAGACGGTCCGGCTCGACCACCTTTTCGACAAGACCCCACTGCAGAGCTTCGACGGCGGATATATTGTCCCCAAGCAAAAGAAGACGACGCGTCCGTCCCCACCCGATCAGGCCCGGTAGTAGGGCTGCTTCAACGACACTAGGTATACCAACATTGACCTGTGACCAGAAATCACATCACCTTAGTGTACACTGCTGGAATGATCACAAGTACACGTACCTCGGGCATCCCAAAAATCGCATTCTGGCTAGCGACTCGAAAATCACAACTCGCTGCAATCTCGAGGCCAGCTCCGAGTGCGTACCCATTGATGCGCCCGATCACAGGTACCGGGCAATCCCGAATGCTTTTACAGGCCTTGTGCACTTTTGTAATGAAATCACGAGCAGCCACCGGGGATTTCAACGCTGCCATTTCACTAATGTCGGCCCCGCCGATAAAGGACTTGTCACCATCACCGGTCAAGATAACGGCGAGGAGCCCCGCGTGCTCCTCTGAGATATTGTTCATCTTTTTGGTCAAAAGCGCGAGCAAATGCGAGTTGACGCAGTTGAGCTTGGAGGGCCGGGAGACCGTGACCGTCGCAATGGCGCCCTTTCCGCTCGCTTGGCGGATGACTGTGAGGATATTGGCGGCGGCCATTTTACCTTGGATGACCTAGTACCTATTCAAAGCCGTAACAGTGAATTAGATGTTTAAACAAGGTGTCAGTAGGGGACAAGATCTTCTTGGTTCTCACTGTTACTCTGATATAGCTCCCGTCTCGAATACATTACCCCGCTTAGTTCTCCTCAACCGAGGTGAGAACATTGGAGTTTCCCGATATCCGCCTGCTCATCCAGGCTCCCTGTGCTGTTGCTCTGGTATACGCGCCACACGCCGCAAGCCTCCGGCTGTCCACCTAAGATTTTATCCTGGTGTCAACAAGGAGTATACAAAATCAGTGGTCAACGGTGATGGGCGAACAAAGCCACAGTCATTGACTCAGCCCCTTCATTGTCATTTAGGGCTTTGTGGGATAACTGCTGCCTAGTAGCTTCCAGGGACTGGGGTCGGGGCGGATACGTTTCCGATATCTTCAATAGGCTCCTCCAAAGTCCGGAGTACATCTCCGATCCCTTCCCGCTCAGACGAGCTGGTCGGGTGTCGTCCGACGGTCCGACCAAGTAAAAATGTCTTTTGCTTCATTGGGATAAAGAAACTCTTGGCTCGGAAGTCCTCCGCCCCACGGATACAGGGTGTGGAGGCTGGACATGATCAGCTGGGACAAAGGGTTGCACGAGTACGACTCTTCTTCTTGCGGAGAAAGATCTCCGTCCAAGAGATGAAGGTATCCCGAGATATATTCTTTGATCTGAAACGCCATCCTCCTTGGGGACCTTTGATGGCTTCGAAGCCCCGCCACACTACGTGTCACGGGGAACATGAGTGCTGGGGTGGTGAATGTTGGAGCAGGTAGGTAGTATAGTTGTAAACATGCTAGCATCATTGGCTGGGAGGGACACCCACCCCTCGGATTGTCGTCAACAATTACTCCGCATATTACGTCAATTTCTTATTCTTATCAGCATGACAAGCAACGCTGGGGATAGTGAACAAAAACGCCACCCCGCGCCATTATGGATCTGAATAGGCCCCGGGCCCGCCCGCCCCGCTGCCGAGCGTGGGTGGTTTCAAGAGTGGACAACCCTCAAAAGGGAGAATGCGTTGCCTCTCAAAGATAAGCCAGTGGTGATGATGCACTGACGCGAAACAGCAAGGCATGTCTTCAGTAGACCTTCGTGGAGCAGGATAGACTCAGGGAACAAAACTCTGTCCGGAATCGGGAAGATTCGGTAAGATGGGATGAGATGGCGGCCAGAACGCACCAACAAGCATGCAAAGAACGAAGGTGCCTTTGAAAGGGTGCTGAGTCCGCTGGATATATTCGAGGATCGGCACAACCGTCGACCTGAATCCAACCCAAGGAGGGACGCAAGAAGCTCGCCAAGCTCACACTCGCCCAATAGTGGATTTAGATGTTCAAAGGATGAGGACTGCATTGCAAGTGACTTCAGCGTACCTGGCTTAAACATTTTGCCGTTGTCCGGAATCTAATGACAGTGTCAGACATGCGGCGCCGGTGGCTCTAGCCAGTCCAGGCCCTTGTATGTGACAGTCAGCATAGAACGTGATATCTCCGGTATGCGCATGTTCTACAAGTGATACTGTCTTGGCGCGATATGAGACGCTCGTTGCGAGCCAAAGCCTCCCTTGGCGGCGAAATGTTGTCGCCCGACGCGAATCGCACGAAATCCTCGTCATAATGTGTTCAACCTGCCCCTCCGCGCTAGTCCTGAGGCCCTCGGGGTTTCGGCAGCTGTGTTAGTCGATCACATCGATAGATAACGGCATGAAAGAGCGAAGTACCGATTGCCAAACAGTCCGCTCTCCGACCCCTGAATCCCGCCTCGCTGGAATTTGTACTCGGCGTTGCAACTGGATCGTCTCGTTTGCTCCCAAGAGATTGCCAAGTGGTATCAACTTCGTACCCGACAAGCACAGTTCAGCTCGTCAGCGCCAGATCCAGGCGCAGGTGCGGTTGACCAACTGAATGGGGCACATGGTAATTGAGGCTGTGTCTGACGATGGCGGTTGGCGAGACGGACAAGACCCGGGCTAGGGAACCACGGGCACGGAAGTATAGATCTATCGGCCAGCCAAGCACTCGGGAGGCCACTCGTCTTGGCTCGCAAGTGGACGGCTTAAATTGAAGTTCACGCTGGTCAAGCGACTAGTGGATGCGCCAGTCCTTGGATCCTTTAGAGATGGCGATCCTCTTGGCAGCCATAACACAGGAGGCCAGAAGGGGCGGTGCAGGAATATTTTCTTTCACAAAAAAAAAAATAGGAGGCCTGGGGGGAAAAAAAACAACAAAGCAGAGAAAGTGATGGTCGACGTTGGAATAGATTTGTGCAGGTGATAAGGAAAGGAGGTGTGGACTGGTCTGTGTCATTGTTTCACCAGGGCGCCTCTGCGTAACCTTCGCCCATCCTGTCGGCCTCTCTCCTTCCTTTCCATCAGACTCTGCTCGCTCTCGCTGCTCAGCTCCTCGGGGCTTCTCACGACCCCGGATTCCATACTTTGGCTTCAACGGACTCTTCCGTCGGCTATCTTGCACTCTGAGATCTCGTCATCCTCGCCAAGAGCTCCACCGTCATGATACAGCTTCGCCGTCCTGCTCCTGCAGAACGAAGCTGCCTGCAACGGGTCTACCAACTTTGGACCTCTCTATCTTGGCGGTCTCCACCGATCGACCGTAAGATAGCGAGTACAGTAATTTGCACAGCGAATGACTATTTGGTTTGTTCTATCAGCATTGGGCGCGGACTTTACCTTCAGCGGTCTTCATAACTCCATGAACGGAAATTGGGCCTGGTCGTAACGCCTCCAAGGAATGCGCCAAGGTTGATGCCAAGTAATCTTCTTGAGATACGGGATTCGAGACACGCCCAGAGAGTCGGGGAGCCTCGAAAGGGGTCAACCGAGTGACGGACAAGGTTGTCCAACAGTTTGTCACCACACAGCCAGCTGCGTGCATGCATGGACATGCGATCTCGACTCACAAGGCCGCTTTGAAACGCAGCGGTGTAACTTAGAGCACGCGGGTTTGAACGGATTGTACGGGTATGTCCGGTTATACTCCGGATACCTGACAGATCGGCGAGGACACGCCTGGTTTTATGATCTGAAATCAGAGTTGGGCTGACGACTTTAGGGATCTATTCTTGGCATCGTCGCTATTGACTCCCATGCCGAACCCCAGGCAGATCGGGACCCATATGGAGGGGTTGATTGTCCTCGCCTCAGCCAGATGGGGACAGGATGGCCATATATTGAGTGCCACCTGCGCCCAGCAATCCAGAATCACTTCAGAATCTGTCATACTTCTCAAATCAGGCTGCTTAGATCTACCAGCTTCTGGGGTTCTTACCTAATAGAGATCTTATCTATACCCTATTCATCAGTCTTAGAGTTCATTGCCGGAGACAACCACTCTGCTTCCTTCTCCTTTTGTCATCAATATCATGCAGCACCCTCCGAGGTCCTCGACGGAGATTGAGACCATTCCAGCAGCGCCTGGCTCAAACAGCAATCGCCTCACATACTGGGATACAGCTACAGGGCCTCAGGGGCCCCAGTATGAGCCCAAGGACCCTGCTGGGCTGTGGTCCGTAGGTGGCAGTACCACTGTCTCTCTCGCCGGCGGCCCAACCCTCTCGGACGACGAGCCGGTAACATGGCAATCAAGCTTCCTCAGACACATGACATGCAGCCTGGACCCTCAATACACCGATATATTCCTCGTCATGTGCGGATTTGTAAGTGGCCTTGTCGACGGATTGTCTTTCAATGCATGGGGAAGTTTCTCTAGTATGCAAACAGGTAAGCCAGTCCCCCGTAGTCAGTACCGTCTACTACGTTGCGCGATCTAACATGATTCTAGGGAACACGGTCTTCATAGCACTAGGCGCATCTGGACAACCTGCCTACCCTGCCTACCTCTGGGCCAAATCCCTGATCGCCCTCACTGTCTTCGTCGTCGGAAATGTTATATTCATCCGAGTTGGCCGAGCCCTCGGTGCACGGCGTCGCTCGACCTTGATACTGTCTTTCGGAGTTCAGACTGCTTGCATTCTTGCTGCAGCCCTCTTAGTCCAATTGGGGGTTGTTGATCCCAGGCCAGAAGACCCCCGCGCACCCATTGAGTGGATGCAAGTTCTCCCGATTTCTCTGTTGGCCTTTCAGGCTGCAGGGCAGATCGTTGCATCTCGGGTTCTAGAATATGATGAGCTTCCAACAGTCGTGCTCACTACGCTTCTTTGTGATCTGCTCGTTGATCCGAACTTGGGGGCTGCAATCAAGGCGAATCCCAAGCGTAACCGCCGACTCGGGGGATTCCTTGCGCTTTTCCTAGGAGCCATGACCGCGGGTGGACTCTCAAAGGTCACAGAAATGGCCGCCAGTCTTTGGTTCGCCATGGGTATCAAACTTGTTATAACTGTCAGTTGGTTTGTCTGGAAGGGAGAGCGCAGCAGGAAAGTAGAGGGGATCGGGTCTGTGTGATGTTGTTTTTCGGTTCTTATTGTTACGATTCACTTTACTGCACATGTTTTACTTTTTGCGCCTTTTTTCTTCTTCACGTTTTCCATATCTTCGGGCTTCAGGGCTCTAGGTACTCCCGAGCGGGTGCCTTGTTTATGACTGTATGACCAATTAATAGAGTATACCACGTCGCATTATCGAACTCGCACTTGAAAAGCCGATAATTGTCCACTTGCCAATTCGTCGTATCCCAGTCTGAGAGCCCTAAGTGTGTATCGGCACCGTACTAGTTTTAGCTCTTGGATACGAGCAGTCCTTCTAGTAGAGAATATTGAAGCGTGCCCTAACTCACCACCGACAAGACACCGATTCTGTATGCTCGGAAATCTCACGTTGCCGCCCACAAATCCTGATGCATGTTTTTCAAGTCCGAGTTCTACCGGGCTGCCTTATCGGACCCAGCCAGCCTTCCAGTCACCAGTGGTCAAGGCTAATATCTCACGTCACTCGATAGATGAGGCCGCCTGCTGCGCAGCCCTCACCAATTTCACCATCGCACAGCCGGCCTCCTTTTTTCTTTTTCTCTCTCGTCATCGTTCTGCTCTTTTATTTCCTTATTGATCCTTCCGTGAGACTGCGACGCTTGTTGCCAATAAGCACACATTGCTTTCTATGATTTGCGATCCGGCCACGACGCGCGTTTCCTGCAGTGTTACGATTACGCCTGGATGGATGTTCCCCCTACTATGAGTCCAGCGCGTGCTCATTTGTAGTAGTAGTATACAGTACGGATATCTTTCCCGCCGACGAGCTGTGTGCCTGATCAGCTTCGGCGCTGGGGCTATAGGCGTAATCCGTGGGCGCCTTTCGACATACTCCGGAGTGGTCAGGCGTGCATATTCAGTTGCAGGCTCAACGAATATTCAGGACCAATTTGTGTCCACGTTCTCAGGCTATACGGTGCTCGGAAAGAACGGGTACCGAGTACCGATGTCAGGGGTATGAGAGAAGGAAATAAATACATTTGTTAGAGAAAGTAAATCCGCATGGAGATCTAGCTGCGCCAATTACAAGTGAAAAAAAAAAGAAAAAAAGAAAAAAAAATCTCGGTGTAAGCGTCATGTGCGTTCGTCATAAACAACGCGCTGTCCGATATTAATACATTAGTAAACAGGAGGTGTGTCTATCCTGATATCAACACCCAGAGAAGGAAGAAAATCTAGATATGGTCAGCCGGGAAAAGAAAAGTTAATAGCTGCAAAGGGACACGAACCATTAATACTCCAAACATCTTAGCAATCAACCATCGATTTCCTGATACCCGTGTCCAGTACTTCATTAATTCACGTTGCGCTCCTTGGACATTATCCACGACGTCTTCCGTATTGGCATCTATCCGCTGGATCATCTCCGACTGCTCGCTAACCATCTGCGCCAGCTGGCCGAAAATGCCTCCCAGCTCATTGATCGTCCTCTCGATCGCATCAATCGCCTCCCCACGCGCCTGTATATACGAGTTACTCGAATCGGCCTCTTCCATTAGCAATAATTGCTGATCCGAGTGAACCGCAGGGCGTCCCAGAGGAGACGGATTCGAGGGCTCCAAAGTCAACAGGTCTGCTGAGCCCCCAGGCTGTGGGGTTCTTCGCCCCGATGGATACAATGGTGAGTCGGAACGCTGAGGGTCGAGAGCAGCTTGTGATTTTGAGGAGACAGAAGACACAAAGTTCTCTGTCCGTGAGCGCGAAGCCTGGATGTTTTTTGTGCGCACTTCGAGAACCTCCTTGAAATTGGCACCGACGTCCGCCAGCTTCCCTTGTAACAAGACGACAACCTAACAACCGTTAGCCCTAAGCCGCTCTAACTTGACTCCATTTCACGTACATTATCATTATGTTCGCCCTCCTGATCAGCCTTTGTCCGGTTGGACTTTGGATGTTGTGAAAGCGTGAGCGCTTGTAGCGACGCGATTTGCTGGTTTAGTGATGCAAGATCTTGCTTGATAACGTATGTCAATTCGGAAATCTCGACTGGCCGGTCATCGAACAGGGTCTTCCGTTTAGCCACTAGCAATGTCAGTGTCATTCCCATGACGGTTTCGTGTCCACCTCAGACTTACGTTCTGCTAGTCTCCGAAGCTTCGCTGTTGTCGCAGTAATCCCTCGCCCAATCTCTGCCGCGCGTCGAGCAAACTCCGACCTTCTCTTGCCACCATCCGTATTCCCATCCGCGGAACCATTGGCCTGTCGCCTCTGCGAGTCCGATAGTAGTGCCTGCCGCTGAGTTCCAACTTTCGAAGATGCTACACGTTTCTGGGCTTGACCAAGAATAGCGTGGAACTCGCCGGTGCGATCCTGGATCGAAGGCCCGGCCATCTCGCAGATCGTAAGAGCACTGAGTAGGAGGAGGATGTTCAGAAATTCAAGAAGACGGTATGCAATCGGCAACGTAGGCGAGATGCGATGGAAGGATCGGGGGAAAAAGGCGACCTAATCGATAAGGAGAAGAAGACGTGTCTTGGTCGGGGTATCGGCAACTTGAGAGTTACAATAACGAGAGAAAAAGGATGTATACTCCGTAGGCGAGCGGACCTTACAAAGCAAACATTAGACCCATCGCAAAGCTCTGTATGAGGCTACGGACATTGGCGATGAGACGGCCTCGCTGTCCCCAACCCATTCGCCGTGGGCGTCCTTTCCGATCGGAGGGCCGCGGTCACGGGACTTCTCCATGTGAAGCACAGCCACAGGCACAGCCATGGTGCAATAGCTGCCCCAGGCGTTCAGGCAGGAGTAGTAGTAGGAATCATCGCCTTACGCCTCGGCGGTCTCAGGGGAATCCGAATACTTAGCGCTTTACGACTACGTCAACAGGATCTCAGGTCACCGACTGATCTAATTTTTCTGCTCGCCAATTTTTACCGTGTCGGGATCACATTCGCAGTCCATCACTGTCCCATCGGTCCTTCAGGTGCATCCTGATTTCTCTGTCGGATCGGCCCTCATTCCTTATTCCGCACGTCATCGCAGCCGAAAACTGCTGCCTTCTCAATCTCCGTTCTCCCGCTTGTGGAACACCGGACAATCTACAAGACGCTGGACTCGTCGTTGGGCCCGGTCGCAAGTCTACACCGACTTGCTTGCAAATATTGATGTGCTGTTAAAGACAGCACCCAGCCATAGCCATGCCTGGTCCATTTCAGCATCCGTGAGTCGCAGCGCCCAGCCCATGCTGCATACCCCTAACTATTCTATTCTATCTCTAGTACATCCGACCCCAACAGCCCACTGTCACCTAATGCGGGAGGAAACACTCCTGTATCCTTTCGAACGAATGTGAACCGAGCAAAGACGCGGCGATGGGTCGAGGCGAAGAAGTACACATATGACGGCGACGATTGGGGCGAAGATGAGTACGGAGAGTATGAATACGACGACGAGCCTTCTTCTTCGCAGGAAAAGTCAACCGGTGCGAACCAAAGCACTCCAGATCTCTCAGGCACATTATCGAAAGGCACTTCACATCCTCCTCTGCCCAGCCAGGATCGCTCGCGCTCAATGGAGCGAGTCCAGACAATGCCGACAGAAAGCCATACTGCTTCTAACGACCCCTCAACCCCGATCGTTCGTCCAGCCGACATATATAGACGGATGCGAGAGGAACAAAAGGCTCAACAGGCTGGCCCAGCTCAATCGTCTTCGGGGGAGCGCACATTAGGTTCGCCGCCTACCAGTAATGCACCGACTGAGGTGTCGGGAAGTGCAATTGCCCCCGTGAGCCTTGCTTCTGAGGAGCAAGCCAAATATCCCAGTGAAACAATCGCCGCTTCCGCAATTACAAATGAGCCTCCGACTATCTCATTGCCTGATGTAAAGCGCTTTTCCGCATTCAGTCCCGACTTCTTTACTGCGTCCGAGTCACATCCGCAGAGCCCAGCAACGGAAATGCCGCAACTTCAACATGCCCCATCCCTCGGCTTCAGATCGGCGGTCAATCAGGCCTTTGATGTCCCAGAGACGCCTAGTACCATTGCCGACAGCGTAGCTCGCTCAAACAGTGATAGCACGACTGCAATCAGCCCCATTATCAACCGCCGTGGAACTGTGGATGATAAGACACCAACGATTGAAGAAGAACCCAATGAGAGTATCAATCAGCACTCAGACGTACCCACCGATGGTAACGGTGTCTTTAAACCTGGACACCGTCGCGACCTGAGTCTTCCCAGTCCTGGTAATAGTCCTTCTCGGAGGCCTATAATTACGGAGCCAAATCCTACTGCGTCATCAGAATTAGCCCAGATATCTGCCGGGACACCTTCAGAATCTCCTCGGGATGCTCCGTCGCAGCATCTCGTCCCTGCTTCTATAACACCGTCGCAAGAATCGTCTGGTCAAGATCTGCCAGCTCCTCTCAATGTCCAGACAAACGTTGCACCTGGTCCAACCGTAACAACTGACAATGTTCCCGTAATCATCCCGTCAATGAGCTCTGAGAACTCCCCGGAAGATACGGAGAATGACCGGTTGAGAAAGGAGATTATCCGTTCTTTGAGCCGCGAAAACACCCCTTCTGACCAGCTAGACCATACCCCTCCGCAGACCAGGCAGGACAACCTTGTTCCTAATGAAGGCTATTGGAATGAGCCACAGACTTCTGGTCCTTCTATCTCAGACGTTTCTACTTTGAGACTCAATCTCTCTCAGCAACCACTAGAGCCTACCTTCGCCGAGCCTCTCGCTCCGGTTCCTTCACAGAAAGAAAAGAAGCCTAAACTTCAAAGGCGCTTTTCCTGGGAAGAGTCTTCGGAAGACGAAGATCCTACGCCTATTCCACAAGAGCCGCCTGCTCGGCCGCCACCGATTCCTGGACAGTACCCTTTGTCTGAAGAGAGTATCCATCCAGATCCAGTTTTAGCACCCGCTCCCCAGCCGCCAGAGCAGCCGCCACAGCCAGTGGAGCATGTAGGAGGCAGAGATGAATCGGTGCCTGAGAAGCCCAAGCTTACTGTCGTACCACCCTGGGTGGCAGACAGTGTTAGCATTCCTTCGAACAGCTATGTCCACGAGCCTGCTCAACCCCAACCCACTGAAACGTTCGCCCGCGCCGAGGAAGGGCAGTCATATAGCCCTGATCAGCATTCACTTGAGCCACCAACACAAATACCCTCCGCGGCCGCGTCTATCGAATCAGGCTTGCTCGGGTTCAAGGACATCCTCGGTTTCCAATCACCAGAAGAGCGTGTGAAAGCTTTCGACCGGACTCGAGACCAGTTCGCAGTTATCGATACCGGCTTAAGCAATTGGCTACAGGTCACACTCCATGCTCATCCCGAGCATTCCGATGTCGTTGATCGCAACTCCAAACCGCTATCTGAAGAATTCAAGAACAGTGTGCCGCGCACAAAGTTCCCTAAATTATCGTCGTTGGGAAATCTTGCGTCGTCACTTCAAGATGGTTCGCACTCCTCGTCAGGTCATATCAGGCGGCCCTCGGCGCCTCTCGGCTCCATAAAGCAACACCAGGTAGGGAAAGATTTTCTGCACACTGCTGGAGTTTTGGGTGGCCAAGCCGGCAAGGCTGCCAAAGGTCTATTCTCCAAGGGCCGAAGTAAATTGAAGGGCAGCGGGGGGACCGAAAAGGTAGAGCCTTGATTTCGTTCTTGTTATCGTCCATAGGGTGTTGCATCCTCTTCTTTTCTTTTCTTTTTTTTCCCTCCCGTCCTCTTGCTTTTATTTGCGCTCTCGCACGCATTCTTTTCTCAAATTATCCTGTCGATTAATATGGAAGCCCTGGTTGTACATGTTTATCTTCTGCCTGTCGCCACCCTCTCATTCTGCTTCATGTTCATTTAATTGATACCAGGGTATGTAATTGAGGATATCTCGAGCTGCCTCTCAGAATGTGACACGATTTGATGTTTGCGAATGCTGTGTATCCGATCATTCCGTTTTCGCCAGCCTCTTCTGCCGCGTTCCTGCCATTTCTTCTCTTCGTTCTTTTGGGTCCTGTCGCCTCTAATATGCTGGTGATGATGATGTAGGGGTTCCAATCGAGTCCTGGGTATCACAGGCCTGTACGGCTATCAGACCTTCAGCCAGACGCTGAATCCAGTCTAGATATAGAAACCTCACAGGATCTTCTGCATGATTCCCTCTTGAGTAGACCATGGGCGACAAATCAAGAGGGCAAGTCTTTGACAACAAGGGGTGGGGACGAGTTCTTTGTTCGACCTTGTACGCATCCGACAAGTGGGCAATTTGTGAGACAAAGCGCTGGTCAGCAGCGCGCAGTCGGCGCCAGCAATCCCTGTCCTGTTGAGGGACAAGGGGAGCCGCATCAGGACTATTATTCTCGTTCATCCAGTCAGATTGAAGAGGCTGGCAGCCAGAATGTGGAGTATTTCAGTGCTCAGCCACGCGATGCCCGTCCTCGAGAGGGTGCACAAAGCAATGAGACAGACAGCAACAAGAATGCGGTTTCATTCAGTGAAAAAGAGCCAAGCCCCCAGCTTCAGACTCCAACCCCTGACGACACTCTTGGCCAAGTTGCCCTTCATGTTCAGGGCCAGCAGCACCTTGTCCTGCGCCAGTTGCCGTCGGTTTCATCGCTGGGCGTGCAGGAAGCCGAACACCTTCTAGACCCGCCACCGCCCCTCGTTCAGAAGCTTGGTGAGTCGTTTTGCTGTGTGCGTCCAAGCCTCCGGCCGCTCCCTCAAGCCCTCTGACATTGTAGCCTATTTTGCCCTGGTGGCTAATCTCTTTCGTCAGCCCAGAATCATAGTTCCTCTCAGGTTTCACTCCCGTCCGACTTGGGCGACTCCCAGCCGCGTCACCTTGGCGGAAGAATTCGGCTTCGTGGGAGAAACCACTCTGAAAGCCCTTTGGCACTGCACGAGGCTATTCAAATCCAACCTCCTCCGGCCAGTCGCAACCCTCGTCCATCTTCCATTGCGACCCCAAAACTCCTGTCGCCTCTTTCTCCACAGCATGACTGGTCCCGCCGGCCAGAACAGATCTCCTCGTCGCGGGACCCCGCATCCCACAGAATCTCTTCCTCGCCCATGGAGAAGCTGAAGAACGTCGGTCGATTTCGCCGGATCTCGATGGGTTCCAATCAACGCGATTTTAAGGCTGGGCAGTCTCCAAAGAAGCCCTTCAGACTCACCGTAAGATTTTTTTGCTGTTTCGTTTTTGCACAATGAATTGAGTTCAGTTCTAACTGCGTTTCAGGGCCTTTTCAGCCGCACCCACAAGAAGTCTGGCCCACCGGAGCAAATTGAGCGCTCATCAGACAATAGGAGTTCAATACCACCCCTCGCACCGCTCTCTCCTCGGCCGGATTCCAGAATAGCAAGCTCTTCCATTTCGTCCTTTGACAATAACGAAAGACCCGTGTCTCTTCCAGACGGTCGTGACGCACTGAATAATAGCCGCCGCCCACCGCCAGAAGGATACTTTGCGCATGAGTCGCCGGAATCCTTCTCCGTCACTCAGCCCCATCATCAACACCTTCGTAGTGCAACAAGCTCAGACCGCATGAGGTTGAGTGACCCGTCACCTCTTGACCCCGGACGGCTTTCGCCTCATCATTCCCCACCATATCATTCACCTCAAACTCCACGACGCCAACAGCATGTTTCTTCCCCGCGGCTCAGTTCCTCCATCCCTTCGCCGGTTCCCCACACGCCACCATCTCGTGGCCGCTCAGAGGACCGCACTTATGCCCAAGACCTCCACCTCCGCTCCCGTAGTCCCAAGGCGTTCGCGCCACGACCCGAGGAACGGAATCTACCCAAGCACGATCCGACAGACCCGGCCTTTCGATTGGGTGCCTTCCGATCGTCGAACCCTCGCACAAGTCGCGTCGGCGACCAGGAATTGCCCTGGAAAATCACGATTCCGGGTGAGGACGAGGCCACGATAGACCCATCGGCTTCCTGGCGCCAGGAAACAGTTGGTGTCCTCAATGATACCCGATTACCTACCTACCAAGAAGACGTACAAGAGCACGGTCCTTCCCAACAACCGGAAGATGAGAAACGAGGACCGCCTCTTCCTGATCCACCCACCAATACAGTCAATGCGCCCCAATTGCAACTGCCAAACCATGCCTCTCCCGAACATCCACACCGGCCTCCGGCCCGCGCGATCAATTCCTTTGAGGCTGCGGTCGAACTCCCTGTGCGAGCGGACGACGACTCCAGCGAAGAAATTATGATGTCCAGCACCGCATATCCAGGGCAAGAATGGCGTCCTCTTGGATTTTCGGAATGGGAGCATCAATGAGCCCGGACTGGGTCAAAACTTGTTATATATGAAAGATTAATTGTGCTACTAGTATTCGTTTGATATGATACCCCTTCTCGAGTGTCTTTTGGGGTATATTTGTTCATAATTTTGGATATAGTCAGCAAGCGAGCGAATTCTCTTTTGTGTCATGTTTATCACTGCCTTGAGCGAGTATATTCCTGGAACCCGGTCATACAAGAACGAAGTATTGCTATATCACTGGGAGTGTCTCTTGTTTTGTATCTAAACAGTATTGTACATTTAGTCTATATTGCAGCGGTTCAAATAGATGCGATATCAACCCTCGAAAATACTATGGTTCAACTCTACTCCCATATCCTTGGCCACAGACTGCATCTGCGCCTCGAGATCGTCCTCCATTCCACCACCGAGGTGTAGGAACTGTCGCACTTTGGTGAAGTAGAAGAAGATATCACTCGAGATTAGAACAACACGGAAAAGCAAATGGCGACCATAGTTCCTAATTTTTTCAGCAAGAGGAAGGTCCGGAGACTCTGCAAGCGCACGCGACGCCCACAGTCCCGTAATCTTAACACGGTTGACAGGCGAGCCTAGGAACTGGTTGTTCCCCTGGACGATACGCAGGTTGCGGCCAATGAAGATGAGCTGGCGAGGCCACTTCGTTTCGTCGCCCAGGATTTCGCGGATTGCTTTGCGGCTGGCCTGCTGCATCTCGTAGTGGCGCTGGGCGCGCTCGGATTTGCTGAGTTTTTCGAGGTGCTGTTGAGTGGAGAGGTTTCCGCCCCGGTAGGGCTTCATGAGGGTTGCGGAGGCAAAAATGTCCGCGTTGTTGACTCCCCATTTGTGGACAATGTCGCTGATGGTGTCGTTGTCAAAGGTTAGGAGGGCTTTCCAGAAGCTTGCGTATTGGTGTCGGAATTCGGGCTCCATGTGGATGTAGAGACCGTGGTCAATGAGGACAAGCTCCGAGTGACCATTAGGCTTTCGACGGATGAATATATTACCTGGGTGCGGATCGCAGTGTACCAAGCCCCAGAGGAACATTTGCGCAGAGAATAAATCCACCATAGTTGTCATAACCTCCTTGAGTGATAGGCCTAGGCCACCACGACCGTTCCTGCCGCGCCAGTAGTCTCGCTCAGGCTTGATTTTGCTGTTTATCCCTCGCTGCGTCAGCGCTGCGGAAGAGTTCTTGCTCTGGAAGTTGTCCAGCGGGGTTCCACCGCAGCCAGGACTGCCTTGCCGCCAGCCTCCGCGCCACGGGCGAGTGATAGACTCCTTGTCCCAGAGTCGCACGCCCTCCACCCACTCAGCCGTCATGATGCGCTTGGAGCTAAGTTCTCGATAGACCTTGGGGATGTAAACGCGATCTCGGAGGCGGGGTTCTCCCGCGACGAATCTGGCCATATGTTCGGAATTGTCGGCTTCGTTCTCAAAGTCGGTCTCGAGGAAGAGGCGCTCGCTAACGTAGGGGACAAGACTGTAGAAGGGAATATCGAAAACACGACTGTAGATCCATGTCACGACCCTATGAGATGTTAGTATCATAATCTGAGTGATCCGAGAGACCTACTTAAATGCCCACAGATCCCACTTGATCTGTCGTGCAATCTCCCGTTTCTGGACCTTGATGGCCACCTCTCTCCCATCAGCCAAGCGAGCCCAATGCACCTGAGCTACACTAGCACTCGCTCGGGCTGTGCGCTCCATAACTCCTTTTGTCGGGTCACCGCTGAAAGAGACGCCGAAGACCTCCTCCGCAGACTTGCCGAAATCCTCTCGAATCACCTTCTCCACATCCTTCCAATCATTCTGAGGCGCATCGTCAAACATGCGAGCAAACATCTTTTGAAATTCTGGTGGAAGTATGGCCGACTGCATGGCAATCGCTTGGCCAATCTTCAAGTAGAGACCGCCATTGTGCCGTAAGAGATCTGACAGTCGCTCCGCATTTCGAGCATGGACATCTGCAATGGAGTCGGCGAGGGGAGGATTAGGACGGAAGTTGACTTTGTAGTCCAAAGCAACAAGTAGCCCAAGAGAAAATGTCCGAGCGGTTCTAGTCAAGGATGAAGCGTAGAATTGGTTGTCCAAAACGTATATGACGCCCGACGTCAAGGACAGATAGAAAAGCCGACGGAGCCATTTGCGGGTGCGAGTGTAGGTCTTCGCGGCCGTGGGCCTTCCTAAGGAACTCGGAGAAGGAGGGACAAATGGTTGAAATTCGCTAGCATGTACTAATCGACGATGCGACCGGACGTATGGTGGAGGAGATGAGCGGAGACGTGGGGAGAGGAAGCTCGTGAGGGATGACGAATTTGGGCGGAGCGCCCGAGAGAGCGTGGCAGAAGCCATCGAAGGAAATGATTAAGGTAGTCGCAAATGTTGTATCATGGCGCTGTCCCATAGGATGACCAACGAAAAGAAGAGAATTTCATGAAGACAAAAGATGACGACAAATATACGATATGCGAAGGGAAGATCGGGAAATTGCCGCCGAGCCCGATTCGGAGATGCGCCTTATGCCCATTGGCAGTCGGAGTTAAACAGGTCAGCCTAGATCTGCATTCTTGTGAATATATTTTGACTCTATATACATCGGGTTATTAGACACTCAAAAGGTGTAAATCTGTTCCATCACCGGCTCGTACGATAGTTGCTTGCACACCTTGGCGTAGTCTCTCATGTTGTTTGGGATGATTTCTTCCCAAAGCTCGTCTGACTTGAGGTATTCCAGCTGCTTGCGGCATACTGCTTCCGATGCCATAGGCAGAAGAACCGGAAGATTTGCCAGAGCGCCTTTGACAAAGTTCTTCTTGAAGCAGTTTCCAAAAGCAGCCAAGACCTCAGGATCGGCACAGATATTACGTCCCTGCAATTTCGGCCCGCAGCGTCGCTTGATTATGTCAGCTACCTCGTCGCCGAGTTTCAGCATCGCTTCCTCCTGCTTCGGGGCGTTGAGTTGCTGCATCACGCTGCGGACGGCGGGGACGAAGGTGTTATTGCGAGTCCAGAGGTCCCAGTGAGGCACTGTTGGTTGACATCCTCGATCGCAGATCTCGCGCTGGAACTTTTCGAAGAGATCGTTTGGTCGCGCGGCCAGTGACGTGACGACTTTGATGCAAAGAGGGCTAAACTTGGCTAATACGGGAGGGAGGGCGAACAACAGGAATGACAGTATAGCAATAAGTCGCATCTTCAATAAAGCAGACTATAGAGAGCCTCGGAAGAGGTACAGGCGAGATGTTGAGGTGAGAAAAAAAGAACCCGTGGACGAATCCGAATGAGGTTGACGATCTGCCTTGTGGAGGATCGACATTCGAGATCCCCCGCAGACTTGGACTCAATTTTGGTCCATGAAGGGAAGACGACGAGATTTGACTTGTAAGGAGCCTAACAGAGCCCAGATACAGGTGTTGTGCCTTTATTCACTTAGCTGTCCTTTTATCTATCTTCGCCATGTTTACCATTTTGTCGGATTGATAGTACCTTTTGACTACTACACTTAGTGGTTATATATATATATATCGACATTGCCATTCGAGCAATAACACAGGGCTATGGAAATGCAAAAGCAGCACAAAACCAACTGCTCCAATGTCGTGGGGGCGTTGTTTCCAGCGAGTATCCGCCAGTGTGGCTGATTGGATCTCATTACCTTATGATGCTTTGTACAGGGCGTATCCCGGTCGTCCCCACTGTATGTAATCGCTTGATCTTCCCCAGCTTCCCTCGGTCAATTGTTATTCTTCTCTCCATCCCTCACACAAACACACACGCGCGCCGAATAAACCCAGTCGATCCTCCATTCCAAGATGCCACGGCTAAATCTTGCCGAAGTCGACTCGCTAGAGGCACAAGTCATTATTGACAATGAGCTGGACCCCATGTCGACGATTGCTCCCGACACCGTCCAGGTCTCTGGGCTAATGGGCCACCTGGCTATGAATTCGCCTCATCATCTGGACAACCGAGGAGACGCGCACAGAGAGCTTCAGATGGAGGATATCTGCTGCTCAGCCCATGGCTTGTCAATACTGTTGGCACGCATGAACCATCCAATCCTCTGAAATTACCCCCGCTAATAATTGCAGACCGCTACCAAGGGTGACAAGAAACGCGCGATCCTTTTCGATGCTGGACCGGAAGAAGACGCGTGGGAGAGAAATGTTCGACGGATGCGACCGGACCTCTCTTCGGTGGAACTGATCCAACTATCCCACTGGCATCGCGATCACTCAGGTTGGTTTCATTTGCGTCAATATCAGCAGTCCACTAAAGAGCTATAGGCGGTCTTCTCCGGGCGGTTCGAATGATTAGCGAAGCCAGAAAAGCCGATGGTCTCTCTGAGGACGTGATTGCTGACGTGCATCCAAACCGCCCCGACTTTCGAGGGTTTGCAATTGGCGAGAACATCATCTCCTTTCAGGCTGATCCGTCATTCGAAGAACTCGAAGCAGCTGGTGCAGTAGTCCAAAAGCACGACAAGGCCCATACTGTCTTGGATGATTTCTTTCTTATATCCGGCGAGATTCCTCGGCGGACGCCTTATGAAACCGGATTGAAGCATGGGATGCGGTTTGACAAGAGCGACAGCGAATGGACTTCTGACGAGTCTATTATTGATGAACGGTTTATCATGTGCAATGTGAAAGGTGTGCTTGGCGTTTGTTGATACACATTCACATGCAATTTGCTAACTGTTGCAGACAAAGGAATCGTCATGTTGACTGGCTGCAGCCATGCAGGAGTCGTCAACTGTACGCAACATGCCCTCGAGCTTGCTGGCAGATCAGTCCCACTCCACGCGGTAATCGGAGGTTTTCATCTGGCCACTAGCGACACGGCTCAAATGGAAAGCAGTATCAAGGATCTCCTCAAACTGGACCCGGCTGTCCTACTCCCGGGACACTGCACTGGCTGGAGGGCGAAGTTTGCCATCGAAAAGCAGAGGCCTGGGATGCTTGTACCATGCTCTGTTGGCTACAACATTATCTTCTGATCGCCCATGAACGCAATAGATATGACCGCTTTGTGGGATCACAGGCGCCGTGTCAAAGTGCTTTTAGTGCAAGTTCTAGCCGAGGAGCCTGGATCAACCTACAGGGTTCTCCGCACAATCCTCGAGTTTGCCAGAACTGCTTAGCCAACCAACTAGACGCTGAAGAGTTTCCCATACACCTTGACTCAGACAAAGCGACTCCGTTTCGTTTCACCCGCTGCCACGCTAAATCACAAGACATATTAAACAACAAAAAGACCGGCTCGAAAAGAATCAACAAGCCACGCAAGCGATCGAAAACATGAACATTCAGTTCTGGTCCCTTGTTCTTCTGAGCCCGGTGCTCGTACCGGCTGGCCTCTTTCTTCTCCTAGTACTTGCCAGGCCAGTTCGGCTTTGGCTCTATAACCGTCGAGTATATCAGAAAGGCGGGGTCCACGCACCCTCGATCCCTACCGATATCATTACAGGTATCTGGACATGCTTGTTCTTGCAGGTACAGAGCTAAGGAATTGACTGAAAAGCCACCCACTTCTTCTTCTCCATCATCAAGGCGCAGAATGAGCACCGCCTTTACGAATTCTTCAACAAATGCTTCGAGTATGGCACTCCGGTATCTCCAAATTGCGTTGAGAGCAACCTCTTTGGCGGGTTTAGGGTCTTCCAGACTCGCGAGCCTGAGCACCTCAAGGCCGTCTTGACAGGAAAGTTTGCAGACTACGGCAAAGGCGAGCTATTTCACGACCTCTGGATTCCATTCCTGGGGGATAGCATCTTTACGACAGATGGCAAAGAGTGGCAAGGTAGCCGCAATTTGATCCGTCCCATGTTCATCAAGGATCGGATCAGTGACCTCGAGATATTTGAGCGCAAAGTTCAAATAATGCTGGGCTTGTACAGTCCCTCTGGTGAACCGACGAATGTCATGGATCTTTTCTATCGGATGACTCTTGACGCTATCACCGAGTTTCTTCTTGGAAAAGGCATCTGCAGCTTGGAGAACCCACAAGCAGACTTCGCAGTGGCCTTCTCGGATGTCCAGCGCATCCAGACAATGCTGACCATGATTGGGTAGGTCTAGCTGAAACAACTATGTACATGGAATTCACTGATGAGTACAGCCCTGCCCAGCGCTTTTATCCTCGCGGTGAGTACTACCGAGGCCTCAAGGTGATCAATGACTTTGTGTGGCCTTTTGTTCATGAGACCTTGAACCTATCGACGGATGACCTTGAGAAGCGCCCTGAGAAATCATTCACCTTCCTCCATGCTCTGGCCAACTACACTCGTGACCCAAAGACCATCCGTGACCAGGTCGTTTCAGTCCTTCTGGCAGGTCGGGACACCACCGCTGCGACGCTGTCTTGGGCCTTCTTCGAGCTTTCTCATTATCCCGAGATCTACGCACGTCTCAGGGCTGAGGTTATTGAAAAGGTCGGCTCAACGAGGGCGCCAACATACGAAGATTTGAAGAACATGCCCTACCTCCGCCATACCATAAACGAAACCCTCAGATTGTACCCGGCGGTTCCATATAACATTCGGTTCGCGCTTCGCGATACCACGCTACCTACTGGGGGCGGACCCAACGGTGACCTTCCCATTACAGTCCTCAAGGGAGATGGGGTCTCGTACTCGACATATGCCATGCAGCGCCGAGCAGATCTTTATCCTCCTGTCTCGGAGACATTTGCGGACCCCGGCATCTTCTCCCCAGAGCGCTGGGAGCATTGGTCTCCGCGGCCATGGCACTACATTCCGTTCAACGGGGGCCCGCGCATCTGCATCGGACAGAACTTTGCGCTTGCCGAGATGGGATACACGATTGTGCGGATTGTGCAGCGGTATGAGCGGATTGAGTATGTGGGTGATTGGGAGAAGCAGTATCATAAAGCTGAAATCGTCGGGACACCAGGGATGGGTGTGAATGTGCGAATGTATAAAGCGAAGTGATGCTCAGACGATGTATGACCTGAGGTATGTTGGGGCAACCATCTCGCCTTTCTGTATGTTCTGTGTCTACATATACATCCTTGCTACTTCGACGTCAAGCTCGAAGAGGGTCTATATAGTCTACATACTGCTATAGTTGCCGAGATTTATCTGTTTACTGCGAATCGCATCTTTACCTACAGCAACACCTTCGGAGCAGAGCACTTGGTCAGTCAGACCTCAGTCTCCCCAGATGCACTACGAAGCATTATAGGATATTATCATAGTATGGCTTGCTACCTAAGAGGTTTCAGTATCAAGGACCTCGCTCCAATTACTCGTAGATTGGCCCAATCCTCGCTCGAATCTCGTGCATTCCACCCCTGCTTCATCCACCCCTGACTGCATCTGCACCCCACTTTACCATCGCCGGTAGTCGCAGGAGCATCGCCTAACAATCGTGGGAAGAGCGCACAACACCCGTGAGACCCTATCACGGCACCGCGCATCCATTAGCACACACCGTTATGTAAATCCCAGCCGATATCAATGCCACCCTAAACGGTCACGGGCAAAAAATCAGATGCAGTTTGCTCATTTCCCTTTTCTGCACGCCAAGGCGATGATTTGGAAAAAAAGACTGTATGGAATGCTAAACCTGCACGGCTGCCACTAATGCCGTCGATCCCCCGGCCAAGTCACCCTCGGTATAGTTGACTCTGCCACGCCCACTCCTTCAGGGCGCTTCTATTTCCAGTGCTGTTTATGCTTCTGCCTCCTGGGGTTCTCCATAGATTCGTCATTTCAGGGTCTATCCATCTCTCTACTCCGGATTTCTCCACCATGGAGCCGATTGACGATGGTTGGCGAGGACTACGTATTGTGGCAGTGCTCGCTGCTTTTTTAGAAACATATAGGCACCAGGATACTCATTGCATGAGTAACTCCGTGCATTCTTCGTGCGCTGGGCCGTGCCAAGAGGAGGAGGATGAAGAGGATATCCCGGTTTACCTGGGAAATATGTGCAATTGCGAAACGAAAACAACAAATAACCTCATCCGCGAATACCGGGGCACCTGGGAGGAATGCATGGCAGGGGTTTCTTGGCGAGAACATCAGGTTGAAAGGGTGTCGGATGTTGCAATAATTGACTTTTGTGTGGGCAGAGCGCTGCGACTGTCGACTTCCACTCATTAAAGAGATACTCCGTGGGCGTGCTACCCATTGGATCGGACGGTAAACAGAGCAGGCTAGACCACGGGGATAGAGGCGCGTGAGGCGCCAAGAGGGAGTACACAATGTACAGCTACCTGCGAATACATGCATTAATGGCACTACTCCGTACTGTCCACGATGAATATTACTCCGTGTTATTTTCTTCTTTCCCTTCTTATCGTCAGCCCAAAATTCAAGACTGCGAAAGGGATGCCAAGACCCGCCTTGCTCGTCTCGCTCGTCCATCGCAATTGCTTGGCGGCCGGGTATTGGCCGGGTATTGACCTGGACTTGCGCCGGATCATTCTTGAGACTTGCTTCTTTTAGGAATATGCTTCTTGTCAGGCTGACTGTACGTCCATCCCCTTGGTGGTGCAGCATTGCCTCGCTCAGAGCAGTCCAAGACCCCTCCAAGAGTTGGTCGACCGTGATGCCTATCTAACCTACTTTAACTCCGGGGTTGGAGTTGCCCATCATCTGCCAGTGCCAGGAAAGATCCGGGACCTGAAGGGTCTGGGTTTGCTTGGCCTCACTTCCTGCCTTTGAGACTTGGATACAGGATCGACCGGGCCAAGTCCGAGTCGCAGAACACGGCACACCGGGGTGTATCAATGATGACTTTACAGTTTGGTCCATCGCCCATGGTTCACTTCTTGGGCGCCGGTAGGGTTGTTGATCACAATGCTGAGACATAGTTGTGTTGATCACGCTGCTGAGACATAGTTCAGTCTCAGCATTACTCATTTCCCGAGGACGACGGCGGGATGATGCAATTCGGCTGCATGGGCTATCTATGCATAGTTAGTGGTACTTCCAGGGTTTCTCCATCTCCAACCCACGAGCTGGTGAGGGATATCCTTTCGCGACCCTTGTAGATGTTCCGTTTCTAAGCCTCACGATATACGTCACGCCACCACTCTGCTCCAATGATCGGTAGATACCGTGACGCTTGGTTCTACGTAGGCAGCTGCAAAACTTAACTTAGTTCAGACCGACAAAACTTCAAGCTACGGGAGCAAGGTCACGGTAGATCTGCACAGCCAGGCGCCGTGCACGCCTCCCTTCCTCTTGGCGATGCGATGGAACGGGAACACTTCGGTCTTTTGCTTCGATTGCAAAATGTACCAGTGGTGATTGTGGAGGCTTGGCTGGTCCGTTGCCTGTTACACCCTGGCGTCCTTTTGTGTAGCACCAATTGGGTCTTGGACAGCGAGCAGAACAGTGCGAGACACGCAAGAGGTCCACTGTCTAAAAGGCAGATCTTTGCGATGCATGTACAATGTACACTTAGGCTGCCCCTGGTGATTCGCACCATAAGTGCTGCCTCGACTCTGGGTTCGGAGTTTTGCATAGGTAGATTCAGGGTGAAGATTGGGGTTGCGGGGACTGATTCCGATCCAGCCCAGCATCCATGTAGATGATCCCTTGGCACTGTTTGTCTGCGTAACGCTGGCCTCATGTCCAAGAGCGAGCGTGTGATGATTCAACCCTGAGTGCTGTGATGGCGTTGGGATTGAGGACCGGACGGGGTTACTGGGCGCTTTTTCCCAACAAGCGTAGACTACGACGTCACCAAGTCGAATATATATTTTCAACTTGGACTTTTGATGTGCATACTACGGTGTACGCTTCAGTATGTATGTACATTTCCGGTCAAATTAACTAGAGCGAACACAGTCTAGCGTACCAAAAGGACACTGCATAGCGATATCCGTACAATTCCGCATGCGCTCTCCAAGTTGTAGTTTGATAGCCTTTCGAATTCCAGAAAAAATCTGTCACCCAAAGATTGACCAAGTCTGGCTCGTCGAAAGTTCTTTTTGGCGAAGGAAAGGAAATTTCCCCCTTCAACCGTGGATACCCCCCGCCTCACGTTGCGACATCTCCGCCCTGGCAGGCTGGAACGGACAACGAATAATATGGGTCTCCCTCCGGCAGCGCAGAACCGTGCCGATTCCCGTGATCCCGTGCTGGCCGATGGACGGCGACGACGACTACGACTACGTACTGCAATTTGGGGGTTGACTGGAAACCCGAGCTTTATCTCTCCGACCGAGCCCACCACAGTGCTGCGATTGAGGGTTTTTTTTTGTGCTGCAAACCTGCAATCTAACTGAGAAGAAGAAGGAACTGAGAAGGAAGGCACGGCATTTTGACATTTGCTGCTCGCGACGATGAGCCGGACAGCGGAGTCTCCGGTTCGTCCGAGTCGGTCGGAGTTCGAGTCCCCTTTGGGGAGGAGGACAAGCACCTCAAGAAAGTGCCTCATAGAAGGTGTTAGTAGCCTTTGCCAAGGCGTATCAAATCAGCATGTTTAATCGCCTAGCGGTGGTGATCCCGGGTTTGTATGGGGAGATAGATGCATAGGACTTTCTCCGACTCTGTCCCCGATGCCTGTTGGAGGCGAAGCGGTTGGTTACCAGCGCCGAGCGAGTACGAAAACGAAGCCATTGCGAGTTCTCCTCGCCAGAATCCGGAGGACTAGATTGGCATTGGCTTAACCCCAGGATGAAGTGTGGAGGAATCGTAAATATCAATATCAATAATAATGATTAGTTATGCATTGGCTGCGTTGTTTCTTGTCGCGCCTTGTCGCACTGAGATCCCGTCTGGAGTCTCTGGACCTCCTGGCTGCCTCCAACCTTAACTGCTTTGGGACTCTGCCAGGAGGGGGTCGGTGTCCTGGTTTTCGTGGGGGTGAAGCCATTGGATTCCTTCAGCTACGATATCACGAATCATGATCTTCAAGGATGCGCCCCAATCGATGGGAGCTGCCTATCGATAAACAATCGGGTTCTGTGCAAGCTATGCAATTGCTGAGCTCTTGGCTCTTGGCATCGCCTCTCTTCGCAAAGGGATTGCGTACTCCGCTGGCGTCTCCTGCCGGCAGAAGGCGCTGGATTCGACGTGTTGAAGTCAACAAAGCCACTCTGGCGGTGCGAGTCTGATTCGTGATGGTCGAAATGTCAAGTCCTCGGGATTTCCCAGAGGGTTCAAGGGAGAGCTGGCTGGGCAAAGCAGAAAATCCCTCACCAAGATCATCGATGCGACAGCTTGGCACGGGCGATCGTCTACGGAGCAGTGGGGATGCGCCTCTGACGAGTAAGGAGGAGCGCTGCCACCTGCATCATGCATTATCGTGATTAATTTGGTGTTCTTCTTACTTAATCTCCATCAGGTGTCTGTTCTGGGGAAAGCGTGTGCTTGCAATTGCGCTCCTGGTGAGTGGGCATAGCCGCCCGCCTCGGTTTCCCTCGTATCGGTCCGTACGCGCTAGTCGGGGCCAGTAAAACTACTGTAGGTACGGAAAGCCAAGACCAGACCGGACCTCAATAGTCAATATTAGCCCTCTGGAGTTTCCAGAGCATAGCGATCGCAATTCGACCTCATGGCGAGTGAGAGTTCAATGTTCTATTAATACCAAGACCCCATATCTTGATAACGAATTGCTCGTCTATCAATCAGGGAAGTGATTCATACCTTGGAGTCCTGGCCGAAAACCAACTCCAGCTCCTGGGAGTACCCCAACCCCCTCATCTTCTCCTCATGTAAGATACATACCAGTATTTGGATTTCAGTAGGGCCTGCCCAAAAAGTGGAAGCCGATACGCATCCAGCCGCTAGCCGACTTGGATTTGGCGCATCTCCAACCAGCAACGAGCTCTGATCGCACTCACCGCGTTGTTGTCCATCGGAGAGACCGCTAATTAGAGTCTGATGATCGCGAATTACGCGAGCACGCGTCAATTTACCCGGTTGCCACCATCTGCTGGCACAACCTTGAGCATCGGGCTGCCGATGCAATTTTCAAACATGACGTAGCCGGTTGGCATTTGGGCTGCTGCAATTGGTGTCGCGAGCGCCATGCCGATATCCGATCAATCCTTCAAGATGGCCTGAGCATCACGTCAACCCTGGAGAGAGTTTAGATGGAGTAAGGATGAGTGAGCGAACCTAGCGCAAAGTGGCAGTAGTATCGGCATTGATTGCGAAGTGCTATAGTACCATCAGAATGCGCTAGACCCACGATGCATTCTAGAAGACGTCGAGAACGGATCAGGCGGATTCGATGCAGCCTTGAGCCCTGGTACCTGAGCTCGCAGGATGGTTGCTTTCGGCCACGGCCAGTGTGCAGGTGGCAAGTGGGCAGCCAGTTGGCCATTCAAAGAAGGGCGAATTGAGCGCCTCATCCATGATTGAATCCCGCGTCTCTTGGTGGAACGGTACCAAAGTTACTCCAGTGACCGGCCCAGCTCCGCCAGCTAGGGCGAAAGGAGAAGGAACTCGATGGCCTCACCTCTGGCCCTTTGCGCGATATAATTGAAGCCATTATTGCGACTCCGTATCCATTTATCAAAGAGCAACGCAGAGCGACACTGGCTCCTCACAGCGATTCGGCAAAAGCTGTAACTGTCCGCCTTTTGGCAATTCTGCAGGTCTGGGTTGTCTCACGTGTTCCTCTGCAAAAGGCTCAAAGCTCCCTGCAAAGATCGGCAGGATTAATCCCCGAGCGTCCTGGATCCCGTCGCCTTGCGAAACCTGATAATACCTCTATCGTGTGAATTGGCACGATGCCTCTGTTAGGCTGTTTACATTGAGTCTTGATGTAGGGTAGGCAAATATCCATATCAAATGGACAAAATTGAGCCCGGAAGAAATTTGATTGTATGACACGCCAGCGAAATGAAGTTCCATGGTTTCGTGGGTTTCCTGTGGGGTGTATCTCAGGAACGACCGAGCTTGCCCATCTTCCCCACCTAAATTCAATATAGAGAGGGTCTCCAATTACGGAAGCTTCCTCGACAGAATGTGAAATCATCGTCGAAGCAGACAGGGCCTTTGACGGCTATCATCACCAAAAATTCTTTCGGGGGAATAGAGAAAAAAGAAGCTCCCCCAGCCCTTTAGGGATCAATCGTCGTCCACCTTTTCCTTGGGAATGCTTCGCGATGAGAGGCCGGAAGATTCTTGGCTGACGTGCCGATTCTCTGTAATTCTTACCTCACTGGGGAAAGCTCGCTGCCAGAAAGTCCTTGCCCGGCACCGGTGAGAATCCCCCGGAAAGTCGATCGCAAACTTCTGCCGGGGTCGATGCGCACGGTGATGCCAGGGTGCGGCGCTATCTTTGCTTTTTTGCTCCGTCTTTTTGGGCTGGAGAGATCCGGGATGAGAGGCAGACAGATGACAGAATGGAAAAGTCAGAAGTGGCGGACTATTCTATAGCTTGATGCAGTATTGTGAAGTCATCGTGGCCCTACCAAGGAGAGCATGAGAGCAGACAGGGTTTAATTCCCGCAAAAGAGGTTAAGATTGTCCCAAATCTGTCAGCCGCGGAGAGCGCGCTGCTTTGCTAAGTGCTGGAGGAGAGGGGATACGATATCCGGATAGTAGCCTGGCCAGCGGGCAGGTGTGAGTTCCTCATACCCAGAAAGGGATAGCAGTCTCACTCGGACCTCCCGCGATTCCTTTCAAGTTCGCTTCGACGCTTCTTCGGGAGGTGTCACGGACGCGTATGAATACACACGCCGTAAAAGCCTATTGCCACAACGGTGCGAAACATGATTTGTTATTCCTTGGACGTCAATAATAACAGTGCTCGAGATAGACCATCGCAGGCCTCGCTTTGGTTGTTCGCATCTGGCATGTGTATCCCGAGAGTCAAGTGTCGTCTCCTTGCAGGTCTGACAACGTGGCAAGCAGGGCGAGGTGTGATTGATAGAGAGGATGGGTGACTGCAGGGGGATGGATGCCAAAACAATTTCCTCCACACACTCACCGGAACCTGGGGTTGTTGATCAACGCCCACCCACGAGGTGATAATCGTACAGTAAGACCACGAATTATTGGGTTGATTTCCTAATTTCCGAGAAGACAGTGGAATCGTTAGATGGGACGTGTTCGATATTGTTGCTTGCTGATATGTACCCGCGAGGCAACCGATCCATTGAATGAAATGCAGAAGAAACTTTTAACTTCATAGAAACTGTGGAGGATAAACCTTGGCAGGCGCTCAGTCCAACCATTTGATTTGAGTTGCAGAACAAGCCTTCTGTGAGGTGAAGCTTGGGAATCGGTGAACTTGGAGGTTCCCTGTCCAGTGGACAGCAGAAGTAACCATCGAGGAAGGGATACGAGGCCAGCGTCAGGCGATCGAAGTCTGTGAGTCGCAACTTCCTGACAAAAGACACAAGCCGCCTTGTCTTGCTTGAACGCACTCTGGTCTCATCCCGTGCAGCAGCCAAGGGTTGCTCTTGTCAGCCTTATTCTGCATATCCTAGTGAAGCTCTAGGAACTTTCTGCAGAGTTTCATCGCTTCTAGTTCGTACATGGGGTTGTCGTTAATCCACGGCCCATGCATGCCCTCCCAGACGAACTGCGTAAGAGAGAAGATCTCGCAACGTGGAACAGTTGTACACCCTTCGTGTATGCAGAAACGGTTAGTTTGCGACCGCAGGTCGATGTTACTATGTACTCGATTGTAGAAAGACCAGCGCTGGTCTGGTCTGTTGCACCTTGCGACCATCAGGTAGGAGGCTACGCAATACGTACTCCGTAGTCAAGCTTGAAGCTGCATGAAAGCCGAGCCGAATATATAAGGAGGCCCGATTGCGCTCCGACAACTTACACCCGTTGCGGCGTTGCTAATCAAGTGGATGCTGGATGAGATGACGATTGTTATTAAAGAGGAGCTTGACTGGAGTTGACAATCATGTTGGCGCTAAAACCACCCGCGAGGCTGGCCATTTAGAAGGAAATGCCGCGTTTAGAGCTGGAGAGGGAGACATTCCTTCGAGGAAGGAGCCCGAAGCGTAACTATATTGGGATTAAAAAGTGGGGGATAGTCGTCATTCTGTTGAGGAGGCTGGAGGAGATCATGGAGATGCAGTGCGTTGGAGGTTACTGGAGTATGGAGTCGTACAGGCTTTGAGACTTCAAGTTTGAAGGTGAAGAACAGTGGTTTCGCGGACAAAAGGCAGAGGCAGAGAGAGACTCTTGTCCAGAATTCTGACTCGGGGTGGAACGTGGGACTGGAACCATCAGTTCCTTGGAAAGAATAATAATGAATCTCCGAAAGTTGGCCGCCGGGAAGGCCGAATTATCCTCAAGTTGTCTATGCACCGAGAAGCTTCATATTCTTGCCGAAGTTCCTTGAGGCCAGGGCCTTCATGACATAATGAGGGATAAAGAGGATTGGAACTAGCCAGCAAAAGTTAGAGTGCGCCTTTGAGAGCATTGATCATGATTCTCCAGCTGAAGCCTGAGAGCCGTTGTTACTATTATTGCTGCTACGCTACACTGATGATGAGTGAGCTGGTATATTGACCAGGGTTCAGATAGTCAAGCCTCGGTATTCTGCCCTGAGGTCCTGCGAGATGATATCTGTTGAATAACAACAATACGCATGATTAGTATGACGATGTATGATGACCCTGATATTAGTATTTGTTTGTTTTGACCCTGCTTGACTGAAATTGCTATCAGCGAGTTCTTGAGCCCCTTGCGTTCCCGTTTGGGAGAGCTCGTGGCCACTCTCCTGGTCGCGGATCAAGAGGACGGACTCGGAGTTACTTGTCAGAAAGGCATCTGGATTCTGGTCTCGACTCCCGACCGCAAAGAGATCGGAGGATTATCATCTCGAAGGAGAAGAATGTTTTCAGGGCAGCCCTGTAGCCTCGTATCGACGATGACTTCATCAGTTCTTAAATCCTCCTCAATGCGACTATCCGTCGTCCATCTGCATCATACATCATGCTCTCGATCTCGGAAAGAATGGCCAAGAGTCGTCCTCCAGACTGGGATGGTGATACAGAACCGGCCAAATAATGATGACGATAAGGCCGATAGTGTCTCTTGTCATTGTCTTGTCCAAAGTATGTCGCCTCGCTTCCTGTATCAGAACCAGTCGCAGACTTGCCTTTAGAATCGTATCATCTTTTTGGCTAGCCATAGTCAGTTTCTCTCAACTTCTTAGCAAATCCGAACACGAAAATCGCGCATAGAAAAGAGAGGGACGAGCAAAATTAACTAGGGCCACCCGCACGCGGCAAAAGGAAAAGGAATCTTCATGCGGTATGGATGGCGGTATCGTAACCTCGAATTCCAGCAGCACTCACGACTCCCGTGGAGATGGCCATCAGTCCCGTATTCTTACGAACACTGACAGACTGCTTGTCACCGCAGAACGAAGAGGCAACGGAAAATTCTCCCACGGACCGGCTTTTCGGGATTGAGCCCCCAGACTTTGAATTTTTGTTCGCCTCCTCCGGATGGGCGAGAAACGCCCTGCTGCTGAGTTTGCTGCCACTGTGGTAAACAATGAACGACCATCGTCACTCTTTGCCCGGAGAAACAGAGAGAACGAAGGAGGGGGGCAAACTCGGCACAGGTCTGCCGGTCATGGACGCCAAGAGCGATGGAGGATAGAAGGGATTTCCCCATCTGGTAACGAGACAAGAGCGTCCGGCGTAAAGTGCCGTACCATACAGTGTCAAGAGAGAGACACGCCCACTCACAACAAAAGGGAAAGAGGAGAGTTTTCAGTGACTTGGGCTAGACCGATTAAGGCATGGATGACCCACAGGGCGAGAGAAGAAGCCGACAGATAGTGGGCAGAAAAATGAAAAACAATAATTCTTCGAGGAAAAATACCCACTGGAGAAGTAATGATGCGTCCCGTTAAGCGGAAATGTGTGTGTGCGTGGGAGGAGGGCTCGTTGGAAAGGGGACTTTCCCAGGGACAAGAGAACCTTCGATCAGTGGCTCACTAAACCAGGCCACGCTAGCCCGAACTTGACTAGCTTCAAAAAAATCTGGAAAAAAAAAATGAAAAGGGAGAAAAGGGAAAAAAAAAAAAAAAAAAAAGTGGGCTTACGCACAGGGAAAGTTGCCCGCCCGTTGGAGCTTCAGGACGTGTTTGTCCTGGTCCCGTGAAATCCATACTCCCCCCTCAATATTAAAGCGTCCATTCTCCCTGCCCACCTCACTCTCTTTCCCCCTCTCTCTTCCTTCTTTCTTTCCATAGGATTGTCCGACTCTTGCCATTCCAGCCATTCATCGTTGTATCTGCTCTCATCGTTTGGGTTCCAAAAGGCTTTGTGAGCCGAAGCAACAATGGCGGAGCGGAGGATTTCCTATGCTCCCGACGTCGAGAATGGTGACCATTCTCGTCCTACCGATTTGAACGAAGGTGCTACCCTCGACGAGTATGCTGCTCTGAACCGCTACATCTCGACCGCTCGCGACAAGCGTCGCGGCTCGACCTCCAGTGCCGGCGCTCTCAGCCTGAAGAAGAACAAGAAGCCCTGGTACAAGTTCTGGTCCAAGGGCGAGGCCGATGGCTCGGAGGAGGGCTTCGTTTGCCCTGAGGACTGGCTCGAGACCGACATGGCCACTGGTCTTCCCTCGAGTCAGATCGAGCTCCGTCGCAAGCGCGGTGGCTGGAACGAACTGACCACCGAGAAGACCAACTTCTTCATTCAGTTCATTGGTTACTTCCGTGGTCCTATTCTCTATGGTAAGAAAACCACATCCAAAGAAAGCGCGCTTTGAATTGGATCTTGACTAACGCAATGGCTCCTGATAGTTATGGAATTGGCTGTTCTCCTCGCTGCTGGTCTGCGTGACTGGATCGATTTCGGTGTCATTATCGGTATTTTGCTGCTGAACGCTGTCGTTGGTTGGTACCAGGAGAAGCAGGCTGCCGACGTTGTTGCTAGCTTGAAGGGTGACATTGCCATGAAGGCTGTTGTTAAGCGTGACGGTGTCGAGAGTGAAATCCTCGCCCGTGAGCTGGTTACTGGTGATATTGTACGCCTCGCAGTTCCTGAAGATGATTCACAAGCTAACGTGGGTAGGTCATTATCGAGGAGGGTACTATCGTCCCCGCTGATGTCCGCCTGATCTGTGACTACGACAAGCCTGAGGGCTTCGAGACCTACAAGGAATACCTCGCCACTGCCAACGATGACACCCTCAAGGAGAAGGATGACGATGATGAGGATGGTGGTATCGAGGCTCGCCTTGGTGTTTCTCTCCTCGCTGTTGACCAGTCCGCCATCACTGGTGAATCTCTTGCTGTCGACAAGTATATGGCCGACACTTGCTACTACACCACTGGCTGCAAGCGCGGCAAGGCCTACGGTATCGTCACTGCCACCGCTAGACAATCCTTCGTCGGTAAGACCGCTGCTCTCGTCCAGGGCGCCAAGGACCAGGGCCATTTCAAGGCCGTCATGGACAACATCGGTACTTCCCTGCTCGTTCTCGTCATGTTCTGGATTCTCGCTGCCTGGATCGGTGGTTTCTACCGTCACCTCAAGATTGCTACCCCCGAATGGTCCGACAACACTCTCCTTCACTGGACTTTGATTCTCCTCATCATCGGTGTCCCCGTCGGTCTTCCCGTTGTCACCACCACCACCCTCGCCGTCGGTGCTGCCTACCTCGCTGAACAGAAGGCTATCGTCCAGAAGCTCACTGCCATCGAGTCTCTTGCTGGTGTCGATATTCTCTGCTCCGACAAGACCGGTACCCTTACTGCCAACCAGCTCAGCATCCGCGAGCCCTACGTCAACGAGGGTGTTGATGTTAACTGGATGATGGCCGTCGCTGCTATCGCTTCCAACCACAACGTCAAGAACCTCGACCCCATCGACAAAGTTACGATCCTTACTCTCCGCCGCTACCCCAAGGCGCGTGAAATCCTTGCTCGGAACTGGGTTACCGAGAAGTACACTCCTTTCGATCCTGTCTCTAAGCGTATTACTACCATCTGTACCTGCGATGGCGTTCGCTACACTTGCGCTAAGGGTGCCCCCAAGGCTATCCTCAACATGTCTGAGTGCTCTGCCGACGAGGCTGCCAAGTTCCGTGAGAAGGCTGCTGAATTCGCTCGCCGTGGTTTCCGTTCTCTTGGTGTTGCTGTCCAGAAGGAGGGTGAGCCCTGGCAATTGCTCGGCATGTACCCCATGTTCGACCCCCCTCGTGAGGACACTGCCCACACCATCGCCGAAGCCCAGCACCTTGGTCTCTCCGTCAAGATGTTGACTGGTGACGCCCTCGCCATCGCCAAGGAAACTTGCAAGATGCTTGCCCTCAGCACCAAGGTCTACGATTCTGAGCGCCTGATCCACGGAGGCCTTGCCGGCTCTGCCCAGCACGATCTCGTTGAGAAGGCCGATGGTTTCGCTGAAGTTTTCCCTGAGCACAAGTACCAGGTCGTCGAGATGCTCCAGCAGCGTGGTCACTTGACTGCCATGACTGGTGACGGTGTCAACGATGCTCCCTCTCTTAAGAAGGCCGACTGTGGTATCGCTGTCGAGGGTTCCACCGAGGCCGCCCAGGCCGCTGCCGATATCGTTTTCCTTGCCCCCGGTCTTAGCACCATCGTCGATGCCATCAAGCTTGCCCGTCAGATCTTCCAGCGTATGAAGGCCTATATCCAGTACCGTATTGCTCTGTGTATCCATCTTGAGCTTTACCTCGTCACCTCCATGATCATCATCAACGAGACTATCAAGGCTGATCTTATCGTCTTCATTGCTCTCTTCGCTGATTTGGCCACCATCGCTGTTGCTTACGACAACGCTCACTTCGAGATGCGTCCTGTCGAATGGCAGCTGCCCAAGATTTGGGTCATTTCCGTTGTTCTTGGTATTCTCCTCGCTGCTGGTACCTGGATCATGCGTGCTTCTCTCTTCCTTGAGAATGGTGGTATCATCCAGAACTTCGGTTCTCCCCAGCCCATGCTCTTCCTTGAAGTCTCCCTTACTGAGAACTGGCTCATCTTCGTCACCCGTGGTGGTAAGACTTGGCCCTCGTGGCAGCTGGTTGGTGCCATCTTCGTTGTCGATGTCCTTGCCACCCTGTTCTGTGTCTTCGGCTGGCTTGCCGGTGACTACCAGGAGACCAGCCCCCCCGCTGCTGGCTCCGACCACTTCTCCGTCAACAACGATGTCGACATCGTCACCGTCGTTGTCATCTGGGCGTACTCAATTGGTGTCACGGTCATCATTGCCGTCGTCTACTACATCCTCACCATCATTCCTGGTCTTGACAACCTCGGCCGCAAGAACCGCTCTGTTGTCGACACCAAGATCGAGAACCTGCTTGGCCACCTCTCCAAGCTGGCTATTGAGCACGAAGTTGATTCTCACGGCAAGTCACGATACACCCTTGGCGCTCGCGCTGAAGCTGAAGAGGATGATGAGTAAACGCTTTCGCTTCAACGCTCATTCTTCCAATTTCCTATCATCTGGATATCACTTGCTCATACATGCATAAGCTGGCTCTCTGGCTTTTTTACCCGTATTATAGACTTTTTCCCCTTATTACCCTTGCTCTAAGTTGATAGAGTCAATTTTTTCTTCTTTACATGTATGTATGTGATTAATAGTGATAAATTTAGTGAATCAAGGGTTCAAGAAAAAAATCTCTCTTCATTTCAGTTCAAACTTGCCAAGTCACAACTCATCTCCGAGCTCATCATCGCTTTTCCAATCGTGAGGATCTCCGAGGCGTCAGCGTGCGCACAGTGAGACGCTAATCGATAGTGCACGTTATCCACACCAGCTCCTTGCCCTTCTCATTTGATACAGGTAGACCTTGAAGCTCCGCTCCATCGGATGTACAAGCATTCATTTCACGACGTGACTCGTGTGTGCGTGCGCTTCCAACTTTTTCAGACGAGGCGAACTCGGAGTCTCACCGAGATTGTTCCTCGCGGCTCCACTCCTGCTCCAGCTTGGGCTGTTTCAGGGGCTAACTGAAATTGCTTGAGCTCCGGTGGGCCATGAATGATGATGACTCGAAGCTGGAACTCCGAACTATTTGATGACGATTGTCTGAGAAACGGGCTAAGCCGCTGAAGACTGGAGGTGTAGGGTGTAGCATGATGCGTCATGGCGCATGCTATCTTTGACGATGTTGCTAATGTATACTGCTAACGAAAAGACCGGTGCGAGGTGTCCTGAGGCAGGAAAGATGCAACTCATGATTCATGATGCTCACTCTCGTCAGAGCAAGACCCGACGCCGGATCTTCTAACGACAGGGGACTCATCGTCGCATGCTGCAATATGTTGCGTGCCTCCTGTAGCCTTCATGACCACTACTTCTCACAGGCGGAATCCAATTCCCCGCCATGATGCCCACGCAATATTCCGTCCGTCAATTGCCGACATTCTCCCAGCAACGGGCTGATCATTCCCTCCACGACTCGGATACGCGTGCATATGGACAAATCCTGCCACTACGTTCGGGCTATGAGCTTCGTATGCTTGGTTCGATTAGGACAATGCTTATGAGGGCAGGCTGGTGCTCTGCTCTCTCCGGCGGTGCTCTCCCCGCAATTTTTCCAGATACATGAGAGATTTTCCGGGGATGGTGACCAGTCATGTTGGAGACTGTGCCTATAAGAATGTCATTAAGGGGGAAATACGACCCAGATATCACGGCTTGGAACAGGCAAGATGACACAGCTATTATACTGGGCCTTCCTCTCGCTCAATGCGCTGTTGGCGTGCGCAGCGAGCATACCATCGACAGTCCATCGCAACTGCCAGAGATCCCTGAAAGCATGCCCCAAGGGCACTATTGTCGTCTCCGGAACCAATCCCAAGGCCGATTTCTCGACCGTACAAGCAGCGATCGAATCCCTACCACATGACAACAGCAGCCACACAATCCTCGTCCTAGCAGGAGACTATACGGAGCAACTCAATGTCACCCGCCCCGGTCCAGTCACTATGCTCGGCCAAACGAATCACCTTACCGATGCCACCAAGAATCAGGTGACCATCACCTGGGCGCAGGCCAACCATGACAACACCGGGCAGAGCGTTGACAATGTGTTCTCCAGCGTCTTGGTTGTCGCACCAACCCTCGACGCGAGTTACACCGGCTCCGGCCCCACGGGTTATCCGGTGCCTGAAGACACTCCGTTTGGGAGTATCGACTTTCGCGCGTACAACATCGACTTTACAAACACCTGGTCCGACTATTCCGACGGGCCAGCCCATGCGCTTAGCCTTAGCCGAGCCAATGGCGGTTTCTACTATTGCGGCTTCTATTCTTACCAGGATACCGTAAGCCCATCTATCCCCCGCGATTACAGAAATAAGAAGCTAATGGGAGTGAAGGTCTACGTGGGCAAGCTGGGCAATGCCTACTTTTACAAAAGCATCATAGCCGGGCAGACCGATTTCCTGTACGGCTTCGGGACCGCATGGATTCAATCGTCAGATGTGCTTCTTCGCAACTGCGGTGGGGGAATCACAGCATGGAAAGGAACAAACACAACTTTTGACAATAAATACGGCGTATACATTGTCGAATCCTCCGTGAGAGCCGCCAACACCTCGATTGCACCTGATATCGTCGGAAAATGCCCCCTCGGCCGGCCGTGGAACAGCCTGCACCGATCCATCTTTGCAAACTCCTACGAAGATGGCAGCATTGATCCTGCCGGGTACATTGACTGGGTCGTCGACGGCGCAAGCCGCCTCACAAGCGATACTTTTATGGCTGAGTACCGCACATTCGGGCCTGGTTTCAACGCAACGGGTCGCGCTTCTACCAATGCCTCAATCGTCCTTTCACCGCGGGAATACGTGCCGTATAACTCTCCTTTAAAGGTCTTCCAAACCCCAGACGGCAAACCAGGAAACGTTGACTGGATTGACTGGCACGCGTAGTGTGCCAGCAGTGAGTACTCGAGTATATACAATCGATCATCATTCCCCATCACCATGTACCTTGTTCAACTGCCCTTTCCTAGCCAAATATGCTGCCCCCGTATCCGCCCAAACTTCATACACTCGCACTCTCAACCCCCCACCACGCCCCTTTTCACCCTCGTCCTCCGCCAAAGATATCCGATACGCAAATGTCTCATCCCACTTCTCGCCCGTCTCCTTCGCCACGAACCTTGCCTTTCCCCTCAAAGCCACAGTCAGATTCTCCGCATCAACAACCCACTCTTTCTCGTCATCAAAGTCCATAGACTCAATTCCAAGCAGCTCGTTGAGGATATTAAAGTAGTTTGTTATTCCATCACGCCCCGTAAATGTACGGCCCAGGAAGGGCGCGAGAGATTGTAACCCGTGTTCGTGGGCCTGTGGCGGTGGAGACGTGGTGAATGTTGAGAGGAGAGTTGGAAGGTCTGCGCCTGTTGCGAAGGCTTTGAGGAGGGATTGGGTTGGGGTGATTAGGTCCTGCCGGGAGTACATTGTGTATATATCTCTTTTATCTCAATAGATTGATGGTGGTTTGGTGGTATGGGAGAAATTGGGTTTAATAAAGTCGTGGCATGATGACGTAGTGGTAACAACATTCATGGATTGGTTTCTTGACAGACCATCCATTGACCATGACAGAATTATTCTTCGAAGCTTGAGTGGATTGCTCTGAAGAGCTGTATGTGTGATTGTCAATGTCCAGACCCCTGTGTAGTGTTTGCCTCTAAAGCTGGTGACACTGGGAAGAGGGTCTGTGCTGGTTTGAGATTTTGGGAATCTGGTGATAATATCACACACATACCAATTACAGGATAGAGTGAAGGGACCTGAAAACAGTCTTAGACCTAACGAGGCGCAGCTGCTGGTAATAATATAGATGGAAAAAGTGCTAGATATCATCTGCCTAAAGCAACTCCCCTTTTAAATAGACCCTCGAAACTCCGCGCCGCCAGCGATTGAAATCCACTGGGCAATGTAGAAGATAGGATGAAAGACCTTGAACCAAACAAATGCAGACAGATCTACTGCCGCCATGATTTCCCGCAGTTCATACATGTGCAGAACAATGTCATCGGTTCATCAGCACTTCGTGTCTGTGCCTCGGTATAGGTGACCTTGCGCTGCCCGCATTTGCCGCACTGCAAGCTTGTACTGATGCTGCGCTCTGCCTGAGCCACCATCGCCTTGTCCATATTTTCCTTTTGGATTTTGGCATCCTTTTCGCGTTGCTCTGCGGACCGGAGCTCGTCATGTGACATCTTCACAAAGTACTCGGGCGTCACTTCGTTGCTTAGCACGCGCACTCGGAGTGTTGGGTTGGACTTGTTTTTGAGATTTTGGAAGAGACTGCGAATCTTGGTGCGGTACGGCTCCTTTGTCTCGGGCCCAAAGGCATTGAAGGCGGCCGCCTCAACAGCGGCGGCCTTGGATAGCACTGCTCTCGGCGATTCCGTCGACTTGAAGCATAGTCCGTCATACATGAGCCCGATACAATTGTCGCGCGCCCGATTCCCAGTCTGGTTGGTGTCAACCCCATCCGCCTTCCATGTTCGCTTGTCCGGGGCCACCGTGAGCTTTGAGAGCTTATCAGATGGAGTTGCACTGGCCGGCGATGCAGTTCCGTTCTGCGGTGGGCGTGGCGATGCACTTGATCGTTGACTGCCTGCCGCTGATCCGCTCGCCTTTTGCTTGTTGACCTCATTCCGCCATTTGGAGACAATCTCGCTCGATAAGCGCGCGACATCAGGCGACTTGTGCTGCTTGAATTTGTTGACTATGATACCGACACGGGTGGAACGTAAAAGGTCTTCCGAAGCCTTGACTCCTGATTGTAACTCCTTGAGTAGCGATAGTATGTTGGCGGCGGGCTCGTTTTGTGTTGCGGCCTTTGTAAGAGCCTTGGCTTTTAACTCGATTTCCTTTGCTTCCATGGCTACCTCGTTGATGGAGAGATCTCGCGCGACAGATGAGGTCACTAGGCGGGACAAATAACTAGACGATATTGAAAAGTTAGAGCGGATAGACAAGTGAGAGAATGCGCAAAGTACGGAGGATTGACAGAGTCAGTCACAACTTAGCGCTGAATGCGCTGATAGTCGACTTGTCATTATTCTGCCAGTCAGCTATTTTTTTTTTTTTGGATTCCGAGCCGCTGCTGGGCAGGCGCACGTGCCCTGCATGTTGACTCAAAAGCCCCGAGTAGCTTCAGGGTCGGAGAATACGCAGTATCCCAGCGCTATTTTGTACGTGGCGTCGATGCGATGATAATCACATTGCAGGGGAACAAGCAGTGGAATGAGATCACACCTACCCTGTCGAACTGATAAGGCGGACTCCAAATCGGGAACTGGTCTGCACAGGTGATGTTCAAAAGGAGAAGGTGAGTGCTCGGACGGAGAGGCAAGCACAGAGAGGGCCGCTGCGCAAAGGCTGAAGGGCAGAGGAACGAGAGATTGGGATGTAGGTCAGGAAAAGTGGGCAGCATGGAAGATGGCAGCGATGGAAGACAAGCTCCAAGCGTTTGGCGGAGTGCCAAGCCTGGATTTCCTGTTTGGGACTAGCTAACTTCTCGAATTATAGAGAACATTTATAACTTATATAGCACGTTTATTAACTTTCTAAGGGTTATATACATCATTGATGGGGCTAATAACATAGTCGACTTGCGCACTGGTAAATGAGGGGGTTTCGTTCCTGTACCCTTGACTTGTGAACAGAAAGAAGGCTGTTTGAGAGCTTCGTGCAGTAAGAGCACGGGGTAGACGAAAAGGTGGACTCGGGTGCTCTCACCGTGGCGCAGCACAGCACACATTGCTTTGGAGGCACGGCGTGGGAAAGACCTTGTCTCGAAAACTCGGCACAAAAAGTCCGAGTGTACACGAGCTTGTCAACGAACTGCGTGTATGCGATGATCCTATCTACTCACCACCGGCGCTGTGATGAAGAGGAGGGGATGGAGTATTGGTAGCTATGAGAAACATGTCTCCTAGCCTGGTGATTAGAGCCCTGTCTTTCCCAGAGCCTCTGCCAGCTTGTCAACCTCCTTGTCATCCACTTGAGCGACCTTCTCATTCTCTGCAATCTCGGTGTCTTTGACGAGCTTTTCAGCCTTCTCCTCTACCTCCTCTTCTTCCTCCTCCTCCTCTTCCTCTTCTTCGTCGCTCTCTTCTTCCAACTCATCTAGCTCATCAATGCCCCACATATCCTCGGGATCATCCTCCTTGCCGTGTTCCTCTTTCCGAGCCTCCAGCAGTTCCCGCAAGTCAGTTACGCTATAATCATCCTCCTCGAACTTGTTTCCATTGAGCTCAATCCGGCGTAGAGCAGGGAGCGCTGTTTTCGCCGCATGCAAAAACTGCTTGACACTCGCTGCAGAAATCTCGTTGTACTGTAGACGCAGAGTTTCCACCTTCTCATTCTTACCCTCAGCGAGAGCCTGCGCAACCTTGATACCACCGCGGGCAGAAAGCAAACAATCACCAACGCCAAGTTCGCGAAGAGAAGGCCATCCACCAACCACGCTCGCAAGAGCAGTGGATCCAGTGACGGTAAATGTATTGTCCTGCAGATCGAGGACCTCGAGAGCACTAGCATGTCGAAGACCCTCCTTCAGCAGGTAAGAGATACCTTCCTGTCTGATACCATTCTGAGTCATCTTCACAGAGCGAATGCCAGCCGCGTGGACTTCATATGCACGGGCCCATGCCTGCATGCTACCATTCTCCAATCGGTTCCTTCCACAAACAATGCTCTCCAGAAGAGGCACCTCCTTTCCAGCTTTGCGCGCCTCTTCTTTGCGCTCGGCAAGTTCTGTAAGTGCCTTGGCGATATTAGACCCAGCTTCGGGGCCCATACCGTTGTTGTTTAGGATCAAGTGCCGAAGAGGGGTGTGGCGGGAGAGGAAATCGACGAGGGGTTTTTGGGTGTTGGCGCCGAAGGCATTGTCGGAAAGGTTGACGGTGTGGAGAGTTGAGATCTCAAGGAGAGCGTTGAGAAGGAAGGTAAGGGCATCTGGGATCTCGCTGAGCAGACGGGATGTGAAAATATCGGCGAGCTCGGCCACCTCGAGGTTCTTTTGGGTGGAAAGGACGGCGGCAAGACGTTCGGAAGCCGGGACACCCAGTGTGTTTCCGCCGAGACGAATTTCAGTATATGCGGTACTCTCGATTAAGGGTTTGATATGGGCTTCAATATCGGCGGCCGTGTCCAGCTTGAGTCCCTTGCCCTCGAGCGAGAAGATCTTTGGAGGGGCCATGGCGGGGTAAATTTCAGGGGTAAAAGGAAATGCGATGAAAAGAAAGGTAAAATTGAAAAAAATTATCCCAGAATTCTATTAGTCGTATAATTAGATATCAGTCCGATCAGGCTGAAAAGGCAAGATTGAAATAAAGGTGTTGGACGAGAAATTGTTGATCGTGAGCACAAGACAGTCTGAAGCCGTAGCAACGAGATAAAAAAAAAATAAATGGCCGCTAAACTGCCCAAACAGCTGAACGAGCGCCGCCGATCGCCACTCCGGCCACCCGAAGAGTCCAACTCTGCAGTTGTTTTTTCAGGATAAGCGGTCATTATTAATCAAGCACGTCGTCGTCCATTCTGATTGAGAGTACCTTCAAGGTATCTTAGACCTCTTCAGACACTCTTCATTCGCTACGTATATCTCTTTCTAGTTGTGTCTCTCATTATGTCGTGGCTTTTCGGCTTATCCAGCAGTATGCAGCACTCTGAACCTCGGGGCACAAGCGAATGTGGAGATGATTGCTAACCAATGCATCCAGGCGTTGCTGAAAAGACCCCCATACCTGTCGCAAGTGATGCGCCTGCTGAGAAACCAAAGGTATGTGCTTGGTCACAGTAAAAATCATCAAAGATAAACGTGGTCAACCCGACTAATTCTTGATTCCTTCTCGTCAGCCGTGCTGCGTATGCAAACCTGAGAAGACAGCGCGAGACGACTGCATGCTTTTTTCGAAGACCGATGACCCAACGCAAGAGTGCAAATCCTTGATCGAACAGTACAAATCGTGTATGGCAGGGTATGGGTTCAAGGTTTAAACCCCTCGCGCTTTCAATCAGTCAGTCTGCGGAGGGTCGCCCGACACAGAGCTGGACAACGAATATCCTGTGATTATTGTACAATACATAATGGCTTCAAGGTCATTGTACGATTATGACGTACTTTTTTGTACCTTTGCCGCATAAGCTCGGTGTTATGGTCATTTATTTATTGGGCGCCGTTGTACATTAGTTTGTATTTGAGGAATTCATAGGGACGTCCCCTCATCATAGCGTGTTGCCTATATCTAGAGTACGATTAGTGCAGTATTATGTATTGAGCAGAATCAGACTATATATGGAGTCAATATTCTATCCATTTATCTCTGAAGCTTCGAAGTTGGGGTATCGTTTTTGGTCAATAGCAAATCTACTCCGTAGATGCATGAAATAAGAGCCAATTCTTCTCACTGATTTTTCTTCCGAGGGTCTTCTACATAAGTATCAAGGCCCCAGCTTTGGGTGATCAACCTCCACAAGCACCAAAGGTACGAGATCCCAAACCCTCCAGCGCCGATGATAACGTTGAGCACCACCCATAGGTCGGGCTTTCCTGGTGGGGGAGGGACAAACGCTTCGACCACGTGCCATCCAAGCATAGCAAGGTAAAAGGCGGAGTGAATTACTTTCGCAAATACATGCGGCTCCGTAGCTGTACCTGACTCGTCAGACAAGGCTTGGTGTCTGTATATCTGCCACGATGTTGGCGGTAGGCCTAATAGGTAGGCCCAGAGATATGTCATAACGAAATATGGCACTTGAAGGCCATCGCGCTTGAGAAGCGGGTAAAGAGTCCAAGAGCCAAGCATATTCGCCCAGCCCACCCATGCTCGTGTATCTTTATCCAGACCCCCGTTACCAGCGATGAGGAGCGTCATGGGAAGTAAAGGTAGCAATACGCTTTTCTCATGGACTTGGAAGGAGAAAAGGAAGAAGCCCCAGGCAACAGTGGCAAAGGCGGGAAGAAGAATCGAAGCTCGCGGATGACGAAAGATGATTCCGCAAGGTATTGAGATCGAGGCTAGCGTAGCGCCAAGTGACAAACGCTTCAGGAACTCGCTCTCAAATGTGTGGAGTTTATAGAAAGTGTGAATAGCGCACCAAGCGTTGGCCACTTTGTCCTCAAACAGGCCCCGGGAAAACGGAAAGACTCGGTGGATGACCTGTGCGACCTGGAAGAGGATGGCATATAATGAGGATGCCCTGTCCAGTTCGATTGGAAGAACCTGGAGCAGAGGAGGCTCTGTCGTGGACTCAAGGGACTTTGTCGCTTCGGCCCCAGTAGCTCGAAGAATGAGAGGTAGAAGTAGGACAGCGAAAGTAGCAATGGTAACGAGAGATATGCATAGAAGGCGGACGGGTCGGAATCGTGGGACGATGCAGACGCCTAGGAGGAATGCGAACATCACTGGTGCATAATACAGAGCCATCTGTTTGAACCCGAGAGCACCAACAAAGAAAATGCATGCCCAAAGCATTCTACCAGCTAGTATAGCATCCAAGCTCGCGACGAAGAGACCTAACATCACGGTGTTGAATTGAAAGTGGCCATGGTCAATGAGAATCGTAGCTGGCTGTAGTAAGATGGCACTAAGCGCAATAGAGGCCGACCATACGGGAACCGCTTGCATTCGGGTATATCTTCGCAGAAAGGTGACAATGGCCGGAATGTAGATGAGATATTCAGAGACGATCACAGTTGCACGCATGAAGACCTTCAACAGCGGATCTTCGAGGCCGCGGGATTCATCTAAGGCAAACCAAGTAGGATCGAAGATAGAACCACTACCACAGTTAAAACGCGTCTAGCAACTTTGGGAGGAAACGTACATCTTCCCTAGAAGCCAGCTATGGTATGCCGTTAATGGGGGATAGTCTAGTCCCCAGTACTGTAGATCGTATGTATACCATTTGGTGAGAGGCAGGTGGATGGTGATCTCCATCCAATGACGTTGCGCTTCAAAATCGCCGTGCATTGGAGGAACTTGGAAACCTTGTACGGTTTAGTCACAGAGGGACCAGACAGTGAGAACCGACAGAATGCTCACCTGAATACCCCCACAGACTGACAGCCCAGCGAAACAGTCCCACTGCCATCAAAGTAAGAGGAAGGACAAGCCATTGCGATACCCCAGCGCGAGCACCCCATTGAAATGACACTAAAGGAAACGCGGGCATAGGTTTCCCCTCGCCAGCGTCAACAGTGAGTGAATTGTTCGAACCAGCAAAGAGCGCAGTGGACTTTCTCTTCTTGCGTGGACGATAGGAAGCGGGATTAGTGGCCATAGTGAGAAAATGAGAGTCAGCGCGTGTCCATTGATCCGAAAGGGTCTTATGTGAGCGGTCTCAACGGCAAGGAAAGGAGAGAATGGGATGTCGCAGGGAACCACAGAGCAACTTTAAGTACGTGTAGTCTCCAAGACTCTTGATGCTGGATGTTGGCCGAAAGTACGTACCTGTCCAAGGTCTCCACTTTTATCCCTGGCCAAAGCTCCGCAGCTAGGCTGGAACTAGTAGGCGGTGATTATCTTTTTTTTTGCTAGCCTTCGAATTTTTTTTTTTCCTTATCAAGCAGCAGTTTCCTCGAAGCTCTGAAATTTCTTTCCTCCCTTCCACCATCTCTTTACCTTCCATCTTTTTCATCCCAAGAAACTAGGCCTTGCCTTACTCTCTTGGATCATCCACCTTGATTTGATCTTCCCCAGTTAAAATCTCCTTTATCTTACTGACGCGGGAGCGCAAGCTGTATCTTTTCAGGTACACATCAACAGACACCTTGTTTGTGGGCTTTTACACCGAGGGCTGTGGGCTGTAGCATCTATTTCGTGGGATCTTGCCGATACTATCGTGGGTTCTATATCATAGACAGTTGCATAACCTGTCCGTTTCTGTGGGCTTGAACATTGTCCGTTGTGGGTTACTTGTGGGCGTCCGAGGTTTACCTCCAGTTGTGAACAAACTCAGCTGGCTTACTATTGAACTTTGTGGGATCTTCAAATCGGGTGATTGAGGGATCAGAGGGATAGCCGCACTGTTATTCTTCACCGAGAACTACATTGAGAACATACGTTATCAGGTAAGGCAATCATCTTCGCGTCTATTGAAGGTCCCAAACTGACTTGTCTTTTCTACTCTCACAGTCAAAATGTCGAAGACCAAGTCCGTTGCCAAGAAGGGCTCCGAGAAGCCCGTTGACAAGTCCTTGGGCAAGGTCAAGGATGCTGGCGTCACCAAGGCTGCTCAGTCTCCCAAGGCCAAGAGCAAACAGATTGCTCGCGAAGTTGTCGCCAAGGAAGAGAAGTCCAAGCGTAAGAAGAAGGAGCCTACTCCTAGCAGCAGTTCCGAATCCGAGTCCGAGTCCGACTCCGACTCCTCCAGCTCTAGCGAAAGCGAAGACGAGAAGCCCGCCAAGAAGGAGGTAAAGAAGCCGGCAAAGAAGCAGGCTGAATCATCTTCCGAATCCGACTCGAGCGATGAGGAGATGAAGGATGCTTCCAGCAGTGAGAGCGATAGCGAGAGCGAGGAGGAAAAGAAGCCCGCCAAGTCGGTCAAGGCCAACCCCAAGCCTTCCAAGAAGGCGGAGTCGAGCGATTCTGAGTCCTCCGACTCTGATTCCGATTCTTCCTCAGAAGAAAAGGCTCCCAAGGCTGCCGCAAAGGCAGCTGCTGCGGAATCCAGCGACAGCGACGACTCCGATTCTGACAGTGAAGAAGAAGCTCCTGCCAAGGGTAAGAAGGCCTCCAAGGAGGATTCTGATTCTGGATCTTCGGACTCTTCAGACTCTGACAGCTCTGACTCCGAGTCAGACTCTGAGGAGAGCGACGAGTCCGCCAAGGACTCGAAGAAGCGCAAGGCTGAAGAAGAGCCCGCTGCCGTTTCTAAGAAGTCCAAGACTGAGGAATCTGCCGAGGGCGCCTCGGCCAACCTCTTTGTCGGCAACCTTTCGTGGAACGTCACCGAGGAATGGCTTCAGCAGGAGTTCGAGACCTTTGGTGAGCTTTCCGGTGTGCGCATCATGACTGAGCGCGATACTGGCCGCTCGCGCGGATTCGGCTACGTCGAGTTCGCCAGCGCTGCCGATGCTGCTAAGGCCTACGAGTCCATGAAGGATACTGAAATCGACGGCCGCAAGATCAACCTCGACTACGCTACCGGCCGGCCCGCTAACAAGGACCAAGGCGGTTTCAAGGAACGTGCTCAAACCCGTGCCCGTTCTTTTGGTGACCAATCCAGCCCTGAGAGCGACACTCTTTTCATCGGCAACCTGCCCTTCAGTGCTACAGAGGACTCTGTTCACGAGGTGTTCGGTTCCTCCGGAAACGTTTTGGGCATTCGTCTGCCAACCCACCAGGAGTCCGGCCAACCCAAGGGCTTCGGCTACGTGCAGTATTCGTCCGTGGATGAGGCTCGCCAGGCCTTCAACGACCTCCAAGGAGCTGAGATCGATGGCCGCCCTGTCCGTCTGGACTTCAGCACCCCCCGTGCCAACAACGGAGGCGACCGCGGTGGTCGTGGTGGTGGTCGCGGCGGCTTCGGCGGTCGTGGTGGTGGTCGCGGTGGCCCTCGTGGCGGCGGCGGTCGTGGAGGCCGTGGTGGTTTCGGTGGTCGTGGAGGTGGTGCTGGCGGCCCTCCCAACCGTGCCAGGGGCGGTATCACTGAGTTCAAGGGTACCAAGGTGACCTTCTAGAGGAAGGAAATTTCTACAAGGGTTCTTTATGGTAATGTCATGCTAAGTCTTAGGGTAATCTGGAAAAGTTTGTTTCATTATTTGTTATTTCATCATAGTCTCATCGCATGGAGTACTGCGTTAAGCTGGTCTAGATATTGACTGCATAATACGACTATTCTTCCGTGCTTCAAACATCCCTTCGCCGTCCAAGTCTGAGAACGTCAGGGCCTATGTCTTGGCGTCCTCTATGAGCTGACGACCGAGTCTCACCGTCTCCATTTCTCCACCTCTTCGACTTATCTGATCTCTTGTCAACAACAACACCCGTGTTCTTATATTATTTGTTTTTGCCCTCCTCTCAAATTCCCCTCCTTGTGGGTGGCGCTCTCCGGATCCTCGTAGTTGGACACGCCCACTGGTCGTGTGCCGATCGCTGGTGCAGGTGGTTGAGAGCGAGTCAGCTGTCATCAACCCGATGTGCCCCCGAACCATCAACCATCTCATTCCGAGAGCCAAGCCTACTCATGCTCTCCTTTCACTTTTCAGTTCCCTTTGAAAGCTCCATTTACCCCCAGTCTCCTTTGAAGCACAGTCAGCGGTTCTTTGGTCCAGATATCTCAAGCGATTGTCAAAAGTCTGGGTCGTCCCCACGAACCCCACCAAGATTATCTGGGCTTGACCGCTGCTCCGTGACAGTTGAACCACCAGGTAATCGGCCCTCTTTCCCCCCTTGTGGGCTGACTGTTCTTTTTAACTCTAGTTCCCCGTTATGGTCTTGAGCATCTGCCTCTGTGTCCTTTTCATTCTCTTTCCTCACCACAGTATTGGTATTGGGTCTTTCCCGCTGACCTGATTAGCAGCATAATGCAGCCAAATCATTATGACCTTCTCGGTCAGGTGCAGGATGAGCCCAGGAGCAATGCCGGCCGACTGACGCGGGATACATTGCAGTCACGTACAAACGCACCGATAAGATCAGAAGGTGAGTACTGGCCTTGATATCCTGTCTTCTTCCTCTCTTGCCATCATACCGCGAAACTATACATTACTCTTGTTGTCACTTATTGCACCATGTACTCACTCCAATATTACATAGATTCGTGGATTGAGGTTTCGTCCCAGCCGTCTTCCTCGTCCTTGTCGTCGGCTGCTACGACTGACGACATAATAACCACCGGCCTTCGTGTTCCGCAAAGAAACTCTGCCTATAATCATCCTCGCAGTCGCCGACGACGTCTGCAGCACCTGGCAGCTGTGGCTACTGCACACGTCGAGTATTCATCCCACGAACCAAGCAGCAGTCAAGATGAATATGAAGAAAGCGAAAGCGAAAGCGAAAGCGAATCAGATCGCGTTATGACTAGCTCAAACGAAGACGTCGCTCAGCCGTCTTCTGTTTATCCTCCAGCCGGTTCAGATATTAGTCCTTCCAGTGACGAAGATGATAACTCAACGGCGCTTGGAATGGGCATAAGCTCGTCGCCATTTGTCCCTCAACCCAACGTTTTCTCGCAACCCCCTACCTCTGAGACCCCCTCCTGGACCAGGGCTACCGAAGTACACCGTTCGCGACCGATAAGTGATGTTTCTACATCGAGCCGCAGGACAGCGATCCGAAGGAACTCCCGAACCACTCGGCGGCAATCTGGCCAACAGCATAGTCCTTATAATGTTATTTCTCCGTCTCATCACGCCGACCATGACGCTGCACTCCGAGCTAGCCTTTCCACCTTACTTTCTTGTGCTGCGGCTGCCCGGGGTCTTCCAAAGTCTGAATCTCAACCTGCACCAACCGGGCCTTCCAGAGTGCAACCATCTTCCTTTAGGTTAGTATCGGAATCGGTAGCGATGGGCGCAGAAGCCAACCAAGAGGAAACCCTGTCAGATGCACACGTACCCAGGCAACCTCAGCAACCGGTGTCTCCCCATCCGCCACCCGAGGCTTCTTCTACTAGGATGAAGCGTCGGTCGAGTGCATCCAAGGACCGAGGGTCAAGTCATTCATCGACCAAGAAGAACCGCCGGTCGGGTAATTCGGAGACATCGTCGGCGGTTATGACCTGGGTCATTAGTGCCGGTGTCGTGGTACTTTTCTCGGCCATCAGCTTCTCTGCCGGGTATGTGCTAGGACGGGAAGTCGGAAAGCTAGAGGCAACTAGCATGGGCTCTGCCCTGGGCGATGCTGGGCCTCAGGGAGGTAGAGCGTCAGCAGCCTGTGGACAAGAAGCCGTTCGAGGTGGCTTGAAACGTTTGCGATGGGGCACGACATCTACCGGAACCGGCGTCATCGCCTAAATGGGCTCATTCGTTTTATACATAGCGTTATTTTTGGCATGCCGATGATGATATTTGATAAGGGGTTTGATTTGATGACATTCTTGCGACATACTTTGATTACTGTTCTCTCCTTGTCCCGTCACTCTCCTTGATTATGTTTTCTTGATGAGCCACAACCTCTCGGCGGTCGGAGCAAAAGTGTCGTCCAGAACTCTCTTTGGTTTCTTATGGCAAGTCGTTTTGTTTTGCAGGAGTTGTTGCATGCTCATGCTCTTTATTTGTTTGCTCTTGGTAAGGCTCTTGCAGGGTATACCCATTTTCTCAGGGATTTTGCAATAATGATAACCCCGGGCTGCTAGTATTCTGACTTCATGCACGAAAATCTCCTCGATCTTTATATTTGGACAGTTGCAGTTAAAAGTTATTCTTCCGCATATAGTGGTGTGCTATTATTATAAATGTAAGAAAGGCTTGGCAGTCAAACTCGGGAAACAAATTGCGTCAACGGAACAAACCACAACACTCAGTTATTTCTTTAGCACCATCATCAATTCGCTGAACGGCCAGATCCGGTCCTTTGAGGTTGCGGGGGACGTATAATGCGCGCAGCTCGAGAATCTACAACATTTTGCGCATGAACTAATAGACCCGGGTCTTGTTCGTGCGCGCGCTCCGAAGCTGATCGTCCCCGCGTCCCGGTCACGCCTGCCCCAGCGCCTAACGCGAACTCCTCGAAAGCAGATCTCGAGGCAAAACTTGACTGCTTCGAGGAGGGGATAATGTCGACCCGTCACCCTACACGTCCACGTCGCATCGATGATGCTCTTTCGCAACTCGTCGACTCACTCACCCCTCCGCTGCCTCTATCCGCCATTGGCGACGATTACTCGGGCGATGCTGAAGAAGCCCTAGGCGCGGCAGAAGTGCAGCGCCACCAGGTCCTTCTCGAGCGGGCATGGCACACGCTTGGTGCCCAAGCGAACTCCGCAGATAATCCTGCTTCGCCGTCAGGGAGCCGTGGTATAGACCGTCGAGGAAGCCTGGCTGGGGGAGAAAACATCAATAACGCGTCGGACCTGATAAAGCGGAAACTATTGCGTGAGAATGCGAGCCCCGATAAAGCTGTTCGGTTTTCGAACCTATACTCTCGACTCTTGACCCAACCAGTGCTCTCTCAAAAATGGGGGATACTGTATCTTCTCTACCGATTGTCGGGTACGGAAACCGCTGAGGGAGTACTGGATGAGGACGAAAGGCCACGCAGCCCGCTGATGGACCAGGCGAAACTACAAAGGATGCTGGCAAAGGACCAAAGAGGGGGCAGCGGGCTAGCAGCAGGTTCGGATGAGGATGGTCCAGCTGTGAGCTCCTCGGCATCCCAAATGGCTGCACGCGTCGAGCGGAAAACCTCACTGCGGCGGCCAGACCTAGAGAGGGAGCGAGATGCGGATCGTGGTTCAGGATCTGAACGACCGCCGCGTACGAGCCGACATCACGACTCGGGGCCAAAAGAAACTCGAACGGAGGAACACGAGACGGAAAACAACCAAGAGCTAGCGCGGCCAATTGAATCCAGCCTGTTGCGAGATCTTCCTTTCAACTTACAAGGTTTATCTTCTTCAGATTTACAGTTCATGTCTGCCTCGACACTCAAATTGCCGCCAGGGTTGCCCCTTCCCATGGTGTCCCTTCTGAACACCCTAGCTGAGCCATGTTTACTTTATCGAGGCCTATCTACTTTTGTTGACGGCAGTGGTGGTGGTCTCATTAGTCAGAGCTTGCGGGCTGCCCTTGCAAATGAGCTTCGTTCTTACCTGGGTTTGGTAGCGACACTGGAGGGTGAAATTCGCAGAGCACTGGCTGCGCCTGTTGGACCAAATGGTCCGAAGAGTGCTGTGACGCTGAAGAGATGCGTTGTCTGGACAAGAGATGCGACAATGGCGCTGCGGCTGATGAGCTTAATTGTGGAGGAAGCACACAGTACGTCAAAGCATCCAAGTTGGAGATTCAACTGACAAATTTCAGGCAAAAAAGGTGGTCAGCTAATATCCCTGATTCATGGCTTTTCAACGTCTCACGGGGACCCCTTTGTGTGCAACTTTGCAGAAAAACTCCTCGCACACGTCACTAGACCATTTTATGATATGTTGCGGCTCTGGATATATGATGGCGAGCTATCTGATCCGTACAAAGAATTCTTCGTCGTTGAGCCAGAACTCAGACCGAGCACAGATCCCCGCCGCCTTGCGACTAGTGTTTGGGAAGACAAATACACGCTCGAAGATGTCATGGTTCCCTCAATCATCACTCAGGATTTTGCGAAGAAGGTGTTTCTGATCGGGAAATCGCTGAACTTCATAAGATATGGTTGCGGTGACTCTGGATGGGTCGAGGCCTATTCGAAAGAAAGCTCCAAGGAGCTGCGGTATGGTGATACAGCCAGCCTCGAGACGTCAATTGACGAGGCTTACAAGGCTACCATGGCCAGATTAATCCATCTCATGGACGACAAATTCAGACTCTTCGATCATCTCCATGCTCTAAAAAAGTATTTGCTGCTGGGCCAGGGAGACTTTATTGCTTTACTCATGGAGTCGCTTGCCTCGAACCTTGACCGACCTGCTAATTCACAATATCGTCACACACTAACCGCTCAATTGGAGCATGCTATTCGTGCGTCCAACGCGCAATATGACTCTCCAGATGTCCTTCGACGTCTGGACGCACGTATGCTGGAGCTTAGTCACGGTGAGATTGGATGGGATTGTTTCACCCTCGAATACAAAATCGATGCTCCAGTGGATGTCGTGATCACACCTTGGGGCTCGACTCAGTATCTCAAAGTTTTCAACTTCCTCTGGCGTGTGAAGCGTGTCGAGTTCTCATTAGGCAGCACATGGCGACGTTGCATGACCGGCGCCAGGGGAGTTCTAGGAAGCGTTGATGACAAAGTCGGCGCTGATTGGAAGCGTGCAAGATGCGTCATCGCTGAAATGATCCATTTTGTCTCTCAGCTACAGTACTATATTCTCTTCGAGGTTATCGAATCTAGTTGGGATCAATTGCAGGCCTCTATCTCCAAGCCAGGTTGTACCCTGGATGATCTGATCGAAGCCCACACGAAGTACCTCAACTCGATTACCCACAAAGGCCTCTTGGGCTCCTCGACTTCGTCTCAGAGCAGCTCCATAAGCAAGCCAGAAGAAGGCTTCTTGTCTCAACTACACCAGATCTTGAAGATAACGCTTGCCTATAAGGACGCAGTTGATGGGTTGTATTCATTTTCAGTGGCAGAGTTCACTCGAAGACAAGAGTTGAGCGCAAAGATCGAGACCCGCACTGCTCAAGGTCAATGGGGCGTTTCAGAGCGCGATCTTCTTTCCTTCCGACACAGCGCTGCACATAGAGTGGCATCCGCATCATCTTCGTTTTCTTTTACACCCAATGTGGCAGCCACTGCTGACGAAGTCGCGACACCAACATCCCTTGCAAATCACGATCTCACCACAGACGACCATATGCTTCCAGCGCTACGGACTCGACTCCGCGATCTCTCAGCGGAGTTCCGCTCACGGTTGAATATCCTTCTCGGTGATCTGGCCTATCAGCCTGACGTGGATATGCGCTTCTTGGGCGTAGTCATGAATTTCAACGACGTCTACGAGCCGGCTCGGAGGCGGAAAACAGCAGGCGCCAGCTCTCGAGATAAAGAGAGAGCCAAACGAAAAGCACCGCCCTCTAGCGGCAGCTCGGACCCCCAATCGCAGCAGAGGGAAGTAAGAAAGGAAAGGAAGGATATAAACGCGCAATGAAATCGGACTTCATATATCGTTTCTACATGCGAGCGAAGGTCATGGTACTGGGTGGTTTGCTTGGAGTTAATGGAAATGGAGCATTGGCCTGATGATGTAAATTATGATTATGGATCCATATAGAATCCCGCTATCGGTATCTAAAAGTAGACTTTACAAGGATTAAAATACTGTGGAATTTCCCTTTACTTTGCGTCGTGATTCTTAAGCTGATGCCGAGTACCAAAGGAGCTGCTTATCAGTGGGCCCTCCAATCACTCACGTGGAATTTTTTCTCCAGACAGTGAAACCAATAACCTGAATTTCTTCAACTAATTAGTACACTTCGAAACCACGCATCCTCTAAATCAAGCCCGCGCATAGTAACACACAAGCCACGCCTTGAATCATTGGCGACTCTATATCCCGTTTTCGACCACCAGAACTCCGCGAAACCGGCCGCGATGGCAGAAGAGAGAAAATCTCGGTCGAAGCAAACCAGCTCAAAAACCAAACACACGAAAGATGCCGACTCGGAAATCTCAAGGCAACGAAGGTCTGAGAATAGATTGGAAGATGACGACAAAGAAAACATCCCTGAAAAATCTGCGGGAACAAAGGAGCGTCGGAGCAAGAAGCGGAAGATTGATGACGATATTGCGGAGAGCACACCTCGGGCCTTGAACGGGGACAAGGAGGAGCACAAGAAGAAGAAGAAGAAGAAGAAGAGCGTCTCTTTCTCTGCGGAGACGAAGGAAACCAACGGCCAAGATGAGAGCGAGGATGAGGAAGCTAAAGCTCAGTCATCGGAGCAAGAAGAAAATGCCGAGCAAGCAGATGACGAGGACGGCGACGCAAACAAAAAGGAGAAGAAGAAAAAGAAGAAGGAGAAACGAAAGAAGTCAGAAAATGCCAATACCAACGAGTCCACAAATGACGATTCCACTACACAGGAGAAGAGCAGCGAATCCTCGACCCTTTCCTACCTCAGTACATACCACAACGACCGCACATCGTGGAAATTTCAGAAAATTCGTGAGACACAACTCTTCAAGCATATATTATCGCTGGAGCATATCCCGACACAATACGACGCCGCCCTTCTTTCGTACTTGCAAGGTCTACGAGGTGAAGCTGCGAAACAACGGTTGCGCGATGTTGCTCAGGCTGCTATAAAGACGGATACCGAGGAGACGAAACCGGACGCCAGCACTGAGAAATCAGAGCCTACCGATGGCGCAGCTTCGTCTCCTTTTGTTGATTATAGAAAGGCCATCTACGCCTTCCGCACGAAATTGGCCGAGGGCAGCCTACCGGAGGACCTCGGAGAGACTTACGAGCAACTTGATGCCGATGTCAAAAAAAGGTTCTGGAAAAGGCAACGTGCGGAGATCATACTGTATGCTGTTGACGGCAAAGTCTTCACCATGTCCAACCTGAAAGCGCCACCGCAAAAGGGGAAGAATGCGACGCAGAATCAGTCAGCCGACAAGAAGAAGAAGAACCGCACCGCTTTCGTTGAGATATCAAGTAGCAGTGAGAGTGACAGCGATAGCGATGACGACAAGAAGATATCAAGCATCAAGAAGAATAATTCAGCGCAGAGTCAGCCTGAAAAGAAAAAGAAGAAAAAGAAGACCCGGACTGCAGTGGTGGAGATGTCAAGCAGCAGCAGTGAAAGTGATAGCGATTCGGACAGCTCATCCTCTTCGTCATCTTCTTGATATCTGCAATATACATATCCAACATTCGGAACCATATTTGGCCATCTCATCAGTTCTCACTTCATTTTGCAAAAAGTTCTGTATAGACAGCATCACGGCGTTCTCAACCTTCGGGAGTGTACCTACCCAACCGCTCCGTTCCCATGTTTAAATCTCTACGATGCATAAAATAGATCAGATTACTTAGACCTGTAGCTTCCTCTAATTGACTTGCAGCATATTGTTGAAACCTTGGTAAAGCTGCTGTTGTGTTCAGTTGAAGGAAGGCGGTGACGGAGCTTGGGCAAGAAGCTTGAGCTTCGGCCAGGCATCCTCAAGCACGCGTCCTTTGCACCTCCAGCCGCTCTCCATCCCCCATTCCTTCTTCCTCCACTATCTGAGAACTTTCGTCCCTACTACGCCTCTCTTCACTAAGCTTAGTTTTTGTCGTCAAGTGTGAATTTCATTCACCGCAATCATGTCTGGTGAGATCCCGAAGGCCGAAGCACTCAGACCGACACCATGACTTCATCGGCAGGCTAACACCCTCTTTGAACAGGAAGCGCAGGCTACGACAGACACATCACTATCTTCTCAGATCAAGGCCGTCTCTATCAAGTTGGTATGCACCCTGGAAACAAGCTACATACCCCTCAAACACTCGATTCAACCTCCCGACCGCTCCGCAGCTATTACGATACTCCGCTAACGAGGAACGTTTTCCGATCACAGAATATGCATTCAAAGCTATCACCGCCGCAAACATCACCTCGATAGGTGTGAGGGGGAAGAATTGCGCCGTCGTGCTGTCTCAGAAGAAAGTTGCCGTATGCCGCCTGAGCTTCCGCAGCCAAAGGACTGCCGTTCTGATTCATAGCCTAGGATAAATTGATCGACCCATCATCTGTTACGCATATCTTCAGACTTTCCCCCTCGGTGGGCTGCGTCATGACGGGCTCCATCGCTGATGCCAGAGCTTGCGTCGACCGTGCCCGCGGTGAGGCCGCTGAGTTCCGATACAAGTACGGCTACGAGATGCCATGCGATGTTCTTGCCAAGCGTTTGGCCAATATCAACCAGGTCTACACACAAAGGGTTAGTCTTCTCTTTTTTACTCTAGCTTTGGTGGGGGCTAACTTGAGCAGGCTTACATGCGCCCGCTCGGAGTTGCCATTACCCTAGTATCTGTGGACTCCGAGAATGGCCCACAACTTTACAAGTGCGACCCTGCCGGTTACTACGTTGGATACAAAGCCACTGCCTCTGGCCCGAAGCAGCAGGAGGCGCTAAACCACTTGGAGAAGAAGCTAAAGAACAAGGATTACGCAGAGGGCAGCTGGGAGGAAGTTGTCGAGCTGGGAATCACCGCATTGAGTAGCGTTCTGAGCGTGGACTTTAAGAAGCACGAATTGGAGATCGGTGTTGTCGGTGGCCCCCGAGCAGATGGTCAGGATGGCACAGATCCTCACTTCCGCGCGCTGACGGAGGAGGAGATCGACGAGCGGCTACAGGCTATTAGCGAGAAGGACTAGACCAGTGAGGCTCACTAGCTGCAACGATATCAACACGATATATGAATCGCATTCCACATCTGAGGTGTATTCAATGTATACAGGCCCGTTTGCTTTTTCGCGTCGTAGTCAGCTTCCCTCCGCCAGCCGCCTGGTGGCAACGTCAATTGAAAGGATAGATCGTCAGCGCGCCAGAGAAGAAAAGTGATAGAAAGCTTGATTGTACCATTCTGGAGGCGCAAGAGCATTTGCAGGACCGGCGGGAGCGAGTCGCAACTTTCACCTTGAACGGGGCGCAGTTGCCGAGCTCAGGATATCACGCAAATCTCACGATAGATAGCACAGCATCGTCCGGAGTATCTTGCGATATCTCAGACAGCCCAGATAAAGTCGCCACCAAATAATGCAGCGGCTATTAAAACGGGGATAGGAGTGGGTTTATGATGATTGATCGCTTCCGCATCTATGCAAAAGGAATCAATCAGAAGAGCGAGCCTAAGGCTCCATCGTGGTCCCTGTTCAGCTGGGTTGTTCGAGTTTGACGTGGCTGAGCACCGCCTGCCGGTGGGTTCGTTCTCTGTGCAGTGCGTTTCGCTTCCACTGCCGTTCCTGAACCACACTGTCCCCTCGGCCAATCCTGGGCTGTCGCTTGGTTCATAAGCCTGGTGTCGTTCTCCCAGCGCTGTGGCAAAATCGATACGACGCGAACGACCCCAGCTGGCCTGACCGGCGAGACCCATCCGAAGCTCCTGTGAATGAACTATTCCGAGATCCAGCGATGTCATTCCAGCGAATGACACTTCCAGAACCGCCGAATCCCAGCACATGGCGTCCGTCAATGCGTTCTTATTCTCTTTTTTTGACACCCCCTGCAGGGCGTTAGCCTCGCTGCCAATACGCCGGGTGGTTCTTCTCCAGCGACATCATCGTTCTGCATTGCATCACTGGCCACTGCTGCGACTCCGCTCCGATTTAGTGGATTGTAGCTAGTTCCCTTCTGGGACTCATCGTCCTGGTTCTCACCTCTTCCCTGGTGCGTGGACTATAGATCCACAAAGTTTGACATCCTCCAGCTGTGCTGCCGGCAGCAGTAATCCATTGGCACAGCCAGCCACATCTAACGATGATCCTCTTCTCGCAACGCTCCGTACTCCTTGACAAGGAGATCGAGCTTCTATTCATGACCGTTGCCGTGCGGTATTAAGCTTAAAAGGAATATCCCACCCTCAACCATGGACCAGACTTGGATAAACAGACTCGCGCTCCAATTGAGATTTCTATACTCTCCTTAAGCTTCGGTTGACAGCCTTCCATTCGTGATCCATTCTTCTTTTGCTGCTTTCTTCGTTTCGCCTTTCCCGCATACTTGGGTGATCAACAGACCAGAAGTACACAATGGCCGACGGACGTAAGCATTGTCGTCTCTCCCAAGTTGTACTCCGTAGAGATGCTGATACAGTCTCAGTCAACCAAGCACGCGCCCTGAGAGTGGCCGAACTTATGAACGATTACCGGACTCTGCTTGTGCACATCTCACAATTAAATGTATCTGTGCCGCCGGAGGATCGCGCAGAGGAGGGCTACCGGGAACTTCGAGACTGTCTAGCTGCTGCGAATGCCTTGATGGCTTCAAGCTACAGCCCTAGCCCTCCGCCAGCTAACGCCTCAAGCGAGGAAGCCGAACAAATCCAGTTGCGAAGGTATCTATAGTGTCCTGGTCGCCTGAAAGCTTGTTCAGTTCTGACTGTAAACAGAGTCATACTCGACGGCTGTGCCCGAAGGTTCCAGGCTCATCGGATTTACCTGCGGGCTGCAGCAGCCAAGCGATGGATCATGCACCGGGACAGCATACTGCGCGGTCAGAGACCTGGGCCACAGCATGCAGGTCAATTGAAGGCTATTGGCAATGCTTTCCGTCAGGTTCGTTGACACCCATCTCGGCTGGATTGGTCATTATCCAATTGACATTCATGTGTTTCTGGTACAGGAACTCGCGCAAATATCAAACCAGCATGTTGTCGCAGATCTCCGTGCGGCTGATATCCGAGCAGGCCACTGGCTCGCTGATGACCCAGCGCTAGACGCTATTCTTTCTTGGATCCGCTCACGCCCTTGAGGGAATCCCACTGCTGTGCTGGTAACAGGTGGGTTCTTTCAATTTGCGGGTAATGAATGAGTGACGCAGTAATGGTAGGATGACAGGATGATTGGTTCAACACAACTTTTATGCATTCTTTCTCTGGATGGCTGGCATGGATTATTACTATGGTACTTTTGTTTTGTTGCAAGTGCAGCCCCCCTTTGGCTTTCTCCAACCCTGACGCTGGACGAGAACTTGGTGATTTTACTTGTTAAAATACTCTTCTTTGCTCTATAGTCTTACTTCTCTGATGTCGATGATATCCCAGTGTGCTGGCTTACACTCAATGCTTGGTTCTTTGTCAGAATATGCCATTTCCTCTATCTGTTCTTTTCCAATATTTCCATCATGCCCTCACCCATTTTCCAGAGGTCTCATCTAGGCTGGCATACGTTTCTATACGCTGCATCAGTCAGGAAAGACTAACTGGTATTACCCAGCTAATATTCATGATTAATTTCTCTGGTCTTACTTGTCTCGGTTTTTATTAAAACGATTTGGAGCCATCATCTGCTGCTTGCTCCCATGATATATTCCCAAAATAGTCCCTAAGATTCCGGCCCTCGTCTAGAAAAGTAGATATTAGCAGCTGGGCTAACACACGGGTCCAAGATCTCTCAACCGGCCCAGTGGACAAATCACAATTCTCCCTTCGGCCGTGTCTTCGAAAACTTTTCCGTTGGATGCTAATCAAGACCCCTGCAGTAGCTTATCATGCTGTGACGGCATACTGGGGATGGCGGGGGTTCAGCTGAGGTCTTGCAGGGCTAAAAAAGTAAAAAGTCCACCGTCAAGAAGCGATTCATTATTTCAATATTTTGCTTGGCTGGTGGTATCGCGTAAAGATTTCATGGTAGTACTGATGCTTAACATCATGTGGTTTTCGGATTCATTGGCACAGTTCATCCTAACACCGCATCAGCGTGCGAGGCTCTCAATTTAACGGTGTAGAATCCCAGACTATATCTTGATCGTCGCTGACATGACCGAGTTCAGTACTACCCATGGTCATTCCCATAGCTAGATCTGACACTGCAACCCAAACCAGTTCCCATGATGCCCTCGACCACGGCCACTCTAGCCTTGTTGCCAGGATCATGCGAGGTGTGGCTCTCAAGCTACTCTAGCCTCTTATGAACTCTCTACCTATTTTCCCACCTTACAGATTTCGCTTACAGGGCTTGAGTAAGACTCATATATCCCGCTTCGGGTTGTTCGTCCTACAGTGGCTTCCATGCCAGAGTTCGGGGCAGATGCCGACGCGCTCGTGACAACTCACCAGATGAGCCGTCATCGAAGATCGCACCCTCTGCGTCCGGAGACTATTCCTCCTTTCTCCGTACACCCGTACGGTTTCATTGGCGCGGGGAAGGTATTGCAGGTATTGCAATGGGGAATGTCTGCAGCCACCCTCGCACAAAGAAATGCAGAGACATCCTGGACGAACCACATGGGGAGATGGTCAGACAGCGCGATCACAGACGGTGTTGGTCTCGTGTCTGAGTGTTTCATGAGAATTCCACCAGATTGATCTCTTTTCGCTCCCACTTTGCGGGAAAAATAAGTATAAATATAGCTCCGCCGTCGGGCTTGTTTGTTCTCCAACGCAACTTCTCTTATCAGCTTTTCTCGTTCGCTCCTAGCAAGCTTAGATAAGCTGAATTTTCAGCCCCATTACTCCCCAGCCCCATTCTGCACCGCCTCACTCAGCTTCAGCCACACTTGCTGCCTGAGGTAAAAGGCAGTGTCTCAGGTACAGTTGAGGTCTGGAGTAAGGCAAGTACAAAGCAGGCTACAAGATTCTCTTGCTTCTGTTCCTGTCTATTTTGAGCAGAGAGCGCTCCACACTAGTGAGTACTTTCAGTGGCTGGCTCATGGTCTTATTGCAGTCCCATTTTCTTCTTGTTCCTGCCATCGCTCTTTTAATTCTTTACTACTTTGGAAATAATATCGTTCTGTTACACATACAGCTCGGTACTCGTTCATCCTCAAAGAACATATCCCTGCCCAACATGTCTGGATTCAAGACTGTTGGATATTTCGTGAATTGGGTACGTTTCTACCCCTCCATCCGTTGTTGTCCCGCCAGTTGCCCAAGATATAGCTACCCCGCGAATCTAACAAGCTTTGAGACAGGCGATCTATGGCCGCAATTACAACCCCCAAGATCTGCCGGCCGACAAATTGACTCATATACTTTACGCATTCGCCAATGTTCGTCCGGAAACCGGCGAAGTGTAAGCGCTCGATGGTCCACCGCAAAACTTTCAACTAACAATGAACAGCTATCTCTCCGACACCTGGTCTGATATTGAGAAGCATTACCCCACCGATTCCTGGAACGACACAGGAAACAACGTCTACGGTTGCGTGAAGCAACTGGGCTTGCTCAAGCGGCAGAACAGGAAGCTCAAGGTTCTGCTTTCCATCGGAGGTTGGACCTATTCCCCCAATTTCACTCAGGGCGCCGGTACCCCTGAGAGACGGGCTAGATTTGCCGAGACGGCTACTCGACTTATCATTGACCTTGGATTTGACGGTATGACATACCTTGAAGAGCTCAGGAGGTATTAGCTAACTTTTAGACCAGGCATTGATATCGATTGGGAATATCCCCAGGGTATGTTGCGTGGCCCATCGAGCACCAGTGTTCGCTAACCGAGACATAGATGACCAGCAGGCACAGAACTATGTTGATCTCCTTCGAAGATGCCGTGAGGTAGGCAACTCCTTGCGATTCCTGGACTTGTACTGATGTGTGCAGACCTTGAACAACAGACAAGGCGACCGCAGGTTTCAGCTGACTGTTGCTGTTCCGGCTGGTGAGTGTTCCTGGTCAATTCAATCTCTAATGTTAACCCACAAAGGCCCGGAGAACTATCGAAAGCTCCGTTTGAATGAGATGACACCATACCTCGACTTTTACAACCTCATGGCTTATGATTACGCCGGTAGTTGGGACAGCAATGCTGGTCACCAAGCCAATCTTTATCCCTCCAACGACAACCCGCAGTCCACTGCCTTCAACACCGCCCAGGCCATCAACCACTACACCCAAGTGGGAGGAGTACCGGCTTCAAAGATAATCCTGGGCATGCCGATTTACGGACGTGCCTTCCAGAACACCGATGGGCCCGGACGGCCATACAACGGCGTGGGCGAGGGAAGCTGGGAGCAGGGAGTATGGGATTACAAAGCGCTTCCCCGGGCGGGAGCTACCGAGTACCTGGACCGCAACATCGGTGCATCTTGGTCTTATGACCCGTCCTCTCGCACTATGATCTCGTACGACACGCCAGCCCTGGCCGAGATCAAGGCCAACTACATCCGAGACCGCCAGCTCGGTGGTGCAATGTGGTGGGAGACCAGTGCTGACAAGGGCGGCAAGTCCGCGAATAGGGCTGACGGAAGCCTGATTGGCACCTTTGTTGACCGTGTTGGAGGCGTTGGCGCCTTGGACCAGAGTCAGAATGCCATCGCATACCCTGACAGCCAGTACAACAATCTGCAGGCCGGGTTTCCTTGATGGAAGATGAACAGGCACGACGATATGTTTTCTCTTTTGGATTGACGCATCACGCCACGATTATACTCTCGCTCCATGTACATACACTATCGTTACTACACCGGTAGACCGGCCACGTAGATGAGTTTAGCTTTTTTGCTTTGATATTTTCATTCATATTTCAGTATTTCAAGATCACAAGGACTCTAAGAACGATCCAAGCGCACACGTTCTATCCTCAACTGCACCATCCCTCATACCGACACTGACATGAATGAACATGCACCACCGATCGAGGGGTGACGAAACGGCCCGGCTAGTCCATTTACTTGGACTCGTCAAAGACGTAGGTGAGGTGGCACTTGCCGCAGTACTGACGGTTCTGCATGGCAGCCATGAAGATACCAGCACCGCACTATACACTCGTTAGTGATCCGCTCTTCAGAATCATGAGAATGAGAAGTCTTACCTCAGGAGCGGGGCATTCACGGCGCAGACGCTCGATCTTGCCATCTCCATCGACCTTGTAGTACTTGAGCACAGCGAGCTTGGTCTTCTTGCGCTTGTGCTTGATCTTCTTGGGGGTGGTGTAGACCTTCTTCTTGCGCTTCTTGGCACCACCACGCAGACGCAGGACGAGGTGCAGGGTGCTCTCCTTCTGGATGTTGTAGTCGGAGAGGGTGCGACCGTCCTCGAGCTGCTTGCCGGCGAAGATCAGGCGCTGCTGGTCAGGGGGGATACCCTCCTTGTCTGTTAAGGAAAAAAGCTTGTTAGATAGAGACGAGGAATCTTTGCGGTGAAGGAACGCACCCTGGATCTTGGACTTGACATTGTCAATGGTGTCGGAAGACTCCACCTCAAGGGTGATAGTCTTACCCGTAAGGGTCTTGACGAAGATCTGCATGTTGGAAGGCCTTTGAGAGTGATGTTAGTCTCTGGTGATCGTGGACAGAAGTCAAGTCTGGTGCGCTCTCTGCTGAAGCTTCATTTTGCCTCTTGCTTTGTCGATGACAAATTCGGGTGCGCTACGGCGTAGACACATCTTGTCAAGGCGTAAAGAGGAATGAAAGTTCAGAGCGAACGATGCAGACTCCAGAGGTAAAGGGGAGATGCTCACCTCGACAGAACTTGTCTTCCTCAACCTTCGTGCGAACTTGCAGAAAAGATCTTGAAGGTTGGTGGAGTGGCTCGTTAAAATCGGGTTGTGTGATCACGTGATCTTAGACCAAAACGACCTAGTGGCGGAGACTCTGTCGGCAGGTCAGGTGACAGGAATAGTCATGTGATATTTGCTTGGAATTGTCTATGCTGATGTCATTGACAGCCTGGCTTTCAAGGCACCAATGATCTTCATCCTGCTTGACGAGCTGTAAAGCTTCACGATTGCCAACCTTGTGGATAAACTGCCAATTCTTTCCCCTTCGTTGGAAATTATCGAAAAATAGAGCGATGGCAAGCCCCAATAATTTAATCATTATGAAGCTATCGCAATTGAAGGGAGCGACAATGTCTCACCCTCGCAGGGCCTTGATGGCAAGCTGAAAAAGTCGAGACCAACGGAGCAGCGTTTTGGGCCGCTCCTTGAGTCCTTGCAGACAAGCTAGCGCACTCGGATCGCAGCCTAATTCATCGGGGCCATGAAATCTCCGGGCTGGAGCCAGGGCGCAGTGATGATATCGATCCACCCGGCCAGCCCGAGTAACCTGTGTCGCGGCCGTTGCTGGGCCAACATCCCCATTGTTGATCTGAACCGTGGATAGCTTCATCATCCCCATCCGCTTTTCTCTGTCTGGTTCCCACCTCTAAATACCTTAACTACCTTGGGGCTTGCTCTTGGTTTCCTCTGCCCAGACTCCGAGCTTGAGACGCTCATCAACACCCTTGTGTCGTGTTCTATCTTGCTTGCGTTCTCGTACAGTTTGAGGACTTAACAAGCTTTGTGCCGCAAGCTATTGTCTCGAGACAGATCTAGCCCTAAGAAAAGCGGTCTAACCTGTTGACTTTGGCTTTCTTGCTCTTCACTGCCCTTCTTCTTTAGCTTCATTTTCTAGTTTGTGGTCTTTCTTCGAGAGTTCACTTACTGACACTGGTACAGGCCGGTTCTCGTCCATCTGCGTGGCCCAGCCGGCTAGCAGCGCCCTACGTGAGGTTCGTATCTCGCCTATGCAGGATGCATCAGTGCATATGCTGATATGTATCATCTCTCCAGATCCCGCAAAAGTGATCTGTCCACTGCCCGTTTATCAATCGCTCCACGAGTATCTTGATCGCCATGCTTTCGAACCCACACAGTACCCTCCATGGGCGCCATCAACGGCATCGGCGACAGATCTCGACTCCTTCTGCGCTTGATGCAGCCAAACCTCCCAGCCTTCCTCCACAGGCAATGCACAGATATCACGCTCATCGTCGCGGCCAAAGTCTGGACCAACGGGCTGTGCAAGTTCAGCGACCACAGCCCATGCAAGATGCTTCAATTACTAACCAGCAGCTATCTTTCTCTCCATCCTCGACACTTGTACCTGGATTTTCCGACTGCCAATCGGACATTCTAGGCATAACCACCAGCAGTTATCAGAACCCTCAAAGCATGCCACTTATGAACCCGAACTTTGTCAACGCCGATGATCAAATCAGAGATAATCGGCCTGTCAACTATCACCTGAACCTCATTCAACAGCAGCAGCAGCAACTGCAAAATGTCAAGCTTGGGTGCAGCAGCACACTCGAAGGCCCACTCCTCGACACCAACGACGGCTGCTGGGATACCTACCACTCTGACCTAGCGCCATCACTTCAACGTGCTGCAAAGCCTGCCCCCCTTGACCTAAGGCGGCACTCAGTTCACTCAAACGCAAGCAGCTCATATCGGCCGCACACCCCAAAGAAAAGCAAAACACGTAAGCAGAGGGAGAAAATGACTGATGACCTTACGGTCGCTGATACATGTTGCAGTGTACTTTCCTCTTTCCCCAGCAACGACACCGTTCAAAAAAGCAGTAGACCTTGTCCAATTTGGTACGGAAACGCAAGTGTCTCCATTGAAGAATCATAATGTCGCCAGCACCAGCTCAGCACAATCGGAATATATGCAGCGAACCAGATCGCTCCAGGGAGTCGCTGGAACTACATTTTCTCAGCCAAAGAATGAAATGCCCTCCCCCCCTCATACAGACTCATTTATGATTGATGGTTTTGATACGTTTGACTATTCGCAGGGTTCCAGTTTTGATATTCTCAAGTCTGAAGATCTATCGCAAAACCAGTATCCATTGTCCTCTACGTCGTCAACTATCCCCTCGCCCGAAATTGCCGCCATTCCAAGCTCTGAAGATTTCATCGAGAGAAAAGCCAAAGTACCTATTTGTCCCGCTACTCCTAGCCGCCTGAGCCCCAGGAAACAGATTGGTACACCGTCTGCTGCCTCGGTAGTGAAGCCGAAGCTCTCTCCACGAGTTGCAACAATTGACAACCTCAACCTTGACGCCCGTGTTCACGCTTCAATCAAAGAAACCGGTGTCACCATTGACGAGATTGCATCCTTTATCCACGGACCGGATCCTGAAGATGGAAAATGGGTGTGCCTCCACCCTGGATGCGAGCGCCGCTTCGGTCGCAAGGAAAACATCAAGTCACATGTACAAACGCACCTGGGAGACCGTCAATATAAATGCGACCACTGCGAGAAATGCTTTGTTCGTGGCCACGACCTGAAACGTCATGCCAAGATCCATACCGGAGACAAGCCCTACGAATGTCTCTGCGGCAACGTTTTCGCGAGACACGATGCCCTAACTCGACACCGCCAAAGAGGCATGTGCATCGGCGGTTACAAGGGGATTGTAAGGAAGACAACAAAGCGTGGCCGACCCAAGAAGCATCGACCGGAGATGGAGGATCGACGAGAAAAGGCATGCAAAACACGCCAGAGAATCGCGGAGAAATCGACATATGACTCTTCTGAATCGGATATTTCCCGCCATACGCCGCCTTCGGAGACTTTTGAGAGCATGAGCCTTCAAGGCTCGACCTCTGCCGACGAGATGGTGGCGTTTGACAACCCGAACTACTTACCCCCAGAGGTCTTTACTTTCACGCCTCCCGAGTCCCCCAACTATGGCATAGGAAGCAAAACGAGAAGCCCACGATCACTCACGCCAAGCTCCGAGGACGAAATGTTGCCTCTTTCACCGTCCAAGCGCCCGCTAGAAAACATTCTGGAAGAGTCAGGTCTCCCACTCATCTCAGATGCCAATACATGCTCGTTCTCGACCGTTTCATCGCATGCCCTCTCTTCTCCGCATACTGCGCCAACTTTGAGCGACGCGTCTCAGCCATCCGATCTCGATATCTTCATCAACAGTGAACCTTCTTCTGGCTTTGGCAAGCACGAATTCCCCGGATTGGACGACCCGGACATGGCCACGTTCCCTGACTATGTGAATGTTTCTTCCTTTGACAACAGCTTGGATCTTCTCCATGGAAAGAATTTCTCTACCGGTCCTCCTGTGAGCGATGATTTCTTCTCCTTCCAATTCCAAGTTGATGAACAACCTTCGGACATGATGTCTAGAGAGTTCTTCCTGGATTAAAGGATATATACCACCACGGGCAAAAAAACGTACCACATAGAAGAAGACTTGACGGCGCAACGAACCCGCGGATAAATAATGGCTAATGTGCAACAATATACACGACTTTTACCACTTCATGACTTGGGAGCTATCAACGACTGGAACCACGCAACAGCAAACGACCTTCGACTTTCAAAACCACACGCTATGAGACCATGTACAATTCTACGACTGCGACAACGTGTCATTTCCGCGCAAATGTGTTTTCGGGACATTTTATTCCATCTTCTCCTTCTTTCTTTCATCATGGCATACTGTTTGGAAGGCGAACAACTGATTCGGTATCTGGGACGCTGAGCGAAACTGCTTTATAGATCGGCGTCATATCCCTTTTTTTTGTTACAGGCCGTCCTTTCCTTCTTTTGTGACTTTTATGCTTGAATGATGTCCTTCCGCCCTATCTTGAACCTTGTATGATGTTTACGTTTTTGCTATGTTTTCGAAAATATCCAAGCAATGAGTGGTCTGCTTTCCGTTCGAGGTGCTTCAACTGGCGCAGACCCTACCAGCCCTTGGTATTTATCTTCTTAATCGGTCGCTAAGTGATTTGTGTTTGTTGGCCTGTATTTTACTTATCTACTACTACTACGTAGTTTACGAATGACCTCGAATCCACCATGAACCTCGAACCCTTGATGCTCATTTTCTCCTTAAGATCTGTGTTACACCAGGTGTTCCATTCTCGTTCTCATCTAATAAGAATAAGTGCACAGGAGCATATGAGCACTGTCAAATACAAGAGGTATGCAGACCTCCTCTTACTAATGGGCACTTCTCCACCCTATCGACAGTTCAATCGGGTGGTCTTCCTCAGAAGCAAAAATATCACTCTGAACATTGCCCTTGGGTGCCTTGTCGGCGTAAAAAGTCGTGTTCCCTTGGAAAGAGAGTTTTCCGTCTTCAATCTAGCATTTATAGTTCTGTTAGCCTGGCGTTTGCGCGATAGCAGGGTATATCTTGTAGCATAGGGTAACGAGACGTACGCTGAATTCTACTGGAGTTGAAACATGGGAACCGCAAGTGAAGACGTCATCTTGGAAGGCGCAACCGCCTCTGCGGGTTTCCAATGTGAATGTGTCATCTAAGAAAGAGAGGGCGGTTAACGCAGTTCTCCGGCCCTTGGCATGGAAAGGAACGAACCTGAGATCTTCTTGCCCTTGAATGTGGCGCATGTGCCCGAAGAATACCAGGTACCGCGCCCGATTATGCAACCGCGCTGATGGCCCATGGAGGAGACGACTAGGTTTCCTCTGCCGATGAAAGGCGTGACTGTTCCTGTTGGCTCATGGGGATGTCGGGTTGCAGTGGGCTTGTGGTCGGGATTCTTGTTGGGCGTTTTCGGCTGGTAGAAAATGCCGGTGCTCGGGCAGTTGGATGTTTGGCCGTCTATAGTAATTTGTTAGCTTTTAGTGTGTGAATTAGATAGATTGAACAAACCTGGCTCTGAAGGGACGAATCTTCCCGTCTGCAGGGGCCCCTCGACATTGAAAAAGTACCAGACTTCCTGGAGCCGGTGGGAGCGGCATCGGACTGTAACAGTTGCGCCGTGAGCTTTGGATAATGCATCCTCTATCTCGCTGCGGGTGTATGTCTGGTCGTATGAAGGAACTATGCCGGCGTTCGAGAGTGTCTACAGTTCTGTAAGATAATTGGATACAAAGAAGGGTTGTGAAATGGGCCGGAAACAACGTCGACTAACCTCGAAGGTGGGAAGGTCATGAAACAGCTCAACTGTCTTGTCAAAGTAGTCAACAACTTCTTGTTGAGGGTAGTAGTCGGAGTAGCAGTGTGTTTCTAGTGTGCTAACGCAAGTGCCGTGTTTATTCCATTCATGTTCCCAGAGGTTGGGGTCGTCGCCTTTGTAGTCTTTCCAATAGGTACTCATTTGGTCGAGAAGGTCTCTTCGACCCGCATCAACAAGAATCAGAGAGATATTGCTGTACCGTCTGCGCGAGTCGCAAAACTGATCGAAGCCACCGTTACAGTGATCCGGCCTGAATAATAAATTAGTCCCCAGTACCATGAAGTAACAGGCGTACAGTATGTGCTCTTCATGCCCCGCAAACAGCACTCACCAAAGCCCATGAATAGTCCAGGAGCTCTCGGGACCAATAGCTGGATCAGCATCCCAGAATTGTGTCTGGAGCATCTGCCCTCCAGGGTAATTGAAACAGCATCTATCCTGGCCACGGTAGCTGGTCCGACAGCTCACCTCAAACTTTCCACATTGGTCAAAAGTACTGCCTAAAGTAGTAGCATCGGTATTTGAGAGACTTGAAAGGCTCAACGAGCCTGTTATGGTTTTCAGGATTTGCTGGGGCCCTGGGATGGCCTCCAGGAGACTCATTGTTGACTTCCAGCAGGGATATAGCTCCGAAGTAGTAGGCAACACGAGACGCTTACGGTTCGGGTTTTCCACGAGATACTTGTGACAAGGAGCGCTTATTCTTCCGGTTTCAGTGTGAAGGCTTTTGCCAATAGGGGAGGGCAAAGAGCTTGTAAGGCTTCCAACTGGGGGCAGTGTGGAGGCGAAGGTGATATCCAAAGGACCATCCACGTGAGCCTAGCATGACTCAGCCAAAGGTCACATGCCGCCCTCAGCCGATAACTACTAGTGTAGGCTGATAAGGGCCTGAGAAGGGAGCTTGAACCATGGAAGTACCAAAAAGCTATCTGCATAGATGAGCGGGGTATGATTGAAAGAAAGATATAGATCGTCTGATTCCAGTCGGGCGTGGCAGGTATGTTCATGCTTCGCCACTCTGTTCAACCGCGATGGCTTGTTCGTGCAACCGTTCTTTGTACAGCCTCAGAACCTCGAATCCAACCTCGACAGCAATGAGAAGTATAATTATCCATTCCAGTCGGAGGCCGTGTGTCTCGCTTAGTCTTTCACGGAGAACACTGGCAATTTCTTGCGCATAATCCATTTTCTCGTTGAGTAGCTTGATGCGGATTCCCACATCCAAAGCCCTTCCAACCTGCTCGTAGTATCCTTCCAGACCAAGCTCATGCCGACTATCCCAAAATAAATCAGGAAGCGAGTCAGTGAGCTCTGAGTAAAGATTCAACTGCGCACGGACGCTCAGCAGTTGGCCGGTCTTTCGAAGTATAAAATCTCGAGTAAAGGGGAGACGAGATCCCTGGGACAAAAGTGTCGGTATCGGCCGTGTAGATTCAAAGTAGCTGGCAAGCAGTGACTCCAAAACCGCGAGCTTTGTGCTGCGGGCCAGCCCCGAGGAGAATGCGACCTTGGTCAAAACTGTATCCACAGACTGATGGCCAGGCTGTGGCTCTAAACCAAGTTCGCTAAGCTTAGTTCCAAGGATTATGGTGTCGCCTTGAATACTACTGTTTTCTCGTTGAGCATCTTCGACGTACTCTAAATCTTCTGTTTCTAGGTTATCAACATGAGCTCCCTCTGCCGCCGGAAGGAGAGTCCTTGTTGCCAAGAACGAGGTAAAGCCCTCCGGAAGTGCCCATGAAACGACTGTACCCGAGGGAAAGACAAAGATGTCGCCGACTTCTTCGGAGGATAGACCAGCGGCACTGGGATTACTCACTCGGCGTATCGAATCGAGAGGAACTTGAACGTGGACAACTTGGGGATATAGGCCAGTCTCCAGAGGATCTGGCTCATAGCCTTTTTCTTGCAGAATATCGCGGACTTTGCGGATGTTGAATTGTTCGGCTACTGCATAGGCAGTGACTGCCTTAGGTTGAAATGTCAGCAATCGCAACCTAAGCCTCAACGAAAGAACGTACCTTTGTCTGCAAAAGGCCATCCTCCCTTAGCCGAGCTTTCGACCTGAAGTTATCCTTTGACCTCTGAGCCTCTACCGCGACTCTTCGTAGTGATACCGGCGCAGCTGGGAATCGTCCGCCCCTTCTCCGTTGCTTCTGAGATTCTAGTGTGGCCTTTTCGGTCGTCTCACTGACTTCGGATTGCTTTTGAGTAAGAAAAGCATTGGATGAGAAGAAGTCTTTTCGCCGAGGAAGAGTCAATGGAGACGACGCATGGAGACAATGGCTCTGAGGCTGTCTGAGTAGTCGAATCACTGCAGGCCGTTTACAGATCGACGAGACATGTGGTCGTGCAAACATGGTAGTACATAAGTTTGTTAATGCATATCATGATAAACTGTGAGTTCCCTCACAAATCGAGCATGCCCATAGACGAAGCCAGAAATGTTGCCGGCGGTAAAAAAAAAAAAAAAGTGATCAACATAGGCAAGAGTCTTGTTGGTTGACTAGTCCGGACTTGAAGCGATGACTATGGGCTGGCTTAGTCAGCCCCAGATGTGGTTAGCGTGGGACACTACCCCGGCCAGGTCCAGTCAGCTCCTCAGGCGATGTCATGAACGCTCCGTCTGCGGCGCTCAAGCTCAAGCTTCAGTCGCAGGAACGGAAAAAGCCTCCGCCATGGACGCGCCTGGCGCGACTGAGGCATTGGAGAATGTCCATCAAGAAAACGCGGCTCATAGATCGCCAGTAAGGCCAATGACCCATCACAGACGCCCTCATCGGCAACTACCCACCGAGACCGATGATAGTGAGACCGATCAATATGAGGATGGGGATGAGGAAGAAGGGAGTGTGACAGATATAGGGTCAGGACGAGATATTGGAGAAGACTATGAGGAGGAAGAGGACGAGCCGCATCTCAAGTACGCGTACTTGACCAAGCATCTTGGAGCTATCTACCGGAATGGAGACGCAACAAGTGCATTTATGGCCGCGGGGGACAAGATGGTATAACCTCAAGATTTGACAAATTCTATGAGACTGACTTCGTTTTCTAGATAGTTGGCACACATAACGGGAATATTGTGGGTATTAGACACCGCATTCCAACCTCGAAAGCTAACTTTGTTAAAGCATGTATTTTCCGTGCTTCTGTTTCGTGCCCTGCGGGTCTACCACGCGCATTCTGCCACCGTCACCTCGATTTCAACTTCGCCTTTTCCTCCGCCATCGCCGGATTTAAGACAGGGACATGAAGCGGTCGAGAACAGGCATGTTCCTCCCTCCAGCACCGGAAGCATCCGAGGCCAATCGAAGCCCGCTCCCCAACTTTCTATTCCCGCAAATGCCTCCAACTCGATCTATATAGCTACGTCCTCGATAGATGGCAATGTTTGTGTCTCATCGCTCGTCGATAAGAAGGATGTCTTATTGCGGAACTTTGGCCGACCTGTCCAAGCAGTAGCGCTGTCGCCGAACTACAAAAGCGATCGGACATTTATCTCAGGTGGGCGAGCCGGCGAGCTAGTCCTTACAGTCGGAGGCAGGGTCGGTGTAACCTCAAATTCTACAACGATGGGCGGCGCGGCCGCTACTGCCTCCAGCTGGCTTGGGACACTTGGGCTCGGGGCCAATACTGGCAAGGATACTATACTTCACAGTGGCGAAGGTGCAATCAGTACGATCAAATGGTCATTATCGGGAAAGTATATTGCCTGGGTCAATGAGGAAGGCATCAAGATTATGCGATCAAATCTACACCTCGACTCGACAGACCTGGAATTGGCATGGAAACGGGTTAGCCACACGGACCGTCCCAACCGTCCGGGGTGGGAGGAGATGGCTAGTGTCTGGAAAGCCCGGGCTGAATGGGTGGACGAAACTCTTCTAGAGAGCGAGCTAGTGAAATTATCACAGGATGAGTCGTCTACGCCAACACAAGCCACAGTGGTCAAGGAAAGATTTGAAAAACTAGTTGTTGGCTGGGGAGGTACTGTTTGGGTAATAAATGTGTACCCCGACCGGCCAAACAAGAGCAGTAAAGACCAAAAGATTGGATCGGTCGAGGTCGCTACCATGTAAGTTTTGTGCTCATCACGCGATAAGGACTAACAAGATCCTAGACTGCGGACGGACTGTATCATATCAGGAATCTCATTATATACACCGAACCTTCTGGCTGTTCTCGCGTATGTTGAGACAGAAACAGACCCGGCAGACGAAAGCGCAAGTCGACTAGGTGCTCGTCGCCCTCTTGGGCAAGAGCCCGAGCTTCGTATTATAGATATCGAAAGCAAAGAGGAAGTCAGCGCGGACACCTTATCGGTCAGTCGGTTTGAGAATTTGACGGCGTCAGACTACCATCTATGCGTTCTACCGCCGTGGAAGACCAATGTACGTGTGACCCAACGTGGGGCTTTGGAAGCTCTTGGTACCGGCCTTTGGGACGTTTCAATGTATCCCGCGCGCTTGTTTAGTTCAGCTGCGAGCATCCGCAGTACAGCAAGCAGTGGTGACAGAAACTCTAGCCGAGCGCCGAGCACGTTTGCTTCGCGCGGATTGGGCCCTGATGAATCTCTACCCACAGAAGTGCAAGAGGTTTCGGAGAGTACAGGCCCAAAAATATTCGTGCATAGTCCATATGATTGCGTGGTTGCTCTAAAGAGAGATCTTTCAGACCATCTCGCATGGTTGAACGCACATGAAAAGTATGATGAGGCATGGAGGCTTCTTGAAGATCATCCCGAAGCGGTTGGAAATGTTAATGACGATAACCTCTCCATCCTACCGGGCAGGTCGCAAACTAGCCTGGGTGATTTATCCGGCGATGACAGATCTTCTATCACGGCCATAGATCGCGGGTCAAACAACAGTGCTGCCGAGCAGGAAAAGCGCCGCATTGGCGAGCTATGGATAGGACAGCTAACGAAAGATGATAGATGGCAAGAGGCTGCCCATGTTTGCGTGAAGACACTAGCTGCCACGCCTAGATGGGAACATTGGGCCTGGACTTTCATCAAAAACGACAGACTTGATGAGATATCGTCAGTTATCCCAACTGGTCTACGTCCACCTTTGTCTTCAAAGGTCTACGAGGTCATTCTTGAACATTATCTTGTTCATGACCGACAAAAGTTCAGCGAGCTCATTGATTCCTGGCCTTTTGATCTGTTTGGGGTCGACAATTTGACAGCAGCTATCGAGGAACAGCTGGGATCCTACAAGGGTTCTCCAAGGTCGGACGATGAGCGAACATTGATGTCGTGTCTGGCCAAGTTGTATCTGGCCGGCGGCCACTACAATGACGCGTTACGCTGTTATATCATACTTCAGGATGCAGACACAGCAATGGCCTTGATCAAAGACCACCGTCTTCTGGATGCGCTCTCGGATGATATTCCCGCCTTTATCATGATTCGTGTGTCCAAGGAACAAATGAAATCGGCACCCATCGCCGAACTTGCAGAGATTACAGCTGAACCCATCAAGCTGCTTGTCAATGAGGCACACACTGGGATTGTCCCCTCAGCAGCAGTCGTTGAGCAACTAGAAGCAGCCGATCGGTCTTTGTTCATATTCTTTTATTTGAGAGCTCTTTGGCGTGGGGAGTCTCTGCCCCATGAGGCTGATAAACCCCGTCGGGGACGGCATAGCCGAGATGCTGCTTCTAAATTAGCCGCCGATGAAGGCAAGAATCTCGTGGACCAGTTTGCTGACAGAGCTGTGGAGCTTTTTGCGCAGTATGATCGCCCGCTACTTTTGGAATTTCTACGAAGTAGTACAGCGTACACATTCGATGTAGCTGTGAACATTTGCGAGCGCTACCGGTTTACGCCCGAGCTCATTTACTTATTGTCCAAGATGGGGCAGACGAAGCGAGCATTGAATCTAATCCTTTCCGACTTAAAGGATGTCTCGCAGGCTATTGCGTTTGCGAAGTCTCAGGACGACCCAGATCTGTGGGAAGATCTCGTCGACTACTCTATGGACAAGCCCCGGTTTATACATGGCCTACTTGTCGAAGCCGGTACATCGATAGATCCTATCAAGCTAGTACGGCGGATCCCAAGTGGTCTGGAGATAGAAGGTCTTCGTGAGGGCCTAACTCGTCTTCTTCGGGAGCACGATCTCCAGGCAAGTATCAGCCAGGGCGCTGCGAGAGTCCTCCAGAGTGAAGTGGCGATTGGCATGAATACCCTGCGCACCGGTCAACGGCGAGGAATCAAATTCAATGTCATAGAGGATTCGCCGGTCCCAGAACAGCAGGTTGAGCCAGACGCCGGAGATGACGCTGATTCGCAAGCACCGCCACCGAATCTATCTGCACCGCAAGCTGGAAGATGCGCAGGCTGTCGTCTTCCTTTCCACGCCAACGGTGAGCCGAACCTTACTTTTTCAAGAAGTTTCTCATCTTTTCTGATGGCGCTAATATCTGTAAAAGAAAAGGAAGTTCTTGTCGCATTCGCCTGCGGCCATGCATATCACCTATCCCATGTCCATCAATCCGAGTCACCATCGCCCGGGCATACGTCTGGAACTGAATCGGGCACTCAAACTCCACGCCCACTCCTACCATCACGCACTCCAGCTCTCGATGAATACTCTTCATCAACATCCCGAACTGTGGGTCCCAAGGTAACTACGGCTCGACTCCTGCGAGATAGAATCGGTGATGGTTGTCGGATATGTGCTTTGGCCAAGGACCTGGAGGCTATAGGAGATTCTGAGGGCTACCACTAGTGTAATTTGGGGCCAGGCACCTAATCATAAGCGCTATGTCTGAGTGAAGGGATGTACAACCTCTATGATATTTTCTCCAGCTAACACTGAATTTTGGGAACGCTATCCGACTGCCAGCGGGCCTACCATGACTACCGACATTTGGAGGGATTTGTACTTTACGAGAGATACCCATGTTGTTAATTCTATGCCCTACTGGCTCGTAATTATATCAAATAATATAAATAAAGGCGAGCCTACAGTTCGTACCTGGGTACTGAACAGACCCTAGCGCGAAATCAATGAGCTAGCGTAGCAGTTGCATTTCCTGTAATGCAGCCCTCATCCGTGCACGATGCTACGTGACACAGATCAACAAGCTCAGCGCCATCCTCGATCACTGGGTGTGAGAAGAGAGCTTCTCTCCTTGCGTCCGGTGGCTTATGGAGCCCCAAGGCCCAAGTTTAGATATGGTCGGGGGATATCATATCACACTTATATAGAGTTAAACACAGTTTCCATACACCGAATCCTAGACATCGACCTGAAAATAGATCATGTGTATATGCGTCGAATGTATATATCTCTCTCTCTCTCTCTTTCGGACATGGATATTTATAAGAGGCTCAGAGAGGGCGACAACTTGAACTGTAATCGAAGACCGGAATGAAATTGGATTTCGAGTTTGGATACATAAGTACAGAAAAGTACTGTAATACTCACCTTGAGTCCAGTGCGCAGATAGTTGAAATTAAGTGCTGCCTGCTAGGGACCCAAGAGTCAGCTCGGAGATTTCCTAAACCAGTAATAACCCAGCAACACGCACCATATCCGCCACTGAGCGGTAGTGATGTGCAGCTTCCAAACTCAAAGCGGAAGACCCATTTTCTTTTGTGGTGTCCGGAGTAAGCGACGATCGAACTGTTGTGTCATCTAACAAAATCTCAATTGTCTGAGAGAGAAGGCGGAAAGGAGGGTATATTTGCTGCACCACACCGCTAACAGAGCATAAAGCGACGCCACGACGGCAATGAGTTATTCATCCGTTGCACAAGGATTGGAGGTTCGAGTAATGTCTGTCCCAGAGCGATCGAATGATAGTTGCTCCTTATCCCACACGGTCAGAGAGGCGAAGCGGCGGTGCATGTGGCGAGTACGAGACGTTCCGCAAAGCCGTCCGTTGTACGCCATCGTGATAGTCTCGAATACAACGTAGCCTTCAATGACATCGTGTCGAGCACTGGTATTGGTGGAAGGCGTCGTCATTAAAAGCCCGTGAGTAATGATAATCGAGTCCGTGGTTCAACGGGTTTGAAAGGAAAAGGATGGACCAGTGGAACTCAAGATTGAGCCGTAGGACGCTGCCAATTGTTGCCCACATGGGCAGGAACAAAAGTTAATGGTCGAGATGATGCGGAAGATGGTTCCTGAGGGGCGATAAATGCGCTCATAACCTCGTCTAGAGTACGTATGTTGCATGACTGTGAAGAGATGTCGGCTGGGGGCCTAGTCCGAAGAGGCTACTGACAGCACAGCGTCCTGAGATCGTACCTTTGCCCTCGGGATGTTGAAAGAATGGAGAGGACCAGACCATAAAAGTTGGAGATCGAAATTCCACTGAGGCTTTCCGATGATTGGGCCACAGAGCCCAGCGACAGCGGAAGGCCAGAAGGCTCATGGATCTGATCAACACGGCTATGGCGATTTCACTTTCTCAATCGCGGAGCGCATGAGCGGACTCGCTCGGTCGGAAGTTCCAGACTCGTCGACTCAGTCACATTCTGTCAGAGCATCTTGTATCTGAAGTGCCAGGCAAGGAACTCTTTGCCTCACTTTCTCTGCTTCGCTCGAGGAGTGCCCCCAACTGCCTCAACATGCTCCTGTAGACGACAAGAGCACGAAGCTGCCAGCAGCCGTTTGCCGGACTATGATGTCATTATGACGAAATAAGTTGCTTTCATATTCTCAGCTTCCCCCGAATATCCGACGGTGTCCCTTAGTGTTCCGTTTATCTTAGGTGTGGAGTGCCACTGTGGGCAGTCCGCCGCCCCCACCATTTACTATCTACTACATATTCCATTCAATAATGTTCCTCTCGCACTGAACGGTCCGGGATGGCAGTCCGACAAATGAGATTCGATCATTTGGTTGAGCTCGCATTCCACGATCGGCTTATTGGCTTCCTCGCATTTGAGGACTGGAAAGAGGTAAGAAGCTGGCAGATGACTCTTCAGTGTCAATCTGTGTTTTTGAAGGACGACTCACTAATGAGACGTTCCTCCCTTGGTAGGGGCTGTGTATTGATTAATACATGATCGCCGACGTTTGGGAGCTCGAGCCTCGAATGGTGTAATGCCTGCACTTTTCATTGGCGGATAGCTGAACCGATGCAATTTGCAGAATGCTCCCGAAGTCCCGAAACTATTATTCCAATTTACATCCTGCTAGTATCAACATTTCTGGAGAGATTGTCGTGATTCTGGCCAGCTCCCCTTTGGCAGGAACACTTCATTGATTCATCTCCCCTGGAACACTTTTCATTGAATCCTCATTGGTTGATTGTGTCCACTTTGGAGTACCTAAGGTACTCCAGAACATACGGTGTAAACCGCCAGAACAGACAGCTGTATGCAAATTCTCTCCATTCAGACTCACTCACTAATTATGTACTCGACTAGCAACGATGAAGCTATACACAACTTGTGCTGGCAACCTCGGCTACAAAGTATGGTGAGTACGTGGGCGGACCTGAAGCCCCGAGAACTACACCACTACCGTAGTCAGACGTGCCTCTCGTAGTAGTTCTTCCAGCGTACAATTGGGTTAGGTAAAGTACTGGTATGTCGACTCAGACAGCGAACGGCGACTACGGCTTCGTGCTATAAAAATCGTGGTCCAGTGATGACTGCAGATTGTCGGTACAAGGCAACCAATTCATTGACGCTTCTGTCAGATTAGATTTCGTGTACTCGGAGTACCCCAAGAAGATCATTAATACTAGGTACAGCATGCCCTGTGAGAAGCAGATCCGACAACGATTTTATCTCCAGAATCTGAAACCGCCAAAAATCAGCCCACATGCAAGCCGACTTGCCCTAGCCGATTGCACAGCACCATTGGGGCGAGACTTTATATTGTGGCTGAACCTAAGAGACGCCAGAGGTTCGCCATGGGTCTATGACCCTTGCCATGGAGCAGCCACCATTACCTCCTTCTTAGAGTGACAGCGCGCGAAAGTACTCCTCGTGGAACCTAGTAGGTTTTGATCGTCGTTACTTGCTTGGGTGATTATTATACCGGCATTGAAAAGGCCTTGTGCCCCGCATTCTCAAAGATGACTCTATTCAATTGTCTGCAACAGACCCCGTAAAATGACATCCTGCAGTGGTAGGAGCAGCCTTGTCCCTGACGCCGGACGGTGATGGCTCTGACGGCAGTCTTGTATCTACGATGGAGAGGCTACCAGAAACTTCCAGGATTCTAAAATACCAGTGGTATCGGCCATGGTACGGCGGAAACGCCAATCCATCCTGGGCTAATACCTTACCTACTATGTTTGAGTATTTACTGCCCCACACCCACAGCAGCCCCCGCTGGCATCCAATGTCCATCGTTGAGGCCCGTCTGGTTCCGTTCCATTAGAATTCAGAGAAAAGAGTAAAATTGGAACATCCATGTAGACCACTGACCAACGCAAAACAAAAGAGAGGAGCAATCCAGGTCTAAGTTTCTAGAAGGGTTCTTATCACTTGGGTATTCACCATTTCACACCATTCTTTCCCGCCTTACTAGCACACTCCCATCTGCCTTTCGCCTATAGGTGGCTCCCCCCCTTTCGAGGTCGCTCTTGGATTGATCGCATCGCATTCTTTCCCACATCTTCTCCTGGATCTTTGGGTGGTTTCTTTCTTTTTCTTTGCTTCCACTATTGACTGCTGCTGAGAGCACTGACGACTCCCCTTCCCCCCTTTCCTGTCTTGTCCTGTCTTACTCGTCTTCCACCTCCACAGCCGCTATCAACGACCAGCCGTTCACCACAAACTTGCTGCTTCTCTCCTCCGCCCCTCCATCGCAGCGAATCTGTTCCCTCTTTCTCTCAAATTCTCTCTTGAGTCTTTGAGCACCGCGGCTTCCGCTTCCTCTCAATTTTCGGCGCACACACACTTCTCCGCGCAGGACTTTTAGACATCACTCGCTCTTCTCCAGATTTTGCCAGAGTTCTAGCTTCGTATGAACTTTGCGCCTTATCCGACCGCACTTCGGAGTACTCGCCACATCTGCTCTTCTCTGCGGCTTTCATTTACCTTGATCCGACGACCGTTCTCTCATTTCGCGATTGCATTAATACCATGATCAGCCGTCTCTCGCTTTTGAACTTTATCTAATCATACCCCATCACCGCTTCGCGGGCAACCAAAAACAACGAGGGCGCGGGGACAAAGCGGGAAAACTCCCAGACTTCGAGTTTCCAGTTTTTTCTCTGGCGCCCGGTTAGATACGCATCGCCAGTAACTTGGATGCTATCTTTACTCCTGTGCCACTCCTCTATTTGACCTCAGACTGGTTTCCGCTCTGTCGATTCTCCGGCGCGTATTCACGCTCTTAATAATAAGCCACCATGTTTCGCAACAGGTAGGTTTCTGTGCCGTTTCGTGGACTACAATTACGTTGTACACTAATAATCATCCTATTTTGTAGACGGAACTCTCAGAAGCCCAATGAGGAGCTGATTCAGCGATTCCAGAAGATATTTCCAGATGTTGTCGTTCCCTCAGCTACGCTCAACGATGCCGCGGCAACGCTCCACCCCCATTTCCCAATGGGACATATGACCCCCTCCAAGTACGTCCTCACTTACTTTACCCCTGAAACCTACCCAATAGTTCACTCACTGACCTTATTGATATTAGGTTCGTCGTGGACACGGAAATGAAACTCGATCCCGCCATGCCGGCACCGACGCAAGATCAGTTCATGGCCCCCATGGTCGATCCAAACTCTGTTCAATTTATCAACCCGCTCAATCAGTACCATGGTTACTATACTCCGAACTCAGGAGGGTTGGGTGCTGTGTATCACAGCCCTGCTGGTGACCTTCATACGCCTGGGATGGGTATGAACGTGATGACTCCCGTCTCTCTTTCACAGCAGGCTGGAGTTCCGCAGAATAATACGGGAATGCCTCTTGATCCCTTCCACCCGCAACTTATGCCGCCACACTTTCAGAACCCACAGCCGTTTGCGCCACACGCAGCATTTGCACCCAGTGCATTTGTCCAGAGCGATACAGGTTTTGATGTGGTAGATGAGTCACTTGATGAAGGGTCCTTAAATGATGTGGATATGCAAAGCAGCGCTCAGACACATATGACGACGGCGAACCGAGATTCTGAGCAGCAGGACTCTCAACCTGGTGAAAGGTAGGCATCTGTGTCGCCATTCTTATGGCTGAGCTAACGACTCAATAGCTTTAGATATCACGTCACGTTGCGAGCGCCGACCGCTATGATAAATCACCAAAACGAAATTCCAGTTACATACCTAAATAAGGGACAAGCTTACTCCATGTCCGTTGTCGATACCGAGTCGTTACCGTCAAGCTCCCCATCCGTGAGATACAGAACCTACGTCCGAGTGTCATTCCAAGAAGAGGAACAAAGATCGAAACCCGCCGCATGCTGGCAGCTATGGAAGGAAGGTCGAGGCACTAGTGAGGCTCACCAAAGAGGCGGGAAGCTGCAAGCTGTCGAGTACGTGGATCCTATCCAAGGAAGTATAGAGGACCAAAAGAATCGTCAGATCCAACTGGAGAGTTCCTCGTTCGATGGGTTTTGTGTTACGTGGTCTCCTAATCCGACAACGGGCGCATCGGAATGTGCCATCTCTGTTCGATTCAACTTCTTGTCTACCGACTTTAGCCACTCCAAGGGCGTGAAAGGCATCCCAGTTAGATTATGCGCAAAGACGGAAATGATCACTGGCGATTCTCCCAGCTCAGATGATAGCAAAGAAGCCGAAGTATGCTACTGCAAAGTGAAGCTCTTCCGTGATCATGGGGCTGAACGAAAATTGTCAAACGATGTGGCACACGTCAAAAAGACCATCGAAAAGCTTCGTCAGCAAATCCAACAGAGTGAGTTGGGCCCTGGCGGCTTTGGTAAAAGGAAGCGCAGCAGTGCCACAGTCGCCTTCAAAGGTCCCGACCAACGTCCATCAAAGATGTTTAAGCACAAGAGGACATTGTCTATAAGCTCTCAGGATGGCCCAGGTAAAATGAGTACTGGCGATGATCTGCACGAGAAGCTTGTGCTTCTGCAAGACATGTTTTCATCGACCAGGCCTATAAGCATCCTCGGTCTTCGAGGCGACGAATATGATGACCCAGACGCGTATCCCGTGCAGCTTCCGGAAACTCGAGATTTCTCTAAGAAGGAATTCCCTGGGGGACGTCAATTCAGCATTGACCGAAGCGCCCTGCAAGAGGCATCGCCAACCAGCAGCCACATGTCGATTAACTCCCCAATCCACCCACAAAACGTCATGCAAGCGAACGCCTTTTATGACTCCGAATTTTCGCGGCAGTCATCCGAAATACCAGACAACAAGCATATTTTAAAACATCCCGTCAAGGTTCAAAGGGTCCCGTCAAAGAATGGCAACACGATGGGTTATATAGAGGCGGTGGATATTGACCCAACCTACCGGCCACCGGCCGAACGGCAGCCCAGACCCAGTATGCTATTAGCCCCCAAAATTTCCAGATATTCTTCTCGGTTCAATCTAACAAGTACAGTTGCATGCTTCTACGTTCGCTTTCCAAAAAATGACCAGCAACAGGATGATTATTACCGTGCGGTTTACCTTACAGAACGGACTGTTCGTGACTTGATGGAGAAGATATCTATGAAACAACGCATAGATCCGCAACGTATCATGCGTGTACTTCTCGTGAAAGAGAACGGCCTTCGGATCATGGTCGATGATGATGTGGTCCGCGAACTTCCAGACGGACAAGACATGGTGGTTGAGATATCGGAAGCATCGACATTTGATGCCGTGATGGGCGGCGGCGCAAATACCCCTCCCCCGGTCGAAGTCAAATTGAGATACTAGCAATCTCTCTTTCAGCTACAGTTACACTTTCACTTCACCTTCGGAGCGAAAGATACCCTCATGATTTTCATCCAGATACGCCTGGTGCGTTTGAAGGCTTGGATTTGATGCTAAACGGCCTCTCGAGCATTGTGCTTTTTCTTTACCCGGTGTTCAGGTTCATTTTCATCTTTTCGATGCGGTCACTTAGGGGCGTTGGATACGGGGATAATAAACGAGTTCCCGGGCAATGATACCCTGTTTTCTACGAAGGCATTTCACTTGGATGCTTTTTTTTTTTTTTCCTCTTTTTTTTCTGTTTTTTTTTTTTTCTCGAAACATACTAATCGATGATACCGCCACCATCTCTGTTGTTCTCGGTGATGTTCTGCCGGCTGCTTGTGCGACATGCTGACAAGCATTGCCATTTTATGACCATTGTTTTCGGTTGCGATATATCGTGGTTCAGGTTTGAGGGACGATCGATGCACACGAAGAGATACCCTCCTATTCTAAAAGGATCGAAATTGATGATGTCCGTTCTATGTTGGGTTTCTTGCCGACACACTCTAGTCCTCGACTCAGTGATTCGGACCTACTTTTACATTGTGATATAGGACAGGCTCTGTCAGCGAACTGTCTGACAAGGAATTGCTGGTCTAGGAATGATTTCCTGGTATGGCATGCTTTGCGAGAAGAGGAAGAAAACAAAGCTGTATGTAGCCTGTCAGCGGAATGGGTGCCAAGAAAATACTACTTGTACCCCTGGATGAGCGCATTTAAAATGGGGGATGAAAGCGTTATATTGGAAAGGCATAGGTTCAGAATACGTTAGCCTAGCTCATGAAAACTTTGAAAATCTCGATGTGACAAGTAGCAAGGATTGCCAGCAGGGACTACTTCTCCATGCGAAGGGATATAACTATTGCGAGTCCTCCAAGGAAGCTCGGCTTGATCAGAAGGATATCACTCTCTGCCTTCTCGGGTTGTGATGTGCAAAAAACCGTTGGCCCTACAGAGCTTATCGCGAGTCCAGGAAATGGAACCCTAGCTTGATCCACTGAATTGGAAAGATGTTTTAAAGTCCCTGACGATCCAGAGATGAATCTCAGGAGATCCTTTCTCTCGAGATACATCACCGCCATCGTTATCAAATATTGCCGATGCACGAAAATCAAAAAAAAAATCCTGCGCCACTGCGTCATCGCTGCATGTTTTCCTTGGATGAGATTGCGAAAGGGGGAAAGATCGCTAGCGGAGTGTGCCGGTGTGGAGTAATTTGAGCTGCTGTATTTTCCCATGCCAAGTCTGAAAAATTCGAGTGGCGTTTCGGGTATTTTACGCTATCACTCTATACTTCCCTCGACTGCCTGGGGGTCGAGAGGTGGGAAGGGAAGGGTAGTGGCAGTTGCAGCCCGCTTCCCAAAATTAATGAAATACGCTATATTCAGCCATCTTGTGCGACTGGTATGTGCCGAACAATCGTAGGAAGAAAGGTCGGACGAACCAAACTCTTACTACTAGTCCAACGTCGTCGCAGTCCCCTCAAGTTTGTCACTGCGCTGCAGGAACAATCGCGACTCGACCCCTCAACAAAGCTTCTTTAAGCATAAAACCAGCTTCCAATCCTCGCCGATCTCCATAGAGTACGGTCAGGGCGCTCGAGCTAACGCACTGCAGTAGATCGACGGGTCTGGAAGAGGGATGGCCTCTCGCCCATTGGATCCCGCAAGCATTCGCGAGCTCAACGGCCAGCAGCCACCCCTGATAAGCTTAAATAGCCCGTACTAACCACCGATGCTCGATTACGTCGTTGGGTGCTATATATGGTATCATGGAGAGGCACTACTTTAGCGGACGCGCGCTTTTCCGTTTTGTTTGCAGCGGGAAGCCTGGCCACGTTCTGCGGGCATCCCTCCACATATTTGTGTGCTGACTACTGTGTGCGACGGCCAATCCAAGAGGGCCCTAGTGGCTGCTTTGCTGTGAGGCATGGCCTGTGGTGTTCGAGACGGTTGGGCGTTCTTGGTCGCTGCATTGACGCATGCTTTGTATCAGAAGCTGCTACTCTAGCATGGTAGACTGCTAGAAAGGTTCCTAAGCATGGATTGTTTAGTATGCGATGAACCCCCACAGCATGGGTATACTAAAAAGTAGAGAAAGTCGCCGAAGAAACGAGTGGTGGGTAGGCGCTTTCTCCGTGAGTGCATTTCTGTCGTACCTTCCCAAATCGGAAGTGTGCTTTGAGAGAGTAACACACAATTCACCTACCTCGCAAGCACATCCAACACTTGACATTGGCTTGTAATCTCTTGCTTTCCCATTTCATCTGTTACTCCCATTCACACCTTCGTTCTCTGGATCAAACTGGCTTTGCTCAGCTCGTTCTTGCTCTTGCTCTCTTCGTTTGCTTCGCGTCTAAGATTTTCTGTCTAGTCGCTTTTCTCAATCCCAGAGATCTTCGCCTCGAAAGCTCTTCGCAATGGCCTACAATCTTGTGGTTATTCTGTTTGCCCTCCTGCTGGCTATCACTGGCTTTGCAGATGGTAAGTCTGGCCTACGCGGAAGTGGACTGACGTCCATCCATGGCTGTTACTGACTCAGAGACCAGAAAATGCCAAAGCAATCGATGCCGGATTCGGTGGCTTCGATCTCAAGAGTTACTCGAGTATGTCTTTGGACCTGTGACAAATACTCTATGCGTACCCTAACCTCAAGAAGACTACGACGGCAATGATATCCGTGCTTTCGTTGATCACATCCTCCTCCCTCGTACTGGTAAGATCCCGCAGGTCATACTTCCACTTATCGGCGCAGTACTGACGATGCTTTATAGATCTGGCTACTGTTACTGTCACTGAGACCTTTTGCGGCGTTGACGGACCGACCTCGCTCCCCGATTCGCCTATCATCTCGATTCCTGAGACGACCATCATGACAGACACTTATGCGCCCGTGCCTGTTCCTACAACTGAGGGCCCCCCTGTTTTGTCCGAAACTGAAAGTGCTTCATCCGATGAGACCACTGCCCTTACTTCACCTGCCTCCCCCGGTTCTCCTCTAGCTCCCACCGCGTCCTCGGGCGGACTGACAACCACGCTTCAGACTAGTTCATCTTCCTCTGAAGGCGACAGTGGAGGACCAACCGAGACTTCTAGTCCCCCGACTAATACCAGTGCCCCTACTGCCAATGCGGGATTCAACCAGAAAGGAATGGAAAGTGTGATACTTGCGTTGGCATTGACTTTCGTTCGACTCTTCGGGGTCTAACTTTGCCAATGGGCTCTTTCATCGCTCAGCTATGCGTTAGGAGCCTCAGGTTGATGTGCCCTACTTTCTTTATGCTGTGGATGGTACCAAACTCGAGAGTAATGTCCTCTGTTTTCATTTGATACGGGATGCACGTGTATCCACACAGACTGCTCCAACTGATGGCGAGACGATACATGTTTGTAATCTTAGCGGCCGAGTGCTGCTGATTTAACCAACCAATTCCACTCGATCTTCGACATCAAGCTGTAGTCCAGAAAGTTCATGAAAGTAAACCCCCCTCGTTGGCAAATCGCCTCGCTTCTGGTGGTGCTGGGGCAGGACATCCTAGCTCGCTAGGCTTTTGGGTAGCGAACCCAGTGAGATCTGAAGCCTACCTCCATTAAAGCAAGCTTGACAGATATGATGCATGGTATTATCTATGACCTCCTGGGCCTATTATCGATTATGTATAATATAACCACAGACTGAACCACCCATGGTCTAAGTCCAGCTTATTTCATGGTATACATGACCTTTTCAACCACTAACGCCTTATAGTTTCAATCACAGACATGTGTCTCGCGGATGAGAAAAAGAAACCCCCAAGCGCCGCCTGTGCGAGCAACAAATGAAAGAACGCACGTATAGACATTCGGAAAAGTATGATATATGTATGCACTCGTCGGCTGGAATGAGAATATGCCGTCTCCGAACAGGAGCTCTGCTCAACCTTGTTGAGACCGAGGAATGTAGGTTGACAGCGGGTATCTCGAATGAGGACAAGATAAGATGCACAAGTGATGAAGAGGCCAGCGCAGATGCTGGCATACCGCTCAAATGGTTTTATATGGCCGAAGGTAGCGAAGTTCAGGGTCTAGAGAGCGGAGAGTCCGACACGTTGATCGCGTGGTGGCTAGTGCCTGAAACTGGCCGGTAGACATGCTCGAAGAACAAACTCAAATGGCCGAGATCTTTCGTAGATACGGTCAAGAGTCTAGTACGGCATATTTTTCGATCGGGCGTGATATTCTTAGTGCATGATGATGAGAGAAAGGCCGTCGACCCAGGCGCCGCATGATCCCGAGACACCGGCAACTTTATAGCCCAATGGAGGAATCAGATTGTAGCTATAGCATTTTGGTTAGTATAGTAACGAAAACGGGACTGAAAGGTAATCATACCCTGAGCCTCCACTTGCATTGCCGAAGACGCCAGACTTTCGGCCTAAGCTGGTCAAAATCTCGATAGCGTCGATCCAGTGGCCTGCCCGAACGTAGAAGCCTAGGAGTATTTCTCCACGTCGTGTATCTGGCCCGTGATTTAGTAGGGAGATACTAGTTTTATCATTCTGATAAACTTACCCAGGACGAAGTCGTCAGGCTTTCCTTCCCGTTTCCCAAATAACTGACTTGTTGCATCTTCGTAGAAAAATTCCAAACCATGCAACTTGGCGTCATGATAAACCTTGATGGATGTCAGGAGTTTAGTGGACTGGAAAGCACAGTCTAGGAGGACCTGCTCGGATTGAGTTTCAGGTAGTTGGGATAGTCCAAGCTTGCAACCTCGAAATCCCAACCCCTTGGGAAGCTTGACCTGGGAATTCTTTGTTTTCAAGGTGCTGATCGAGTCAACGGTAAACTTGCCCAGCGCACCGGAAAATATGGACATCTTTATCTGCTTTTTCTTCTCCTTGTCGGTACCGAAAACACGTTGTCGCAGCTCACTCTCCGTAATCGTGACCTGTTTGGGAAGCCCATTGCTTGTCGATTCACTGTTGATATATTCGATAAAGTTGCGGCAAACCTGATCCTCTTCGGCATACAACTCTATGAAGGCAATCCCAGTCGTGGCTGTCAATAAGATCTTGCCGTTCTCGACCGGCCAAACCTGGACACTATCGTCCGAGCTCATCGGGGAATCATTAGGGAGGCGGAAGCAGGGGTGAAACCGGAAGCGCAGAGTATCTAGCCTGTGCCACGTGCATTCGTCCTGTGGTAGGCAGGGATTAAGACCCTGCGTTTTCGTTCGAGTTGAGAATGGCTCGCGAGTAAGGAAGGAACGGTTAAGACGGACGTAATCTCGGAGCATGATCCCTGATTCCTGATGAGGGCAACCAAAGACGTGACCAACTTCGTGTAGATGAGCTCCTATGCCGATATTGGCAGACTCCCAGTTTGACCCACCCTCGCCACAGTCGTTGGCGACATGGTCTGTGTTGGTACGGGTACAATCCGTGAAAGAATCCACCACTTCTTCCAAACTAGAAGGGTAGCTTTGAAGGCAGTGAGACCCGAAGATCGCCATTTTCAGGTCGCCTTGGCTCGAGCCTAGGGCGGCATGACCAGTGATGATCTGCGATTCCGTATCCCAATGGGAATCGAGCAGTAAGACGGAGACATATTGTTTCTGGCCCGGTCTCAAATGAAAGTGATCCTTTACAGCGTCCTGCGCGATGCGGAACAGCTCATCCTTCCGGGTGGCTGGGCCATATTGCTGAGCGATTTGGAGGTCGCGGAGCTCAGCGACCGTTTTCTCAGTTCGAACGACATGAACCTTGGCTTCGTTGCGCATCTGGCCACTAGTTGCATCACGCTGACTGACCGTACCTGGTTGCCATTCCTCCTCGAAACGGAAGCATCGGCGACCAAGATTGTTGCGGAACATCTGTTCGCCGGTGAATGCCTGCCAGAGGTACGCAGCCATCCGATACTTCCGAATGGCTGTATCTAAATCATTGCCCTCGCGCTGCTTTCTTTCCGGCACGGCATCAAAGGTTTCCTCAGAGTCTTTTCCGAGTAGGATCACCAAGTGAAGAGGTGGAGAATTGGATAAAGGAAGGTGATTCACGTTGATCCAAGAGGAATGCGTCGCTTGGTGCAGGCTAGCTGAAGACGACTTGGTTGAAACAAAGTCGAGGCGTAATCGATTGGGACCCGGAACTAAGTGCACTAGGGCTTTAAAGTGAGAGGAGGTGACTGGCCATGAGACCGGTGGAAAGCTATCTTGGTGATGATTAACCGTTATACTCCCATCCAGCGGATGTTGCCTTGGATCCCCAACTTGGCCGTATATTAAGAGCACCTTTTGGTGGACCTGCGACTAAGTCAGCTTCCGTGTAATCCACAGGGGTTGCAAAGCCCACCCAAGTATTCTCTTGAATAGAAATAATCCTCGGAGCGTAGGGTGAGGATGGCGCAGGCGACCGAGTGGCACCATTAATGGATGGTGAGCTACCTCCCTGTTGAATGGTTAGACTCGCAGTGAGTTGATAAGTGGCGAGACACATACGAAGTAGCTATTTCGTTGAGATGGCGAGGTCATGGGGTGTGGTCGCTGCTGGGGCACAGGAAGGGGAGAACTGCCATTGGAGCCATTCTGGGAAGGTAGATTATGCGTGGAGAGAGTGGGCTTGATGGACGAGGGCGGAGTGACAGAGCTGTAGGAGGCGGAGTCAATGGTCGAGGATGAGTTCCCTGATGTGCCGTCCCCATTCGACTGAGCTCCAGAGGACTTTTCTGTAGAACGCGATGTACTTCGAAAGCTAGTCTTGGAGCGGCGGCGAAGGTTTTTGAAGAGCGGCATGATAGCGAAGGAACAGTTGCCGTGCTGAGTCGCGCCTAGTAGAGAGAGTGACTTGCGGTTGGAGACTGATGCAGTCGGTGTTGGTGTTGGAGCCGTAGGGTTGGACGAAAAGGGAAGGAGCGACCCTGAGCTGAGGCTGGAACTCGAACAAAGCTTTTCCTGCGGGTTTCAGAGCATCTAAGCAGGCCTGCGGTATATTCGAATAGGATCAATGTCGAGACAGATTTTAGGTAGCGAGCGACGAGGTGGCCGATTGTATGTTATTCTTCTCCTATCTGGAGCTGGCGACCGTTTGCGGCGAATGTTGACGAATGACGACCCCCCACATCCACAAGAACTTCAGGTACAAAAGGAATAGCGAATGGCTGGAGCTCATTAGCGGATGATAAGAAACAGGAAACGCGAAACAAAAGCAAAAGCAAAGGACGGAGAAAACAAGGCAGAAGCCGACCAGCTGTTACTCGGCGAGGCAAAGAAGCAATCGCCAGCGCTCAAAGTGGGGAGCAGACATCCAAGGAGAGGACCAGGCTTGAAAGCGTGTCGCAGGATGATCAAGCCTAGGGCTTGGGGGCCAGGATGGGAAATGGTTAACATACCAAGGCAGGTCGGAGGTGATGCTCTTTGAAAGGCGCAGGCGCAGGGAGTGGAAGACTCAGAAATTCTGGCCAGCAAAACGCGAGAAAAGTTCATCTGAGCGATGACCAGCGATAACCAGCATTTTGAGATGAGACATGGGAAACCATCCATCACGACGTGAGTGGGTCTGTGGACAGGATAGAACTTGTCTAGTTTCACCTCGCAGCGATCGACTGCTAAAATAATACGGAGTACTTGTCGCTTGCCGACCGATGACAGAGGCGTTGGTGCAACGGTAGCTCACTAACTACTATTTACTCTGTACAGCTATCTAAGCTCACCAAGCTCTGAAAGTCGTGGTTTACTCGTGTATAGTGTACACAGTTTATACTGAAACCGAATCGACCTCCGAAAACAGATACTAAAGGCAATTCAAGAAGACTTGAAGGCGTTGAGGCTATCGAGCATTGCATCATCTCGTCCCTGATGACCACGTCATACATCGCAGATTTCCTGTTCCTGCTGAGTGGACCTGGGAATTCGACAGCTAACGGACTCCATACCTTATCTTGCTGCTCCTTTAATCATCAATGGCATGCAGGCTGCGGATGTCGGGGAACATCTCCTCAGTGTCATACAGTCGCACAAATCCAACGCGAACAGTTGATCATAGTCCAACCTCAGACCAGAATGTTCTTGTTTTGTCTCGCCACCGAAAGGGATGAGGATTTGAGGAAAAGGAGGAATGCATCCACTAGCATGAATCGTTCGGAGTATTTGGCTGGACTATTCAAAACGGTACACAAACAGCGGCTCGATTTTTGGACATTATTGGGGGTATAATCTCCTGAGTTCTGACTCCTGAGTTCCAAGCTGAAGATATTTGGTTTTGCTCGATCTCGATCTGCTCGTTCGCCGCTCGGGAGTGCTGAAGGAATGTGGCCGAACCGGGGAATGCGTCGGTCGCGATGGCACGCGTTTTGGCTCCACACCACAAATTGTACAGACTCTTTGTTCCCCTGGACAACAACGCAAAAATTTGGTCTGGGAGAACTCAGCCTGCATTTGATTTTTTTTTTCTCCTTGTGTAATACTGTAAATGCTGGAGTGTACCTGAAGCATTGAATTGCAGACTGCCCTGTTTAGTGCATATCGTGTGCTCCAATTGGGGGTCTACATATTCCTTCGTTCAATCTTCCAGCCGCCCTTCTTCCCTCTTGCCCACTCATCCACTCGCTGAGATCACCACCTCCTGGCATCTTTCATCCCTTCTTTCTAGACCCAGGTTCTTCCTGTGCGGATTTGAGGGCTTGCTTTCATTCCTCTGATTTATGTTCCGCTCCAATCTCTTCCAAGCACTGTCTGTCCCCTCAAGCAATGGTCCTGTCTAACCCAGAGAAGACGATCCGCAAAATCGACATCGCCCAGGTATGTCAATTCTCTAAAGGCCGGCCACTTTCGAGGTAGATTTAGTATAGAATGCTCTAATGTTTGCCTGTGCTCAACAACAGGTGTCCCTCAACCTTCAGGATCGTCTCGGTCTCGCCAAAGTCAAATACCAGAACGGGCGGCTTCCCTCACGCCAGAATGGCGGCCTACACATATCCTTTGGTGGCAGCGACAAGCCATCAGACTCCTCCTCCGATGTTTCCAATAGCCGCTGCGAGACCCCTCTGACATCGCCGCTGCGAGTATCATCCTATTCGAAGGAGCTACCACGGTCGTCCCGGAACAGACATGCTGCAACCTTCAACTCCCGAGTCATGCAGCCGATGCTCTCTGCTAGTCGAAAACGTATACGATCAGACTCGATTGCAGACCGTCCATCAAAAGTATCGCGAGTGTCATGGAAGAGCTCCTATCAACTGCCCGAGTCGTCGCCTGGATTCCACCGTCACACCAGCTCCCGACACAACCTGCCGCTCATAAGGGAAACCGCTCCCATCCCGGGGCTTTCGTCACCAGGATACCATGCCCAGTCGGATGATGATAATGACCCGGATCTTCCGGTGCACAGTTTCCAAGTCAGCTCTGTCGTGGGCTCATCGCCTCCTCGAACACCTCCCCCGAAGCATGCATCCCTCTCCCGGAAGGACCGCAACCTCCGCCATGAGGATGGAGCAGATCTCCTCCTGTATCTAGCCAACTCCCCAACGCCAGCTAGAATTGCAAGCAAGAATCAGCCCCAAGCTTTCCCTCCGTCGACTCCGCCCAGTCAACATGCCGTTTTGCCATGTCTGACACCGACTCCTGGAGGAGGGGGTGTCTTCCCCAACTTTGGCACTCCCAACCAGCAGTTCAACTTTGCGGACTTTGTCAATGTGACTCCTAGCCCAGCTCAACCTGCGTGGGGTGGCCGAACCCCAGGTGGCCTTGCTAGAACCCCTCTCGCTAGTAGAGATGTTCGGAAGCGATCTAACTTTGACAACCTGCTACCTCCAGGAATCGAAAGCCCGAAGCTACGAGAAAAGGGATCTGGCGCTGTCTTACAGCTGGGCGGAGAATTGCGACCATGATCCTTTATTCATCCTCCTCTATGCCCCTGTCATACAACCCTTGTTACGACCCTTGATGACCGCTATGTATACACCCCGTTTGGTATCTACCTAATTCGCATTGTGGCAGCTTGTCCATTTTCCTTGTTTTCTAATCCCTATGCACAAGTCTAGCTGAATAAGACTGATGCGAACCATGTACAACCTACCTTTCCTCTTCATACATACCCACATACCCCTTTTGTTTCTTATGTCTCTTGCTCCCAACACTACCCCAAAATCGAGGGAACCCATTATCAACCCGCAATGGTCGAGATAACATCAAGTGTGTCCTCATGCCTATCCAAAATGAACTCTAGTTCAAATACGTTTGTATTCTCGAGTCCTCAACATAGGACGAATATACTTGCAGCCCGCCGTCATGGGCACCCTAGATTCAACTTCCACTACCCTCAATTATGTACATCATTACTTTGAACTCTGTTGGTTGGTCTCTACTCCAAAACCTGTAGATTGCCACCTTCTATCCTCTTTCTTCTCATACAATACACGCCAAGTACATGAATGTCTACAAGGAAGAGAGAGAGAGAGAGAGAGAGAGAGAGAGAGAGAGATGAAAAAAAGGTAAAAGGGGAAGGGAAGTACGATAAATAAAATTAGAAGGGAATATGTAGATATAATCACGCGAGTGCACGATCCGAAATAACGCATTGACGCTCCTCTACTTTTACCACTAAAAGACGCGGTAAAAGGCCACAGAAGACCGCCACAATATTAATGCTGAGCGTGGCGGCGACGGAGCTTGCGGTTGGCACAGGCGCCCTTGGGAGGAGCGGCAGCAGACCCGCTTGGAGTAGCGGGGACGTTTTCGGCGGGGGTGCTCTCGGCCTGGGGCGCTTCAATGACAGGAGCCGGCGTGGAAGTAACCACGGCCTCAGGCTCCGGTTCGGCAGTAGGGGTTTGAATGACGGGAACGCCGGCAGTAGGGGTTTGAATGACGGGAACGCTGACAGTGGCGCTCTCGGAAGGCTCAGCGCTGCTAGCGCTGTCTCCGCTGGAAGAGAGCTTGCCGACTCCCGCGTTAGCAAGGACGTAAGCGGCGACTTCCTCCACTGGTAAGATGGTGAGCTCGCCTTCCTCATCAGCAGGCCAGCTGGAGAGGACGTCGGAGTTGGCGACCGCGGTGGCCTCGGAGTCGGTGAGGAGGTTGGCGACGCAGGTGCGGCCGAGGGCGGAGGAGCAGGCTGATACGTCATCCGAGGAGACGGCAAAGGCTGCGCCAGAGTCGTGAGGTTCTTCATAGGCGGATTTGACGTCTTCAAAGACGTTGCCCTCGATCAGGATGTTGGCCTCGCTCATGTCGAAGGCGTGGCCGGTGTTGTCGTACCAGTAGTTGTTGTAGACGTGCCAGTAGCCTGGGGCGCCGATCTTGGGAGCACGACCGGAGGTTTGGTGGATATAGTTGTTGGCGAAGGTAACCTTGTCGTTCTCGCCGAGGGCGAGGCTGGTAGATATTAGAGTCATCCTGACAAGGAGGGATTTGGGTAGGCCGCTTACATCGTCCAGTAGTGGTGACCATCACACGAGGCCGACCAGTCCGTGGCACCGTCAAGCTCACAGTTGGAGATGGTAACACTTCCACCTACAAGAATGTTAGTCTGAAACCGTACGGCAAGGGAGAGGGACCTACTTGTTTCGTATCCAGTGACAAGCATTTGACGACCGACAAGGGAAATTTTGACGTGATCAATCCAGATCAAATCACAACCATCAAGCGAGATACCATCACCACCCCAGATGTACTGCGGGTTGAGCTCGGTGATGTGGATATTCTGGACGATGATGTTGCTCGTGCCATGGAGACGAAGACCGGTACCACGAATGACACCGGCATCGCCCACACCAACGATGGACTTGTTCGGGCCAACTTCAAGACCGCTCAGACCGGCATTGTCATATGTGCAGGTGGTCGTAGGAGAGTCACCACACCAGCCGATGCCAACCTCAATAGCATTTTGGCCTGCATCGCCACAAGAATTGGAGTCGGGAATGCAGCACTCGCAGTCAACACATGTGTCGCCGAGAAAGTTAAACTCCTTGTCAATGAGAATGACACGGGGCTCATCGTCCGCAAGCCACTGAGTTAGCTCGTCGTTGTCTGCTGGAGCCGCAGGGGTCGCATCACCGCCGCCAGTGGTGCCTGCACCGAAGCCAAACGGAGTGCCGACGACCTGGGCGCGAGCCGCTGCTCCGAGAAGAGCAGTTGCGGCAATCAAAGAACGGATAATAGCCATCTTCTTCGTCGAAATGAAGGAAGGACTCGGTGGTGATTTCTCGAGATAAGGAAAAGAGAGAGGAAGTGACTGAACCAGCAGTACCTTCAAGGCACAATGAAAGAAAGACAATGGGTGGATGCTGGATAGCACTTGGTCAGAGGTGGACGAACCACCGGCCGCTGTTCTTTATAGTATACAACAGGGGATCCTCAGCCTTGAGGATTCCAAGTTGTTCCTGATTAGGAAATCGTCAATCCGAAACCGGTGGAGGCTCTTGGCGACAGACCATTCCGAGAGTGACGAGTCGCGCTCGGACTTTTGACCAATTTTGCAATAACCCCGATACTCTCTCCTCACTGACATTAACTGACTCAAGTTGGCTTGACTCAGCACAAGCCCTCATTTTCTGGCGTATCTCGAGTTGCAACGGTTCGTGCCTGCATTCTGAGAGCTTGACCGTTCTCCGCCTTGACAGGGACAGTTTGCCCGCACCCATACTCTATCCGAAGCAGAGTTAGGATGGATTTGGAATGGACATGCAAAACTTGCGTCCACCAGGATTGAATTAGGTTTCAAGACCCTAATTCAGCCGCCAGTCAGTGGATTGACGTTTGCTAGGGTCTTGAAGGATCCACCAAGTGTTACGAACTTATGACCTGACATGCTTTTAATATTCGTCGGCCCCGAAAGACGAGGGGTTCGGCCGTTCGACAGCATGGATTGGCAGCCACCTGCTTCATCGGCAGGACTCACTACGAGTCGAAAAGACAATCCTCTTCGCAGGTGTCTCCTGTGGCATTTCTAGCAAGTCTGAAACAGCGGAATCTGCATCTGGAGGGAAAAGGGTGCTCCAATTTGTGGGCAAATAAGCTCTCTAGGCGATCCCAATCATTGCGCAGGTCAGTCTGCATATCAGTACTGAGTGGCGATCCGCAAGAGTACCGTCTTGTTTGACTCTGGAGGGAAGGTATAGATTCGTCAGCCATCATGGCCAGGAGGTATCCGCAACGCAAATGGTTCCCGCAGGACTTCAGCACAGTGGATAGTGTTCTCCGTACACTGAAGGGCTCATGCGTACGGGTCAGAAGTTGAGGTTCACTCTGTCAATGTACCAATCCATTGTCATTGGCCTTCCAAGTCTGCAATCCGATCTGCATTCACCGCTGTGTCTGCCTGTGTACGTTCCGACTGCTTTCTGTAAAGCGATGCAAGGTAGTCTGACGTAGAGGCCTCGTCGATAGATTTATCCTCCCGGACTTTGAGAAAGCGGGGGAAGCGTAGACTGAGTCCGCGTGCATCACTCACCAATCCAATGGCGGCAGGATAAGTCGGACTCAGAGTGATGTCTGCGAATGCTGTTTCCCAGACCTCCTGTGGTTCAAACCACACATCCGGCTCGCCGTTGTACTCGACGTAGCTCGGCCGGGAGATTATATTCGGACTCCCTTGTTCATATTTGTCCTTATTCGCCTGATAAAATTTATCAGTAAAGCCAGACATGCACTTTGTAACGGCTTGCAGGCTTCCGGTTTCTGGGTTGCGGACGGCCAGCAGAATCGGTGACCACCATTTGGCTTTGCGTCCGTTGCCATGCCAGGCAGCCACAGGGATTAGGTCCAATGTTTCTGATGAGGCGCTATAGTCCTTTTTCACCTTGAGCCAGGATTCAAGTCGCTTGTCAGGTTCGTACGTGGACAACAAGGCCTTTCGCCGTGTGCCCTTTGTTGGCTTTTCCCCAACGCCCTCCGCGGGAGTGTTGGACGTGTCTGTACCTTGATTGTCACTGGTCGGCAACCCCAGGGGAATGTTATCGAGAACCTTGACCATGATGCCTTCGCACCTGCTGTCCGTGGCGCTCTTAAAGAAATCCAACACCGTTTCGGAGTCCGCGGACGTTGCATCAAGGCTTTTGACCCAGGTGAACCTGTTAGGGATTTCTGCAAAGAGGCTCCTCAGTAGCCCCCTTCGCTCACGCAAAGACCGGTCTAGAAGAGGTGTTCCATTGAGATACATCAAGTCAAATGCAAACAGACAAACATTTATCTTGATCGCTCCGACTTCAACATTTTTCTTTGCGCGATTGGTGAGGATCTGGAAAGTCTGGAGCTCGCCTGTGTCTTGCTCTACGGCAACCACTTCACCTTCCAGAATGAAGCTCGAAACACTTCCACCTCTAATCTGAGGAACAAGAGAGACAAGATCGGGATATTTCACCGTCATTTGCTCCAAATGTCGGGAAAAGATGGTGACTTTGCCTTGATCATCACAATGAACTTGAGCACGCTGGCCATCGTACTTGTACTCACACGTGAAATCTCGCCCTTGGAGTTTGGTCAACATTTCGGAGAGATCCCGAGTGATGCTGCCCAACATTGGCATTAGCGGCACATGGAGTTGTAACCCACAGCGTAGGAGGAGCTCTTCAGTGGGGCCAATCTCCAGCAAGCAGGGCACTAGATCATTGTAACTTGGGTGCCTTGCATATGAAGCCTTGACGAGCTCTTCGGCAGTGCTGTAAATCTCAGCGAGCTCATCCTTCTTGAGACGAGCTAGGTCCTGCTGGGGCCAGATGGCAAAGCATGCGTTGGGCGGACGGGAAATCGAGAAAGCCCTTGCAAGCGCTGTGAGCATGGTTGTCTTCACAGCGCCAATCCGCAGATTTTGAACTAGAGTTCGCACGATGTATCGGCTTTCTTCCGCACCGCGAGTATCCTGGAGCAGCTTCTCCACGATACGTTGTTTCGATTCCTGGCTTCCACTGCCTTTGCTCATGGCTATCTTTATAAGAGACTGATAGACACCTTTGATGCTTAGCGGCTTTGGCTTTATCAATGTAAAGCTCTGCCTCTTTTTCGCCTCAAAAGCCACGTCGCCAGCATCACCAAGTCTATCGTACAAAGCCTTCAGACCCTGACTGTCTAATCCGTATATCTTCTTAAAAGCCTTGGATATAGAAGATCCTCCGAGCCCGAGTTCGAGTTCATGATACGGAGGCGAAATGGAGTTTGTTGCGAGCCAAACCGCAGGAAGCACACTTGAAGGATCCCCTTCAATAAGGATTCGTAAGAAATTGACCAACGTATCGACAATCTTTATGCGACTTGAAGTTGCATTGGCGAGAACAAAAGCTCTAGTAAGGAGAGCGTAGGAAGCATCCCCTCCTTGGGCCGCCCAATGTGCCTTCAGTTCCCCAGTATATCTTGAGGCCTCGAATACCAATGGACTCTGGTCAAGCGGAATAGAGAGCGAGATTTTATCTTCTGTTCCGGCAGAGGATTGTAGCGAAAGTACACCCTGCGGCCTAGCCTTCTCCAATTCTCGATCTGTTTCCGAAGATGTGGTAGGCTTGGCTTCGTCAGCGGCCCGTAGGGGAGCGTTTTGCTCGTTATTCCATTCAGCCTGAAGCTTTCGAGCAAGAGCTTCATCAGAAAGACTCTGTTCGGTGTCTTCTGGATCGGCTGCTGGCTCTAGCTTCTCTAGCCTTTTGGGCGTTTGATTCTGGAAGAATGACGCGATGCTGCGGGTGTTTGGGGCATCCCTTTTGCGCTTTTTGGCGGGGCTAGACATCCTGAGATATCACGTTTGTTGTAACAAGGTATAGGGAGATAGGCTGGCGTCCATAGCAGAATCCATGACGCGGAGTGCGTTGATGACGACAGGTTGTGGTGACTCTGGGCAGGTCAAGCTCGCCCAGAAGCGGAGTTCGGCGGTGGTTCAGTTTGCGACACCTTGACTAATTCAGTGAACAGCTTCCTCCCCCACCAACGCCACAAAATGGCGACTTCGACGTCTACGTTAGCAACGGATGAGCAAGTGAGAGTGCAAGACTATCTAAACGACAAAATCCAGACATCTACCGACTTTGAGAGCCTTGAGTCGCTGCTTTCGAACCTGCGAACCCAGCATGAGCTCCAGCGGAAGCAGGTGCGCCATTCGCTATCTACTTCGCGCTGGTTACCCCGGGCCTGTGCTAATTAGGATTATAACAGCTATCTGAAGCACAGGAAGCTCTATCAAAGGCAACAAAATCCTCTAACGACCATGTCAAAACAACTCGCAAACGCGCGGAAGCGTTCAACGAGCAACAGGCCGACATCGACCGACGACTAATGGCATTGACCAGATCAAACGCTAGTGACGAGGCTGCAAAGCGATTCGAAGCTGGTATCAGAAAACTACAAAGACTAGAGTTATCGAGAGGCTATATTGGACTGTTGAAAGACGCTGAGGATTTGAGGTATGGTACTGCCCAACTGCTCTCCTTGTCATTGTCGCTGAGACAGCCTACAGTACAAATGCCTTGCAGAGCATCCAGTCTGCGCCTCGATTAGCGATTACGTCGTACTCTCAGCTACGGAATATCGCTGAGCAGTTGAAAGAGGCACAGCCGGCCGCGGAAGGTGCAAGCCCCCACCTGGTTGACTATGTAGGGCAACTGGCGTCGAAACTTCGCATGGAACTGAAGGGAGAGTTTACAAGCCAATTACAGTCGACCTTAGAACAGATAAAATGGCCGTCAAAGGATCTCGATCTCTCAGACGGACTCAGATTGCAGTGGAAAGAACATGTTGAGCTGCTTCTTGACCTGCAGATTCCGTATGTTTCTTCCTTGGTGCCTGCCATGTGTTCGCAACTAAACAATCTCCCAGAGAACTCAATTCTTACGAGAGCGCATCCAAACAACGAAATGCGCAGCCGCCAGTTCTGTTTCCGTTGGAAGTCATGGTGCACCCTCTACAGCTTCGCTTCAAGTATCATTTTAGTGGCGACAAGCCAACAAACAGGCTTGATAAGGTATGTTGACATGATTTGTGTTATCCAGTGCTCTAACAAAAAGAAAATAGCCCGAATATTTCCTTGCCCATATAAATGATCTTCTTAACAATCTTGGCGGCTTCTTTACCTCTTTTCTTCAGCCCATATTCGAGCAAAAATCGCAAACCGTCGGGCATCAGCTGGCATGGCACTTCCTCAGCGCTTCTGATGCGTACATCTCCGCTCTGCTGCCAATGTTGCGACACAAAGTAAATGCATATCTTCCGCAAATTTCAACACATCCGCAGCTACTCAGCCACTTTGTCCACGAATTAATGAGCTTCGACAATGATCTCCGCGAGACTTGGAACTACATGCCTGATCCTTACTCACAAGAAGATTGGAGAGGGCTGGCGTGGGAAGTTCTTTCGAAAGAGGGATGGTTCGACCGCTGGCTCCAGGTTGAAAAGAACTTTGCGCTGGCCCGGTACAAGGAGATTGTAGACACGCCCGACAGCGGTCATATTGACTATGAAGGAGTCGATCCATCCGCGACCAAGCCGACTAGAGCCGCTATCCGTGTGAATGACCTTTTGGAAACGATCACCGAACGATATCAGCCGCTATCGTCGTTCAGCCAAAAGCTCCGGTTCCTCATTGACATTCAGATCACCATATTTGATCAATTCCATGAACGCTTGCACTCAGCTCTCGAAGCATACCTCGCCATGACATCAACAATCGGCCGCACCGTGCAGGGAGCGGATGGACAGGCCAGTGTTGAGGGCATTGCTGGACTAGAAAGACTTTGCAGAGTCTTTGGGAGTGCGGAATATCTCGAGAAAAAAATGGAAGACTGGAGTAACGAAGTGTTTTTTGTTGAGCTCTGGTATGAGCTTCAGAAACGGGTCAGGCAGAACAGAGACGGGGGCAGGAATGTCGCCGGTTCTATGTCGGTTGCCGACGTAGCTTCACGTACCTCTCCGGCTGTTAGCAACCGTCAGACTATGGACTCGCGGGATGAAACGTCTGAAGGGGCTCTATTTGACGAGACCGCCTCAGCATACCGTCGCCTCAGGCTGCGTTCCGAATCCATCATCACCTCAACCCTAACGTCCACTGTACGATCCGCTCTCAAGAGCTACTCCCGCGTGTCCACTTGGGCAACCATCTCTGACGCCACTGGCTCCGCAACAACTCCTCTACCCCCAACTGCAGATCTTGCGCCTGCCATGCGCACCCTGTCTACTGCCATCTCCTTTCTCTCCCGTGCACTAGGTGTTGCGCCGCTGCGACGGATCGTTCGCCAGGTCCTTCTTTCTACACAGACGTATATATGGGGCAATGTACTTCTACGGAACGCATTTTCCTCCGCTGGTGCCTTGCAGCTCGCAAGTGATTTGGATCATCTGTGTAACGTTGTCGATGTGGCCCTTGGTCCTGCAGCTCCCGCCGGAGGCTCCAAAGGTATTCTCCAGAAAATGAACGAAGGCCTTCTGATCCTTAATCTTGATGCGCGTGCGCTTCAAGTAATTGGTCAAACCGACGAGTCTACTAGATCTGAGCAAGATAAAGCCCTAGGGCTGTGGGAGGTTGAGAAGAGGCTCTTCAAGGACAACGAAAGTGCAAGAGATGTGCTTGCTGATCTGGGAATAGAGACTCTTACTGAGGCCGAAGCCAGGGGTGTTCTCGAGAAGCGCGTCGAGATCGGGAAATAAGGTTATAGCTTTATGAAACATGGTGTGAGTTAAAACATCACTATTTGCATTGCTCGGCTTTACCAAGCCATTGCATATACTATCGCATCGAATATTGATTGTTCTTGCGAATTGAGAGTACTTGAAATCTACTTTATATGCATCTATCGGAGGATCTATCTTCGTGTCATGCATGCCTTATGACTGGTGAATAACAGGCCCATGGCCTCGTTCTCCAGGCCTCTTTGCCGCCGATGGCTCCACTTTGAGATTCTCGACAATCCCTGGCCCAACGTCCTCAATGGCCCGAACGAGCCCTTCGACAGTCTCGCGACTGGTCTGCACATTAACGACACACCGGAAGAATTTGCCATCGCCAACTGCATTCTCGTCCCCGCTTGGCGGCGCATAATCAACCATGAAACCCCGTTTCACAATCGCGTGCGTTATTTGCTCCGTGACCTTGCTGTTGGCCTTGGCTCGCTCTTTTTCATTTGAGACGACACCGGCACCGCGTGGATGGAGGAGTTTACCATCCGGTGCATAGTAGAAGCATACCTGAAGACAAGGAGGTGGGTTCTCGCTGACGAGGACAAAGTTAGGGTTACCCTGAACAAGTGTCGCAAGGTATGCTGCTGTCTCGCAGGCTGTGTCAATCTGGCTTTCGTACCCGGCTGTGCCGTAGTACGTCCAGCCGAGGAAGAGCTTAAGCGAGTCGGCGCGGCGACCGCATTGGAGTGTTAGGTCTGCAAGATCCCATATTTCGGGAGAGTCGGTGTCTAGCTCCGACGCTGTCCCTGGCTCAACTCCGTTTCCTGCCGAAGGGACCTCGCTTTCATCCTCGTTATGGAAGAGGTATCCGGCAGGAAGAGTGTTTGCACGATGGAATTGCCGCAAGTCTGCCGCTAGTAAGAAAGAACAGGTTACAGGGACTCCCAGCATCTTATGCGGGTTGATGGCAATGCTGTTGGCTTTTTCCGCGCCTGCGAGCTTGTGGCGTTGGCGTTGTGAAAAAGCGAACGAGCCACCCCAGGAACCGTCCACATGTAGCCATAGGTTATAATTCTTGCAGATGGTTGATATCTCCTCAAATGGGTCGAAAGAACCCATGACTGTTGTTCCGGCAGTTGCATTGACGTAAAAGGGTGTGCGCTTTTCGCTCAATGCCTTTTGGACCAGCCTTTCGAGCTCTGCAGGAATCAGTCGCCCCTGTTTGTCAATTGGAACCGACCAGACCGCATTGCTGCCGAGGCCTAGCATTTGAGCTGCCTTTTCTATGCTGTAGTGTCCGTGAGCGCTCGTGAACAGAACGAACTTGTAGTTGCCATTGCCGTCCGTCTTCGTGCTTGGGTATAGATTATTGCGCGCAATGACAATAGACGTCGTATTTGATGCAGAGCCACCCTGAACTGAAATTCCACCAGCTCGCGGCCCGGTTAATCCAAAAAGCGCGGCCAGCTGTTGTCCGGTATACTTCTCGATGACGGAGAGAGCCGGCGATACCTGATATACATGGACGTTCGTGTTCAACGCCGCTAGTATTAGCTCAGACGCAACACCAGGCGCATTTGTCGAAGCATACAGCTTGTCTAGGAAGCCTTGATGCCAGGTGTTGACGGAGTACTGGAGGACCTTGCGAAGAATCTCGATCAAGCCCTCTTGTCCAGTAGCTTGTTGCGGAAGGCTCAATTGCAAGATATTCTGCAGTTCTTCCGGCTTTTTGTAGTTCACCAGCGATTCACCAACAATTGTGTGGTCTCCGTTGGCCCCATTGGTCTTGTTGGCGCCATTTGTTCGAGCTTTCGGGGCAAGCGTATCCTGGTCCGCGGATCGGATGAAGGGAATTAGAAGGTCTTCGACTGCGCTCAAAAGCTATTCAATGAGAGACGCCATCAGTGTTCTATTTTTTTGTATCGCAAGCCGCCTCGAATCAATACCACGGAAAGTCCGAGGCAGCGCAAAGGGTATAGGAAGTTTTGTGACTCACATTGCGGACCTCTTCTGCGCGGCTTGAAAATGAAGGCACTGCCATCCTGCAGATAGAATATAAATATACAAAGTTGAAGAAATATGAGACACTCTATGAAGGGAGGAACAAAACGCAAACACACAAGTCTATCCAAGACGCAAAGAAATAACTAAGGAATAATAATGCCCCTCATGGGAGTGGAGAGACGGATTGGGAGAGTCTTCGGGTCTTGCACCGGTTGCGGATCCGCTGGAGATGGCGACAGAAATTGGAGCCGTGACATCATGCGGTTAGTGCTCAGTTTATTAGTCCATATTTTCTGATATAGAGGTTCAAGTCTAGATGGATTATAACGGGCTACATAGAGGACCTGGTGGGTGCCGCTGATGGACGTTGGAGATTGCTGCAGGGTGGCACTTGGGGCAATGGGCATGCCCACTCCTGAGGAAAGGAACAGGACGAAGTCGACGCCGAAAACTTTTTGCGCTTTTGGATATCTTGATGCGTTGATACATAAGTATGTCATTCAACACTAAGAGTCGCTAAGCGTTATAAGTAATTATTGTTTCGCAGCTACGGCGTTGCCCTGATTCTCAGCCTGCTTGGCAGCGAATCTGGCGCGAGCCATCTCGAGGCGCGACTTGGGCTTCTCTCCAGAGTCGTTGCTGATATCCCTCCCTTTTGCCTTGGCTGCCCACTCGCCTCGTCGCCGCTTATACAAATCCATTGCCCAGTTCCTCCATACAGCACGCCCAACAAATGAATCTCGGAGTGCTAGCTCGTTTTGTGCCAACTCTTGCGCCATTCTCTCCTTGACGAAGAAGATATCCTTGGTCGCCGTCCACAACGCATCCACAACATGAGACCCACTGGTGTCAAGAGCAAGCTCACTTATATGGCCCATGAAACGGCCAGTGAATTGTCGGCGGAACTGTGGCGTGGAGGCGGACGATGTTAGGGCTCGTTGGACAACGTGAGACGACGTTGGATCCTTGCAGATGCGGAGAAGAACCTCCGGAGATAGTGCGAGAAGGCTGGTGAAAATCAGGTCGCCTAACGGCCCAGGAGCTGTGAGCATCGTCTGCGCGAGCAACGAGCCATGTAGCTTCTCTGCTGCGGCGGTCGCGGGGTTGGTTTCTTCAGTAAAATCGGGTTTGGGCTTTTCCCAATCCTTTCCGCTATCGGCTGCCGCATCCTGGAGTCGGAGAATTTGCTCGAGTCTTTGAGTTGGATCGGAACCGTAAGAGGTCTCGAGCGCTTTTGCAAGTGGTTTGGTGTCCACTCCTCGGACAATACACCTCTCGATAAGCACTTTCGGCACGATCGTTCGCGATCGTTCAATAAGACCCGGAATCTTGGGCACGATCTGCTCCACAACAGCCTGTAAATCATCTTTGCCTAGTCTTTCCAACACTCGCAGTACGACATAGCCGGCAGTTTGATTGCGCGAAAGCGAGCTCATTTGCTCGCGAAGGTAATTTTTGTAGAGCGCTTTGAACATCTTCCCCGGCATCCAGCGAACCATCGTCTCAAGCAGACGTGAACCAACAGGGTCGTAAAGGAGACCGCGAATAAACTTCACGCTCTCCGAATCCTCTTCAAAGTTCTCGTCTGGAATCAGTCGCTTGATGATAGCATTGGATTGTTTGGCGCTTGACTTTCCAAAATGCGAGAGCTCTAGCCGAACAAGCACCTGCAGAACCGGGTTTCCAACAGGATGCGTCGCAAGCGCCCGTAAATATGTGTCGTCGAGTACGGAGACCATGTCCTGCATGACCTTCTTCAGTGATGTCTCAAATGATTCCGGAACACTTCTCTTTTCCCCAACGGGCGCGACTTCCTGAGTCTCTCCACCGACAATGCCCAACCTTTCCTTCTTGCGACTGGCCACGACTGAATCATTTGACGACACATCGACAGGTTCCCCGGCGAGCACGAAAAGTAGCACTCTGATAGTATGCGAGGCAAACCGTTCAGTCAGCAAGTATCCCCAATTCCCCTGTAGCTCCTCAACGACCGTCATGAACATCTCTGCTAGCGACAATTCCGGCTCGGCTTCCGTGTCTTCCTCCTCGTTGCCATTTTCCGTTCTCCCCGCCGACTTTGAGATTTTCTGCGTCACGCCAGGAGCCGCATTGATAAACAACCTCTCACAGCAATGGCTCGCAAATCGGTGTTGTACAAGCGTCAGGAAATGGCCAATGAACTTGTTGAATAGCCTCCGAATCTGATAGATGTCTGACACTGAGATCAGCTTCTCCATAAGCCGTGAGCACGATTGACTGCAGGCAATCTTCAATTCCTTCCCTCTAGCCTCCCTAAATACGCTATCCACGAATAGCCGCCGCTCCTCTGCGTCTTGAAACTGGTTCAGCTCAAGCATCTCGTTCGCCCGGCTGAAATACTCCTGCTCTTCGGGATCAAGGAGACCGTAGAATGGCATGTCATCACGCGGCGCCTGATCCTGCTCCTGCTGGCCATCGTCTAGAGGGACGTAGTCTTCTCCGGCGGCGATTGGGTGACTGTTGTCCGCTGAAGGTTTTACTCGCTTGGTCGCAGGCTCTTCGGGGGCTTCGTCGCGCTTCCGTTTGGTCTCCTCCTTCTTGGCCTTGTCGGCCGCTCGGCGGCCTCGTTTCTGGTTTTCTCGGGGCATGGTGTGACGGTTGGGGGATTTGAGGAAATGGTTGGTCTGCGGCGCTGTGATATCGAAGTTTTTTTTTTAATTTTTGCGATAAGCAATGGTCCGAGCGTCCTCCGCGGACTTTTAAGTGTTTGCTTCGTTTGCATCCAGATTGCCTACAGTACAAACTGATGGAATTATAGTATACGAAAGCTATTGTACATCATTATTTTAGATAGCGGAGATTTCACTTTTGGGGTGCCGAGTAGATAGCAGAGATATGGCGTCCACACTCAACCCGTTGTCGCAGGTCGACATCGCGGTTGTCAATCGTTGCGTGATGGGGAGGCATGATTTGAAGCCTGGCAACCTCCTTGTCTGATCCTCTTTCTGGTGGTGCATGAATATGGACCGGTTTGGAAGAGTTGCTTCTCTTGCCGGTCCCAAGCTGAAAGTGCTCATTTCCTCCCCACCATAGCACATCGAGACCTGCGTCGTGAGTCTTGTCGAGAGTGGAAGCAGACCGACGGTCTAGATGCGTTTGGTTGCCTAGGACGGCCGAGACATGAGTCGTTCCAACAGAGATGTCGTTTAGGCGGATCGGGACCAGCGTATTCGTGGCTTCATCGTACTCGACTAATCCACTCAGTGCCTTTAGTTTGGTGGGCTTGTCCTGCAGGTGTGTCCATTTGCCATTCCCGAGCGCACCCCAGATACCCCGTCCGCAAGTCCAAACATCGGAGGTGACTTTGCTTACCCCCTTGACATCTTCAGCTAGACCAGCCTGCTGGACATCCACAGTGAAGAAGCTGTTGGCACCGCCGGCTGCAATGCCGGTTACTCTGGGGAGTCGGGGCTCACCGCGGTAGAGCTCTTTGATGGGCACAAAGGTCAGCCTAGCGCTAAATGGCAGCGATGGGTCAAATTGCTTTCCTAGCTGTCCAAAAGAGTTGTCGCCAAATGCAAGAATGTTACCATCTTTGGTGAGCAACAAGGAGTGATAGTCACCAGCTGCAATTTGTGAGACTTTAGTGCCGGGAGGTGTCTGGACCTCGTGGCAGGTGTCCACTGGGCCGTTAGGCCTGGTCGCCCATGTGAGCCCAGGGACACCAAGCTGTCCAAACGAGGGGAAATTTTCAGTGGAGGCAGCGGCGGAAAAAACTCGACCAGAACTTGTTAAAAGGAGGATATGTTCTAGGCCTCCGCTGATGGTGGTCACCTTCTCCCCCAGCTTCAAACTTGGCTGAATGATACGATAACTCAATTTTGCAGTACCAGACCAAAAGGGCAGCCATGACTTTTCCACGGGCATTTGACCCGACGCCTGGTCGCGCCTCGAGATCGGAAGCGAATAGACCTTGCCATTGGAGGACAGCGCGAGGATACGGTCATGCGACATGGACAGAGAGATCAGGTTCTTCCCAGTAAGCGTCTTTGTAGGCTTGAATTCCGTCTCCGAGTACCCTTTGCCCCATTGTACCAGATCTCCATTTCCATTAATCGCGGCGCCAGATGTTTCCCCGAGCTTGAGGTCTCTCAGCACCTGACCATCAAAGAAAGGCAACCTCCGCGGAGTCTTGACGACAGAATCTTTGGACTTAGGATCCACAACTCGGTATTCGTTCGTACCCCATAAATAAACACCTGGGCTTTTCAAACTCCGTTTCCTCTGCGCGTACTCCAGATCTTCGATGGGCGTTGACGAGGGAGTCGGTAGGCTTTTCAAGAATTCGCTCTCATCCGGCTTGGTCGCATACGAATAAATCAGGAAGGTAGCGGTTGCTATTCCTGCCAGCCCGAGAGAGTTTCTGAACCAATTCGAGGAAGGTGGACGAGCTTCCTGGTCACTGCTAGCATAGTATCGACGTCCAGGGACAAGGCTTCGGCGGAGACCCGTTCGGAGTCGGCGAGAAATGGCGGTGGCATTAAGCGCCGGCTGTCGCGCCCGAGATACCCACATGGTGCCGTTAGATTTCCATCAAAAGCGCATTCTATGATAGTTCTGTGAAAGTCGCAAGAGGTGCAGCTACCAAAGCTCTTTGCGTCAGCACCGCAGGGCGGTGGCAGAATAAGCATCCCCAGTGGAGAGAGGCCAACAAACAATACAATTGAACACTTGACTGACGTAGGGTCATGATGCCTATCTTGTGGAGCTATGCCGTGTAGACCGCGGTGATGTTTTATTTCCAATTATTTATTACAACTACAGATTCAGCATAATGTCTCAACAAGCTGCAACCCAGCGAAGTCGCCGGCAAACCGCGCCCTCGGGGATGCCCCTCGAGCTCAGGCCGAAGCAGATTGAGAAACTGGATACCGTTTCTGATGATGCGGACCCAATCGCAGATATCCAGACTGAGCTCGGGTTCAATGAGTGGTACAATGATTTAGAGGCTACTCTGATCGAGTCCAGTTACGATGAGTATCAGTACATCTCCCGCAACTTGCTGTGTATCGCAGAGCTAATTCACTTCTGCCCGCAGGGCCTGTCTCGACGAACTCCAAATATCCAAATCGCATCTTGATACGTTACTTTCCGATACTTCGTCTACGCTGTCTTTGCTGTCCAAGCTTTCCGAAGACTTCAAGGCGGTTGATTCCCAGACGTCCACGTTCCAGCGACAGTGTGAAGGACTCCTCTCGGCTCAAAAACGCGATACGGACTTGGTCGCGGATATTGAATACAATCTCCAATTCTATGAGTTTCTGAATCCCGCTTCGAGACGGTTAAACGCCCCGGGCGCCGGAAACACTGTGCGGGGTCAGGACTTTTCAGACATGCTGAGGCGACTTGACGAATGCTTGGACTACATGGAAACGCATGTCAGTGCTAGCTCTTTGGGACTTGCGGTTCATCGACTAATATATGATTTACAGCCTGAACAAAAAGAGGCGGATGTGTATCGGTCGAGATACCGACTACTTCTAACACGAGCTCTCACCCTCATTCGAGGCCACTTTGTTTCTTCCCTACGTGATGTATATTCGAGCGTCGCGAAGAAAGTTGCAGACCGGCAACTCAACGATGCCGCGCTGTCTGCGCTGCTGTATGCGAGATTCAGAGTTGGCGCTCCAGATTTGAAGCAGATCGGTCTTGAGATCCAAAAGAGGGCGGTCCCACCGTTGGACCCTGATCAGGGTACAGAAGCGGAGTATCAAAGCCTTCTTAATGAGCTCCATACTAATTATGCGACAATACGCGGTAAACTCATAACACCATTGGTCCACAAAAGACTGAGCGAGATCGCGCAGGCACCGAGTACCTCGAAAGACCTAGTCGCTTTTGCACGTGCCAGCATTAGCTACGTCCGGGGTGTCTGCTTGGATGAATTTGATCTATGGAGCGAATGGTTCCATGGCCAAGGCGGCTTATATGATTTTCTTGAAACCATCTGTGAGCCGCTCTACGATCACTTGAGACCCAGAATCATTCACGAAGACAAGATTGTCAAACTGTGCCAGCTATGTACGCTACTTCAAACGCGCTACTTATTTGACCAAGAAGAAGAAACGGAATATCCGGATGCCAATCAACTTGACTTTTCAGCGTTGATCCAACCCGCTCTTGAGGATGTGCAAACCCGTCTTGTCTTCCGTGCGCAAGCTTTCCTCCGTGACGAGATTGAACGCTTTAAGCCCCGTCCTGAAGACCTGGACTATCCGGCACGCAATAAACAGCTCTCCATCTCCATTTCTGATAAGCAGATCTCCGGAAGAAAAGTCTCTCATGGCAATGCGATCATCAACCACTCAAAATCAACAAAGACAGCGGAAGATGGGACGGATACAATAGAACACGACTCGAATTGGAATTTTGAATCTCAAAATGCACCTGCTGCCTGGTACCCAACACTACGCAAAGCCGTCTGGCTTCTCAGTCGAATATACCGCCTTGTAAATGTACAGTTGACGTTCCAATTCAATACTCGGTAAAGACTAACATTACCTCTAGTCCACAGTGTTTGATGACCTCGCCCATCAAATCGTCCATCAGACTACAGCCTCCCTCCACCACGCCAGCTCGTCTATCTCTAGCAAATCGAGCACCGACGGACAATTATTCCTGATGAGCCATCTCCTCTTACTTAAGCAACAAATAGTCGCCTTCGACATCGAGTACGTTGCTCCAGAAGTATCCTTCGACTTCTCCGGCGTCACAAGCACATTCTGGGAACTCCGCGAACGAGGCGGTCTCTTCAACCCACGCAACCTTATGAAATTAGTCGGCCATGGTCTTCTCCCGCGCGTCGTTGAAAACATGCTTGACGCCAAAGTAGAGCTAGACGGCCGACTCCGAACCGTGATCAACGACCTTATCAACCTCTTCGCGACCAGAATGACCGCGTCACTCCCGTCAAGGTTTGTCGATAAGCGCAATCTACAACGTGGAGAACTCATATACCCTACCTGTCGAAACATAGAGAACGAAGTGCCCAACCTCCGCAAGATCTTGGGCGAGTACCTTGACGACATGCGTATGAACGAAACGCTTGTTGGTGCGGTGCAGGACCGCGTCATCCAGATATACGAGGAGTTCTTCGATAAATATACATCTTCTGAAAGGAGTAGAGGAAACCCAATCAGTAAGAAGGGCAAGGGCCGCGAGGATGCCGTGTGGGATATCGATACCTTTGCAGAATGGTGCGAGGGGGTATTCCGTGTTGGTGTTGCAACACAGGGGGACGACGACGATGAAGCTAGGAGCCAGAGTGTGAGCAGTCGGTAAAGATCGCTTAACCTGTAGATAAACCAAGGCTCTAGATGTATGTACATGTGGAAGACATGACTTCCTGCTCTGGCTGACTCATACTGTTCTTTGTGTTGCGTCGTTTCCAGCCGAAGTAGCTGGCCAAAAGGTGTACATAATTGAAACCATGAATGTACAATGTACGCTGTGATTGCTTCGGAATAATATGTAAATCCCGCTACTTAGGAATGCAGTATCGGCATAAACATGGCCACAAGCAGCAACCCGAAAAAAGTTTTCCATATATAGAGCACTCCGCAAAACAACTTTGTACAACGTTGGGTATGAGTCGTATCATCAAGAAAGCTGCTAGATTATAACTTGAACAGACATATATACAACCAAAGTCCTTCATAGTGCACTTTATCTAACTGCCAAGTACATGCCGGATCTTGGCGTACAGTTCCGTGTCGAGGAAGTTGTATTTCGGATCGGGTTCGCAGAAGGGGTGGGTAAGAAGCGTCTCTGCCGTCGGGCGCTCGAATGTATCCCTGTTGATGGAGAATTAGCTTCGCTGTCGTTTTGAGGGGGCGGGTAATGGCCACTTACACAGTGAAGCAGTCCCACATGAAGGCCAGCGCAGCAGGGCTGACATTCATGGACACATCTTCGGGAATGGGGGGTGCCTGACTGAGACTTCCTAATTTATAGATGGCACCGATTGCTTCTTCTTTGCTCCACGGCCGGCGACCAGCAAACATTTCAAGTACCACGCATCCTAGAGACCAAATGTCGACTTTTGCGCTGTAGCCTTGTCCCTGGGATTGAATGACCTCTGGCGCCATCCAGAACACGGATCCCTGCATGGAATTCGACGAGTCGTTCCCGTAGATGTTATCAGTCTTCTTGGAGATGCCAAAGTCAGAGATTTTGCAGGTTCCATCGAGGTCCAGTAAAATATTGTCTGCCTTTAGATCACGGTGAAGGATACCCTGGTCGTGCAAGTAAGACAAGCCCTCAAGGCATTGCCTTGTGAGAGATTTGACGACACTCTCCTCGAACTTGCCATGCTTTCGAAGACAGCTACCAATAGAACCACCAGAGATATATTCGAGGTAGATTGATATTGACAGTTCCCCGCGTTCACATCCAAGGTACTGCACGATATTGGGGTGCTCCAAGTGTTGCATCGTATCAATCTCCTGGTCCAAAGCAGACACCATTTCCTTGATACGGTCCTTGTCTTGTCCAGCGATTCGCGAGTTGATTTCCACTTGTTTGACAGCAAGAACCTCGCCATTGTCGGCATTCATTCCTAGATAGACCCTACCATATGTGCCTTTGCCAATAAGCTGACCTCGAATAATGCGAAATGTAGGCTGCCTCTGGGGTTTGGAGCTCGAAGATACACTGTTCTGCGGGATCGGGTCAAGTTGGCTAAGTCGACTGCCGGGTTTTGGACTAATCTGCATAATCTTTGCACCAAACATTTTCGTGCTCTTGCGTCGGTGGACATCTCCGGTCCTCCTGTGCCCGGTAGAAGCGGCAACACTTCGTTGTCTGCTCGCTTGATTGGCGCCTTTTGCAACCTCTCGGATTGATTTCATTCGGGTCAGTCCACCACCGGAGCGGGTGACGTTTCGACGTGCGACAATTCCATGATCTTGTGGGGGCTTTATAGTTGACTCCGCAGAGCCAAGTATATGGTCGCTCGAGTTCGGAAGGGGCTGAGTGCTGTAGTAGGAATTCTCAGGTTTGTCTTTACGGCTGAGCTCGTTTTCAGCTGCCACCCGGTTGGCAGGCGAGGAGGGCGGCGAGGTCCCCTGACCGTCTAGATAAGGCGCGTCTAGATCAATGTAAGGGAAGAAGTCGTCTAGATTATCAATGACTCCTTCGACAGGTGGTCGACTAGCCCAAACATCATCTCGTGCAAAAGAATCCCTTCTGAGTGGTGCCTTCTCCTCCTCCGGGGAGGCGGTCATATCAGAATAAGAGGCGGCTGAGTTGCCTGCGTCGCCGCTAGAGCCTGCAAAGGTTTCACGGATAGCACTTGGGGATTTGAAACTGACAGACAGTCCTGCTCGTGGCTTTGCGTCCGTGTTTACTGTAAGAGACGGTTTTCGCGGTCTTATTGTGTCCTCAGGAGATCCAGGAAGCATGCCTTTGTCTTTGACGGGCGTCTTGCTGTTCGCCAATGGAATCGCGAACAGGCCCTCGTCCGAATCATTGTCAGAATCCTCAGCAAGGGCTGGTGATCGTTGAAAAGATACTTCCGTCTCCTCAAATTCGAATTCGGGCCCGAAAGACTTTCTATGATGACTTGTGGACCTGGATAGATCGGAGGAAGCTGTAGTATGTTCAGGGGAGTCGCTGGCCGTTGTCAGTGATGGTGTACTCTGACTGCTCTGGTCTACAGCCGAATCGAAGGTGCTATGAGAATCATCTAGTGTATGTCAGTTACTGGTAGATGGAACAAAAAAGTGAATGTCAGGCTCAGCATCTTACCTGGTGTAGTAGTGTTGACTGAACTGGGTGATAGAGGCTTCGCAATATAGGCGGCCTTCATTCCCATATCCGCTATCATTTCCTTAATCCCCGGGGGCTGATTATTCCTGTAGAGGCGCGGACGCTCACCATCTTTCCTCCTCAATGAGTTGACTTTTGTGAGCGTATTAGACTCCTGGGGCGCCGATGGTGGTTTGCGCAAAGGCACGAGAACATCGGCTTTTTTATCCTCGTATGGGGAAATGCGAGGTTTGTCAAAGTTAATCACTTCCTTGCGGCGGTAGCCCGTCTCGCTATATGCGTCTGGTCTGGGTAAAGGTGCTGGTGGTGTACGGTAGGGCTTTTGCTGTTTTCGGTCTTGTTCGCGCTTAAGTTCGTCTTGACGAGCTCTCTCGGCGTCTTCGTCTACCGGAGATGATTGCTGGGTGTCGCGGAGAGGAAGCTTACCAGCTGGTGGCTTTAGCTGTTGAGGTGAGGTAGGTTTGGTTGGGTTAAGGGGTGAAATCCTGCTAAGAGCTTCTCCATCAAGCGGCTTACGGGGCACAGTAGCAGAAGTCGGCGAAAGTGCAGGCTTTTCTAGGATAGAAACTCCAAGACCCGCAACATTGGGGGAAGCATTTACTCCAGGGCGTGCGTGTGGACCTCTCACGAACAGTTTCAGAGAGCCAATTGAGTCGGATTTCGTCCGCTGGCAAAGAGCTAGGAAAGTATCATTCAATGGCTCGTCATGCTCTGTTTGCCCAGGTTCAGTCAAGAATATCTGTGCATCAGGCCAGTCATGGATTCCAAGATTCTGGCATATGGAAACACGGAGCGTCTCCACAGAGTCAATTTCAGTAGTGTCAACAAGTCGATAGTTCCAGGCATCCAATGTGACAAATATGAACCTTTTCCCTTTTTGTGCTGGCTTTGTCCGCATCATCAGCCGCTCGTGATCGGATAACGAGGCTGAAAGTGGACGTTCGTTTACCGACATGTCACTGTTGTTAAAGTGGTGTTTAGAGTATATTGGAGATTCGGGAAACGTATCCTCGGGGGAATGGTTATTTGGGTCGCCATTTTTTGCTGTTTTCTTTTTGAAAAAATTCAAAAATCCCATGCGGTGATCCTTGGGATACGAAAAAGCAGCCTCTCCACTCATCTGACGATTTGAGAACTCTTGCGGCGAGGGGCGCGTGCCATCCTTGACTGTTTCGTAGTATCGGCGCTCTCCACTATTGACCCGGGAATGTCCAAATTTGGCGTTCAGGTCGCTTGAAGATGATGCAGCTAATGGGTACAAAGTAGCATGTTGCGTAGCTGGACTTCCACTCTTAGGACTGTCTTCGTACGGTCGATGTGGTGGAATTGCGAACATTCCGATATCACTGGACATGGAAGGGCTCTTCCGTTGATAGTCGCTTCCGATATTGCCTAGCGCCATGCGAGAGAATTCCGATCGCGGTAATATGGTGCTACTCTCATTCATGCCAAATTCCCCATCATGATTCATGGTACCTGGCGTTGTGAATGAGCGCTGCTTGCTGTTGTTGTAAGGAAGCTTCGGCGCCTTGAAATTCGGGCTGTTGGTCAGATTCGCCGCGTTAAGACTCGGAGATGCTGGTGCATGAGTGACGTGGGGAGAGAACTCGGGTTCATCGGGCGCACTGTTCGGCGCATCGTCATATTCATGGTGTTGCTTTGAGACTGGAGCCCCCGTATCATGGCCAGCATCATCATGAATCAGTCGAATAAGTTTCCGCATGCGTTTCCCTTCCTCTCTTTCACGCGCCAAATCGAAGGTTGCTCCGCTCGCTTCGCATTCTTTGGCGAGTTGAGGATAGACCACGTTATGCAACTTGCCAAGGTTAGGCCGGCCATTTTGCCCGTGGCCCAATTCAAGAAAATCAGCTCCTTCGATTTCTAGACTCTTGAATGTCTCCTGCCACTCATTGGAGAATCCATTCCTCGCTAGCCAGATGAGAACCCGGTCCAAAGGCCATTGTATTGCCGCCTCACTGGTTGACATACCGCCAACAGTGGTGTTGCTGTTGTTATGTCGATGACTCGAGGATTTGGTCAGATCGCTAGATGGGTTGGGCTTCGAGAGAGGCGCTGTGGCTAGCTGGGAAGGATGTATATCCTGGCTATTGTCGTGGGAGGAAGATGCAATACGAGTTGATGGGGTTGGTGGTATGGTCCCGTCTATGTGATAGGTAGACATACTGGGGCCACTAGGTGCGTAAGATGGGTTGGGCGGAGGTCGATGTCTGTCGTTCGCGATCATGGTTCCTGGCGCATCATACGAAGCAAGTGGGTGTAGGTCAAAGGGGGGTATCCCAACGCCAGGACCAAACGTGCCAGGTTGTGGCACATAAGTAGCCGATGTACCATTGTTGTTCTGCAGGGCTGGGGGTCGAGTGAAGGATGGTTGGTTTGCGTGTGTCATTGGAGGGGGCGGGGGAGGCGGAAGGTACTGGGGAATTCCGCGTCCAGCCCAGCTAGACCAACCGAGAGTATTTTGCGATTGAATTTGGGGATTGGTCAGTTTTGAGGCCCCATACGCACTTCCTGGAGGTGGCCCAGGCGGCGGCGGCGGCATAACATTCTGTGCTTGGGCTGGGGGATATCGAGGGGGAGGAGGTGGTGGTAAAGGTATCATATGTGCCTGGGAAGGTTGCGGCCCTGATGGAGGGGGGGCCGGTACGTACGGCTGTTGTCTCCCATCCATTTTGCAGTACCATCAATGCCGGAGAGGATACTGCAATAGTTGAGGTGCTGGGGAAAGCCAGTATACCAAGGCTCCGTCGGTGATCAGGTTATATCTGAAGACCGACGGCAACGGGGTCTCGGCTTCAACTCCACATATAATATATTCATCGCCTTGGGTCTTTCACATTCGTTCGCTCTTCGTTATACGCAATCGATGGATGGATATACGGAGCGGACAGACAGTGGACAGGAGCTGGTCGAAAGCACACTGCACAGCTTCGCAATGATGTTTAGGTCATATGTGAGCGGCTTGTCGGCGACAACTTCTTGGGAAAAGCCGCTTCATCGACATCAGATTCGGGGTGAAGCTCGAGAAACTCGGAGATGGTCGAGGCCGGCAGGCACGCGATTCTAAAGTAGATAGGAAGTGACCTACGGCTGGAGAGAAGACAACGAAGATATATCGCTCGGTAGGGCGGATTTCTTGCGAGAGGTCAGAATTCCGATCATTCATGGCGGTAAGCGCCTAAAACACAAGCTGCGGAGGGGGGCGCGAGGCACAAGGGCAAGCAGACATACCAGAGTCCAAGCGCTTGAGGTATATTATGACAGGTCGTCCGGCATTTGGCGCAGCCCTCGATCGATGACTTGCCGAGCAAAGATCGAAGGATGTCACTTGGGATGATTAGTGAAGCCTGTTGAGATCCAGCCCAACGTTTGGGGAGCTTTACGCGTTGGCGGCCTTAGCGCCTCGAGTCTTGACAGTATTGACACTTTTGAATCCACGTGATTTGAGATAAGGCTGCCGTGGTCTCCACCAGCAAATCCTTTTCCAGATTGCAGCCATACAGCGTCATCCATTTTGCCGAGGCTACCTACGGAGTAGATAGGGGTAAGTTTTGCTACAATGATAATATGGGATACTTTGGGGGATACTTTGAAGGAAGACAAGTTAAGATTAGGAAAAGTTAAGATTTCGCCTCTTCGCAAACTCAATTCAGTCAAAAGAACCTTATCATGATTAGAAGGTTATGGGTCATAATCCGCAAAAAGTATTATGACTGAGGAGAGATTCAGAAACGTGATGCCTATTTATTTCTGGACGCCGCTGCTTCAGCTGTGATCCTGAGGGCAGCGGGAGCGTCTTCGCGAGGCATATGAACCTCAACCAACTTGGAATGATTAGCACCAAATAATGCAATAGATTGCATGAGCGTGACATACCTGCAAATATGGAGCCGAGCGGAAATCATTATCGGCGAAAAGTTTCGTGAGCTCGTCCCGCGTCGTCACCTTGTACCCCTTATATTTATCCTTTGCCCCAAATACAACAGGAATGCCCTTGTTATCCCAGGGTTGGATATCGTTGTAACTCTCGTCCCATCCGTGGATAAATCGTTCGATGGTATACCCCTCATTGCAGATGACGAAACTTCTCCACGTTAGCATTTTCGAGTCTTACAGGGTATGACAAACGTACATGATAGGGTTGAGGTTATTCCTAATCATGGTGCTGATTTCCTGCAAAGTAAGCTGCAGACTGCCATCACCCACCCACAGCACCGTCCGGCGATTCCCTTGTTCTTTGGCTGCCAGGGCCGCGCCTTGGCAAGCGCCGACTGAATAGCCAATACTTCCCCAGAGCACTTGACTGATGGCTGTAACCCCGGATGGGAAGCGAGTATCCCAGATTCCAAAGTTCGCAGTTCCGGTTTCGGTGATGACAATATCATTCTCCTGCAGCCACTGCCCAACCGTTGGCCACAACCAGGCATGTGTTATTCTTTGCTCGGCTGAGCCCTGTTCCTGATCGGGGAGTGTGTTTGAAATATGTGGAGCTGGGTTGGTTTTGAGGGCACCCATCTTTTGAATGACCTTCCGTAGAACTCCCTTCATGTTGATGTCGGGATACTCTGAATATCTCACGCGAACGTAGGTGCTGTGGAAATCGATGGTATTCAGCTGTCCAGTCCGATACGAAAATCCAGCCGTGTTGAAATCGGATTTAATAGCGCCAATGCTGAGGATGAGATCAGAAGACTCGACTTGTTCACGCACACCGGGGTTAGATCCGGTTCCAGCATAAACGCCACCATAGCATTTGTGGGTTTCATTGACGGCCCCCTTGCCCATCGGGGCTACAAATGTAGGTAGCCCAGAGGCCTCCACCAAATCATGAACTTCATCAAGCACTCGATGGCGGATTGCGCACGCATCAACCAAAATCACCGGCCTCTCTGCCGCGTGCAAATACTTGAGCACGACGTCAACCACATAGTCTTCCTTCTCGGGATCATTGGGGGGCAGCGATAAGTCAATGGGGGTCTTGAGCCTTTCTCCCTCAATCTTCCTCGTAATCACATCTGTGGGAAGCGCGATATAAACGGGTCGACTGCGAATCCAGCATTCGCGAATGGCGTTGTCAATGAGAGTCGCAATCTCATATGTTTCGTTTAGACGAGCCATAGTCGCAGAGATTGCCGCGCTCATGTTCGCAAATGCATTATAGTCCCCATTGCCTAGAGTGTGATGCAACAACATCCCATCCTTTTGCGATCTTGTATGTGGCTGACCAACAATATGGATAATTGGAACGAATTCCGAGTAGGCGCCTGCAACGGCATTGATGGCTGAGAGTTCACCAACACCAAAGGTGGTGATTAGAGCAGCTATTCCGTTTACTCTAGCGTATCCGTCGGCAGCGTATCCTTGCACCAAGCATTAGCGAACTTTAACGTGTGTAGACCCAGCCGACCAGCCATACCTGCATTGAGCTCATTGCAGTTTCCTACCCAGTTGAGTCCGCACTTCGGCAGATAATCCAGGGCCGAAAGGTTATAGTCACCTAGACGAGTATGACATTAGCAAACCGCGCGAACAAAGTTAATTCTCCCCGTAACAGACTCACCAGGTACGCCGTGCACCGAACGGATCCCGACCTCGTGTAGCCGACGGAAAAGGTATTCGGCAACGTCTATAGGTTGGCGAAGCTCTCTCGTAGTGATGTCGGCCATGTCAGTGGTCAAATGCGTTTAGTAAAGGGTGAGATACAGAAACAAAAGCCTGTGTGTGGAGGTACGATGAGAGAAGTATCCTTGATAAATCAGGCGCGCAGAGGAGAGGTTATAAGGCCCTTGAGCGCAGCAAGAGACCTTTCCAGTCGTACGTCATGGACACAACGTGATGTCATGCGCTCAGGCCGGGTAAAGTCGCGCCATGTCCTTATCTTCTGACGGGAATGCGCACAGTAAGGCTTATTAAGCCCTTTGTATAGGGTGGCATGATAAACTGCCCACGAGCGTCTAGAACAAGAAAGCCACATGGCACTACCCTGAAAATCCCGCAGTATCAAGCATCGACAATCAACGGATAGCGCAAGTCTTGGAAGCCCGGCGGCTGTTGGGACGGGGAGCTACCAACGGCTGCCGGCTGCCGCTAAGCCCAAACTGGAATAATTCATCCGCCCCAGCCACAGTCACTGGTTCACCAGTCAAGTCACCACTATGATCGTCAAGGATTTCTGGGGAACACCACCTTGTCGAGACAAACGGTTCTTAGTTAATATTGTGAACTTGATCCAAATCAGCTCTGGCTGGCACAAGTATCTGTCGCAATTGTATTCAATCCGCTGAATGGCTGACAGTGGGAAGAGAAAGATGCCCGAAGGCCCCTCCAACCACACACACAAGAAGAGAAAGGTTTGTCCACTCGTCTCTTTCCTTGTGATCGGGTTTCCGAGCCCCAGGTCTTTTTTTTTTCTAAGGTGTGTTTCTAAATGTCTTGCAGGGAGGTGGGAAATGGCACAAAGCCCAAGCTCAGGCCCCGCGGTCCAACATCGAGGCGGGGGACTGGGGAGTTTTCGTAACATGCGAGATGGGAAGAGAATCCAAGTGCGCCGCAGAAGTGGTTGATTTTCTCACCCAAGTAAGTGCCCGATGGTCGAAATACTTGTCCCATAGGTGGGAAACCCGGGCACATCCGTCCTAATCCATATTCAGAATGTCGAAAAAGCTGGTGACAGCGCGGATGAGGCCGATCCCGACTCCGATGAGGACGACATCGAAACTCAAATTCAAAAAGAGATTGAGGGCTTGAATCCGAGCACAAAGAAGTCGTCTTTGTTCCAGACGGTCAAGTTCGACCTTCCCTGTTGTCCGTAAATATCTAGACAACCAGGATGGGCTTTCAGTGCTAATGGAATTAGTGTCGTTCGTGCGATTCGATAAATCTATCGACCCCGAGCAGCTGGTGCACCGAATTTGCCTTGATGCCCATGCCAACCCAGACAAGAAGCGCAGCCGCTACATCCAGCGACTGACGCCGGCCCGCTCTATTCGCAAGACTCTCAGTGTTGATTTGGAAGAATTCGCGCGAGAGATTCTCAAGCCGCATTTTCACTCCGGGGGTCCACCAATGAAGGTCAGTAGTAGTGAGTTCTCACATCAGCGCTTTATCTCGACTAACAGCCCCTCTTTAATCAGTATGCGATCCGCCCTTCGGTGAGAGGCAACAAGAAATTCAACCGAGATACGATTATCAAAACTGTCGCGGATGTTGTGGGACCCGAGCATCCGGTTGACTTGAAGAACTATGATTTGGTTATTCTCGTCGATGTCGTTCAGGTACGACCCCTGGATCTAGCCGATCAAGTTCTCATTAGGATATTCCTCAAAATGGATGTTGCTGACCGTCATGATGCAGAACGTGGTTGGTATGAGTGTTGTTGGAAGCGATTATGACAAGCTAAAGCGGTATAACCTCGCTGAGCTTTACAACCCAGTTTCGAAGGCACAAGAATCCTAGAACCCCATAATACGAACTATGTGTTGAAGGATAAACTCAACCCCAGCCATGCTCGCTAAACCATACTCAGCTTGGCCTCGGTTTCTAGAATTTCTTTCCAAGACTAAGCCCAGAGCCCTCAGACGATCACTAAACCGTGCTCGGTTGTCGCCAGCCGCTTCTTACTTTGTACGCCCCTCCGGAGGATGTCCCGAATGCGATAAGGGCCTGTGCTTCTAGTATTCCAAATAGGGCCAGTTTATTCCGTTTATGGGCGATCATCGATTCATCATTACCGGTGTCGGAACCTTAATAATGGAAGGCAAGCTGGGGATGACACCTTGAGCTGAAACCCAAGAGAATTCTGTGGGAACCCACTGTCTACGCCTGTGCATTGAGCGCTAATCATATTAATGAATAATGTCAGAGGACGCCGAAAGCTGTTCTTGCAAAGTGGCGGTGCGGGACTCCACAGAACACGGGAGCCTGGCGTTAGGACGTCGGCTCCATACGAACCGCTCTCTGACTTCGGCAAGGACCCCTTCTGATTGGGCCAATCCGTTCCTTCATGTCGCACCTTTCTCAGACTGGGATGCATAGGCGAACTTGTGATGCTTTCCTGGATTTCATCAATTGATGAGCAAGCCCGTTCTGAAAAAGGCCACGACTTTCTTACCAATCCTCGTTCCATCGTGTTGTTGCAACAGCATGAAGATCCTCAGTGCTTCTCCCTGTTCGAGCCCTTGGCTAAGTTGGCTTATGGCCTTGCGTCAGACTCGACTACGCAGAACGGTGTCTCTCGCTTAGTAGCGACGGAGACTGGCCGAGAGTCGTCATCGTACCTGAGAGAATAATGTTTATGTTGTTCGGCTTTATGAGTTTTAATTTATCTTCAACTCATGATCTCGGCGCCTTTTGCAATGCTCGTAGCCTCGTTGGCAATGAGCTGATTGCTTTTGATGACCTTTACGGAGCACTGGTCACACCCTCAACTATGGAGCATGAGTATTTAGCGACAGCGTTGTCATTGCATTATCCCAAGACACGCCCGCACCGTTCCATCATGACCCCTCCCCTCTCGGCTTCTCCTGATATAGGGTCTCAGGTATCTGAGAGGCTCGTTTCCGTTCTCCAGCATCACTTTCTACACCCTATCCATGTTAGCGGAGTCTATCCGTTGGCGGGCCATCTTCATTCACTCTTCTTGGTTCGATTGTCAAATGAGACTCATTTACTGTGGAAATGCTCGCCAAAACCCACGACACCGCTTCTTCGACGTGAGCATATCTTGCTTGACACAGAAGCACGGGCTCTCTCGCTTCTGAACCAGACTCCCACTCCATCCATCCCAATGCTGCTTCATTATGATCCATTAGGGGAACTACTTGGACCGTCCTTTCTCATACGTCATCATATTGCAGGCTCAACCCTCGAAAACATGGAGCGCCAACTCAGCTCTCAAGAACGAAAAGCCATCGACAGAAGCCTGGGGCTCTTGGGGAAGCGTATCTCACAGCACATGTCCGACTCGTTTGGAAGCCTTGCGCAAGTGGCTAGCGCTGCCGGTAAACAATCATGGCGAGAAGCCTTTCTCAATCTTTTTGAGGGAATACTTCGAGACTCGGAAGATGTCTTCATCAATCTTCCCTACAGCGAGATTAGGTATCAGGTCAGCCGGTTATCGCCAGTCTTAGACGAGATCCTAGTGCCGCGTCTTGTGGTGATTGATTTCGGGCATCCATCGCATGTGTTCGTGGACCCGGAGAGCAAACGGCTAAGCGGGGTGTCTGGATTTGGCACCGCGGTTTGGGGGGACGTCTACATGGCAAAGATATTTGAGAATCCATCAGCCCCTATGCTGGACGCGTTTGGGTCAGCTTATACAAAATCTCAGTCGGGTCGGATTAGGCAGCTTCTGTACGTATGCCCGCGCATGCAAGCACGTGAAATCCTAACCCTTAATCTGCTGTCTAGGTACTCCTGCTACCGCTCCGTGCACAGTATTGTCCTTCAATACTACCGAAAGAATAGCGACACGGTCGCTGAAATCGATGTGAGAAGACAGCTGATGGCGACGCTGGCGAAGATGTCAGTGGTCTGATTGCATTACCACACAATACCGGTCGCTGCCTTGGAAAGTAAGGGTTTTTTGTTCGAGTTCGGTTTGTCGGGTTTCCTTGTGCTCAGCATCGGCGTCTGGGATTGTCTTTATAGAATGTATTGCTGCCTGATAGATCTGGCGCTCAATGGGTTCTTGCATACTGAGAAGCGATCGTTAGATAGAAGTAAAATATTTTTCTGTCTGCGATGAAAAATATATTGCCCTCTCCAAACCCTCCGCACTCAATACCACTGCCCTACGGAGTATAGATCATACTTTGGTACCTTAGTAACTGAAGATCCTATCCAACAACGGCCAAGGGCGGGGCGAGCAGAGCCAGCCCAGCTATGCCGTCAGCGACCGTCTTCAGTGTGGGGTTCCGCTCCGCAGCTCAACATTCTTGGGAACTCAAGTTTGACTGGACCATCTTTCAATCTTTCTCTCCTGCACATACTCTGCCATTTTACCACGCCCACAGTCTTACAGCTTCTAGCCGCAGGAAATGGCCCATTTCCTGAGGGGAAAGCAAGCCGGCATCCAGAAGGACTTTTCTGGGACTTTGGCGCCGGAACTGTTCGATATTGATGATGTATGTCTTGGGCCGCTCAGGCACCAGCTTTTTCTTGTCTTCTAAACTCTTCACTAACAACCTCCCCCGTTGTTTAGCTCGCGAGGTGTGGCATAAACTCGCAGATCAGTGTCCTCGCATATGATCCAGTCCAGTCGCTTCTTGCAGTAGGAACCAGCGAGTCCCAGTTCGGCCATGGCCAAATCTATGTGTTTGGCCAGGGGCGTGTATTGATCACCTTCGCTTTGCCGCGTAAGGCGTCTGCAAAGTTCCTTCAGTTCTGCGCCGACAAGCTTGTCAGCGTTGATTCGAAGAGCGAGATAAGCATCTTCTCTCTCGAGACAAAGCAATTACTCAGCTCTCACGCCCCCCCGAGCCATGCAAGCGCGTTGCTCACAGATCCTAGCTTGGATTATGCATTTATTGGCCTGCAGAATGGTATGTCATTTCCCTTTTTATTGACTGAAGCCTCGACTAAATCATTATACAGGCGAAATACTAGCATATGATCTCGATCGCGAAGCCTTGACGCCGTTCAGGATACCCAACTTATGGGCTGAGCGCAATCCACGGTCACGATTCTGCCCTGTCGTCAGCCTGGCTTTCTCGCCTCGCGATATAGGTAAAGTTCTGATTGGGTACCCTGATGGAGCGGTCGTGTTTTCATTCAAACAGAATCTGGCTCAGAAATACTTCGAGTATGAGGTACCACCTGCCGCTCTGGGAGGTAATGGTGCTGTGCCGTCTCGTGATCTGCGCAAACCAAGATTGACCAGAGCACTATGGCACCCAAATGGAATATTCGTACTTACCATTCACGATGACAACAGTCTTGTCTTCTGGGACTCAAAGGATGGCCGCAAATTACTGGCCAGATCCATATTCACTCCCAATATCGACCAACCGGGAGTCCTTCCGGTACCTGCTGCATCTGACTCCCCAGCGGGGCCAAAGGAGCCCATTGCGGATATTGCATGGTGTGTAAAGGCGAATGGGGACGACAGCGGTCTTCTAATTGCTGGTGGCAAAGCAAAGGATGAGCCAAACAGGAATCTTATTTTCATGGACTTTGGGCCGACACCTAACTATCAGACATCGTCCTGGGCAGTGATTTCAGCTTATCTGGAGAAACCGAAGCGTCATGCAGAGCTTCCAATTCCGCCTGGTGCGGAGGTTGTCAGTTTCTGCGTCATTCCTCGCAATAGTCCCTATTACGCAGGCGCCCATGACCCTATAGCGGTTATTGTCCTTCTAACATCGGGCGAACTGATTACACTGAGTTTCCCAAGCGGACATCCGATTCCACCCACCAATATGCTTCCGGCCTCGCTTATCATGGTCCATCCATACGTGACCAAAACCACTCTAACACCGGTGGACCGGGGTGCTTGGCTGGGGCTTAAGGAGCGGAGATCTCAAGGGCCAAAATTCATTCTAGGTGGCGCTGAAACAAAGAAATCGCTCAAAAGAATGGAAAATCGGAATATTGTCACCGCGGCACATGCGGACGGCACCGTCCGTCTTTGGGACGTTGGACATAATGATGAGATTGAGAACTCAGAGACCATCCAGGTTGACCTGGCTCGCGCACTTGGCCGTGTCAACAACATCGAAGTCACAGAAATGTCCTTTGGAGGTTCGAGTGGCGAACTATCGGTTGGGCTTAGAACCGGCGAGGTCGTGATCTTTCGATGGGGCAACAATCAGAGATTAGGGCACGAGGAACCTGCTGGGCCGAACAATGGTCCAGGCGAGTTGACGAATATCACACACAGAACTGATCCGGGTCTGAAGCAAGGTCTCCTACCACTAACCTTGCTGGACATGCAACAAGGACCCGTGACTGCCTTGAAACACAGTCCAGTAGGATTTGTTGCCGTGGGATTTGAAGCCGGCAGTATCGCAATCATTGATTTGCGAGGGCCAGCTATCATTCACACAGCGAATCTATCCGAGGTAGCAAAACAGCACAAGCGGAGCAGTTTTCTTAAGTCTCGCAGTCACAGTGACGCCCCGTCGGAGGTGCCCACGACTATTGAGTTTGGTATAGTGACTTTAGAGGGCGAAGGTAAGCATCACATAATGACTATAGGGGTCTGTGATACTAATATTATCCAAGATTATTCTAGTATTTGCTGCTTCGTGGGGACAAACAGAGGCAACTTGGCCACCTTCAAGATACTACCAGGGAGTTCCGGAGCGTACACGGCTACCTTTGTTGGCGCAGTAGCATTGGATGATAAAGTAATCAGCATTACGCCTATAAATGCGGACAATGGCAACCTAGCGTTAGCCACAGGGGAAGCATTTGGAGGGCTAAGGAATGGTGCCAAGGTTCATGGTGCAGTCGTTGCTGTAACCACCACCGGCTGCAGAATCTTCAAGCCTGCCACATCCAAGGGTGCGCAGCGCTCCTGGGATGATTACCTATGCGACGCCGCCGCAGTTGTCAACGTCCAGGGCAGAGGCTGTAGTCTCGTTGGGCTTTTTGGGGATGGTAACGCTCGGGCGTTCTCGATTCCTGGCTTGAAAGAGATCGGTTGCAGCAAAATCAGCCATAGAGCTGATATGAGTCGCCTTTCTTTGTCTGCTGTCTCTTCTGACGGAACCGTCATGGTTTGGACTAGTCCGTCTGAGATGGGGTTTTTCGAGGTCTGGGGTGCCGGTATTGAGCTGTAAGTCGGCGGTCTAGCATCACCTCATCTGGCGACTAATCGCATTTACAGACAACCCTCAGAAGACCAGCTATACAATCCGCAATTGATCATTCCCCCGCGACCTACTATCACCAATATGCAATGGATCTCTGGCACCCAGTACATCTCAACCGCCGATATGGATGTCTTGAGTTCGTACCCTGCTCTCCTCGCTTACCATGAACCATCCATGAACTAACAAACTCTCCACAGTTGGGGGACCTGACCGGCCGCCATCAAAGCGCATGCTAGAGCAAATGCGCCTGGACGAGCAAGAACGTCGAAAAGCCGCCAGGGAAGGCCGAACACCGCCAGCGCGACAGGACAGCAACGAAGAGGGATATCTAGCATACATGTCGCGCCAAATGCAAGAGCGCACCGAGAGACTTGGATTCGCTAGTGATAATATGGACAGATTGGAAGAAACGAGCAGCGGCTGGGCCCGCGATGTAAACAAATACGTCCAGAATCAGAAGAAGAAAGCTGTGCTAGGTGGTAAGTATCCCGTTGAAGTCCTGAACATTTCCAGGTTCAGTCGCGTCTTGGCAGTGTGCTAATAAATCATAGCTCTAGGAGCAAAGTTCGGTTTCTGAGCGATTTGGTTTCAGCAGATAGATGTTAGTTAAGCATAAACAGATTTCTCCTCCAGGGCGAAATGCTCGCTGTGCGGTCCAAATTATAGACTACCATCCTCCGAGACCACTTTTCGATTTCTTCCTTCTTTCCCCCTAGAAAAACTTCGGAATGGCAACCACAGAACGAATGAACTGGACGAACACAGGTTCTAAATTCGAACCAAAGTTCTTCCGCCTTAAGGATCGAGACAGTAGTCAGAGTACACTTCACAGCCGAGAAGGAGACCGACATCTTCCACCTGGACATGGCGGGAGCAATGTCTTGATATAGTCCAGTAGTCAAGTCGGTCCTCTAAAGCTTGGGCAAAATGAGTCGACCGCACCAAAAAAGTCTGAGGTGCAGGATGCGTCAGAATGAAATTCAGGCAGTCCCCACGACTCATGCTGTTGAAAGAAGCGGTGACTGGGAATACATATAGCTTCACACCCCGAGAGGAACCGAGCGAGTGCTATTTGACTGGAATAATGACGATACCCACTCCCAACAGGCTACCGACCCATGGACAGCATCGCTAGGGACTTTTTTGAACGTCCGAAGTGCCATAACATTGGCTGTCGCACTGTAGTATCATTCGACCCTCACTCAGGGCAGACTGATCGCCTCTGGTGGAGTATCCCTGTCTCGCTCGACGGGGCAACGGCGAGGGATAGCGGAGGTAACCGGTTGTCCTAGTGATACTTTGACATTCTAGTTATTTCAGTAACCCTTGCGTCGATAGTCTTTGGCAGGTCAGACAGTGCGTGATTTAGTTCTTGATTTGTGCTTGCTCTATTATCATAAGACTACGTGAAAACTCGACAACGAGGCTGCAATGGCCGGTCATATATAGAGGAATCGTAACAACGTGGAAACTAATCATAAAATCATGCGACTGAGAAATTGAGCGAAGAGAGCCAGCAGCGCCAGATCCAAACACGTATGTTTCCATTCAGTGAACCATGACTTGCTGGTGGGGGTGGTGCGCCGCAGGGTTGGTGTTGTCGTCTTTAGGTTCGGTGTCGTCGCCCATTTCAACGTCCTCGTCAGCATCACCGCCGTCTTCCTCGTCAATGTCATCGTCGTCATCGTCACTCTCGTCTTCGATATCCTCACTTTCAGCATCGGAGAGTTCTTCTTCGTGGTTATCTGTGCCCTCCATCTCTTGATCTTCACCTTTCGCCGGTTCTTCCTTCTCTGCCTCTTCAAGTTCCCTTACGAGGGCATTCTCGAGCTCCACTTCCTCGGCACCGTAAGCGTTACTGTCGTCCTCCAAAACGTCCGCCTCGGGTTGCTCTGGTGGGTACTCGGCCGGGGCAGATTCCTCGGAGTCCCTGTGCGATGGCAAGCGATCAGCAGCTGTAGACCTGGTCAGAAGTAGATGGCGGCGCTCACCATTTGATTGCAAATCTGGTCACTCTGGGCTTTTCAGCGAGGATATTACGGCGGATCCGCTCAATGATGGGTTTGGCAGGAGGGTCGGCAGTGAGCTCCTCCGAGTCGTACTCATTGTTCACGTAGTAGCCGACGCGGACAAACTCTCTACCATCGTAACTACAGGTGAGAAGTATGACAGTCACGCCTAGAATTTCCGACGTAGGGATGCGTCTAAGGTCTGGTGGGTCTGCTTCGAAGATGAACTTGTTGACGCCGACGGGGATAGGTCCGACAAGGAGGGAATCGAGCTCTTGATCGTACTCAGACCTAGAATTGTTAGCGGAAACACTATCGCATGGTTCGAGTCACTTACGATGTCGCGGATCCAACGTAGGTGAGCTTCCATTCCAAATCTAGAATCTGTCAGCGGAGACGGTTCGCGAACAAGAATATAATAACCCACCCTTCTGAAGCTGCTCAAGACATTCAAAAGTGATTTCAAACTGATAAGAAGAGAGAAATTGGGCAGGGTTGTTGAGGATTTTGACCCCGAGAAGAGAAACAACCGACATGGCGATATGGATGTGGCGGTACTCGGGGGTATCTGCAGTGGACGGTGAAATGAAGGGATTGAGAGGGCGGGTCAGGAGATGTGTAGGATAGAACGATCAAATCGAAAGACCGAAGCGCTGAATGCAGTATTTAAGGGAGAAGGTACTGGGGAAGATCTCCGGCGAGGGGATGGACGCAGCTGGCAGAGGAATTAAACAACCAACCCTCAGAAAGAGCCCAGGGATCGACGCGCGCCGCGTGTGGCCCACCGCGCATAATCTTCGCGCCCAGGTCCTCACCGCCCTGTCACGTGAGATCGATCAAGCTGCAGCTTCTGCCGTCAACTGCTCGTGCATCGGTGGACAATCAATGGTGCCGCAGCCCAGCAGATTTTTGTTCGCTTTTTCGCTTTGACTGTTCTTTATATGAAAATTGTGGACTACCTTCTATCTCAATTTTGCTGTACGATCCTTCCCTTTGCAAACGATATGAAGATGAGTTTCGTTGAAAGTGCAGACCCGCTGACTGCAGATGACAGGTTAAACCCCGTTTTGTATTTTTAGTTGACCATCAACACCACTCCGGATCCCATGGCCGAAGATGATGCCGAGAATGCCTTTTTCAAGGCTCAGGCAATGAATGCTGGTTCGGATAACTATAACGGCGCTGAAAACCAGAACACAGAGGCCTCAGATTCCGATGACTATGATCCTTCCAGCACACTTCAAGAGCAGTATCCTGCCCCCTCGGAAGATTCCAAGCCAAGCGAAAATGTTTCGTCAGATACCCCTGCTCCAGATCCAAACCCCCAAACTTCCCTTCCGCAAGATACAGACCCTAGTCAGCCGGCTGGCAGTGGTCACCCCTCCGAGACACCTTCACAGTCTGGGTCCCAAGCTCCGCCTGGTGTCTCTGTTCAGCCGAAAACCAGAACTATTGGAGGGTTTGTGGTTGAGGATGAGGATGAGGATGACACGGGGGATGCGGATTATGAGCCACCAGCTGTACTAGGTGTCGAGGACTTGAATACTATACCTTCGCAACCCATTCCAGGAAATGCAAATGAAGCTACTTATACCCCTGATGTATCATCGGTTGAAGCTGTGCAGGACTCTGCCAGCACGAAGAATGTTCCTAATAGTTCTCTTTCTTCTGTTACTGTCGCTTCTAAAAATGATGGCTTAGGCCACAACCTGTACAACTCACGTACATCTTTGCAGCCCGAAATCAATCGAGAGAGCGCTACAGCCACTCCTATGCCGGAGTCTCCCTCTACAACCAAGGGTCGCCTGCCACATGATCGAGTTGGGATACTGGAAGACAGAATCCAAGAAGATCCCCGAGGTGACATCCCTGCCTGGCTCGAGTTGATTAATGAGCACAGAGGTCGCAACAGGATCGATAGTGCTCGAGACGTGTACGAGAGGTTCTTGAAGGTGTTTCCATTTTCTGTGGGTTATTTCTATTCTCCCTGTGCAAACCAAGATACTGATGATCCTAGGCTGAGGTGTGGGTGGCCTACGCGACCATGGAATCTGAGCTCAATGAGTTATTTCGCCTGGAGCAGATTTTCAATAGGACGCTTCTCACCATTCCAGCAGTCCAGCTCTGGACAGTATACTTGGACTACGTCCGGCGGCGTAATCCGTTAACCACAGACACCACTGGGCAGGCACGACGTATAATCTCGTCGGCATACGATTTGGCTATCAAACATATTGGAATGGACAAAGACTCTGGGTCTATCTGGACAGACTACATTCAGTTCATTCGGTCTGGACCAGGGACAGCGGGAGGTTCTGGCTGGCAGGACCAGCAAAAAATGGACCTGCTTCGAAAGGCCTACCAAAGAGCCATATGTGTTCCAATGCAGGCCCTAAACACACTCTGGAAGGAATATGACCAGTTCGAGATGGGTTTGAACAAACTCACGGTAAGTAAACTCTTTCCATTATTTTGTGGACTGTAGCTGACTTTTCGGGCACACAGGGGCGGAAGTTTCTCCAAGAACAGTCGCCAGCGTATATGACCGCTCGCAGCTCATATGTCGAAATACAGAATATCACTCGAGACCTCAATCGAACAACATTTCCCAGGCTTCCTCCTGTCCCGGGCTCTGAAGGTGACACCGAGTTTCTGCAACAAGCAGAAATCTGGAAACGCTGGCTCACCTGGGAGAAAGGAGATCCTCTCGTCCTCAAAGATGATGACCTGGTTGCGTATAAAACCCGCGTCGTCTATGTTTACAAGCAAGCCCTCATGGCGCTCAGGTTTCTACCTGAAATTTGGTTTGAAGCAGCTGAATTCTGCTTCCTCAATGACATGGAGGCAGAGGGGACTGAGTTTCTGAAGAATGGCGCTGAGGCTAACCCAGAAAGCTGCCTACTTGCCTTCAAGCGGGCCGATAGACTGGAAATTACTTCAGAGTCGGAACAAGATTCTGCTAAGCGAGGCGCCAAAGTCAGGGAACCATACGACAAGTTGCTGGACGCGCTGTATGAGTTGATCACGAAAGCTCGAACCCGAGAGGCTCAAGATGTCGCCCGCCTGGAAGAAACCTTCGCAAACTCTAATAATGAGAAACAAGGCGGAACCGAAGACGACGATGATCAGAGTGACACCAAAGCAAAAGAATCGGTCAAGAACTCCCAGATTGAAGCGGTCCGAAATGCACACTCGATCCAGATTGGAATCCTATCCAAAACGATCTCATTTGCCTGGATTGCGCTCATGCGCGCGATGCGCCGTATCCAAGGCAAAGGCAAGCCCGGAGAGTTACAAGGTTCACGGCAGGTGTTCGCAGATGCTCGTAAACGGGGTCGCATTACCAGTGACGTCTATATCGCAAGCGCCCTCATCGAATACCATTGCTACAAGGATCCGGCTGCCACAAAGATTTTCGAGCGAGGTGCAAAACTGTTTCCTGAGGACGAGAACTTTGCCCTTGAGTATCTGAAGCATCTGATAGATATAAACGACGTCATTAGTAAGATCTTGTCAAACTTTGGCGACTATTCAGCTAACCAACCATTTTACAGATGCCCGTGCTGTATTTGAGATGACGGTGAGGAAGCTCGCCTCAACTCCTGATAATGTGCAGAAGACGAAACCCATATTCGCTTTCCTTCACGAATACGAGTCGAGATATGGCGACTTGGTCCAAGTGATCAACCTCGAAAATCGCATGCGCGAACTGTTCCCTGATGATCCGACATTGGAGCAGTTCTCGCACCGTTTTTCAACCCCTTCCTTCGACCCTACAACGTTCCGGCCGATCATTTCTCCTTCTCAGACAAGGCCGAAGACTGGATACCCTGGAGAGCCAGTCATGTCTCGCCATGGCACTCCTACTTCTAGGTATCAAGAACCCTCTGTTACACACTCGCCCAAGAGACCGCTGGAGGATTTCGATGACGATCTATCGCGACCCCGCAAATTCGTCCGTGGCGAGTCACCACTCAAGACCACACAAAGACGACAATTAGATCAGCAAAAGCGACCACAGGCGGCACTTCAGGCGCCAACAGGGTCTCAGTACCGTTCCCACGGCTCACCTGCACCCTTGCCCCGCGACATCGTCTACCTTCTCAGTGTCATCCCCTCCGCGTCGACATATAACGCTGGGCGATTCTCCGCGGAGAAGATGGTCGATCTTATCCGCCGGCTAGACATGCCGGGATCCATCTCGCAGATTCCTTTGCCGCAATCTGCTCGTGGCTTGGGAACAGGCCAGTCGACTGTAGGCGGGCAGCCCTTCTCTGGTACGTCTCCTCACTCTCCGCCACTTTTGGCATCCCGGCACCTCAGGAATCTCGGCTAATGAGGCCTTCATAGGAAATTACCGTTCGTGATATAAGTATCTCAAGAATCATGTTTTGTGACCTGAGTATCCGTATTTTCGTGATGATCTAACCGAATACTACTTGCCTGGCGTGGTTTAGCATATGCAATCATCAGGCATCGGAGGTTGCATTTGAGGGATGGCTCGGCGTTTTGTGTGTTTTCATGCTGCTACTCTGCAAGATATCTTGCCGGTGGAGTTTTTTTGGCTTTGACTATAAGCTATGCCTTGTACAGAGATGGAACTGTGGGATGCCAAAAGGATGATATCAGTAGATGCCGAACTGAATAATCAAGTCTTTCTGGCTCTCTCTCTTCGCTCGATCCGTAGGCCTTCGTTGATGCGGACAGGGCAAGGTATCTCCTACTTTTGCAGTAATATTCTCGGGCAGTTTGGCTTTCCAGCTCAGCGTATATATCATCGGCTGTTTCTCTTCCGCGTTGCAGATTCTTGTTGTCTCATGGGTGTTGATCCGATGCCTTGTTTTCTTCGTTGTCAGGAGCCTTCTCAGAACCCTTCAGGCGTCTAGGTCTAGACAGAAAGCTCGACGGCTGGGGGGTATGCAGGATCTTCCTCCAGGGCTTCTTCTCACCGAACGCGGAGAACTCTAGTTAACTGGAGGTATCGCCAGAGCAAACGGAGTATCAAAAGCTCATGCTTGTATCATGCACTTCGTAGACTTCGGCATTCTCCCAACCCTCGTCATTATAAGCGGACAAATGACTGTTCCGGAGGTGTTCTTGCAGATGCCGCCATCGTAGTCGAAAAAGCCGTCTGACAGCGACGGGCGTCGCCTTCCAACGCTCTGAGAGATTCTACGGTCAACAGCATTCCCAAATGCTGCGGGAAGGTCGCTGCGTAATTATCAGTGAGCTTTTTATCATAGCTCTTGTGCTGGGTGAGAGCTACCTCTCTCGCGTACCGCGAACTCTATCTAGACAGCAAGCTTTCCGCATGAGTCTGGGGAAGAAGTTAACTCGGAATGAATGTTAACCAGCGCTATCCGATCTTAAAACGTAGCTTTGATCTGAGACATGTCCATGGAAACAGCCAACTTTGTTGGAGGAGGGGTGCGGGTACCACGGTCACAGATTTTGGGTTCATGCCGAACTGCCCTAATCCAACATCCTCCTGATCTATCAACAGTGCATGTCTCACGAAAACCTCCCTAGAGGGCGTGGTGGGAATTGTACAATGGCCATTTCCGATGCTGTCAGACTGTTCTGAGTCTCAACCAAGTATTATCTCGAATCCTTCCCGCAAAGGGTCCTCCCGAACGTGCGGCTCAGCGTCTGTAGTAGGTTCGTCGATCGAGAGGTGTGCTATTCAGGGAGACAAATCGGCATCTCCCTGTTTCTGGCGCAAATATCGGAGGTCAAAGGCTCTTCAAAGGTTGCGGAGCGTAAAATAGGCCTAAGGACACAGCAGTTAGCCATAACCCTCGCTTTGCATATAGAAATGAGTCGCCGCAACCGGAAGTTGACAGAAGCAGATGTTCTCTGGCAGAATCTGCCATCCTCGCGTCGAAGATAACAACCATATCCAAAGTCTGTAGACCGTCTTGCGCGATGCGAGGCTCTGACATGGTAGCGCTGTTCCTGGAGATGGGGTATCCAAGCACAACATACCTTTTCCTCGCACCTAGAGTCGAATTATGCGAGTAGACTGCTGCCTCATCACAGCAGTCTGTCTTTGCGTGAGGCTATTCCGCGTACTGTTTTGTTGAGCCTTCCTGTTCCGAAGATATTCTGCTTCGTTTCCTTGCCTCGCCGTGGTTCTGACTTCTGCCTCGTTAGGAGTCCGGTCCTAGATTCTCGTTTTCGGCTTGCGATCTTACTTGCACCCAGAAGATCCAAATAAAATCATGGCGCCTCTAGTTCAGAGGTTTGAAAAGGTTCTTGGACGTCAGGTGTAATTTGGTCGGTTGCCGTGGAAAACAGGTTGAGAAATACCCTCATCTCCCCAGTGTTTACTCTCGCAAGCGTTCCTTGCTCTGCCCTGCCTTTCGAATCTCCTCCCCATCGTCTTCTCCCGTTTTGTCTTCCCTGCTTCTCGAGTTACCCAAACAACTCTCATCTCAGCGGACCTTAGGCCTCACTCAGTACTTTCCTCTCTGAGGATTGGGTATAAATATCGCCTCTTCTCTCTCCCTCCCTCCTCTTCCTCTCTCTCTCTCTCCAGATTTCGTCATCCCAGCGGAATCTCTTCTCGTCTCGGGTCTTCACACCTTCCTTCCTTCCTTCCTTCCTTTCTTTCTTGAACTTCTCCGTCCTTTAACACTTCAACATTTCTTCCCCTAGAACTCCTTCCTTCGACTAACTTCACCGTTACCCACGAACTTCTTCTTTTTCTCCCGGGAAGTTCACTCCCAATCCTCCTTTTGAAGCTTCAGCATTCACGAACACTTCAAGAGCCTTGACCTTGCTTTCAGTAGCACGGGTAAGTCATTTTCTGGCCTCGATTCACCTTCGATGGTGCTGGCGGCGTCTTGTTGGACAAGGAATCCTCAATCACATATGGATAGCAACAACACTTGCTGATTCTAATTAGAAATATGGCCGCTCCTATGTTCGACCCGGCTTTGGAGAAGCCGTCTATGAAGACGGACATGTGCAGAAACATCGACCTGCCATTTGGCGCGTTTGATGTCAACCACCTAGTAAGTCGGCGTTTGCTGCTGCTCGAAGAGAACAACAGCTTCACCATCGCCATTTCCCTGCCTCTCCACCATTGGCTTTCTCTTCACTCCATGCTTCCTGATAGCTTCAGCCTCTTTCCTTCTTCCCTCCTTGTTCACTGTCTGAGTTTTTTTGCTGGATTTGAATCCTTGGACTCCCTTGCCTGTGACTCTTCAACCATGTCTTCCTCCAAACGACACGTGCATATCATATGGGTCTTCACCGGGGCACTTTGATGTATGGAGCCGAGCTTCAATTAGGCTGTCACCATGCTGTTTGTTCTTTGAAAACCTCTTCACAAACGTCTATCCCAGCGCCGCCAGTTCCATTATATAAACCCCAATTTCTCCCAGCTTTCCAGACTTTATCTTCTTCTGCATTATCCTCAGGCTCCCAACACATAGTCTTCTTTCTCGATTTACCAATCTTCTCAACTTGACCCAATTCCCAGGCTTCTCAGCTTCGATCGAACATCCATTCTGAATACAAGTCTTCTACCTCAACATCATTTCCCCGATTTACCCAGTCTCCCCAACCAAGCACCTCATCCCCAAGCTCATAGAAGCTCTCTACTGTCTCCTCTTAACCAATCACCATTTGCTTCATTGCTTCCGCCATGGAGAACCTTGATCAGATCAATAGTCTTGAAGGCGGACTCCGCCACCTTCGTTTCCGTGACGCTGACGACTTTGCCAAGTACTCTGTCCCCGTCGAAACTGTTCCACGCCCCGGTTTCAACCAGACTGGAAAGGAGATCGAAGTCCAGATGAATGCTTATGCTATCACAAACTTTCCGTCCAAGACTGTCTACCAGTACGACGTAAGTGTTCCTGTCATACTTCTAGCAAGATCTTGCACTAATCAATTCTAGGTTCACATCGGTAACGGTGTTGAAAAGAGCATCGTTAACAAGAAAGTCTGGAACTCCAATGCTAGGAAAGGTGCTCTCAATCATATCGTCTTCGATGGACAGAAGCTGGCTTGGTAAGTATTCTCCAGTACCCTTCAAGGCCTATACTTACAAAATTAGGTCCATGAACAACTACGCCAACGGCCTCAACGTCGTCGTCGACCTGGACAGAGAGCAGAATCGTCCTCCTGGCAAAACCCCTAATACCTTCCGCTTGGTTGTGCGCCCTACACGCACCGTCAATTTGGCTGTTCTAAATGCCTGGCTGAACAAAAAAACTGACATATCAGAAGCCGTTTTGGAGGCTCTCAGTGAGTAACTTGGCCGGCGTACCTTTTTATCCGGTATACTGACCACTTTAGACTTTCTGGACCATGTCCTACGCGAGTACCCTGGTGGGAAGTTCCTTGCAATTCGACGCTCCTTCTTCGACTCCAATGGTGAGAACCGAGACATTGGCAATGGTGTTTTGGCTTTCAAAGGAGTATACCAGGCTATTAGACCAGCGCTTGTAAGTTTATTTCCTATTAAGATCTACTGGACGCACTGCCCTAACTATGTTTTAGGGCCGTGGACTTATCGTCAATGTGGATGTCTCAAACACTTGCTTCTGGGCTCGTACCTCTCTTATGGGCGCCGCGATGGCAATCTTGGATTGCCGTGACCATCAACATCTAACGCACCTTCTACGCCCTGTGGCGGATGGCCGTGGTGGTGAGACCGACTCAAATGGTTTCTACGAAGTACACCGTCGGATCAAGAAGATTGGGGTTCGCCCTCACTACCCAGGCTGCCCTTTCGAGAAGGACTTCATGGTCAAGGGCTTGATTAGGGCCAACTCGCGGATGTACAAGATTGATTACAGGGATCCTACGACCGGCGTCACGGATAACATCACTGTCGAGCAATACTTTCGGAGGAAGTACAATATCACCCTCACCCATTGGGAGCTTCCCCTGGTTGAAATGACTAAGAGAAACGTCTTCTACCCTATGGAATTCTTGACCATCCACGGTCTTCATCGGTATATGTGGAAGCTCAACGAATATCAAACTTCCAACATGATCAAGTACGCTGCGTCTCGACCGGCCGATCGCCTGAAGTCGATCCTGAACTCAAAGAGCATGCTTAACCACTCCAAGGACCCTGTACTCCAAAATTTTGGGGTCAGGATTGATGACAACATGATCCACACCAAGGCTCGTCTTCTTCCCGCTCCGGATATTGAGTTTGGTGGAAAGCAGCGTGTGAACCCCGGCACAAATGGTCGCTGGGATCTGCGAGGAAAGAAATTCTACGCTGGAAACAAGAAGCCAGTGGACTCCTGGGGAGTAGGATACTTCCCTGGAAAACGCAATGCCATTAACCGCACCCAGGTTGAAGCCTTTGTCGACTCAATGATGAAAGCTTACGCTGGCCATGGGGGCCGGATTGTCGGACGACCTGTTGTTGTTGAGCTGAAGGAGGATGTTGGCGAGGCCGTTAAACGGGTCTACAATGCGACTGGCGTTAAGTTCCAGAAGGATCCCCAGCTACTTGTCATCATTGTTCCTGACAAGAACTCCTTTACATACAGTCGAATCAAGAAGTCTTGTGACTGCCGCTGGGGTGTACCTTCACAGGTACTCCAGGCTGCACATGTGGCCAAGAACAACCCGCAGTACATCTCTAATGTGCTTATGAAGGTCAATGCGAAGCTTGGTGGCACCACTGCCCGTGCTGTTCCCAAAGTCAGTGAAGCTGCGCTTAGAAAGCAGTCCATGATTATTGGTGCAGATGTATCCCACTCTCCGCAGGGCGTCTGGTTACCCTCCTTGGCAGCCATGTCGGTCTGCATGGATACCTTTGGTGGCCGCTACTGGGGAGCCTGCGAGGCAAATGGTGAGCGTGTCGAGATTATTGCTCGCGCAAATCTTGAGTCTATGCTCACTCCTCTTGTCCGCGAATGGATGTCTACTGTTGGTGGTGGAAAGGCACCCGACAACGTCTACTACTTCCGGGATGGCGTGTCTGCTGGAGAATTCCAACACGTTCTTCAGCAGGAGATACTTGACATCAAAGCAATCTTTATGAAGCTGACCAATGAAGCTTGGAAAGGGAAGTTTACCGTGGTTGTTGCTAACAAGCGCCACCACCTCCGTGCCTTCCCAAGGCCCAACGATCGCAACTCGGCTGACAAGAATGGGAACCCGCTACCTGGCACTCTTGTTGAGCGAGATGTTACTAGCCCTCATGATTGGGACTTCCTTTTGTACTCGCACATTGCTCTACAAGGAACCTCTCGTCCTGTCCACTACCACGTTATCCTCGACCAGATCAAGCATCGTCCTCAGGAACTTGAAAACTTGATCTACGATCACTGCTATCAGTACATGCGCTCGACAACTTCTGTCTCTCTTTGTAAGTCCCCAGCTTGTCTAGGCTGACGTTATGCTAACATAATATTATAGTCCCTGCAGTCTACTATGCCCATCTGGTTGCAACCCGTGCACGCCACCATGACGATGCTCCTGCAAGCTCTGGCCCTCAGAGTGGTCCGGAGGTCAAGCTCACCAACCCAAAACCGAAGGACAAGCCGGCTGATCCACGCCTTCTTCCCATTCATGGTACTTCGAACCGACTCCCCTTCGGCATGTGGTACATTTAGGAGGATACAGTTGGGATAGTTGGTCTTCGACTCTTCGTTGTCTCTGGTTCTCATCGCTTGAGGAAGGATGCTGAAAAGACGAAAGGGCGAATAGTTCCCTATTTCAATGAGGTTTTGTTCCTTAGTTAGTTAGCTAGCTACAAGGGCATCTTGCTTTGGGGTACGACGGACTGATCTACGGATTCTGACTGCTCTGGAAGTGGACGGAACGGTGGTCAACGGACTGTTGAAGCTCGAAGCAGCTTGTACCTTGAAGTAAGTCTAGGAATTGATCGCTCTTCTTTTACTTGAATCTCCAATTCCATGCATTGTAGACCTGCCATCTCAAATGCTCGTACAGTAATTGCAGTCCCTCCTCTACCCGCGTAGCGTAATAACAGAAGTTGCGCGTGCTCGTTTCTTCTAAGAGCTTTTAAGAAAGCCCACAAAGGGCATGATTGGCGTGGACAGCATAGGTATAGCTAATATTCTTGAGAGGGAAAAGAACAAAAGACCCCGATGACAAGGGACCAACCAAACCGGAACCTCTCCAGCTAGTTCAAGTTGGGAACCATGAGAAGGACGATTAATTGATTGAGACTAGCTGGAGCAGAGTGATCCAGAAATGACGATAACGGGAGTGCGTGCTCTGTGCGCCGGCCGGTTGAACCACCAAATCGAGAAGGCTCTGCGTACTCGAGTGGAGTCAGCTTCCATCAACGAGCAGGTGAGCACGCCTCCAGGGCTGGGTAGATAGTTGACTAAACCAGGAAATGACGAAAAGGAAGCTGAAAGCAGAGGATGCGGCGAAGGAGCAAGAACGTAGAGAAGGCAGGCAGTTCAACGTCAACGCGAAATCAGACCATCGCGCCAGACCTGGCTCTAGAACTAGGCTGAGTCCGGAAAGTTCAGATGCAGATTTTTTCAACTAAATGGATTAAATTGGTCGTAAGTCCGCCTGGATTCGTAGAGTAACACGCCAGAAGGTCCAGGTTTGCGCACAACAGGTGTGAGCTTCTAAGTGCAAAACATGGACGATAGCGAAAAATAAAAGTTAAAAAAGAAAGAAAGAAAAGAGAGAGAAAAGAACTGGAGATAAGACAGGAGTGATGAACGTATTCGTGGTTAATGAAACAGTGGATGAAGAGAAGAGGAGGGAAAACGAAGCAAAGCAAGCCGACCTAATTCTACGAAGCCAATATTAAGCGCCGCTTCAGAAAGCATGAGGAAAAAGAAACAAAGATCATATCCACCAAGGCTATAGTCGAATGGGGTTTGGTTATCGGGGAAAGCTTATCCAACGCCGGTTATTATACAATCATGACGCATCAATGGAAGTTCCGTTCGTCAGGGGAACCGCAGTGTCGTTGTTGCCGTTCTGTACGGCATCAGAAGTTGGAGCATCTGAAATCACTGAATTGACTCTGCCTTTGCTGTTGCTGAGCTCGGCTGTAGCCGCAGTCTCCTCGGATTTCACGTTGTTCGACGCTGGGTTTGAAGTCTTTGCACCATCCGGACCTGGTGCATGTTCGTCTTCGCCGAGAGTATCGGCAATTCCCATTGCAACGCCGCTGTTCTTCTTAACCTTCTTCTTACTGGGCTCCATGTTACCGGACTTGTTGGCATTCGACCCATGAGCCGAGGCTGGCAACGGTCGCTTTTGAGGGCTAGATGTCGGCCCTGGGAGGCTAGAAGGCGGAGGAATCTTGCCAGATGCAGGTAGACGCGGTCGAGCCGCCATTGGCCGTTGCTTGGGCGGTAATTCAAGGTCTTCGGTCAGGGGTTCGTTATTGTTCATTTGCAGTTTGGCGTTGAAGAAGGATTGCACCAGTCCAATCTGCGATGCCACAGTCTCAGACGAGATGCGTGGATATGGGGGAGGCGGTGGGAAAAGCGTGATTGATTGCGAAGTGCTGTAACGTCTTGTCAGATCTTACTTCCAGGAAGAAAGAGGATAAACTCACCTTGTGTTTTGAGACTGGGCGGCATTGTACATCCTGTTTTGGAGAAGATGCAATGGAACGCTAAGGTTAGCCAAGCCGAATTCCCGGTCGAGCCCTAGTTCCTTAAACCCGAAGAAATCTTCGTCAATATCTTCTGCGAAATCACCACCAACGAACTGCTCACTACCATCCGCGAATGCCATGGAGCCATCTTCGCCGCCGTCTTGAAGAGCGGGACGGAGAAGTTCAGAGAGCAACGAGCGCAAACGATCGTGCGTAGTTGTTAGTTTTGTGCCAAGTCGTTCAATATCGTCTTTGATATAAGACTCCAGACCCTCAATATCAATACCAACAGAGGATAATGTATGGAGAACCATCTCCGGCTCGGTGTAAGCGCGCTTCCACTGAGACAAGGCTGTAGACTCCACTGTATCGGTGACGGGGACTTTGGGAGCCTCCATGTAGGATTTCAAGGTTTCCCCAATCTTCTGGAAGAAGTCCGAAGCCATGTCTGTCGCGGCATCGAGAGCTGACGGCTGGTACTCCTCAAAACCAGTATGGTAAAAGACCTTGGCCACGGAACGCTGCAGGGCGGCCTTGCAAACCCACGGTGAGATGATAGGCCCGTTGTCGTTCATGACATGAGGAAGGGTATCTTGCTCGGCAAACGGTTCGGGCTGATATTTTTGAAACTGGTTTTGGTACATCTGCAAGAGTCAGCTTTTCTTCTGTTCTGACTGTAAATCTTCTCTGAGACATACCTGAGACTGCAATTGCATCTGCTTCACAATACCAATTTTCGAGCAGATCTTTCTGGTTTCCTGCATTTGCCTCATGTTTGCGTCCATTTTCCTGGAAAGTTTACTGTCTGGTTGTATGAACGACCCCTTGGGTAAGATCCTTAGAAACTCCTCTGACGCATCAACAAGGTTTCCCTCCGTATCTTCCCTCCAGATCAAATGTGCCGGTAGGTCAGGAACACCGGACATCACGTCGTAATAGTCAGGTATCACTCTATCCTCCTCTACTTCAATTCCTTCTGCCAGTGTTTCGCCAGCAGCGTTGGGCTCCATAGCTCGCGAGCCCGATTCATTGGCACTGTCTCCCTCTGCAGAAACCTGTTTCTGGCTCTGAAGCCACCGTCTCATCCCAGCTTTGGTGCGAAGGAGGGCTGGCTCGTCGGAGTTAATCTTGTCACCCTTGAACAGCCGGTGCCGCTCTGCAGCGATGAGAGCTCGATCCTTCTTCGTGACCTGTTTCCAAACCTTGTATTCTGGGTCCGCAAGTTCAATCCCAGGCGTAGCCAAGGCGCTAAGTGCAGCGGTTGACGTTCCTAGACCATCAATGTCCATACCCTCATCCTGTCCTACTGGTGCTACAGACCCAGCTCCAGCGGGATCGGACGGCGTCTGTGTCCCGGGAGGAGGCGTTGCAAATCCGTTTTGAATTCCTTCCATAGGAGCATCAGAGTCCGAACGTACAGGTGCCGACGGCTGCGATACCGACCCACCCGGAGGTTCTGAGCCGCTTGGAGTATTCCTAGACGGTGCGGTGCCCTTCTTGGATGACTTTCCTGGAGCTTTCCGACCTCTCGACGACATGATAGGCTCGTCATCACTTTCATCCCCGCCGTCAAGTTCGGCAAGCTGAAGCCTCCGCTCTTCAGCCTCGACTTCGGCACGGTCTCGGATAACAATCTCGGGAATTAGGGGCACAAGTTTCTCGGTTTCCTTCTTCATGTACATCGCGTGCTTCCGTAAAAAGTGTTCGGTGTTTGTGTTGTACTTGAAGCAATTGGACCATATAAGGTTGAGATCATCCACAAACTCCTGCTTCGACTTGTATTGGAGAGCCTTTAGTTTCTTCGTCATCGTCCCGAGGTCCATTGGGTGTTTGATCACTAGAGGAGTTAGCAGCCAAAACCATCATAGGGACGAAGTACGTCCTTACCAGTATAGTAATCAGGTGCATCTCGTTTGTTGACACGGGTCAAGAAAGCAGATGAGTGCTCAGTCATCGCTTTCAATTCGTTCAGCACCTTCTCCGCAGACTCGTAGAGCTCCTCCTGACCGATCTTATCCTCACTTGCCCACTTGCTGCGATTTTTGCGAACCTCGCTCATCAAGCTGCGGAGTTCGGCATCGGAGGCTTGGACCATTGTGCGCTTCAGATCAATTCGTGCAATCAGATTCTTCAAGGTTAAGCTTGACGCGCCGAGATTAGCATTGCTCAGCGAACCGTAACCGCTGGAGCCTGAAGTTGGCGCATTGCCAGTGCTTCCCTGGCCAGACATCTCCGCTTCTACTTGTCTTTCAGACTCTTCCAGCCTTTGCTGGTCGAGCATCGCATCTCTATCATTCTCCAACGTGTAAAACAGGGTGTGGAAGCTTCGTTTGGCTGCCTCCTCTGTGGCTTTTTTGTCTTCTTCTAGCTTTTTGCGAATGTCTTCCAAGCTCTCTTTCTTCGTTTCTTTTGCGGCGTCTGCGGCAGCAGATATGGTGGCGCTCGATGGACGGCTCGGCGACGGGATGGCAGTCGGCGGTTGAACAGGGGCGGAGCTCTTTGAAGGCGGTGGAGACGCAGCATCCGCATCGTCGTCTTCATCGTAATCGTCATAGTCATCGTCATCGAGTTTTCTCGCGGGTTTCTTGACAGGCGCCGGGGTAGGTGCCGACTCGTCGGCGCGTTGGTCCTTGGTTTCAGCCTCATCAGGATCGGTGACATCGTCAGGATCACCGGGCGTGCCTGCCGACCGCTTTTCACCTGAAAAAAGACTGTTTATTTTCGCCTCAGTGCGATTATATAAATCGCGGAATATAGCGATGCGCGGATCCTCTTCCGCCGTGGTATCGGCCTCCGATATCAAATTACCCGCGTGAAGGCCGTCGGCGTCGACCGAGCCGCGCATTTGCGGCGTCCTTGGGCCGGAAAAGGTTTTTGAATACCCATTGGTGGTCCGCGCATCGAGGAGATCATCGGGAGGTCGAAGATGGCCCGGAGGGAACCAGGCGTTGTGGTGACCGAGCGACATGCTCGCTCCAAAACTCCGGTTCTGGGGCGGGCGAGGGGGCTCGCTTCTCCACCGTTAGGATCAGATTCGGGCAGGCAACAACGAGTGGGCTAGGGGCGTAAAAGAATACATAGAGACAAGGTACAGAGCGCAAGCAAACGAGGGACGATGTCTCTGGGAGCCCAAAGGATGGAGTGGGCGTGGATTTGGATGGCAAAGACGCGGGCTTCTGTACCGGGGTCTCTGCGCGAACAGATGAGGTGAAGTCAGGTCGAGCCGTGACCAGCGTTGACGGTCGCCGCACTTTTAGACCAACCGTGCACTTTTCGCAGCAGGAGCTCCCAGGCGTCGCAGAACAGACGCAGATTCACGAGCTAGAGTCTCGTGCCATATTCTATGAGCAGCTCAGCATATCAGATACGTTCGCATAATCGGCTGCTACCGCAGATGTCGCTGAAGGTGTGTGTTACCTTGTATAGGAGCCGGCATCCTTCATAATTAATCAGCTTGCTTTATCCACTCACTCTGCATAACTTCACATGACATGAGCCAACATCAGGCAAGCATCAAAGCACCAGAGCGTCATCTCGTCGCCGGAGTCGTCCAGACTTATTCCTCTGCGATCACCGATTCCCATAATGCGAATTCGCTATCCCTTCGCGGGTAAGCCCATTTCCCCCTGTCAATCCCCGCGCTCTTTGAATTTGCTACAAGCGCTCGTCGATGCCTCACAATGCAGATCAGCTCCAAGCTTTGTACTTAGTTACAGACAGCTAACCCTCTCCCCAGGTGCCTTTGTAGTCCTCCTTCTGCTATCCGCCTACGTCGGCCTCCTTCCCCACAGAGACTCTCCCCCCGTATCCCCTAGTCTCCAGCCGAATGATAAATTCCTACACCTAGTCACCTTCTTTGCCCTTTCCCTCATCTTCTACTGGATCCCGGATACCTCCCGCCGACGCACCCTCCACCTAACCCTCGTCGTTTGCACTCTCGTACTCGGTGTTGGCTCCGAAATCCTACAGGGCATCCTTCCAAATGGCCGCTCCTTCGACCCGTTCGACATCCTAGCCAACATCGTCGGAAGTGCCGGCGCAGTTGGGCTATGCAGCTGGTATCACCGACGGATGCTCGAGCGGCGCCGCAAGGCAAGATTTGGTTCTCTGGGCGAAGGAGGCGACGATCTTGAATTGGGGATGGGACCTGGCCCTCGTGAAGATGATGGTCTCGGAGCTCAGGAATCGGGCGTGATGGATTTGGAGCAGGAGGTTGACAATTGGGATGAGAATGCCGTCGATAACTGGGATACCGATGATAATGACGACCCAAGTATTCTGACCGGGACTACTACTGTGGAAAGAGAGGACCAAAAAACGCCTGGTGACAAAACTGAAGGCGGCAAGAGAAGCGACTAACCTAGTTATTCGCCAGCATCTTTTTCGTTCCGATGTCATTGCTCTTGAATTCGAGGCACTCGGAAAAAATTAGAAGGGACAGACCTTTTCAACAGCTCAGTTCCGATTTACGAACTACTGGGAAGATTGAGCATGTCCCGCAGATGTAACCACGACCTTCCACGGTTACGATATCTTCGGTGTCTCCTCAGCTACGTCCTGGCCGAATCGACGAATTAACATGATTTATGCTACGACCAGGCCCTGTCGTGTGTCTTCCGCAGGGTCTTCTGTATAGTTGGATTTATTTTCCTTGCTAGCTGTTAGTCACGGGCTCTAGCGTGTAAATAGGGTTGCAAATGGAGTTTACTTTTTTTGCATTTTCTAGTCAACAAATATCATCATCAGTCCCGGTGAACAACTTTTCTTGGCCCCTGACAGTGTTTTCTCGAGGCTCTCAATGCTAATAGTATAGGTCTCCGAAGGCCTCAAGGTCAAAGCCAACTGAGACTCCGGCGGAGTGTCGAAACTAATGTAGCATCAGGGCAATCTTTGCAAGTCTGGTATCACGAAGCCGAGGAAACAGGACGTCAAACTGGATTATGTTGTTCGAAGCACTACATTGGGCAGATAGAATAGACATCTCCTACTCCATCCGAATATAAAACTAAATATGATACACCAGTTCTAAGGCTAAGACAGAAACTAGGGAAATAACATGCAAGAAGCAGAATCACGGCCAGAGTGAAAGATACCCACCAGGCTTGGAGAATTCGGCAGAATGAGACCGAAGACAAACCAGACCAGAAGAAAATCGGCAAGAATATATAAGGTCATAGAGGAGGGGTAAATGTCCCCTTGGAATTAACTGGATAGCATAAGATGCAAGGTCGCGGAGGCATAAGATAAGTTAATGTATGCAGGTCAAAAATTCATGAGCAGTCATAACAAGGGCGTGTAACAGTGCAAGGTAAGGTTGGATCCATCACAAGTAGAGGCGATAATAGGATGAAGAAGGTTTCAGGGCTCAGTCAGTAGCGGCCACTTCTGGAGTTCTAGTCGTGCTCCTGCTACACTGATCGCCAACAGCCTCCAGCTCCGGTTTGGCAGCAGGCAGGTAGCTGTCCTCGTCGGACAACTTGGCGATTTTGGCGGATCTGGCGTCCGACCTCTGGCGGGATATTCCAAAAGTCTTCTCCAGCATGATTTCCGCTTGCTCTCGCAAAACCTCGTAGATGAAGATTAACTGCATCTCGTTGTACACCATCATCATCCTTTGTTCGCGCAGCTGGTTGACCGCTTCGAAGACGGGGTCTACCTCTGGATCAGTGGCCTTGAGTAGTTCGCCTGATTCGAGTTCCTGCAAAAGGTGGTCAAGCGCAATAAAAGTACCCGTTCGTCCCACTCCTGCGCTGCAGTGAACAATTCGTGGATTCTGCCGTGAGGACTTTGAGGCTGACACGTTGATCAACTGAAGAAGCGCGTCGCGGTCTTCGCCAACGGGCTTGGAATAGTCAGCCCAGCCCGCGAAGAGGAAATGCCACACAATCTTCGATTCGGAGCCCAGGGTAAGCTCTAGCTTCCGGACCTCGGATCGACAATCCACATCCCAGGTACTTTCAAGAAGCGTTATCTGACCAAGTGCGTCTCCTTCCGCTGACTGGTGCTCATCTCCGTCCACAAACGGGTCGCTATCCTCTTGTCTCAGGAACATATGCGGGTTCTCGAGATCGAGCGGGAAATACTGTGAGCATTTCTCTCGGCCGGACTCGATCGTTTGCGTGAGCATGACGATGACGGCCACTTCTTCGCTTTCATGAAATACCATGTGCCAAAAGTGATAGAGGTTGTCCAGTTTCGGGCCCTGTTCTCATGTTAGCCGCACGCCTAACCGCGAAGGCCAGCAGCCGGATTTACCTGTGTCGCGATATATCTCCTCTCCTCTTGGGAGACACTATCCTTGAGAACTATGGGCGAGGCGTTGATAAAATCACACTCTCCTTCAGGGACTCGAAGACGGATACGAGAATTCGCCCAGACTTGTACGTTCGCATATCGGTTCCTGGCCCTGGCTTCGGGATCCGCATCCAGCGCCCAACGATGTGAGGGGTCATTTGCCTGTGACCCCTCCAAGATCCGAGTCCGCTGCATCCATTCGAGTTCTTCAAACTTATGATGGATTTCTGTATTCAAGGCGATTGTTAGCTGCAATCCAATCAAGACCTCAAGTTAAGAGCGCCTGGACGAACCTATAACCGGCTGGCGAAGAAACGGTGGGACAAGGTCACTGTCCGCGGTATCCAGCGCGGGGGTGTCATCCTCGGGCCCATCAACGATTTCAGCTGTTTCCTCAGTGTCCGGATGCGAGCGCTTCGCCGACTGAACGCTGGTGTCGATTTTAATGTTTGGATGCGCCATCTTGGCGGCAGCGATCCTCTGGAAGGCCCGAACCTTACCCAGGACGCCGCGCGCCTTGTTGGAAACCCGTTTTCGTGTCGAGACAAGCTTTCGAGAGTCGCTGCGGAAACTGGGAGTATCGGGGGATGGGGAGCGGGATGTTGGAGCAGTAAAACTGAGAGCCTGGTGCCCTTCCGAGCCGGTGGGCGGGTCGATAGCAGCGGCGCCGTTGGGGGGCAGGGATGATATCTGTAGTGTCGACAGATCGAGACAGCTGTGGAAGCTGCTCCGCGGCGTGATTTGCTCGGCCAGATTTCTGGATCTCACGGAAGCTAGACCGCTTGCCGGGTCGTATTGGGCGGCGATAATGCTGGTATTAAGTGTCTCGTAGCGGGGGAATGTCGTGAGGGGTCCACGGAGAGCGCGAGGTGGCCGGAGTTTGCTGGAGGGAGAGCGGCAAAATTAGGTATGTTTATATAGCCATCTACGGAGTACACACACGCGACACCCCACTTTGCGATGGAAACTATAAATTATTTAAAATCATCTGCGGTCATTATTCATCCGAGGCTGAGCAGTGGAAACCTCCGCTCGATACCTCAAGGTGTGCGCTCATAACAGCAGATAAATTTCTCCGTTTTGCTCGAGTATTCCCTTTGTCTTCTCGCTACATAAAATATACTAATGCGCAAAATATATTGTTGCCAGGCGAAATACATCTGATTTACTCCTTCAGATTCGTGCACAGCAAGTTCTCTGCTATTGAGAAAACGAAAAGAGACCTCACTTGGTGCTGGCGCTTCATCATCGTATTAACGAATACATAAGAGCATATGTAGTCTAGGTCTCGAAATCCTTTTATTCTTTCTAGGTAGACTAATGTTACTAGATATCCAGGACTGAAAGCCGCAGCCGGCCGTGCATTAGAATAAGAACTAGCTGACTACCCAAGGCGCAAAATGGTATGGATGCTAAGCATGAATAGATAAGTACATGAATAGAAAGATATTGGCGGAGCCAGGCGAGACAAAAAGGCATTATGCAAGGAAGACTTCGTCTAGAAAACACAACGTCAATCACATTGACCTTAACCGTTTTGTGAAGGTGGAAAATAACCAGGCTCAAGAGGCAAAAAGGGTACAAGTGAAGAAGATGGACCGATGAGTAGAAGGAGTTGAAAAAGTGCGATGTGGTTGATGGTATATACGGCGGTAGGAGAGGTCGCAGGAAATAGTTGGGAAAGAACGAGGATAGGTAAGAATGTGAGTCTAATTGGTTGAAAATGGAGAGAGGATATATATGCAAGAGAGTAGTGGCGCTGAAAGGATGTATATGTACGATGAGGAGCTTCAAGCACTCAGTCATGCAACAGCTTGTCGCTGGCGTCGAGGATTATGTCGGCAATCCGGTCCACCCATTCTTGGGTAAGGGTCCAATTTCGGGTTTCGAAGCTATCCTGGATAGCTGGGAACACTGCTGCGTCATAGCCAGACCAAAGCTGGGGGCCATAAACGACATGTTTGAACTGCGTGCGGTTTGGTATCTGATAAATGCATTAGCTGTGTGTTCACTGATCTATTGAAATGTGCTTGGCTTACCCCGCCGCCAAATCTGTCGTCCAGGAGGTGAGAATCAAGCTTAGCCATGCGGTAGTTATGAGACATGCGTTGTAGGGCTATAATGTTGTTCTCAAAACCCCCAGCGCCCCAGACAGCATCGTGCCATAGCTTTGGCCACCGTTGAAACTGCTCTGCGTTTGCTCGAAGCACTCCAGTAGCATTGTACAAAGGAGTTAGGTTGACGGAAGAATCTCCAGAGGCGCTGTTGTCGATGGGAATCTTCTTGGACTTTGCGTAGTTTTCCAGGTCGATGACATAGCCAGCAAGGTGCTCCGCGTAAACCTCGACATCAAAGGGTAGAATAGGGTTATCCGCGAACTGAAGCAGCAATAGCCCCCAGAATTGGCCCAAGATTTTGTGATACTGAAAGCCTGGGTCACCGAACTTTGTCATCCAATCATAGTTCTCATGGCAACTATGATACGGATATGGATCTCCGGTAAACCCAAAGTCTATACTGGAGATTCCCGCAAGGTCTTGAAAAGGTACATAGTCGCTTCCAGCTCCTAGTGGTGCAAACCTCTTGTTCTTGCTCTCCCAAATGTCTTTCAGGGTCTCGTTGGTGACGGGGTCCGATATACGACCAAGGACTTGCATGACGACGCGCTCGAAGAGGGGATTTCCAGCTGCCTCGAACTCTGTACCGCTAACACCAACGTCCACATTGATATATGCGTATGCGTTTCCACGGATATGGTCCATTCTGTCCTCCACGTACTCGGTAGACCCGATCAGGTTATACTCTTCTCCATCCCAACTGGCAAATTCGATTGTCCGGAGTGGCCGCCAACCGAACGTCAGAAGTTCTCCAAAGACCCGGACAAGCTCTAGAAAGACAGCGGTGCCACTGCCTGGGTCTGCGCCGCCTAAGCACCACGAATCGCGGTGATTGCCGACAATAATCTTCTTTTCGGGCTCTTCCATTCCAATGATCCTTCCCACCACGTTATATATGGGTTGCCTGTCATTTTCCTCCTGTAGATTCATGAGGTTCACGACCGGTGATTTTTCGTCACCTGTCCACCACTGCTTTACCTTGGGAACACCGCCAATCCATTCTTTGGGTACTTGTGAACCATGACCGTCAAGGACTTGCAAGAGCCTCTGGGCGTCGCGCCATGCCAAAGGAAGACTAGGTATTCCCGGTAGGCCGGTCGTTTGCTCGTGGCTTAATCGCGTTTTCATCTTCGGAGTCGACGCAAACCCCGGAGAGAGGACATCCCCGACTACCCACGACATCATACTCACACCACCTCTTTGAACACCATCCGACGGCATGAAGCGCCCCTTTGGGTAGGCTGGGCCCCGGACAAAACCATCTTCAAGTGGATCAGAGTAAATGATGCAGCCCGCGGCCCCCGCAAGTTCGGCGGCTTTTATCTTGAGGGCGCGGTCAGTCTCGGTTCCATAGTATCGAACTAGGGCAATAGAGCCGTTTAGGTTGATCCCTTGGTCCACCAGATATTGAAAGTCTTCCCGAGAGCCGTAGTTTGCGTAGACTAGGTGACCTGTAACGTTGCCTGATTTTGAGTGGCCGTGAAATGCTGGTGTGTATTTGTTCTCGTCTTGATGGTCCTCTTCCAAGACGGCTTCCCACCGAAGCTCTGGGGGATCGACAATAGCTACCCTCCGCCCATCTGGTTTAGGCCAATTCAGATACACCTGGTACTCGTCCATGTCGATGGCCTCCAGCCCGGCATTCTCAAACTCTTGTTGTACCCATTTCGCAAGAAAGAAACTTCCTTCGCTACCAGCAAGATGAGGATATTTTGTTGCGATCTTGAGGTTCTCTGCAATATTCGTCTCGTTGATATGACCCTGAACGAAGTTCTCCACCGAAGCTGCGCTGTAAGTCTGACCCATCATAAATCGTGAGTTGAAATTGAAAATGTCGGAGACCACAAAGACGTAGATGACGGCGACCACGAGTAGCAGGCCGAATAACCTAAGCATGATGATGCATCCATTAGAGTTGAAGCTCGTCCGGGCCGAGTTCAGATTTATGGTGAACTTGAAGCTTGGCCAAAACCGACGAAACGGGAGATTAATCGAGGACAGTGTTCGGGTTAGGTTGCTAAAGGGTTTTGAAAGTCTAGACCGTAATCGGGAACCTCGCGATGTCTGTTGGCCGGGGTCTTCAACGTCCATCTGATCAAGCTCTCCCCGCAACTCCTCCAGCGAACCCCTTTCCGACCCGGGCGGCGTGGAGTATAAATCATCGACGCTATTTCGAGCGGACTCGACCGTCGGCGGGTGATAGCCACGAGGTCGAGATTGGGGCTCATCACTGGCAGCGGCATCGCGGTCATCGTGAAGCAGGGCCTGGCCTTCGGGATCGTCGCCCACGTCGGAGGTGAGATGCGTTCGGGAGGAGCTCGGGCGCGAGGCGATCGCTTCTTCGTAGGAGGGAATGGGAAGGGCTTCATAATCGTATTTTTGATCTTTACTCATGACGGACGGTTCGGGGCTCGAGTGAGCCGTGCAAGCAAGATAGCGAAACTATTAATCTGCGCAGAGGGATCATGATCTGGGGAAAAGAACTTGAATGGCTAGCATCGACATGCTCCCGGGCAAAAACAATCGACAGGGTACCGACAACGAGAATGAATCAGCAGGGTGAAGAGACCAGACCGAAAAGAAAAAGAGTGTGAGTATCCTCGTCGTGGACCTTCGACGGGAGGGTCAGATTACGGGGGACGTTGAAGTGAGGGAGCAAAGCCACGGAGAGATACACCGGATCCAACCTTTCCCCAAGGACAGTCAGTTGCGTGGCGCAGGCCAGTGAAGAACAGACCCACTGTTGTGGTAGGCAGAAGAGTTCAATGGTTTCTGGATTCGCATTCCCAAGGGAATTATTAAGGAGAATAAGGCTTCTAACTGGGCGAGACGGAGTACCAAGCTGGTCGCTTCTTGGCATCCAAGTGGCTTCTGTATCCTCGAAACTACATTTTGGCTTTCGATCAGTCAGTGTCTGCCACCTGGGTACCTGGAGTCAGTGGCCAGAAGGGGCTGGCTCAGTACATCTACGACTCGGGAGTATGTCCTCTCGACTCTGAAGAAGCCTCGGCCCCCGACGGCTTACCCCTGTTTTGAATCAATGCCAGTGTTTCAGCATAAATCACGCTGGATTATTCATCATGTATAAGATGGCATAACGCAGAAGCTTTTACAACACGCGACACAGCATTTGTCGCAAGTCTTCATGCAGTTTAAAGTAATTTTTGCTCAAATTCTTTGCTTTTGAATATATGAACCTCGGCTAGCTCCACAATAAAGACCCGGGAAGCCAAAGCCACGTTATCGCCTCTGGTTCCTAATTTCTATCAGTGCAGTGGGAGACTATTATTCGGCAGCATGAGATGATGTTGGAGCATCTTCAAGATCCTTCCGTAGAAGGTAAGCACCGGCAGCATATACGTAGCCACACTGAAGCGCTAATGAATGTGAAGTCTGGGTGGTCTTTGGCAGGTTGGCAGAGGTTCAATATTTGCCAAGGCTTTTCTGATGGATACTTGTAAATATATATTGAACATGCAACCATGACTTTCCAGCAGCTGAACGGACTCGGAGCCTAGATAAGAAAGAAAAGAGGCCTGGCCACTGCACGATAACCAATTGGACAGCCCTCCCAAGAGTACCTACACTACTCTGGAGTAGGTAGTACCTACTAGGTACCTACCGTGACGTGGAGAAGAAATGTCTAATTTCCAGTATAGGTAACCGGGGCCTTTCTTCAACCGTCAACCGATGCAGCCGCCCTGGTCCTACGTTGTAGTTACTAGTAGTGAAGCTGGGCGTATATCGTACCTACTATTACCGCGAGATGCGCGGGGTGGTGCTTTGCGCCTCAATATGATGCATGGAGAAGCATGCCGCCTCGAAGTAGCAGGTATCCTTGTGACTATGGTAGAGAAACCAAGAGCGGTTGTAAGGCACTGAGTATTCAGACCGAAGACTGAAAGCGCAGCACGTGTCAAAGCAAGAACCATGATTATGTACTATTGCGCAAAACGGGGGCCCATACTACGATGATACGGCCGCGGACAGCCCAGCTAGACCCACAAGATAAGATTGATAATTCTTTTCCCCTGTTTCCAGGGTTAGACACGTCGTAATTGGGAACCGAGAGCCTCGAATCGAGATCAGGAGCTGAAGATCAATGATTTATTTTCCCAGAAGAGTCGCGGGGTAGGGCCGATGTCGCAGCTGCATGGATGCATGGCATCGTCATCGGCCTCTCCATCACGAAAGCGACCTTTCAATGAGAATATGATCTCGAAGACCACCGCGGCTTCAGGACTCACTTCGGAGTCCGGACCTTGTCTGCCTTGTGTATGACATCCGGTTGACCGAGGTATGGGTCCGCTCACTCGATAAGGATCTGGCTGATCTCACGACGAGATGACATTTACACGGTATCTAGAATCATTACTGCCTGTCAGAAGCAGCCACAATCCCAGGCTGCGCGGACTACTGATCCATTTTGCCCACTTTGTAGACTTCGATTGGGTTGCTTGGGGGCGGATACGCGCAAACAACGAGGAGCTCGGGAATTACTTTTGCTCTAGCGATTGGAGGTTCGGGGACTGAGAAGTAGGCAAGGCTGAAGCATGGATCCGGGGTGAAAGTTCGGACATTCTCATACATCTCGTAGAATATATTGTCCCGTTCGATCTCCGGGTTGCACAGTGCACCCTGATGAGGATAGAGCACAGGGTGGAGACGTCGGTAGTGAAATCTGAGGTTCGTTGAGATATGGTTGCTTCGACGTCTGTACACATCCTAAGAAGTTTAGCTTGAGCCCTGAAGTCGTGCATTAGAGCGGACTGATCCAATTGATCAAGCAGAAGAGTCGGTGAGCGACAAGCAGAGTCGCAGAATGAAATCTCCTGGGGTCGGGCTTCTTGTTGTCGAGGAATTTTCTGCCAATCGGGACAGGATGAAGAGTACGCCGTATACAACATCCTGGTCACGGTTGACTTCCAGTGTGCTTCCAACGATTGTGGAAATTAGTGGGATGATCCAACAAACGCTTTCAAAATTCGATGTTGATCTTGATCTAGGAAGCAATGAAGCAGGTGTGTAATTGGCAAGCGAACAGTGTTTGGCTGTCTGCTTCTCATCTCGTACTGTAAGCAAGAGTATTGATGATCGAGAATGCATCAGCCACGCAGGTTAGCCTCAGGCACAGGTTTGCCCCTCCGAAGCGCAACAGCGAGAAAAAGAATATCAGCCCCACCAGCGGAGCTCCCGAGTGGCACCGCAACTGCATTAGTCCCTTTCCCTTTGGCATTCTTGCGTGGACGGAGTTTCTCATTGACCTGTGCTCCCTAAAAAGCTGTGAAGGAGAAGGGGGATGAGGGAGGGACCACGGACTAGTGGAGGGACAGGACCTACGCTGCATTTTCTGGCCTGGCTCCTGTCCGACTACTTATACACTCGACCATCGTTGATTGTCCATCTTCCAGCTCTTGTTCAATTTCTTCCTCTCCCAATCTCGCCTCCCCACCTTCCCTCATCTTCCTACTCCTCTTTGTCTCTATCCAAAATCTTTCGTTGCTCTCACTACCTGAAACCTCACCCTCCTACTTCTATACTTCCTCCTCCATTACCGCCATAATGTCAGCCCGCCCCCAGAACATTGGTATCAAGGCCATCGAGGTCTACTTTCCCCGCCAGGTACGGATGCTCTTTCCATAGTTTTCCAGGGGGTTCCTCATTTTAGGGTTACTAACCGCCACACCAGTGTCTCGACCAGACAGAGCTTGAGAAGCACGATGGCGTTAGTGAGGGAAAGTATACAATTGGTCTTGGACAGACCAAGATGAGCTTCTGCGATGACCGCGAAGGTATGCTGTGTGCCGCTCATGTTCCTTGATGCAGCTATTAACTCGCCCCTTCGATAGATATCTACTCCATCGCCTTGACCACCCTCTCCTCTCTCATGAAGAAATACGACGTTGATCCCAACTCGGTTGGTCGTCTTGAAGTCGGCACAGAGACGCTTTTAGACAAGTCCAAGTCTGTCAAGTCTGTTCTTATGCAGCTCTTTGCTCCCCACGGAAACACCAACATTGAGGGTATCGACACTGTGAACGCCTGCTACGGAGGAACCAACGCAGTTTTTAACAGCATCAACTGGCTGGAGTCGTCCGCCTGGGACGGCAGGGATGCCGTGGTTGTCTGTGGTGATATTGCCCTGTATGCCAAGGGCAATGCTCGTCCCACTGGTGGTGCTGGCTGCGTAGCCATGTTGATTGGCCCCGACGCTCCCATCGTTTTCGAGCCTGGCCTCCGTGCTTCCTATGTCACCCACGCCTACGACTTTTTCAAGCCCGATCTTACTAGCGAATACCCAGTTGTCGACGGCCAGTTTTCCCTGAGATGCTACACCGAGGCCGTCGATGCTTGCTACAAGGCCTACGGCACTCGTGAGAAGACTTTGAAGCTGAAGGCACAAAACGGAACTAACGGCGTCACGCATGACGAGACCAAGACTCCTCTTGACCGATTTGACTATATTCTCTTCCACGCACCCACCTGCAAGCTCGTCCAAAAGTCATACGCCCGCATGCTTTACAACGATTATCTCCAGAACCCCACGCACCCCGCCTTTGCTGAAGTTGCTCCTGAACTGCGTGACTTGGACTACCAGACGTCGCTTACCGACAAGAACGTCGAAAAGACTTTCATGGGCCTGACCAAGAAGCGCTTCGCGGAGCGTGTGAGGCCTGGCCTGGACGTTGCCACCCTGTGCGGCAATATGTACACTGCTACTGTGTATGCTGGTCTCTGCAGTTTGCTTAGCAATGTCAAGTTCGACCCTAGCCAGCCCAAGCGCCTTGGTCTTTTCTCTTACGGCAGTGGTCTTGCCAGTTCCCTGTTCAGCGCGAAGGTTGTTGGCGATGTGTCCTACATCGTTGAGAAGCTAGACCTGCACAACCGCCTCAATGCCCGGACCGTCCTGCCCCCCACGGACTATGAAGCTGTACGAACCCCTTCTTACCTAGTCAGGTTTTTTGCCTCTCTAACGTCCAATAGATGTGTGATCTCCGCGAGCACGCCCACTTGAAGAAGGACTTCAAGCCCGTTGGCAACACCGAGACTCTTTTCCCCGGTACGTACTATCTCACTGAGATCGACGGCATGTTCCGACGGACATACGAAATCAAGGCATGAATGACGATTCGGATATAATGCTTTGGTACATATGACGTTTGTTTTTTTTTTTTTTTTTCACGAGGAGAACCACTGTCTAGACGATTTTTTTAGATTCCCTCTAGCATGATGTTTCTGTTTTGCTCAGCACGATAGAGTGTTTTGCAGGTTCTTGCACATTTCACTGGGCGACAAGGCGGCGCTGGAAAGCTTCCGGTTTCATGAGGATAGTTCCACAACTTTGACTCACTATAATACTGTTAATCAAATATATGGTTTATGACCTTCGCTTTCACTTACACTCTGACTATTTGGATGTGCCAATGTAGAACTACTAGTCGGTATCCAAGAGATCATACGACCAGAAAGAAATCAATTATATGTCTGCGACCCTGCGGCTCTCTTAAATGTAGTCGCATCTGGCCCCTGATTGGCTAATGGAAGATCTCCCGGCCGTGCGCGCCGCTGCATCCCCAAAAACAACAATGCAGTTTCCCTCTTCACATTTTCAACACTCAATCCTCTCCCCACCATTTTCCCCGTCCGATCCCGTCGAGGTAGAGCTAGACTTACTTCAGTTTCAGACTCGACGATGATCTGTTTGTTTCAGATCCGCCAAGCCCGCACATCCACAATGAAGACATTTGACCTCCACCCGCAGCCCGGCGCGTAACTGGGTCCGGGTTGTCGGCGCGTACTGAGACCATATTAGTCGCCCACCAGTGTATTATTAGAACAGTTCGAGGTCGGTGCAGATTGACGTACTTAGGAGCCGCCTGCCGTGGCAATTGGTGTGTTCCCTGCCGGATCCTGGCTGTCTCATATCAACCCGGCGCTTATATACGTCCCCCCAGGGAACACGCACCGTGGAGGCATCCGTGATCTTTCCTCGACATGGCGGACCCTCGTGCTTGCCGCCGACTCATTGCAAACTCAGGCGTTAGCCATATTTGGGTAAATTTAGGACCTTTGCTACCCAGAATAGACGAAACACACCCGTTGCCGATTATAGATCCTCCCTGGCGCTTGCGCGAACCATTCCTCAGGCAATCGAGTCTGAAGATATCAAGAAGATGCAAATTATAGTAACATTTTGACGCGCAGCTACTAGCTGAAACACTTCCCGGTGCTTGAAGATCTCCTGCTGCGAGAATCGCACCAGCAGGAACTGGCGGCCCAGGTGCTAACCCTACCCATTCTGTACCTGAAGACACCACGCAGACCAGGGTGTTGGCGGCGTCTGATGGAGCTTTCTCCATGTTTCAGATTATTTCGTCCCTGGCTCTCTCTGTTTACTGCTTCTTATTTTTGGCTCGCGGACGAAGCATTTAACCAACAGCCGTTTCCCACTCTCCTGCTGGGCAAAAGTTTCGTCGACATTCTCACCCTGGCCATGAATTGGCTTTGATATCCCATTTCTTATTTCATACTTCTCTAATCCTTACTATTCATCCATACTGCAGGAAGCTGGATCTTCCGCGGCAACTACCACCAACCGCCTAATACCTTCACGATAACCCTATTCCGCCTCATCCGCCCCGCAAAATCATGTCCGTGGGCTATCCCTTTTACCGACCTACCACCCCTCCTGTCGTTCATTACCAGGAGCTGGTTGGGCAATGCCATAACCGCAACGCATCGGACTCCTCTATATACTCCAACGACTCGTCCCCCTGGTCTGCCGTGACATCAACCACGAGCCCAACGGTGGATTCCCCACCACGCTACCAGCATGGCCCTGCTCTCCTACCTAGAATCAGGTCACAGGATGTCGTCATTGAGCCTCCGCCTACAACGGGACCGCATCGCCACCGCCGGTTCCTTTCCAATACTCGAAACCCACCTGGGTTTGTCCCATATCCGCCGCGGCGTCCCTCTATCCAGCGCAATGTGGTCGAGGTATCGGACCGGCTGGCTGCTGTCTCGTCTGTTCAGAATTCGCCAGTCTATGCTGCATACAGTGAATCCACGCTGTCGTCCCCCGTGAGCATTACACCGTCCCACAAGCGCAGAGACTCTGGCAAACATTCTCGCTCCGGCTCTGCGTCTAGCATTGATGAAGAGACGTTGAAACGATACGGCTTTCCCACCTATCGCCAGTTTCCTAAATATACAGCTCAGCCTAAGCCCTCTCCTACTGCACCAATTACCCCAGCGACGCCCAGCATCACTCTTTACCCTCCATATTCACGAGCCTCACCAGCTGAGCCTTCAGCCCAGATTCACCAGAAAGCTCCTTTGCAAGCACCCCTAGCGCTTCCAGCCTCCCCCTATGGCTACGCCAGTGTCCCGAGTGCTCAGTGTTCTCCTGTTGGTCTTGCCCATCCGACTGCCGGCGTTTGTGCACCGTCAACAACCCTTCTTTCGTACCTGACAGGTCCGACGCAAGCCATTAACCTAGTCCGCAACGTGAGCGTAATTCCTACTCGTGGCCTACATGACTACTTTTGGTGGGACATTAGGAATCTACGCAGCTGGACCAGCTTCTCTCTGGCCACTTTCAACTCAATCAACGGTCTTACAAAGTTGCTAAAGACTGCGATCCCTGCCGAACTCACTCCACCGGCTGTCGTGCAGAGTAACCGTCTATCGCCAGACTCTGAAGCCGCGCTTATCAGTCTCGTTCAAGACATCTATGCTCCCCGAGTGAATGCGGCTCTCAAAGTATCTCAAGGGCCCGATCATATCTCCCTATACACTGCCCCTCCGGCGCTTCGCGCCTCGAATAACAAGCATCACGGTGGACCGCACTTCCTCGCCAATTACACATCGGACACCGAGCAGACAAGCTCCGGGTCCCCCCGTGGCCGACTTGTTGGAATTGTCAAGAGCTTTGACCGTTGGAACACGGGAATGCGCAACGAGGCACCTCACCGTCGTGTAGAGTATCTCAACGGCTTAGCTCATTTGCAGCGGTGCATGCGCGAACACTCGTGCCGCTACGGTTTCATCATCACCGAGATTGAGCTCGTCTGCGTCCGGGCAGGATGCGACCAAGGCGACGATGTGCCCTACTTTGGATTCCTAGAGGTGTCGGCACCGATCCCAACCAATATTGCAGCAAATCCGGCCGGTCTCGGACACGAACTTGACAGCAGTTTGACTGCCTATGCCTCACCTAGCTCTCCGACACCTTCCATCGACAGCTCCTTGGGGAGCCAGTCCCCTCCGGAGGAAGGCTACTCCATCTCTACACCCGAAGCACTCAACGTACCCATGACCGCTAGCCTAGCTCTTTACTTTCTTCTCATGCTCTCAAAATCCGTACCATTACCGTCTCAGCCCTCTTCGCATCTCAACGTCGGCGGACCTGGGGCGCTTACTCGACAACGGGTCCTCCCAGACGGCAAGGACAAGTGGATTCCCGAACCGCAAATTGGCGAGAAGCGTGATGCAAAGCGCGTAAGAGGTTGGATCTGGCCGCATGACGCCTGGCATCGACGGGAGGGAGGCGGCGTGCCGCGCTCAAGGACAGCGGCACAGGCGAAGCAGAAGAAGTGGCATAAATAGAGTACAGCGACCTGGTTGATATCTAGGTCCCGACCTTGGAAGCTTTTTTTTTTTCTGTACCTTTTTACTTCTAGCATAGCAACTAATGTAATGCCTTATGATAGATTGTTGTCAAGGACCCTGTCGCCTGGATATTTGGAACAGTGAAGTAATCCATGCATAATTGAGATCCTCAAGGTCCCCAATTTGCAGTTTCACTATACAGAAGGTGGCACGAGCCAGGAACCTAACAAGGTAAGATGATCAGTCGATTGTATGCAGGTACCTTGTGGACAGAAGTACCCTGGGGATTATCGTACTCCACCCCAGAGCAATACGAGTAGGCTATCAGTGCAAGCCGTTATAAAGAAGCGGCATTCCTACAGTGTACTCCCCGCTCTGCTTTGAAGATAACTAACTACCTTACCTTGATATGCTATACGACGTCCTCATCATCGGGGCAGGCCCCTGCGGCCTCGCCGTCGCCGCCCGTCTCAAAGAACACACCCCCTCGGCGATATTTACAGACGGGGAACATCAACGATACCACTGGATAAACAAGCACAAGGGACGCATGAATCTGGTGAGCTCGCGCAAGAGGAAGCTCAGAGAGCTCGGAGTTAGGGTATCGCCGTCATCCTCGGTGTCGTCGACACGTGACGGGAATACATCAGAGGACTCGCTGTCATCGTCGCCGTCTTCTGTTTCAGAACACGAGTCCGACATTGATGGTTCAAAAGATGCAGAGGAGAAAAAAGGGCTATCGATGCTCGTCCTTGACTCGACGGGCAACCAGTGGATGGAGAAGTGGAACCGGGCGTTCAAGACGCTCGAGATCGAGCAGCTTCGAAGCCCCATGTTCTTCCACGTCGACCCGGGTGATCGTGATGGGATGCTGGCGTATACAACCGAGCACAGACGAGAGAAGGATCTCTGGGAAATCTCAGGCTGTGTGGGGAAAGAGATGAGCAAGCATAAGAAGAAGAAGATGCAAAAGACCAAGCAGCGGAATATGAAGGTGATCGGTGGTACGGAGATCGATGAGAGGGACCGCAAGGACTATTTCTCGCCAAGTACCGGGCTCTTTCGAAACTTTTGTGAGAGTGTGACTGAACGGTATGGCTTGGATGCTCCAGGTTTGATCAGGGAAGGCGAGGTTGTCGATGTGAAGTTTGATTATTTCGATGAAATTGATCAGGCAGAGAAGGTGTTTATGGTGAAGACGAAGAGTGGGGATACGTTTTATGCGAGGGCCGTAGTGTTAGCCATTGGTCCCGGGGGGAGGAAGATTATGCCTTTCCCCTTGAGTGCAGAAGAGGCAGAAGGAGCTTGCCACAGTGGTGAGATACGCGGGTTTCCGAGCCCTAGCGTCAAGAAAAAGATTCAGCAACGGAAAGAGACAAACGTTGTCGTTGTTGGAGGGGGCTTGTCTTCGGCTCAAATTGTGGACATGGCAATCCGGAAGGGGGTGACCAAGGTGTGGTTTCTGCTGCGATCTGATTTCAAGGGTGAGTTTACTTGCTCTCTGGCCCTGCTAGCGCTAACAAGACTAGTCAAACACTTTGATATCAACCTCAGCTGGATGGGCAAGTTCAAGAACTATGAAAAGGCAGTCTTCTGGTCTGCCGACACCGACGAAGAACGCATGGAGATGATCAAGACTGCCCGCAATGGAGGTAGCATCACTCCTCGCTACCAGAAGATTCTTCGCGAACACGCGGCTCACCGTCGAGTCTCTATCCACACACGCACTGCCATAGTCAGCAAGGAGTACTGCCCTGCTACAAAGACATGGCGTCTTGTAACCGACCCACCCATCCCCGGTCTTCCAGAGATCGACTACATGTACTTTGCGACAGGAATGCACATGGACGTGACCGAGTTACCGATGCTGCAACAGATGCGCCGAGATTATCCTCTTAAAACGATACAGGGTTTACCGTGCCTCACAGACGACCTCATGTGGCAAGCTGACGTACCTCTGTTCCTCACCGGCCGGCTGGCTGCGTTGCGTCTTGGGCCTGGAGCGCCAAATCTCGAGGGTGCAAGGTTGGGCGCAGAGAGGATTGCTTGGAGCATGGAGGAAGTACTGGGCAACGCTGCATTTGGCAAAGAGGAGACGGATGAGCAAGAAGTGGACATGTCAAGGGAGTGTTTTTGTGGACTGGGGAATCGATATGCCGGATTGGCTGAAGGGTCATAGGCTGTAAGTTAAGTTGCGATATCAAAGATCCAGAAACCATGGAGAAGAATTGAGCTCGTTTCCTGATGGTTATTGAGAGAAAGAGTTGTAGTGCTGCTTCACAGTATGTGGCAAGGTCGCCTTCGTCCTCCAGGATCTCTGTCTTTTCGCCTCTGTCTCCATCTCTTCTCTTTACCTCGATATTCCAGCTCTTCGCCTCCTCTTCAGATTCAGTTGATACCTAGGTATCAGCTCGATTGCCTCATGACATTTCCTGCGTTACCATATTGTGGAGCGGACGATGCCCAATGCGGTGGTACGGAGGCTGTGTTGATGACGAGTCAGGAGATGCTGTTTCAAGCTAACTGGTGGATTTCCTCCCGGTGTGAGACCTTGAGCCTCCTTGCGTATGTACATTTTGAAGCAAGTACAGTGCGTGTGTTGAGGACATTGAGCGCTGATGATCAATCTATGGTGCCAGGTGTTGCGCGCGAGACCCAAGATGAGGAAGGCGCATCCGCCTCGATTTGGAATTCAGAGATAGCACCTGGGGAGTATACAAGCCTGGCGCCTACTATCTAGATACCGTGGCTGAGGCTCAAGCCAGAGTTTCGTGTTCAACTCTCGCCAGCGTGCTCTTCCGATGCGCCGCCGCCTAGAGTCAGAGGCTTGGTCGAAAACGAGTACGCCTCGGGCGGCTCTACACGGTACCTCTTGGGGTAATTCATCGGATCTCACTGATCTCACTCTTCTTGTCCGCTCGCAACAAAGTCAACAGCGGAGAGACCTCCGCTCAGCGGAGCGGGGCCGTCTTTCTCGCCCGTGGGGTTCTGCGTACGAATTCACCTTGATTCCTCATCCAGGCAACTCTGGGCTCTCTGAAATGATCCTGCAAGTTGACTATGATGGATCCAGCCAAGATACAGATATCACAGTTCACAGCCTCTGGTGAGGCTCGTATATCGTATACGTACCCGTGAGGCTGAGCGAAAGCTGTCGTTTGCAGCCGAAAGAACGAGTGTACCCCAGCAACACAACCTTCTTTTCAGTATACTGCCAGCATTCTTCAGTGCCCGGCTTATGGCCCGCGGTTCTGCCTGTAATATGAATTCTGGCGGAGGACATTTCCGATTTCTGGCCACTTTGGTTCTCACCTGGTTTTGCTCAGCCTCAAAGGGTCTCAACCAAGGTTCGGACTCTTGCAGGCTAAGCTCAAGGCATCCAGCCACTAGCGAAAACATGTGCGAGGCTCGCTTCGCATGTGAACAATATTGATATACGGAATACAGCTCGATCAGAGTCATGCTGAAGGCGAAAAAGAGTCATGGACACTCTGAGGTGTCAGTTGGGAGCTCAACACAGCCCAGCCACATTTCTCTTGTGGCGTGGCGGTGCAAGATCCCCTTTCTAAAGTCTGATTGGTGAAGGCGAATAAACGCCACACTCCAGACGGCCGAAGCAATGGAGATTGAAAGAATGGTTACTCTCAAGATACAGAAACAAGTATGTAGAGTGACTATACGTCATTCGTAACCCTGCGAGCACAATGGCCTAGCCGCGAGTGGTGAGCCACACCTTACAGGTTGACTGGGTAGATTTCAGGCGATCGCCGCCACGAGGCGCAGTAACAACCAATCAATCGTTCCCAGTGTTAGCCTGAGAAAGAATGAAGAATGCGAGGAACCACATTCATTGGCCAAGACTGTGGTGAAAACCGCGCATCGACGGTGTCACTAGGCGCCCGGAAGCTCAAGACCCTTGCTCAGTCAGACGACAAAGCGCGAAATGCGTCAAGTATAGGACAAGGAAGTGGAGGGGCATGCCTGCATCATTACGCGCCGACATCCAACTTACTAGTAGTATCTGAGGGGGTCTTTCATCGTCTCAGCGCTTAGAGAAACAAACAAACGAGTTCCAGCCAATCCCTTGTCTCTCATGAAAAGTGGTTACCGCTGAGATGGATTCTTTGTTGGGTGCTAAAGGGGGTCTCGTAAGGTCTCGCTCTTTGGCAGCCTCCTGCCAAGGTGGGCTTAAGCCATTCTCTTGTCGCAATAATAGTTGGCCTGACGAATAAGAATAATCAAATTAAGGGGTTAAATAATACGTCTTGAAAAGAAACCAAATCGGTCGGCTGGATCTGCCTCGTCATGCATAGGTACAGTACTGTGCTTGCACAGCCCCGGCCCCCCAGAACAGATTTGCCCCCACTCCTACCCTACTACTCTTAAATACTGAGTATCACGGCTCTGCAGCTCTTCCAGTCTCTCCTGATGGAATAAGCAACACCATATTTTAGACTATCTTGACGACTCTGGCAGTCGACCTGTTCGTATTATGGCGAATCTGAACAGCGACCCTGACCCTTTTGCGGGCTCAGCACAACCACATCCAACTTTCCATCTTGAAGTCCATTCAGACCAGAGCTCTCCGTCTTTACCCGGGCAAACGGGCGCAATGAGCCTAACGCCATTCTCCTCGAATCGGCTAGCAGTGAGCCATGATCCACCTCAAACATCACATTCTCTGGACGGAGACACTCTTCGCCCTCGCGCCGATTCCACCGTCTCTTCAAGCAGTGCAGCAACAGTCGCCAACTCAGAAGCGCCGTCCAGGTTTGAAACAGCCAAGGGCAAAGCTTTCGCCACCGACCTCTCAGATATCGACGATGTACCGCTCTCAGAAGCCCTCAATCCAGATCCTCAAAATGTCCAGGACTTCGAAGTACCAGACAACAGGTTCCCCTTTTCACCGGGGCAACTGAACAAGATGCTGAACCCAAAGTCTCTGGCAGCTTACCATGCACTTGGAGGCGTGTCTGGCTTGGGAAAGGCTCTGCGAACTGATTTGAAGTCAGGGTTGTCTGGGGATGAGAGGCGATTAGAAGGCAAGCTTGAGTACAACACTCGGACCTTGTCGTTGGACTATATCGAAACACCTAGCAGCGCGGAAAACATAGATACACCCTTCTATGATCGGATACGGATATTCAGTCAGAATCGGCTGCCGGCACGAAAGACAACTGGCTTTCTGAAGCTGTTGTGGATGGCGTATAATGATAAAATCATTATCTTACTGACCATTGCCGCCATTATATCTCTGTCTCTTGGTATCTATGAGACGGTCGACGAGGGACATGGCGTGGATTGGATTGAGGGAGTTGCCATTGTCGTTGCTATCGCCATTGTTACCCTTGTTACGGCTTTAAATGATTGGCAAAAAGAGCGCCAGTTTGCGAAACTAAACAAGAGGGTAAGTCATTCTCATTCTTCTATTTAGCTCTGACTTAGACTAACCAAGTAGAATAATGACCGCGAAGTGAAAGCTGTTCGTTCCGGAAAGGTGGTGATGATCTCGATCTTTGATATCACCGTAGGTGATGTCCTTCATCTTGAACCTGGTGACTCTGTCCCAGCGGACGGTGTTCTCATTTCTGGACATGGCATTAAATGTGATGAATCATCTGCTACTGGAGAATCGGACCAGATGAAGAAAACGGATGGTTTTGAGGTGTCTCGCCAGATCGCAGATGGCACGGCTACCAAGAAGCTCGACCCGTTCATGATCTCCGGCAGCAAAGTCCTTGAGGGAGTTGGCACATATCTTGTGACCAGCGTTGGAAAGTTCTCCAGCTACGGACGAATCTTGATGTCGCTACAAGAATCGAATGACCCCACTCCCCTTCAAGTTAAACTTGGAAGACTTGCAAATTGGATTGGATGGCTTGGTTCGAGGTAAGATAAAGCGCGGATTATGGTTGGGTTATCATTGACTAACTTTTGTAGTGCCGCTATTATCCTATTCTTTGCCCTACTCTTTCGCTTCCTTGCCAACCTGTCTGATAATACAGGCAGTTCGGCCGCCAAAGGTAAAGAGTTCGTTGACATTCTTATCGTCGCTGTAACAGTGATTGTTGTTGCCATTCCTGGTAAGTAAAGACCCAGAATAAATTTCATGTATTCTGCTAACCTGACATAGAGGGCCTTCCGCTGGCTGTTACGTTGGCTCTCGCCTTTGCCACAACACGTATGGTCAAAGAGAATAACCTGGTCCGTGTTCTACGGGCGTGTGAGACTATGGGCAATGCAACTGTTATTTGCTCTGATAAGACGGGCACCTTGACCCAGAATAAGATGACCGTGGTTGCTGGAACCCTGGGTTCCCGAGGCTTTACCCATGACCATGGGGAAGAGCCCACTTCCACCTCGGCTTTAGAACTCTTCAAGACCTGTCCTAACGAAGCCCGCGACCTCCTTGTGAAGAGCATTGCTCTCAACTCAACAGCGTTTGAGGAAGAAAAGGACGGGGCTAAAGAGTTCATTGGCAGCAAGACTGAAGTGGCACTCTTGCAGTTGGCTCGAGAGTACCTGGGAATGGACGTGACCACTGAGCGTGCATCTGCAACCATTGTCCAGCTGGTTCCCTTTGACTCAGCTCGCAAGTGCATGGGCGTTGTTTACCATGTCGCTGAAGGGCAATACCGCCTTCTTGTCAAAGGCGCTGCTGAGATAATGGTCGAGAAATGTTCAACTAGAGTGGACACCGACTCAGACACCCTGCGCATCGCTACGGCCAATGCTCAAGATAAACAGCAGGTTCTCAACACAATTGAGACATATGCCAGGCGAAGTCTGCGCACGATTGGGCTAGTCTACAAGGACTTTTCTACTCCTAGCTGGCCGCCCGCTGGTGCTGCGCGCATACAGGATGATCCCGAATCCGCAGACTTTGGCAGCATCTTCCAGAACATGACATGGCTTGGGGTCATGGGTATCCAAGACCCCCTTCGTCCTGAAGTCCCTGCTGCTATTCAAAAGTGCCATAGTGCTGGTGTCCAGGTCAAGATGGTGACTGGTGACAATATCAGCACAGCTACTGCAATTGCCGAGTCCTGTGGCATCAAGACCAGCAATGGGATTGTCATGGAAGGCCCCAAGTTCCGTCAGCTTTCCGAGGAAGAGATGGATAGGATTATTCCAGACCTGGAAGTCCTTGCCCGCTCGTCTCCTGAAGATAAGCGCATACTGGTCGCTCGGCTAAAGAAGCTGGGCGAAACGGTAGCAGTGACTGGTGATGGAACCAATGATGGACCGGCCTTGAAGACCGCTGATGTGGGCTTCTCAATGGGTATTGCTGGCACCGAGGTTGCAAAGGAGGCTAGTTCTATCATCCTTCTTGACGACAACTTCAAGTCAATTGTGACAGCGATCGCCTGGGGACGCGCGGTTAATGATGCCGTTGCCAAGTTCCTCCAGTTCCAAATCACTGTCAACATCACTGCCGTCGTTCTCACATTTGTTTCTTCCCTCTACAGCTCCGACAATCAAAGTGTGCTCACTGCTGTGCAGCTCCTCTGGGTGAACCTGATTATGGACACCTTTGCTGCACTCGCATTGGCAACCGATGCACCTACTGAGAAGATCCTCAACCGGAAGCCTGTTCCCAAGAGTGCTTCGCTGTTTACTGTGACAATGTGGAAGATGATCTTCGGTCAAGCCATCTACCAACTCGCCATCACTTTTATGCTTTTCTTTGCCGGCGACCGCATCTTGGCAGGCCACCTCGATGCCAGGCCAGATGTCGCCCAGGAACAGCTCAACACTATTGTCTTCAACACTTTTGTCTGGATGCAGATATTCAACGAATTCAACAACCGTCGACTTGACAATAAGCTCAACATCTTCGAAGGCATGCACCGCAACCTTTGGTTCATTGGCATCAACTGCATCATGGTCGGCGGCCAAGTCCTGATAATTTACGTCGGTGGCGCGGCCTTTAGCGTCAGGGAGATCACTGCTATGCAGTGGGGTGTCTGTATTGCCTTGGCCATCGGAAGTCTGCCTTGGGCAGTGGCTCTTCGCCTGATTCCTGACAAGCCAGTTGGGATCATCCTCGACGCTGTTGCCACCGCTATTGGATTCGTCGTGAAGCCAGTTGGCCGTGTCTTTGCGGCAATCGGAAGACTCATCAAGCGACTGAAGCGCCGACGCAACAACAAGGGCAAGGATGCTGAAGAATCTGAGGCAAAGTCCCTGGACGAATACAGCAGCGAAGAGCGCATCTCCGACGAGGAACAGCGACCTGGTGTGCCCCAAGTTATGATTACGACCCCCGACGACGCCTCTGGCAGATGATACGCCTACAATATACGTTTGAATTTTTTGTTTCTTCTGTCGATGTTGTTTTCTATGCAAACTGTCTTGTTCCTGAACTGTACTATATCTTCGAAGTTTGCACTAGCGCGGCGTTTTCGTTGCATTTCTGGTGGGTGCGTTATTCTGCTTCTTTTCATCATAAGATACCTGGAAGGAGGATCTTTCTTGCATTTAGCCATGAGACTGGGTTGGCAACTACATCGCGTTTTAGAGATAGAAATCCATAATACCATTCGATTACACACAACCCTTTCAATCAGTCCGCGAAGTATGAGTTTCTGCCTCAGGCCACATGGCATGAATTGACATCCTCACCTGGGGCGACACAACTATACCGGTCGACAATGTGTTCATGGTCTAAATACTATAAAGCAACTCTCACTGTCAATTCTTCCATCTCATTATAGTTGTGCGTATTAAGTATTAGGAATTCCACTCCTACGGCAATCTGGGTGCCTTCCCCGCGTGGGTAACGGACTCCTGAGCCACATCTGCCACCAAAGATGACGAGCCAAGTTAACCCAACTGCCACTTCCCACCCTCTCCAGCTCCAAACACCACCACAACACAAAACACCCGATTTCGTTGCCCGTCAAGACCCTCCAGCAAACCCAATTACTCTCACTCTCCATCAGGAAGGTTCCGAAAAATGTCTACCCTCAACTACCGCACCATAAACATCGACGCCTTCGACCCCGACAGCCCGCAGAACTTCCCGATCGAGACGCTCCTCCCCGCAACCCTCCCACCTCCGAGTAACTCCAGCGGCGCCGCAAACACTGCCACGCAGGTCCGACAGCTCCTGCGCTCCGGTGATGCAGTCGGTGCGCTACGCCATGTCCTCGAGACCGCCCCGTTAGCTGGAGACGAGAGCGCGAAGCAGGTGCATCTTGCGACAGTTATTGATGTGCTGCAGGGGATCCGACAAGGGGAGATGGGGAGAGTTCTTGCTGGTGTCCTTGAAGGGGAGGGTGGTGTTGAGCGGGGTGATTGTTTGATGAAGTACCTGTATGTTTCGGGACCTTTGCGGGGTTGTGTTTGGTGTTGTTGGACTACTGTGCTAACCTGAATAGATACAAGGGGATGGCGTCGGGAGGTCCAAGCAGTGGTGCTCAAAGCCCGCGAAAGTCGGTCTCACCGCAGAGCACGGGTTTCTCACAAATCCAGGCCAGGAACCTCGGTGAGGGCGGCGGAGGTCAGCAGATGAGTGTGCTATTGAACTGGCATGAGAAGTTGGTCGAGTTGACGGGGACGGGGTCCATTGTGCGTGTCATGACGGATCGCAGGACTGTTTAACTTCTTCTATGATACATATTTTTTTTTTTTGTACACGGCATGATTATGGCCTGAAATCACCACCACCCAGTATATCTTTGAGATTCACCTGCCCACTCCCCCTCGCCAATGGCTGCGCCTGTCCCTCGCCTTCCTTCCATCCAATCATGTATATCAGCCGGAATGTCGCGGGGATACCGCGACTTTCTTCTTCTTTGTGCAATTCCCGATAGATAGCCTCATTAGCCAACAGTACATCCCTTGAGATCGGTCCAGCCTCCCTCTGCATGATCGCATTGTTCTCCCCCATAGCCTGTAAGTCCGCCATGAGCGCAAACGTATTCGGAAACTCGACCACAATGTCCTCTACATCAACCGTGAGCATCTTGAACCCAGCCTTGGTCAGCAGCCCGCCTACATCTCGTACATCGGCAAGCGGGCTGACATGAGGCGAGACACCTCCTCTCCGTTCTAGATCCGCAAGCTGCAATGACGTCCGTAACTCGAACAATGTATCCCCTCCAAACATGGCCGCAATGAACGGACAATCCGGCTTGAGAATCGAGTTGACCTGCGCTAATAGACTCGGAAGGTCGTTAATCCAATGTAGCGACAGGGAGGAGAGAACGGCGTCGAATGTGTTGGGCTGGTAGGGCAGAGATTCGAGATTGGGTATGACCTCGCGGAAAATAGAGAGATGACGGTTGAATGGAAGCTCCGCATCGCGGTTTAAGAGGGCGGGAGATGTTTCAACGCAGGTGAGGTTTCCGATCCGGTCAGAGAGTGTCGTTGCGTCGCCCGTTTCTGCACCGGTCTCTGGATCAAGATTGGGGATTGGTGTTGTTAGTGCGCGCGCGATGTTGCAGCTATTTGCACCGAGATCAAGGACATTGGGAAACGTCCGTTTGATATCCTATGCCGATAGCTACATTAGCTTCTACATCGATCGCAATCGGGTCGGTTGGGTGGAATAATACAAGAAGTCTTTCACACAAGCGCAAGGCCACCTCGTCCTTGAGGTAGTCGACTTTTCGGCTTTCTTCGACATTCTGTGCTGCGCGGTCTTTTTGGAGTTGTTTTGTCTTGCGGTTGAAGATTTCGAGGACGGGGTTGCCGGGGGTTTGGCTGGCGTAGGTGCGGCGGGCTGGGGTCCATGAGGACCGGAGGAGGGGGCGTAGTGGACGGAGGGCTGACATTTTTAGCTTTTGAGGAGTAAACTTGAGGGAATTAATCTTGATTTAAAGGCAATTGTAATTGAGCATTGTGGTGAGAGTTGTAGAAGTGACGTCGGGGAAATCTTCTGTGGGCGATAAGGAGCTCTGGTTTGATTTTCCCAGCAGCTCCGCCTCCTCCTCAACATCTACGAGACAGGTACGTTCCATTCTACTTTCCATTGTACCTTACTGGTATATACTGATCTAGGACAGCAATCATGTCTCGCCCTTTTCCGTATGCGTACATCTCCTGCCCCTGCGCAAACACACCCGCGCCCGACCCGTCCAGAAAGCGGAGATCAAGAGAGTCGCCGCAAAAGGCCAGCCCAGAGAAACCGCGCCCAGAACCCCAATTAGATGACGAGGAGGACGAGCAGACCTTTGATCCGCGAGCCCCTCGATCCAACTTCTCGCTATATCCTCCGGAGCAGCTGCTTTACTGCGAAGACTGCCACCAGATAAAGTGCCCGCGATGCATCACTGAGGAAATATTATGCTGGTACTGTCCGAATTGCCTATTCGAAACGCCGAGCAGTATGGTTCGGAGTGAGGGGAATCGGTACGTTTTGTCAAAGTTCATTGTGCTTGTAGGCTGACAATTTAGGTGCGCGCGGAATTGCTTCAATTGCCCAGCTTGTACCGCGCCACTATCCGTCACAACTCTCGAGAATAGGGGCGGAGATCAGTCAGGTCCCTGGGTCTTGTCCTGCGGATACTGCATGTGGACGACGCTGGATATCGGTATCAAGTTTGACAAACCCACCAATATCCGCGCGCAGTTGGCCAAAATGACGACTGAGCCCTCCACGCCGGCCACCCGCACACGGCAAATGTCCAAGACGTTTGGCGATCTCAAGTCTCCATTGTCAATGTACTCATCGACAGACGATCAGTTGACCCCAGCAGCTGGTAGCAAACCTGACAATGATGATCAAACTCCAGACACAAGCATACCACGCACTCGCGACGCCCGGTTCGCGGCGCTCAAGTCCTTCTACAAGGACCAGATCGCGGCAACTACAACCAGAGGTGTCGACCCGGGAGACTTTGGGGCTTCATTCTCCTCTCCAAACACGCTTCACCGCATCATGTCCATCTACACCGCAACGCGCATCACGGCTCTCTACGGCAATGGCAATAAGAAGGCTAGAAACAGGCCGCCAGTGATGAGGGAAGCTGTCTCTGCAAACGAAGGCCTTGCCCTACCCAAAACCAACTCTGAAACTGCCATCATCCAGCGGATGGCCTCTGACGACTGTGGCTGGGACGGTCTGGCGTCCCTCGAGCAGCGCGCCTTCCAATCACCTGATGCACGCTTCGTCGAAGATCTCCTCCCTCTCCCTTCACTGCTTCGGACGAAACGCTCGAAACGATGCAAGTCGTGCAAACACATCTTAGTCAAACCCGAGTTCAAGCCCTCGTCAACACGATACCGTATCCGTCTCATTGCGCTCAGTTATATCCCGCTAACGACAATGCGCCCTCTAATCCTCCCTCCCACGACATCCACATCTCTACCGTCGCTCTCGAGCGCTGCAGCACCCAACTTGGATGCGCTTACCCCGCAAAGGCCCATTCAACTCCTTCTCACGCTGAAGAACCACATGTTTGATCCCATACGGATTACTCTGGCCACACCCTCCGTTACACCAGGCCGTGTCGCCTCCAAGGTCACAATCCTCTGTCCGCAGTTCGACATTGGTGCGAATAGCGATGTCTGGGATGAGGCCTTGCAGAGCGCCACAGCGCCTGATCGCTCCTCACGGACATCGCCCTACGAGAAGGTCGCAGAGGCGGGCAAGGTCTGGGATAAGGGGAGGAACTGGACCACCGTTGTTCTCGAGGTCGTTCCCGGGTCGTTGCCTGGTCTCAAGCTCAAGGGCACTAAGGGTGATAACGATGATGATGATAATGATGACGACGACAGCGACGAAAACGAAGGAGCTCTCGACTGGAGTGGTAAAAGCAGAGATCCCAGGCAGCATATCCAACCGGACGAGGATGTCCTCGAGATTCCAGTGTTTGTGCGCATGGAATGGAGCTCGGACAGTCAAATTGATACAGAGGAAGGGATTGGCAGTGCAAAGGGTCTGGGAGGTGATTCAGTGAAAAGAGAGCTGGCGTACTGGATGGTGTTGGGAGTCGGAAGGATTGAGTCTTGATACATACACCTAGTTTAGCCACATTTTACAAATATACCCTTTTCGAGTCGTTCATGTGGTTCAGAGTTACTCTACAGTCTAGTGGCAGGAGGTGAAATGAAAATTTGGGTAATTTTTTGTATCTTTCAACCACGCCGAACAAAAGAGAACAGCCCGGGCCAAAACCGATCATGAGTGTAATTATCACATCACATCAAATCCCATTCCATTCTCGAGTAAAAGAAAAAGAGATCGCCAAGGGAAGTGCAGAGACATGACATGAACTATCTCACACCGTCCCCCTTAGATCCTCCCTCTCCCTAAGAAAAACTCCTTTTGGAAAAGAAATCTAGAACTCAGCAGCACCGCCCTGGGGGAACTCAAAGACCACAGTCCGACCAGTCAAACGACGGTAGACCTCACCGTAGGCATCGAGTCTGTGGTCAACACCACCGCGCTCCTTCTCGTCGAGGATGACCTTGAGGGTCTTGCTGCCGTCCTCCTTGGTGCGGGTGCGCTTGCCGACGATCTCGACGGGGTAGACGAGGTCGTCGAGGATGGCGTCGTGGACGGCCGTGAGGGTGCGGGAACGGGGGCGCTTCTGCTTCTGGTTGGTGCGGGAGTTGACGGAGCGCTTGGGGCGGGGGAGGATGCGGCGCTGAGCGACGAAGAGGACGTGGCGGTCGGAGAACTTCTTCTCGAGTTCACGGGTCAGACTGTGTGGATGTTAGTTATAGGGTCCTGGCTGCCGGCTTAAAGTGAAGCGACGGATTGGTGTAAGACGGGTTGAGCGTACCGCTGCTGGATCTTGTGGAAGCCCTGGAGGAGAGGGACGGGGACGAAGACAATGACAGCCTTCTTGCCGTGGCCGACTTCGACCTGTAAATTCAAGAGAAGTTAGAACCCGTGTGCAAAATCATTGATAACGCCCATTCCATTGCTCCGCAACGCCAGCAACATGACTTCTCCCATTTCCGTAGCAATTGAGCCGATATATTCCTCGATTCATCCGTTTTGACATTCCGATATAAAATTCCCACAAAACTCCGCTCCCGCTCTCCAAAATCCGAAAACACAATATCCGCAAACACAAGAGTCGAAAACCGCTTACCTCACGAGCAGACACGAACTGCAGAGGGCGGAGGGTAGCCTTCAGGTCCTGTGTGTTGCTCTCCAAGTCGTAGAGAGCACCAGCGATCGCGGTCTCCAGCTCGGAGGGGTTCTGCCTCGACGGCGAGTTGAGGGCGATCTTGTTGATGGCAGCCATTTTGAAGGGAGTGTAGGCAGACAGGGAGATCTGACTGTACTGCTGCTGGGGGTGCTGCCCTTAAAGGTGGTTGCTGGCGGGTTGGTCGACGGAGAGCAAGTCAATTCAAATTGCGACTTGTGAGGGCGGAGTTTGCCTGCTGTGGGATCGGAGGCTCGGCCTCGCTTAGCTGGGGTGTTGCCCCCAATCGGGCCTAGCGCGCGTCCCGTGACTCGCGGCGCCCTCTTCTATAGTCTTCCTCCAGCAGAATCCTTTGATGGGGACAGGGGAAAAGAAAGCTGCCAAAAGAGTGTTCTATTTGCACAATAATCGATACAATGCTATTGATAGCGGTAGGCCACGCTGAGACAGCATAGAAGCTGTGGGAACGCCACAATCACGAAGAAAAACACGCAAATCACCAGACTATCATAATAAACGCGGCGGACTGAACACGGTATCTGTAAGAAGGAGAAAATGGATTAATACAACATCGTTAACAGGCACACCCTTCTTTGGCAGTCGCAGCGCCACGATCCCCAAGGTTCACTCTCGAGTCGTCGGTCGACCGGCCGCCCCCAAGTGTCGTCTGGCCGGTGCCAGCGCCAGCGCCTCGTCCGCTCTTCAAGCTGCTTTCCGGAATCGCATTGGCAATCGCAGTAAAGACGTCAACCACATTCAACCCCGTCTTTGCGCTGGTCTCGTAGAAAAGCAGACTCTCCTCCTCCGCATACGTGCTAGCCTCTCGAGTCGAAACCTTGCGAGCATCCCCTGGAATGTTATCCTCCTGCTCCTCCTGGTTATCGCCAGCGTCGTCACCCTCGGCGCCCGGGTCACGCTCTGTGTCAACCTCTGTCTCTCCGCTGCCGTCATTCGTCAAGTCCAGCTTATTGCCAACGAGAGCGATCACGATGCCAGGGCTCGCTTGCCGCTGGAGTTCCGCCACCCAGTGCTTGGCCTTGGTCAAAGATGAGGGTTTGGTCACGTCGTAGACAACGAGCGCCGCCTGGGCGTTGCGGTAGTACATAGGGGCGAGCGAAGCGAAGCGCTCCTGGCCGGCGGTATCCCAGATCTCAAACTTGATTGTTCGGGTGGGCAGAGAGCATTTCTGGGTCAAAAAAGCAGCTGAGATGGGTCAGTTGCGGCGCTCTCCAGTCACGTAGCTTTGGGGGGAGAAGTGGATATCGTCATCGCTAACCCCCGTAATCTCTTTTGTCGGATGCTTACCTCCAATCGTCGGCTCCTTGTTCTCTTGAAAGTCATTATTCACGAATCGCAGCACCAACGAAGACTGTCCACCGCAAATCGTTCAAATTAGCTTGACAATTCTGCTGGTTACCCTTGTACAACAAAGCGCAAGGCCGATCCCTCCTCCCAGACGGCGAAAAACGTACCTTTCCCACAGCAGCTTCCCCAAGAAGTACCAGCTTGACGCTGCTGCTCGGTTTCGGAGTTGAATCAGACATGGCGATAGAGCCCAACGGGGAGACAAGTATAGGATCAGGTCGTCTTGCAGATAAATGCTAACCGGAACCGCCGGCTTATGGCTGCGAATTGGTGATTTTTTATCGAGAGAGATGGGCACAAAAGCACTCCAGGTAGCCTAAAAGCAGGAATAAAATAAATTCAATGTAAGCTAGAGCCATTCAAAAGCAGGTGGCCTGTGTTCGGTTTGGAGCAGCGGTTGTTTGATAGGCAGCAGACAAATGGTAAGACGCAAAAGCACACACCAGTACCAAGAGAGAAAGAGCGGTGGACAGAGAGGCCGGTATGCAGCCTGCGTTCGATGCGAGACGCCTTGCAAGCTCGTCCTTGGAAAGAAAGCGTACGAAATTAATCTGGTCCTCAGACGACAGGTCTTCGTCAGATAGTCGGTCGGTTCGAATTACACTGCGATCCAGTGGCAGCGGTCGTCATGAGGCGGAGACGTCGCCGGCGGGCAGCTGATGAAGCCAGTCCCGGCTAGGCTTAGCGCGTAGCCAGTCACAGGAGCCATGGGTCAGCCCGCAGTCAGTGCAAAGAACCGTGAACATAAAAAATGGTTCCTGACCGTCCTGGATCTCGGCCAATTTGTTTGCGTTAAGAGCTAGGTAGAGCTATTGGTAATGTCTCGCCTCATCCCATCTTTGATCAGCCCGTGTCCTCCCCGAGCAAAGGAAGGCTCTCGCAGTTCTACGACTCCAACGCAGCACGAGCGCACGGTGAACAAAACGAAAGTCAGGCGCCGATGGCATCTAAACTTGAAGTGTTCGAAGGATGAAATCCGGCTTTGGGCCTCCGCTTTAACCTTTGGCGAGACAGATGCGCCTCCCAATGGAAAGCATTGACGATTGACACCCAACGCAGTCAAGCTTGATTGGTGGGTTTCTATCTGGCCAGCACTAGAGTCAGCGCCTTTGGGTACAACTCATGATAGCATTGTCGACCGCCCCATCTGTAGTATCTTTGGACGAATAGCTGTACATCTCAACACGCAGCCCGGAGGTATGACGTGACAACGGGAGCACAGGAAGCCTCTTGTATAGGCCCGTCGTCCAGTAGGGTACATACCCTAGCCTCGCACGGCATGGGACTCTGCAGCCGCGATAGCTGCCCAAAAGAAGAAGCACAGAACGCTGGATCTCGGCCGGGGTTTGCTAGATACCTAAGGCGCAATTAGCTTGACTCAACGTGGCTTTGACGAATCAGAACGAATCTCTTGTCTGTAGAGTCCCGGTAGACAATCAAGAACTGTCGATGTCGTCGGCGGTGGCTCGTTGATGTTAGGCCAAGACTCGTTGTCCAAAGGTTAGTTGTCGCTGTCGCCCAAACTTATGAACCAAGAAAGGAACGGCTTGCCAACGGAGCATCTGCTATCATTCTCAAGTACCCAATGTATAGTGTACAGAACATCCACCCACAAAAGTACCACACTCGCAAACAAAGGAAATCTAAGGGTAAAAAGAAATATAGCGACAAACTAAACAAAGTTCCGGCCGCGAGGCCACAAAAATCTAAATCTGTTGGTATCAGCCCATGCATCCCAAAATCACAAACCCATTCCTGTCTATCCCAAGCGCCGGTACAAAGGAAATAGAAACACCCATGCATCAAAGAAGAAAAACATCCAGAAGATATCACAGCACTTTTTGTCGCAAATTGATCATGGCCTGAACTGGTTCGTGTCGATGAGAATGATTAAATGTTGTAGTAGGTAACGTTATTCGCAAAATAGGTAGTATAGTCGAAAGGTACGGTCGTATTGATCGAGAAGGTCACGAAGGCAAGCCTCCACTTGGAGGACGGCAGGATTAAAAGGTGTCTATGAAGCGCGAAACGAATAGCGGCCGATGATGAACATAGTGTTACAGGGAGCTGCAATGCAGAGTTAGTATTGAAACGGGTGCACTGCCGCGGAAGCTGCGAGGGTCACTTACAAGAAAAGGATCGACTTCATATCGGAGACACGTCAAACTTCAGGGGCCATGGCGCCATTGAACAAAACCACAAACGAATTTCCACTCAGAAAAGAGGAAACTGCCGTCTCATGTGGCTGGCACAGGCTTCGAAAGCTCAAATGTCTATTTCGGCGGCGGTGGTGGTGCGCCAGGTTTCTTAACGCCTGTCGTGTCGTAGGCTCCTCTCCCCATGTTGCAAGCTGAAAGGTCTCGGAGAATCATGGCGGATGCTGCACGGAGGGCCATAGTCAGCTCAAGAGCTTCTAAAATGAGAAGGCTGAAGCGGAAGGCGAGTAGGGCAGGGTAAAGTAAGGCGTATTGACAATTGGAGATGAGGAATGACTCACTCTTTAAATATAACCAGGAATAGGGTTTCCAGTAAGTTGGATAATATTCCAGAAAGACGCAATGACACCCGGTGGCTGCTGGCCTAGTCTTTGTTGAACGGCGGAACGAATACGTCGACTAGTGAGGTATCCAAGATTCCAGGCAATATTGCAGCTGCAGGTGAGATCCGATCCTTAAAAATGCGCACGACCCCGAATCTAAGGTAGGGTGACGCAGTGACGACGCAGAACAAGCCGGTAGGGCAGGAATGTGACACCAAAGTACCGTGAATTTGACCAAGAGTCGGGAATGGCGCAGCGCTCGGGTTCAGAGGACCAGTCCGTCTGTATTCGAGGACTTGTATTGGGAGCGGGCGTGACGTGCTGCGGTGCTAGTTTCGATGTGCCCGAGAGTCGGTTAAGAGTCGGCAAAAGGTTCGTAATTATAGCAGTCTCGCAGTCAAAAGCGCAGACAGGCCTGGTGCAGCAAGGAGGGTGAAAGGAGTGCCACGGAAGCAGTCCGTCTGGTCCGGCGAAAGGATTATAATGTTGTCAAAGATGGGAGTATTCAAGGGAGGACGGCAGGTAGGTCACGGAACGGAGGGGCCTGAGGATGAGGGAATGGCCGAGAAGAGGAGACGCGGAGGAAGGAGAGGGCGAGGTCACCGTCAAGGAATGGATAGTAGATAGTTGAGGAATTTCAAGAAGCTAGACGTCGAAGGGGGATCCCAGCATTGATATATAACTACCTAGGGATTATTTGGATGGTCTAGAGGTAATGCTAATTAAACAGAAATAAAAGACAGAGAAAAAAAAAAGCAAGGCTTAAACTTACAAAAAAAGGCAGGCACAAGGAAAAAAAAGGTCCAAGAAACAGTTTAAGGAGAAAAAGAAAAAATGACAGAAAAAGGAAAAATGGGATATTCGGACGAATAATAAAAAATATATGAATCGTCATGAATATTACATGGAACAGAGCTAAAACTTCCCCAGCAAGGACCAAACAAAAAGGTCGAGCCAAATAAATCGTACTGCGGCTCTCCCGTCCCGATGGGAAGGTACGCGAAAGCTGTGGGTGCAGCGATCCATCCAGTTTCTCTTGCGGCTTGCCCCTTTCTTCCCTTTTCGCTGCTTAGGGGCTCACTGGCATCCCCAACGTCTGCTTTTGATCCTCCCCAATTCAGGGAACGGAGGTATTTTACCTTCCCGCATCCACACCCACACACACATCCCTTCGGATATCCCTTTGCTCGATTCTTTGTCAGAGGCGGCTTCGTCGTTGATCATGTTTCTTCGAAGCGTTGGCTCTGTTGGTTTTTGAGGGTCTGCGGTCAGCCAACGGGTTGCCCAAACTTACCCGTCGGGGCTGTGATCGAATTTACAAAGCGCTCGTGAAGACGGGTTTGCTGGGAATGTCGCTCAAGTCAGCTAACGGGAAGACCTCGGCGCACCTTGATTGCTCCCCAAAAATAAAACCGAGACGATGATTAATACGTGCTCAGCGAACCAACAACAGGGGGTCAGAAACATCAAGTCATCACTCATCATATCGTCAGGTCCAGCCACCAGCTTTGCAAAAGGCTGAACTGAAACCTGAAACAGATCTGGAAAAAGAACGAAATACATAAAAGCAATTAGGGCTCTCCACTATGGACCCATCAGGTAAATCCGCCAGAGCTAGGAACCGAAATCTCGGACCGGAGAGACAGGTTCGATGCAGCAGACGCCAGAGAGGGTCATCATTTGGGGAGGACGCAACCCGCCTACACGACCGCGGATGGATCCGAATCCAGTGATTCCATTCTCCATTCTTCCTTCCAATGGATCCGCTAGGGCTTGTCTGGCTTAAATCAATTCCTCGCGTGGTGACAAGCCTGAGAATCGAAAGACACCTCTGGCCATCTCGGCTTTTCTCTTTGAGCCCTTTAAAGACGTAGAGTTAGATCCCTCGGACAGGCAATGATCCTCCGGGATAACGAGCCCTATATCGTCCATTTCTTTGAACTTCTTACGGACCAAACGGCTGGATCAAACCAAAGCATCCTCTGGATTTTCAGGACATAACTCTTATTGGCGGCGCCCCTTCGAATCCTTGCAGCCTCACAAGCAGGAACATCAGCGATCCTGGTCAAGCCCATGGCACATGTGAGTTAGACGGCAGCCTGGAAAGCTTCCATACATGACTTCCAGAATGTGCCTTTTCGATGATCTGACCCCACGGCCCTGGGGATATGCAACGCCATACATGAACTGACATCACCCGAGTGGCAGCGCATATATTGGGGGTTTGCAGGGACGCACCGCGGGTGACTTGGAGGGTAGCCCCGGGTTAGTGCGGACTACGCGCGCCAGATCGCTCTCTTTGAAGTCACTTCTCTCAACCGGTCTGGTGGAAATTTTCCTAGATTTGACTCATGTCAGACGGGCAGGTTTCTGTCACTTTCCGTCAGACGGGTCATTGGTATACGTCAATTCATCATTCGCTGAAAAGTACAGCCAGCGCAAGAAAAAAGAAAACATTGCTGAGATCACAGATAAGGTTTCTGTTATTTTCCCACTTTTTCGCATCGTCCCTTTGCTTTGTTTCCTATGTAATTTGTTTTTCTTTCGACGGTCATGAGAGAGAAATTCGCATGGGCCAAAAGGGGCCCTTGTAAGATCATACCTATTTGGAAGATTTGGGACGGGGGGATATCCACCGCTTTCCGCTTCCCCCCGTTACAACTTACGTACGCCGCTTTCTGTATCACACCAGAGCAGCGATGCTTCTTCGCTGATTCTAGCGTCTTTCCCTACCGGCTTTTCCCCCCGCAGTGGGCTCTCAGCCTGCCTGCCATTTGGCAAGCCTCTTTTCCGCCGTCCCAGGGCCGATGGATTGCGGATACCTTCTGCACCTTGTGGGAAACTTTATGCTTTCATCCTCCCAGCTGGCTCTCTGCTTGATGTCGGAGTACGGAATATTTTGTTAAATCGCAGGTGCTAGTAGCTCTTCCTTCCGTCTCGCCTTACTCCGTTCCTTCAGCTTCATTCCGACGGGACGGAGCAAACCGTCAAAGCCTAAGGGCCACAACCGTGACACAGGATGAGGTCCCCAGCTCGATCCTAGCAAGAGCCACGCGGGCAGCGGGCCCGCGGTCCATCTTCGGTTCCTGCGACTGTCGGCTAGAAGCACATGTCTCGGGAGTTCCAGGCTTTTCTTGTCCTCGCCTCGTGTTTTTCGCGCTCTCAGTGACTGAGTGCTTTTCGGATTGGCTGGGTGACCGCTTGTTTCATCCAGGAGCGCCTGCATACGAACCTTCGGCACTCAATAGCAATGATTGTGCCAATGTTGTGCGACTCGTAAACCCCATGGTCATAACAATGACTCTGGGGTTGGGGTCTCTGGGGGGGGATCATGCGAGGTTACCGTTGAAGTCACACCCCGAAATTATTAATTCTTAGCCCGCCTGCATCCGGGTGTAGTGCGAGGAGTTTTTCCATCGACTGAGATTCGACTGGGCGACGTGGCCCTTCCCTCATTCGCCCGGACCATGGACTTTTCACTCCATCCAGGAATTAAAACCCGACGAGCTGTTTAGAAGTTTGGAGTACTTCGGTATATACTCACCACTACCGGCTTCGCATTTGTTCCTGCATTGGCCTCTGCATTAATTCAACTAGGTGCAGCAAGCATTGCCTAGTTGGGCGCTCGAGAAGTCGATCCCCGCGAGCCAGCTGCAGCCCAGCGGGTATCCAGCTTCCAGAATTATTCTGGATCTGAGTGAGCCCACGCGGGCCTGGATTTCGTACGATGGTTCACCAGCGCGGACCGTTGATGATTTCCACATCAGCTTCATCCTCAACTTGGAAGTTAAGCCATCACATACTGAAAAGGATTCGCCTTCTCCACAACTGTTCCGATGCCTTCAACGTACCAATGATTTCGCGCCAATTCCCTCATCGATGGGATGAAACCGTGCCAGTACATTTTGGGGTAAAGCGTCCGTCTTTGAAAAACGGACTTGAATTTGGCGGAACAACGGAGAACCATCCGGTTACCAATACAGCTAGAATAGCACTAGAAATAAAAGAACGGCGTTCCAGGTCCAGGAACCGTTGGGCCCAAATAATTCTGGCGAGCTAGGAGGTTGGCAGGGAGACGATTCCGTGAGGCCCACTTCCGCCATTCCAAGACTAGCGGACTGTAGCCTGGAGGCCGATCGCCCTCTTTTTATGCAATTGTCGATTGAGAAGAAGATCATCATCTCTGGACCTCGGGAGGGTCTACAAGTGCTCCGATTCGTGCTTATCAGCGCAATGCATGAATCAATGGGTCTCTGGTCCGTACTTTTCGACAAACAAATGATTGCCCACAGGATATGTATATCCTTTCCTTTGACAAGAGAAAAAAGGACAGTTCAAGTCAGCTGCGACAAAGCATATCCAAAATGATAGCTGTCAATAGTCGAAGAGAGTAGAAAGAACGGCAACCTATAACTCGGAGCTTATGGACAAGATAGCGGCCAGTTCGAATGGATCATTTACAGTATCCGAAACTTTCAACCTGGTTCGAGACAGCTCCTGCTTCAGTACTTTTTCCCCCATTATTCTGAAAACATGATTCGCTTGGCGGCAATCTGATATCGGCTGTTTGCATTGATTCCAATGCCGGGGCTATCTTTCACTCTTTGTCCCTGGAAGCTTCAAGGGCTGAGACTATCACTGTGCGCGACAGATCTCTCGCCTGGGTCTCGCATGGCGACAGGGTTCTGGTCGCTGTTCCGCAAGAGCTCGGGCACAAATCCACCCCTGGTGATGTTCGCACTCTTTGAGCGAGCGCTTAGGAGCGGCACTTGCTTGAGCCCTTGTGCTAGGGACGATGCGCTTAGGCGCATGTATGACTGGCTTGCATGCAGGGTGCAGATTTCAAGCAGAGGGGATCGACCGATCCGTCAGGGAACCAAGCGGGAGGCTGAAGAAGCGAAGGGGTCTGATCGCGGCTGCGTTAGGAATTGGCACCAGCCTTGCAGGATTATTGGGGATGAGACATGCAATTCAAGCGGGGGGTGGGAAAGTGGCTGGTCTGAGCCTTGAGAGAAACCTGGTTCATGATTTTGCTGCTTGGATATGTCACAAATGACAAAGTATATAACGTGTACCTTGAATATCCTCACGTGCCTGCAAGAAGCACCTGTCATATCAACCAATCTTGTCTTGTTTTGTATACAGATGATATTACTTCCAAGGTTTAATCCGAACTAGTAGGCTCTGGATCTCTGTTTCTGTACTCCCGAACCCCATGGTCTAATAATATCATGTTTTGTGGGGTTTGCAACAAGTCTGCCTGTGAACTTGTGAAGAGTGCTCAAGCGAGTTTCAGGTTCTATCACGCTGACAGCTGGCACAAGCGAACAGTCAGATCAAGACCCATACTTGCTGAACCTGAATAATATCGTCCACGTCAAGGCCTGAAGCCTTCCTCTTTTCTGTGTTTCAAAAAAAGTCACGAGTGTTTGGCTATCTGTCTGAATTTTTTCAGGGGAAAAGTAACTCGAAGACAAAGTGCCGTTCTCCGAGTCTCTGGTTCTTTCCTCCTCATCTACCTATCAGCAAACCCGCCCATCAGAGAAAAAAAGCAAGATGCTGTCTCCCACGCAACTATCCTAAATACCTCCCGGGACCACTGCAGGCTTTTGACTTATCCGAATTAGCCGCACCATCCACTCCGAATTCCGGGATTCGTTCTTGAGTGTCTAGCGACGCAGCTGCGGTGTCAATCTTTGAGATCTGGCGGTTGAGGCGTCAGAGAAACGGCAGACTCCCTCTCGGATTTTATTTCCTGCGCCATTTTTTTCCTGCTTGGCCTTTGGGTGAGCGACGCTTTCCACTGACGAGAGGCTTCAGCTCCCGATCTTGAGCGTCGATTCAAAGCCCAAACCCCCTAGTACTGTCTGCCTTCGATTCGGTCGAATGAATTGGATCTCGGGCTGTATTGCGCGAGTTGCACCAGCACCACAAGAGTTCTTCACTTCAGCCATTGTGTCACTGAGTGTCACCGGGATATTACTGTGCTCATTCCCTGTGGGCCGAACCCGTACCCAGAGTACGAGCTTCTAGAACACACGCAGAAGGCGACCATCAGCCCAGCCGCACAGCCCCTTTGACCAGAGACCATCCCATCTCACTCCCAGTAGCCTTGAGAGGTAATACCGGTGCAAATTGAGCGAGTGTATGCCATTTGAGCTCGATGTTTGATTGAATTTTGCTGGCGCACGAACAATGAAATGAGGGGAAAAGCAAATACTCGGGGTCTTGAACACATTTCCAAGGTGCTTCCGTGAATATCGCGTTAGCGCAAAACGTCAAGTGGATTCGTTATCAATAGAGCAGGCAAGCACTCATCCAATTGACCATCTCCGGCGAGCACATACTCTGTACAGTTAAGACGGCGACTCTCGATTATACCCCGAAAGGAAAATAATCAGAGACGCCAACTGGAGCCTGGAAAATAAAGCTCGTTAGCCGGTCCCGCGATTCAGGTAACTTGCGATAATCGTGCAGATACCCCTGATCCTCCGGGTCCTGCAATCGTCCTATTGGCTCGCTCTGCGCTCCATTTCCTTCCTAAGCCGAGATAGTTTCTGAAGACCTGAAAGTACGGAGTATGGGCTATGGTACTATTTACCTCAGAACCAAAACGTACCGAGTTTTCAACCTGCGGTCGCTTCGGCCCGCCTGAACTTTCCCTCTCGCAACTGCAAATTGGACCATTCGCGGAACTCCGCAGCTTGCCACCAAACATCTCAATTCTCGGCTTTCGAGATATTTGGGTTGTCACATTCAAACAGTTTCAGGCCTCACCACTCATTACTCGATACGGGAGATGAAAGCGCAAGTGGCGCAGTGGCAAACCAGCTCTGGGTCAATCCCTACGGAATATACGGAAACAACGTGCCCATCCATAATCCAGTTGGTACCTCCTCCGGAGTATTTGCCTGTGGTACGTGTGTAGAGTCGATACTCTGTCGATCAGGACGGAGGTTTAGGAGACGCGGCGGGTTTTCGGGATCCGCATTGCATTCCAGGGCGTTTAGGAGCTTGCGGCTGGCGATGACGATAGGGCGATAGGTTATTTCACAAAGTACGATTTCGAGCGGCCCTTTCCCTCCTTTTTTTCTTGAGACCGTCGAGATTCTCTGCGGCGAAATAAAAGTTATTTGGTTGAACAGGTAAATTGGTCGGACATGCCTCAATGTACTTCGTACGCGTAGACACGAATGGGTAGCGTTCGCTTATCCGTGTTTTGCCAGTGTTGGAGATATATTTATGGATGGCGAGTGATATGCCTTCATTTATGTTGACACATTGAGGCTTTCCAGCCTTGAGGTCTAACTGGGCTACATGAGTTAAAACGGCAAGTATATCTTGGGAATTTCTATCAATTCGCAACACATATCTTGAATCTAGTGTCAGGTATGCCTGAGCATTTCTCCTCTGATTCAATGCGACTGGACGCAATTATACGCCATCTCAAACTGCAAGGGATAATACCGTCAGCAACTGGCTCAAGATTACTTAGGAACGTAAGGGATCCTCACCTGCTCATCTGTCTGGCAGATCAATACTCGCTTTACACCTTCGGACTTTTCTGTGATATCCACCACCGTCTCGCTTTCGCTCGGCCCCTTGTCGTTTGCTGAGCCATCAATACCAAATCCAAGGCTGCGAATCTTCTCAACAACCACCTGTCTTAGCAGCGCGCTCTTTTCACCGATACCGCCCGCAAAGACAAGAGCATCAACCTGCCCGTCTAACTTGACAAAGTAATTACCAACGAAACCCACAATACGGTCGACGAAAATGTCAAATGCAAGCTTATGTTGGGGGGTCGGGGGCTCCTTCACGGCAATCTGTGAAAAGTCTGTGGTGCCTGTGAGGACCTTCCAGCCTGATTTCTTGTTCAGGATTTCTTCTGCCTATGCCTTTGTCAGCCCTAGTCTTCCTCCAAGGTGCGACCCAGAACTTACAGTGCTGATGTGCATTTCCTTGGTACTTGCAGGGCTGAGCTTCCCCGCCTCACTGGTATAGTGGAACACGAGCCTGAAGAAACCGGGAATTAGCCACTTCGCAGGCAAGGAGGCGGTGCACAGAAAAGTCCAGCTTGGAAGCACTCACGATGGGTCGATATCACCGCTGCGTGTGGCACCAGGTAACCCAGCCAGGGGCGTCAATCCCATTCTGGAAGAGGGAAAAGGTTAGTAAAGGCTATCGGACTATCTCCCCGGTTGCAGGGAGCAAGGGGTGGATCTTCCTACGAGGTATCTATGGATTTTCCGTCTTTGATCGCACACATTGAGGCGCCACTGCCAATATGCAGCGCAATCAGATTGGTCTGGCCGATTGGCTTGTTCATGTGCTCTGCCACAGAGCGCAGAATGAACGAATAGCTGATTCCATGGAAGCCATACTTCCTGAGCTTGTTTGACTTGGCTGTCTCCTGGTCAATAGGATACGTTGTCACATAAGGAGGCAGCGTCTTGTGAAAAGAGGTGTCGAAGAAGGTAATGCTCTGGACATTGGGCAGGTCTTTTTTGCAGAGCCGGACAATTTCCAGAGCGGAAAAGTTGTGTCTGATCCTGTTAGAGCTGAAGATCCAGTTAGAGAACGGAAACCTACAGAGGAGCCAGATCCTCGAGCTGTTCTAGCTGATGATACGTCTCGTTGTTGATCACCGCCGAGGACTCAAACTCTCCACCATGGACGATGCGATGACAGATGTATACCAGGTCATCGCTGCTCGCAATATCTGAAAGGTCGGAATCATTGAAGCATCGCTCGAGGAGTAGCTTGAATGCATCCTGAGGGTTGTTGACAGGCACCTTGAGCTCCTCCTCCTCTCGCTTCTTATCGCCTAGCGTATACTTGAACTTTGCCGGCGGCGCGGTGATGCCAGAGACCTGGGCACTGGCAATAACCTGTGGAGTTTTCTCGTAGGTGTAGAATGTGATTTTGACGGATGAACTACCAGCATTCACAGAGAGAATCGACTTGCGCGTCATTTTGGGTGATAAAAGGTGGTTAAACTACAAACACTTTACCCAGGACGATAGGTGAATCAAGTATATTTGGAATACCGTTTTTCCACTCTTCTGATTCTTGACGTTCTACCGGTGCAGTGCAGGGTAGATGTGTTGTTAGGTGATGTCAGTCTGTCATGGTGACGTAGTGCTTTCAATTCCGAGTTTACCGCAGCATCATATTCCACAAGTCGACAGTCAGCTTTCAGGAACCGATAAAAGGCACAGTAAAAAAAAAAAATGAAAGACCGAAAATAGACTGCTTCATTTCTTCTCTGAAAAGTCGATCATCAACTCAGCCCATTCATCATGCCTGGAGAGGCTATTGACCGTCCAAATCCGGCGCCCAAGCCGTCCCATCTCCCCGATCTAGTCGACCAGCTGCTTGTTAAGTTCGAAAAGACGAATCTAGACCATGGGGCTAGTAGTGCCTTGTCAAAGTACCGACGGGCGGCTTGCTATGTTGCTGCCGGTGAGTTGCGTTTTGATCTTGGGTAGTTGCGCCTGCTAATATATAATAGCCATGATCTTCCTTCAAGATAATGTCTTGCTAAAACGGGATATCAAGGTGGAGGATATTAAGCCTCGACTTTTGGGTAAGCTCAGACTACATCGAGCCGTGGCACTCCACTAATACTCTTAGGGCACTGGGGAACTTGCCCTGGCCTGATCCTCGTCTACTCTCACCTCAATTACCTCATCAAGCAAAAGAACCTAGACATGCTATATGTCGTCGGCCCAGGCCACGGAGCACCGGCACTGCTGGCATCACTATGGCTGGAGGGTTCGCTGGGCAAGTTCTACCCGGAATACTCCAAGGATAAGGATGGTCTGCACAACCTCATATCGACCTTTAGCACGAGTGCTGGATTGCCAAGGTAAACCTAGCTTTTCTTTTTTGCAACGGAGTCCTGCTGATGAGCTTAGCCACATCAATGCTGAAACCCCTGGTGCTATCCACGAAGGAGGAGAGCTGGGCTATGCCCTCTCAGTCTCCTTTGGCGCGGTGATGGACCATCCTGACCTGATTGTGACCTGTGTGGTAGGAGATGGAGAAGCTGAATCAGGGCCTACAGCCACGTGAGTACGAGGCAACGGCAAAGCTGAACCCGTGCTAACAGCATAGGTCATGGCATGCCATCAAATATCTCGACCCCGCCGAGTCAGGTGCGGTACTTCCGATACTGCATTTGAACGGCTTCAAGATTAGTGAGCGAACCATCTTTGGCTGCATGGACAACAAGGAACTCGTTTGCCTATTTACAGGCTACGGCTACCAGGTGCGCATTGTTGAGGACATTGACGATATTGACAATGATATGCACAGCGCGTTTTCCTGGGCAATCGGGGAAATCCACAAGATCCAAAAGGCGGCGCGCTCCGGGAAGCCGATATTCAAGCCCAGGTGGCCCATGATCATCCTACGGACGCCAAAGGTCAGAGTTTTCATCCCGTTCGTGGTGGCATGTAATTGACACGTTGAATAGGGTTGGTCTGGCCCCAAAGAGCTCCATGGCCAATTCATTGAAGGGTCATTCCATTCACACCAAGTCCCTCTTCCCAATGCGAAAAATGACGACGAGGAACGGCAGGCTCTGCAAAAGTGGCTGTCTTCATACAAGCCCGAAGAACTGTTTACAGACGCCGGCGACATTATCGATGAGATCAAATTCACTATCCCCACAGATGATAAGAAACTGGGCATGCGCCCAGAGGTCTATAAGGGCTATATAGCACCGGACCTTCCAGACTGGAGACAGTTCTGCGTGGAAAAGGGAGACCAGTTCAGTGCGATGAAGGCGATCGGGAAATTCATCGATCAAGTCTTTGTCCAAAACAAGCATTCCGTCCGGCTGTTCTCCCCCGACGAGCTGGAGAGCAATAAATTGAGCGACGCGTTGCAGCACACCGGCAGGAATTTCCAGTGGGACGAATTCTCCAACGCAAAGGGCGGGCGAGTAATTGAGGTCTTGAGCGAACATCTGTGCCAGGGCTTTTTGCAAGGGTATACATTGACGGGGCGAGTGGGCATATTTCCCTCGTACGAGAGTTTCTTGGGCATTATCCACACAATGATGGTCCAATATGCCAAGTTTGCAAAGCTGGTGCGTCCCACTCCATACCAACTGCCCTCCAAGCTAACCTGCCTAGGCCAAGGAAACCACCTGGAGAGGGGATGTCAGCAGCATCAACTACATCGAGACCAGTACCTGGGCCCGACAGGAGCACAATGGCTTCAGCCATCAGAACCCCTCGTTCATTGGCGCAGTCCTCAACCTGAAGCCTTACGCTGCCAGAGTGTACTTGCCGCCAGACGCCAACACATTCTTGACCACCCTGCACCATTGCCTGAAGTCGACCAATTATATCAACCTCATGGTGGGGTCAAAACAACCGACACCGGTATACCTAAGTCCCGAAGAGGCAGAAAGCCACTGCAGAGCGGGTGCTTCCATCTTCAAGTTCTGCAGCAGCGAAGACGGGATCCGCCCCGACGTGGTGCTGGTTGGTATCGGCGTCGAGGTGATGTTTGAGGTTGTTGCCGCGGCGGCTCTTTTGCGACAGCGTTGCCCGGAGCTTCGAGTTCGGGTAGTGAACGTGACAGATCTCTTTGTGCTTGAGAACGAAGGAACCCACCCTCATGCGCTCAAGGATGAGGCTTTCAACAACCTGTTCACCGAGGATAGGCCCATCCATTTCAATTACCATGGATATGTGAGCGAGCTCAAGAGTCTCCTCTTTGGTCGTCCTCGTCTTGACCGCGCAACCATCAATGGCTATGCTGAGGAGGGAAGTACTACAACTCCGTTTGACATGATGCTGGTAAACGAGGTGTCACGCTACCACGTTGCCAAGGCGGCTGTCATGGGAGGCGCAAAATGGAACGATCGAGTCAAGATCCGACAGCAAGAATTGATCTCGGAGTTTGATAAAGACATTGCCGAGTCACGAAAGTATATCGTCGCGAACCGAAAAGGTGAGTGTGCGCGCTCCTCAGCTCCGAACTACATCAGCTAATCCATTTCTAGATCGGGACGATACGTATGATATGCCCTCATTTGACTCGAGTACCCATGTAGAGCATTCCTGTACCTTTAATTAGCCAATTTCAGTCTGAACGAATAGAGTTGCGATTTTGAGAGGAAAAGGACGCAAACGATTCAATCCTTACCTTATCACAGAGATGAAGCGCTGACATAAGCGTGTAATCTCACCAGAGCCATAGTTGCAGTTGCAAGACGCGCAGGGCTGAAAGCCTCAACCTCACCTGCAGTCATCAATTACTTTGCTCCACGACCGTGGCTGTGTCTGGGGTGAGAGATGACTTCGGTTCTCCCCCCGAATCTCTGACTCACTTCGTATTGAATTCGCTATGGGTGTTATCCTTTTGACCTTGACGCCGAAATTTTGGACTTGCACCCTGGACGATATGTGTTTCACAGGGGCTATACCAGCGCTTTTGAATAAAATTCGTTCAGGTTAGGACGCCTTGAGCGGTGAGACTCGTGGTCTTGATCCTTCCTATGGGTGGTTTGACAACACTGAGAGAATCCTTCAAGCAAAGCAAGATGCTGACCGAAACAGTTTGATCCAACGCACCAATGATATCGACATCATGGAGTCTAGCACACAAGCCTTTCTGGGCGGAGCGATTATCTCGCCGACTGCTCGGGCCAATTTTCATCAGCAGCTAAACTCTTTTCAATAGAAGCTTGCGAAACTGCTGGAGCCAAGGTTCGAAATCCACTCAGGCGAGGCACTGCCGAATAACACGCGACCGGGCCGAAGAACGTTGGCGCTTTGGGAGCAAATCACAGAGGCCTTGTGGACGGAGCCTCTCCGCCACTCGCCGAAGCCTGGCTTTGCACGGCGCCCAATCTATCCGCCTCCCGACTCGCATATACTGGCTGGAAGTGGGTGGAAGATTTTTGATCGCAACAGAAATGGCACTATTCTGCGACAGGTTGCGGTCCTTGGACTGTGGAACCCACGGTTTACAGTTCTAAGCCTCCTTCGAACCTGATATCACAGAGTTCTTCCACTCAGCCGCTCTTTTCACCAAAACTTTCTGCCTGAACAATAAACAGAGCTGTCATTCTTTTGCTATATATCTAGATCTCTTGCTCAGCTTTTCTTTTGCCCTTTTCTATAAGCTCCTTCTGACATCACAGCCTGAAATCCAATTATCCTCGCCTCCGGAGAACCTATCTATACGGCATCCCGCGTCAGAATGTCAGACACGACGATACTCGTCAACGGCACAGTCCCCTTTGAGGTCCAGGAACGGTTACGAAGTGGTTGCCATGCTCCCATCGAGGGGTTCAACAGTCCATACGGCTACAACCCCTCCCTCGCAGCTGGTGTCGTCTTTCTCGTCTTGTTCGCCCTCACCATGATCGGCCACATTGCACAGATGGTCTGGAAGAGGACCTGGTGGATGGCCGTGTTTTGGATTGGAAGTCTTAGTAAAAAATCCACAAATCTATAGGATTTCCAACATCTGCTGACATCACAACAGCTGAAGTCCTGGGCTGGGCTGGGCGAACCTGGTCTGCCGAGTGCCCCTACAATGGCAACGCTTTCCTCATGCAGATTACAACCTTGATTATCGGTTAGTTTACTTGATGCCAGAAGCTGCTTACTTTTACTAACTCAAACGTTACTGTCTAGCTCCCACATTCTACACAGCAGGAGTATACATACTCCTTGGCCGCTTCATCCAAATACTCGGTCGTGAATCCTCAGCCCTCAGCCCTCGAGTCTACCTCTGGATATTCGTTACGTGCGACATTGTCTCCCTCGTCGTTCAAGCCATCGGCGGCGCCATGGCCTCCACCGCATCGGATCAAGAAAACGGTGACACCGCTCCCGGAACAAACATCATGGTCGCAGGCATCGTCTTCCAAATGGCCTCCATCACCATCTTCGTCCTCTGCGCCGCTGACTTCGTCCGACGAACCCTCCGCCGTAAGCTCCTTCAGTCCATGACCGGTACCATCGTCCCGCTCCTCGGGGCTATGATCTTCTCCGTCATCTGCATCTACATCCGAAGTATCTACCGTACCATTGAGCTGCTGGAAGGGTGGGACGGATATCTCATCACGACAGAGCGATTTTTCTACGCGCTTGACGGCGCAATGATGGTCCTCGCTGTTGCAGTCTTCAATATCTTTCACCCCGGCTGGCTGTTGCCTGGTGCGGAAAAGACTTTCCGTGCGAAGACCGAGGTTGAGGAGGGCTCGTCGACTGAACTTCGTTAAGGATTTTTTCATCTCTGTACATTATATTTCTCTTGCTTTATGCGTCTACGGAAGGCTGCGCTCCACTTTTTCTGCGTTGATATACCATGATTTCAAGTTCTGGGTTTAGGGCGCAGGTAACATAAGATCGATTTGCGTGCCTGAATCATTATATACAGCGTGAATACATAGAATTGATATACCTGCAAACTGACAGTAAAGGTGTTTGAGAACTTCAAACTCATCCCGAAAAGTGAAAGTAATACAAAGTCGGCAACGAAGAAAAAAGCCCTAAACTCCAGGCTAAAGTCCCTATCCACTTCGCCAGCTGCATACATTTAGTAACAGTGAGAGCGATCGTAAAACATAAGAGCAAAAGTGAATCAAAGTCCATCAACAGCCTCGACCCAACCGTACGTCAAACCCGTGATGGAGGTTGCCAGCGCCCAGACCAGACCCCACGCGGAAGCTCCTTCAAAACTAGCTCCCTGGACGGTCCCGGCGACTTGAATAACTGTATTTGCCAATAGTACACTGGTGAGCACCGCGGTCCGAGAGATCAAAACCCTGGTCCGTTCTGACAACGCTCCCCAGGTCTTCCTGTATATGGCGCAGGCAAGGTACTCTCCATGTTTGGACGTCACGGACTTGCCCTTTTCTAAGTCGCTGCCAGGCGCTGGTGGCGTGCCTGCTGAGCTAGCAAACAGGAAATCCCTCGCAGCCCAGCCAGCTGGAAGAAGGGAAAGGAATAGCATAGGCAAGCCGGCTGGGCCGGCATGGACCCTCGTGATGTTGGGGATTTGTTCAAAATAAACAACTAGCTGTGCGGGGAGCCAAGTCTCGTAGCTGAGGTATACTGTGACTGTATAGATGGCCGTTGCGAGTATGGTTGTATACACTGTGATGCCCCAGTCTTGAAGGATGCCCCTGTTGGGGACGGCGGCCGGCGGCGCACGTGAGAGATTGTGCACCAGAGTTGGCTTGCGGAGAAGCGCAAATGGGGTAGCGGTGGAAAGGAGCACAATCACGTAAGAAGTGAGGATCGTGGTTGGGCGAAGGCCATAGAACGACGAAAGGAGGGCGTAGGTGGGTAAATGGATGAGAAAGGAGAAGAAAAGAACGTCGCGCCCTGGCTGTGTCAGTTCTACTATAACGGCATAGCTTCATGGTGACATACCGTCAAATCCCAGTATCCACGCCAGTCCAATCTCGACGGCCTTCCATGCCATCAGTCCGCCCACTTCCCACCATTCTTCGAGGTGCTTGCTGACACGTCCCAACTCGCCTAGAGTGACTTGGGACGTGAGAGTAAATAGGGTAGAGCTAAGCGCTAGGCTAGCGAGAACTGCGAGAATCAAACGTGCAGGCGATGGAATCTGCTCCACCAATGTCTTGCGAGGAGGCTGCTCTTTTGCGACTTCGGCGTACGTCTTCGGAGGGGTTGTAGTCGCAACGACATCTTTCTTACGGGGCGCCATATCTCTGGGTACGCAATGTAGACACAGCACCTGTATAGGCAATAATAGAACGTTGAGAATCGGAATTGCGGAGATTAGGAAAAAGATTGCAGCTCTTGCTTTGGAACTGGGATGGACGGGGTTTATAGCAGGCGGTGAGCATGTGATGATGTCACGATGCAAAACGTCATACGGCAAGAGCAAACCAAGAACAGATCAAGATCTAGGATTGAGAATGCGCATCCATGGTACAGGCTTTGATGTGGCTCTGAACGACAAACCACCTGAACTCCTATACTCAAGCCTCTCATTCGAGAATGTACTAGTAGACTGCCATATGATCACTCCTCTGAGTCTCTGACCGCCCAATATGCCAGTATAGACGCGTTACCTTTAGCTTACAATCAAGCTTTCCAGGGCTCTCTGGGGGCCTTGCCCAATATGTCGCGGAGATGTCTGACGCGGATAAGAGGTGCAGGTGTCATTGGGACTGGTATATCATCAGCGCAAAAATATGTTACAGAGACACGGGCATATGAAACAAAACATGCCACGAGCTAATAGAAGAATAAGTCATAAACATCCCCCTCGCGAGGCCTCAATCATCATCCTCTTTCTCCGTCGGTTTGGTGAAGAATTCAATGGTTCCCTGCTCGCGTCCCCTAGTGTCCCTCATCGCGACCTGATACTTTCCTTTATCCCAGAGATCCTTGATCGTAAGCTCTCGTGTGCGGCCCAAGCTCTCAATAGCACTGATACGATCCAGTGTGCTTTCCAGATGCTCGTCAAATCCGGGCTGAGAGCAAATCTGGCGAAAGGCATTTTGCATGGGCACAGAGTCGGCTCGGACCATAGCCCTAGAGTCAATGGTAAATAGATTCTCGTGATCATAACTCTGAATAAAGTCGGCGCGCGTCATAATCTGACGTGCTTCGTGAAGGGATATCTCGGGAAGTATATGGCCACGTTCAGGGTCATAAATTTTCTCCATCGTCTTTTCTTTCTCCACCAAAGCTCTGGCCATCACCATGGCTGCCGACTATTTCTCATTAGAGAACAAGATAAATTTGAGGAACAGGGTGGGCACTTACAGAATACTTCTGCTGGTCCATGACGTCGTCATCCATCTCTTCACCCAGGATCCAGCATTTGTTTAGGAACCAGGTCTTTTCAGCTTCGCATATACTGTTGCACAGCTTCATCACATCTGGCGACTTTGCGACCCGACTGAGGTAGGATAGTCGGCCCCCAACCTTGTTATATACTTCCTCGAGAATCTCGTCCGACAACTGCTCACCGAGATAGTCCTTGCGGTATTTCTTCAAAGCAGCTATTGCCTGCCCCTTGGGGAGGTCGGCAATTGGGATGGTCTCCATTCTTGTTGCATAGCGCTTCAGTCTCTCATAAACCCAGTAGTCATCACTGTTAAACACTGTGGAGCGATTAGTGTCCGAAAAACACATGAGGAAGAGATAAGCGTACCTGTCGTTACGAGATTACTGGCTGCCCATTGCTCCGCGCGCTGTTGGATCATCTCGAGAAGGTCTTGGCCTTCAGAGTCATCTCTCACCAAGTGAGTGCTGTTTATAATCAAAACAAGCGGTGCCTTGCCCTTGTGCCTCCTCTTCATCGCGACTTTTTCCAGTTTGTTGAATGCACGCTCTATATCCAAGAGAGCCGTAGTATCCCTGGGGCCTTTGATACTGAACAGGCTACCAATATAACTAATTAATGTTAGTATAGGGTTTCGGAAAATAAACAAATCAAGGCTTACTCTTCATGAAACTCAAAATCCAGCGCTTTCCCTAGTCGGATTCGGAAAATCTCCTGGTCGCCGTGAGCCTCGAACAGCGCGCATCCATCACCATTGATCTTGCGCATGGCTTCAAGCAACATTGAGGTTTTTCCTGTGCCTTTCTCGCCAATGAGCAAGAAGTAGTGGCCTGGAATGTCACCAGATATGATTTTATCAATCCTTGGCTGCTCATCTCTAACAAACCAGTGCTCGTCGTGGTGGTACTGATGCTTCCCAGTCTCCACCCCTGCAACCTCAAGCGCCGGATCACCTGGTTCAAAGGCGTTTTCCATCTTTTGTAGGATAAGATATTTGTAATACTTGTGGTATGAAAACCCAGCAATGCTACATGCGCTGTCAGCGAACACCATCGATAATGACAGCGGTAGGCCTACCCTAGGACAGCAATTGACGCAAAAGTTGTCGCCGCTGACTCAAGCATTTTCAGAATCGTCGATTTGAGATTAGGGTCCTGGTCATTGCCCCGGCCTCTGTCGTCGTCCTGGTTTTGTTGATCCAGAGGATCTGGTCCCGATGGGATGGAACTTTGCGAAAAACTTCGTCCTGAGTACATGGCAAACATTCTGCCCGGCCGCCTCGATACCTGCCATGGCCTTGTTCGGGCTGTTGAGGCAAAGAGTCGAGGAATATTGCGATAAAACATGATGGTATTGTTAAGCAAAAAAAAAAAAAAAAAAAAAAAAAAAAAAAAAAGAACACGGCGAAGGCGGAATCAGCGAGAGTAATGAATATTAAGAAGGAATGGCGGTGTACGGCTGAGCTGAAGCTGAAGTTTTGACGGTTGGGTATAAGATGGCCAACGGTACAAAGTTTAAGGGGTGCAAACTTCAGAATTCAGTCGGTACCTGACCGAGAAACATTAAGCCACTAATTTGTATAACGAGTGTCGTGGGTGGGAAGCGGGGGAGAAAAGGAAAAGTAAAGACGAAGAAGGCGTAGAAGAAGAAAAAGGCAAAGAAAAGGTGAACCGAGACAACGACGATTGATGTTTTGTCGCAACTTGGATCCAAAAGCGACGGAGCAAAAGTGCTGCGCCTCCGATCGATGGAGTCCGACTGCAGATCGGCCCGCTTGGCGACGAACTGGCGGCAAGCTTGTGTGAGCTGAGGCTGGTAATTGTGGCGAGAGTCGATATTCTCTTCTCCCAGACCTCTGGATTTTGCATCAAATCCTACTTACTACAGTATTGTCGCTGCCCTGACTGACACTTGTAGCTGAGAAGGAGATACGATGAGCTGTTCGTTGTCTGAGCGGAGCAGGCTGCCTTACCGGGCATGACAGCTCAGCTAGCACAATCCTTCCATCATGGCTTGCTTGTCTTAGGACCGTTGTATGATAATCTCCAGGAGTATTACTCGCGGGCTCGCGGGTCAGTGCGGACTCGGGGAGCAGGCGTTGAATAGCCTATTTGCAATTGGTCGAGGTCATCCCATTGCAGCGGGATGCCAGAGTCTCCCGATCTCTCACGCTGACTTGGGGATAACACAAGAAGCGCAACACAGCTTCAACAACAGGAATATGAGCGCATTATTTCCTTACGATGCACATCTCTTGTTTCCTCCTCTAAGCCTTCCTTGACCTGTTCCATCCTCCCGCATCGCGTTCTAATCGGGAACAACACCCTGAAGCGTCGAAATGCCCATAACGTGGAACACTGAAGCCGAAGCGAGGGTGTGTGTCTGCGCTCCCACTTTATCTCATGAGGTTCCCTACTAACACCTCCAAAGCTGCTGCTTGGGATTTTGGACCAACTGAAGGGTCATAAGCTTGATTACAAAGCCCTGGCTGCTTACATGGGACCAGGTGTGACCTTCGTCGAGACTCCTGCCCAGACAGTCTTTACTGACAGCTTAGGTTGTACTGTCCCTGCCCTCCACCAGCGCCTCTTCAAGCTCCGCCGCGAGGCAGGTACAGCGGGTGGCGCGCTTGGAAAGCCTGCTGGCAGTTCTCCTTCGACCGCAAGCTCTTCGAAGAGACCCAAGCGCCCTTTATCTCCAAAGGCTCCAAGTCCGATCAAAAAAGCGAAAAATGTGCACTACGTTTCTGATGATGACGACGATGACACTGAGAGTTGCGACGTCAAGTTTATCAAGGATGAAGAGGACGAGAAGAAGGTGATTGTTGATCTTGCAGATTGAAATTATTGCCAAGGACCGAATTATCTCAAGTTTGCGTTGGAGTGTGATTTGAGTGCTTATCCGGAAGGACTTAGAAGCGTGGAGGCTTTCAATCCGAGAATAGTATCACGGATCGTCCAAAGCATGTACTGAAGCAATGACCCCATATATGAAGAATTGTATCATGGGTATGGAAAGCAAGGGTAAAGTCGAGCAATGATGAAACTTTAGGCCGGGGGATACGGTAAACCTTCCCACCGCCCGAGCTTTTCCGAGGGTATTCCGCGAGTCCGCAGCGAAATTTTCTTCCCCAGTCCAGCTTCAACCCTGCCAAATTCAATCCCTCTTCTTCTTCATACACGGGGGCTTGTTTGATTCTTTTGTTTGGATATAGGGTGCTTGCTTGTCTCAATTGCCCTTTCCTCTGTATATTATCCTTTTTAATCGCCTCTTTTTTCTCCCTTCCTATACTTCCGACTTTCTGTTGCTGTTATTTTTTATTGGCTGTCTTTGATAGCTCAATTGTTCCTGGCCTTCGCAACTCCCAATTGCTTCAATACAAACCAGCATCATGGCACAGACCAATGGCGAATTGGAGCACTCGAAAGGTTTGCTTCCACCAAGCTTCCCGGCAAGCACTCCAGCTCACCACGTAGCAGAGTCTCCAGAGCACATTGTCAACGGAAATCAGGAGGAAGCTCAGGAAGAAGATAGCACAGGTGGTATGTTTACCGGTGGCATTTTTTTTGGTTTCGTTATATCTATTGAGACGGTCTTTAATCGCTAGCAGGCCTCTTTCAGATAACCGTGAAGCTTCCTCGTGAGCCGTACAGCATCTCGGTGACGGTACGTGTAGACGATTATAGGATCATCGAACTATTCCATCACAGGGCTAACTGCTACCCCGTCCAGGTGTCGAGCCAAGAGCAAGTCCAGGATGTCCGCCAATCCATCGTCGAGTTGCCCGATACCTTCCAGTACACCTGCTTTCATCTCGAATTCAACGGCAGCCGCATCAACGACTTTGTCGAACTATCCGAGGTCTCCGGTCTTCAAGCCGATTCGGAAATTGTCCTGGTGGAGGACCCATATACCGAAAAGGACGCTCGCTTGCATGTCGTTCGCATGAGGGAACTACTTGGTGCTGCTGGTGACAGAGTCGACACTCTGCACGGTGTCAGTGCTGGCTTGTCGCTCCACGACTCCATCGCCGCCGAAATCGTTGGAGAGGACTCGGAAAAGGAACATTCGTTGACCAAGTATGAGATTTCCGGCTCGTCGTCTCTAAAGACCATCCTCCCAAGGGCTGAGGCTCCTGCTCCGAAAACCATCAAATCCGTTTCACTATCACCCTGGAACCCACCCCCCTACCATCTCCGGCAGAAGGGTCACCTGCTTTATCTACAGGTAACAACCAATGAGGGAGAGCAATTCCAGATCACATCCCATGTCTCTGGATTCTTTGTCAACAAGTGCTCCAACAGCAAATTCGATCCTTTCCCCAAAACCGTTCCGAAGAATGGCAAAGCGCATTCGCTCCTCAATTTGATCTCACAACTTTCTCCTTCCTTTAACTCTTCTTTCCAGGCATTGCAAGAGTCTAACAACCAGAAAGATCTCCTGACTACCTTCCCCTTCCAGAACTCTATCCCGTGCAGTCCGTGGCTCGTCCCTCCTCCGTCCTCAAACGTCAACGCCCATCAGCCGGACATTACCCGTTCTCAGGAGAACTACCTAATTTCCGGTGTGGATAACGCCGAGACTCTCCGTGACTGGAATGAGGAGTTCCAGACGACCAAAGAATTGCCACGCGAGACTGTCCAAGACCGTGTTTTCCGAGAGCGACTTACGTGCAAGCTTTTTGCTGATTACAATGAAGCCGCTGCCCGCGGTGCTGTCTTGGTTGCTAGGGGTGAGGTTGCCCCTCTCAACCCTACCGAGGCCCAGGACGCGCAAATCTTCGTGTACAACAACATCTTTTACTCCTTTGGTGCTGATGGTGTTGGAACCTTTGCCTCCGAGGGTGGAGATGAGGCTGCGCGCGTAGCCGTTGGTAAGGATGTTCTAGGTATCAAGGCCGTCAACCAGCTCGACATCAATGGCTTGTTCACGCCGGGAACCATCGTGGTTGACTACATGGGCAAGCGCATTGTTGGGCAGAGCATTGTACCGGGTATCTTCAAGCAGCGAGAGCCGGGTGAGCACCAGATCGACTATGGTGGTGTTGAGGGTAAAGATGTTGTCGCAACCCACCCCGATTTCGTCTCTGTATTCGAGAAGCTTTCCAAAGCTTTGAGAATCAAGAAGCACGCAGTCTGGGACAAGGAAAATCAGCGTCATGAGCTCGAGGGTAGTGTTGAGACTAAAGGCCTTCTCGGTACCGACGGCCGCAAATACGTTCTTGACCTCTATCGTGTTACTCCGCTTGATGTGGAGTGGCAGGAGGAAAGTGGCGACTCGTACCCACACCGAATGTCTGTTCTTAGGCTGGAGCTGGTTGAATCCTACTGGAGACATAAGATGAGCCAGTATGTCAAGGCGGAGGTGGAACGCCGCCGCAGCGCCAAGGCCGCTGAGCCCAAAGAACAGGAATCTGAAGAGAACCAAGAGATAAGCGAAGAGAAGAGCGAAGAGAAGAGCGAAGAAGCTCTTGATCAGGAGCGTGTTGACATCTCTGGCTTCTCTCTTGCGCTCAACCCCGACGTCTTCAGTGGCCAGCTTCCTCAGACGGATGAAGAAAAGGAACAGTGGGCCAATGATGAAAAGGAAGTTCGCGAGGCGTGCGACTTTTTGCGTTCCAAGGTCATGCCAGAGCTCGTCCAAGACTTGCATGATGGCGACGTTGGTTTCCCCATGGATGGACAGTCTCTTAGCCAACTCCTGCACAAGCGAGGCATCAACATCCGCTATCTAGGGAAATTAGCTCAGCTGGCCAAGGAGAAGGGCTCCCGCCTTGACGCCCTCTCAACTCTTTTGGTACAAGAAATGGTTGCGCGTGCCTTCAAGCACATTGCCAACAAGTATCTGCGAAATGTTCCTGCTCCCTTCGCCGCGTCCTGTGTGGCCCACCTTCTCAACTGTCTCCTCGGCGCCGATGTCAACTCTGCGCCTCGTGCCGAGCTGGACTCGTCTCTTCGCGAGGTTTACCCTGAAGGAGACTTCTCCTTCGAGAAGGTCTCTCCTGCAGCTCTGCGTGCCGAGATTGAGAAGCAGGTCACTCTGAGGTATCGCTTCACCCTGGAGTCCGAATGGTTTGGCTCTCTACGAAACCTGCAACTCCTCCGTGATATCGCCATTAAGCTTGGCCTTCAGCTTGGTGCTCGTGAATTTGCTTTCACCAAGGCTGAGGCTGAAGCGCTCAAGAAGGCGGTTCCCGTCATCAACAACGTCAACGGTGCCGGTCAAGATGAGGGTAGAAAGAAGAAAAAGAAGACCGGCGACTCTGGTTCCCCTGCACGTACTGCTGCTGCTTCTGCGGCCTCCGCACAGCAGACAGCCACGGTCACTTTTGTCCCCGACGATATCATCAACATTGTCCCCTTAGTCAAAGACGCCTCTCCACGGAGCTCGCTTGCCGAGGAGGCGCTGGAAGCAGGGCGCATCTCTCTCATGCAAAACCAGAAGCAGCTGGGCCAGGAGCTCATCCTGGAGTCCCTGTCTCTTCATGAACAGATCTACGGCATCCTTCATCCCGAGGTTGCCAAGCTGTACCACCAGCTGTCCATGCTCTACTATCAGACCGACGAAAAGGAAGCGGCTGTTGAGCTGGCTCGCAAGGCGGTCATTGTCACAGAGCGCACCCTTGGTGTTGATTCCGCTGACACCATCTTGAGCTATCTCAATCTCAGTCTCTTCGAGCACGCTTCTGGCAACACTAAGACTGCACTAGTCTACATCAAACACGCCATGGATCTGTGGAAGATTATCTATGGTGCCAACCACCCTGACTCCATCACCACTATGAACAACGCCGCGGTCATGCTTCAGCATCTGAAGCAGTATTCTGACTCTAGAAAGTGGTTCGAAGCTTCTCTGACTGTCTGCGAGTCGCTCTTTGGCAAGCAATCCATCAACACAGCAACCATCCTCTTCCAGCTAGCGCAGGCGTTGGCACTTGACCAAGACTCCAAGGGTGCTGTTGGTAAGATGCGCGATGCGTACAATATCTTCCTCAACCAGCTTGGCCCCGACGACAGGAATACCAAGGAGGCAGAGACCTGGCTCGAGCAGCTTACTCAAAATGCCGTCTCCATTGCTAAACACGCCAAGGACATCCAGGCCCGCCGCCTGCGCCGTATCAACATGAACACCCGATCGCTGGGAACCAAGGTTCAGCCTCAAGTTGGCCAGTCGGTAGCCGATGTTGCTGTTCCCAAGGAAGGGGGCAATGCTTCCATGGACTCTAGAAGCATTGATGAACTGTTGAAATTCATTGAAGGTGGTGACACCAGCTCTTCTTCGCGGACCAAGCAGAAGAAGCGTGCTGCTGCCAGCAACCCTAAGCTTCGTGGCTCGAAAAAGTCATCAGCCTAGGTCTTCTTTCCCTCTCTATTGTTTGTCTGGGGTAACTAAAACTATTTGTCCCCTTTTGTTTGCCTTACTTGACGGCTACGTACTATTATTCGACCCTTATTGGCAAGATCACACATTGAAGGAGCGAAATGCTGGGATATATTATGTGTCTTTATCTTTCTTGTGTATCTCTTAGAAATCTCTCCTCCGCTGTTTGGTTATTTTGGCATGGATTGTTCATTGCGGGCAGTGCATAGCAGGCAAGGTCGGGATTTGCATGCTGTACTGGATTATCCTGATACTGTGTATTATATATGATTGACAACGGAGTCATGCATTTGAATGACATTACGTCCTACACTCGATGTCAAGGCCCTTTCCAAGGTTGTACTATTTCTCCAGCAGTGAATGAAATGGTTAAGCAGTCTGGATGCTGCTGACTCACCATGAGCTATACCACTTTCGGATCTTTGTCCCCATGTTTACATTTTCGACGACTCCATCAGTCTCGACGACTCTCGTTGTTCATCCCCGCCCACGAAACTCTTCTCACCTGTATTTTATGCCTATATTGGCTTCTTGGATGCATTATATCTTGAAAGCATCTTATTTTGACTTTCATATACGCTGTATTTTGAAGAATTTTGGTACCCTGCATAACCCTACGAGGCCCCATCGCGAGGCCGAGGCATGAGATGGACGCTCAATGAATTCCCTCAGCGACTCAAGTATGACTTCTGCTTGCTGAACCGGCAATCCGTGTGCGAGGCTAATGGCGCTTTTCTACAGACTGAGAAAACTGGCGCAACATGGAAGATATCCGACCGACCGCGAAGTGGGCAAATCGCATGTTGCGCCCCTTAACATCTATATACCATCGATTAGAGAAACATCATGAAATTGTCAGTAGTGTATTAATCTCAAAGGCGAAAGAGAAGGAAAAGTCTAGCGCAGCGCCCGATACCGATCGAACGCGTATCTCGTCGAAGGGGGTGCGGAACCGAGGGTGCAGTTATTCGGATGACGAAGAACCCAACGACCCAGCTTGGATACCCGGAAAGCTTGACAAACGAAGGATCAGAAACAATTATTCGAGTCGGGGGCGTGGCGATGGAGCGCGGCGACGCAGTCGACTGCTGATTCAAAGTCCGGAACTGCCAAAGACACTTCCTGGCGCAATCGAGATCGCGACCCCGTTGATCACCGGCAAGCTCCGTGGCCACATGGTCGAGACCTCGCCTTCTACAGGGATTCACCTTCTTCATAATCAGATTCCGAGCGTGGATAACAGGACCTCGTCAGACCGTCGGAAGACGGGTCGAACGCACAATAGCAGTTTTCCGCCGTATCAAGGATCGTGGAGGGAAGTTTTGGATCGATCTGGGGACCCCGGGCTTGTGGATATTGCCCATTTACTCGATCGTATCTTCTTGAAGTTCTTGAAGACGACGCGGACAGGGCCTGGGGAAGCCGCAAGGGGGGCTCGATCGTTGCTATCAATGGCTGTGCGACGTATTCCGGAGTTCATTGCTGAGGAGCAGAGAATACAGGATGATACGGATGAGGGCTGTGAGGTTGACATGTGCGATGCATATTTCACGGAGCTGGAGGCCTCTTATTCGCCGAGTGGTCATGGATGGCAGCCACTTCGTGAAGCTGTGCGCGCTCAGGGAATCTATCTAGTCTCCTGCATGATAGAGAACAAGTGGCTTACTTCTGCGGCTGCCTACCGGCTGCTGGAAGAGTGCTTATCGCAGGAAGAGTTCGACGCCTTCGAATCACTTATGACTATCTCCCTCAGAAAGATCGATAACTACCATTACCCAGCAGCCTTTGAGCTCCCGCGTCCGTCTAGCCATCGGGAAGACGCTATCCATATAATGGCGAGATACTATGCACAGTCTGCAAACCGACGCGCTTATGTGATGGAAGAACTATCAAAGCTTTTGATGCGGGGGGCCCTTCCTCCGGAGTGGATGGTGACTACGTTGTGGAAGCGATGTGTGGATGGTGCGATCAAGTCGGTGTCGACAGAAGATTGCAATTACACGTCCGCCAGGCGACTAATCGAATCTGTCATTCTATCATCAGCCGGTATTTGTTCGACAGCTACTTCGAACGCGCTCTCTTCTTGTCATCAGTCACTCCTTGCAATTCGCTCCCGGGATACTAGAGCATGTGCGGCTCAACAGATACCAAGTCTGAGGAAGGACCAGAACTCATGTCCCATTCCTATCCAAGATGCCCTTAGCAACCTTACCGCCAGTCTGATTACGGCGCTTTGTGGCATGTGCATCGCCCGTTCGCAAGCGGCTGATACCCAAGAGCGATTGGCAGGAATCAAGACTCAGGATATTGTCAACTCCTTGTCCTCTGCTGTCCAGCGGACCGTCGCGAATGGTTTCGAGCCAGATGGACCCACCTTCCATCCCTTGCGCAGAGGATATGTGCTACTGGCAGACTGCACGCTGCAGTGTGGAAAAAGTGTCACAGCTGAGGCTATCTACCATTCCGATCCTGTTTCAAGGCAAAACATAGAGGCGTTCACTCGATCATTAGCTAGCCGTCAAGATGTGGTCAAAGAGCTAGCGGGCCTTGTGTCACAGGTGTTTCATCACTCGGGGCACGCGCACGGGCAGGGCCCATCGCGGACGCCTCCAGAAATTCGGGCCAGGGTTTCGCACCTTGCTCAACTAGCCAATGCTCCTGGAGCTGCTTTGCTGCTAAGTACAGTTGCTGCAGAAGTTGCAATGAACTTTGCAGAAAAGAGCTTGGATCCGGATGACCACACCTGGGCCGTTGAGATCCAAGAGATGGTAGCCTCAGCTCAACAGGGCGAAAGCTTGCACCACTCGTCCTCGGGTAGCAGTCAACAATACTCGAGCTTATATTTCTGGGAAGACAGTATCGGCGAGTGGGTTGCGAGGACGCCGGCGGCTAAACCCAGGGCTGTCACTGTGAATGTTGTTCCAAAACAACATGCTGGGAGACGAGGCCAACCGCGAATCATCCCTTGCTCGACAGACAGCTCGTCTGCGAATTCGGTTTGCTCGGAAAAGAGTATCTCCACTGTCACATCTTCCGCGCCATCTATCCCGAAAAAGCGATCTTTTGCGAGTCAAGATCCTAGTCCTCGGCCTTTGAAGAAAACGTATCACACGCGATCAATGGAGCAGAAAAGCGATTGGGTCAGCACCCCTGATCATTCACAGTGGACGCATTTGCTTGAACCCACGGAGGTTCCGGTAGCCGCCCGCACCAGGACCCGACTGTCGCAAGGGGAGCATGCCAGAGCGGGAAATACTCCCGTGGGGCCAATCTCGAAGATTGAAGTCGTTATTATCAATAAAAACCCAAAGCCTCTACCACCGGGGCCCTTTACCGAGTCGAGCACGCGCCGGAGTACCCGTCATTTATCAATCCTTCCCAGGGAAAGCTACAGGCTTGCTCGGAGACGACAATCAGCACCGGCAGCAGTGACACAGAAGAGGACGATAATCCCCTGTTCAGAGGATGACGACAGTGACGATGAGCTTAGCTTTTTTTGATGATCATCAATAGCGAATTACGTGGATTTCTGTTTGAAGGGGGAGTCTTGGTATCAGGTTTTTGGAGTTCCCGTCCGGTCAATCGATACCCTTGGTATTTCTTTGTCTTTGTTGGTCCGAGTTTTGTTTACTTTGAGTAGTGTTTTGTGCATTCTTCCTCTGAATATTCTTTTTTGTTTACTTCCAACAAGTCGCTAGGACTGCCCCGTTTTCAGAGGATCCAGTGTGATAACTCGTCCGCAGCTCGCAGCAGTCAAGCGAGTGTTGGGATTTTGTAGTTAATATAATCAGCCGAGAGGGGATATTAAAGCCGTGCTTGAGCCGGGACCGGTGTCGACAGTAGATGAGTGGGTGACTCGAAAGCGAGAGCTGCAGTGGGACAGGTCACGGGCGTGCAGCGAAAGAGGCAGAAGGCGATTCATGGGACAATTAACCTGTTTCATGGTCTCCGCTCCAAGCGTTTCATCGCTGCCCGCCCAGCCACTCATCGCCTGCATCGCCGCTGTCCTCTGCCACTGCTCTCCACGATCCAGCCGTGATTTGCCCATCTGCCCATCATCTAGACAATCTTTGCTACCAGTCACTTCGCGCATCTCCGATCCCGCCAAGTCGCACCATGTCGTGGGTACGCGCGACTGGAGTCTGGGTCGAGGCGACTTTCAGGGCCACTGAGGGTTTGCTCGTTTATATGCAATCTATCATTTCCTCCTTTGCTGCTTGGCGGTTTTTGGGCCTCTTTTCTTTCTCTCCTCTCTTGCGTCGGGCTGTTGACACCCGATTTTTGAAGAAGCTGGAAGTGCTGGTTCACCAACTCGCTCACATTCTTTTCGTTGCCCGCCAGCCCCTCTACGGTCGCTATCCTGAACCCCTGGAGATCCCCACGGACGATCAGTAGGAAAATCCCCAAGGCAGTGAGGAGCAGAGCAACTTCTGTCCTCCATCTCCCCTCGTTTTTACCCAAGCAAACCGACCGTGTCGATTGCTGTTAGGATTTTGTTTGATGGTGCTCTGAATTCCTTTGTTCTACGAAAGACAAGGATCACTTTCTCACACCACGACATTGTCTTGCCTTCCAGACGCTTTCTGATCGTTCTTTCCCTCACCTGCAGTTCTCTCATTCCTGTTTTCTCATGAGGCTCACGGTGGTGACTGCAAATACTCTCGTTTGATCATCTACATTCGTTTTTCTGGATACTTGTGTTGTTCGAAGCTGGTCTCGTCCACCATATCCTCACTTTCAACCCTAGCTGTTCTGGTATAGAGCTTTCTTCCTATTTGGTCGATAGCCATGCATTTTCTCCTTCTTTCCCTGTCCCTGGTTGGACATTCTCTCGCGGCACAACTCGAAGAGCGTGCTGGAGGCGGTCATGACGAGAATCCCTTTTATAACGCCCTAAATGACGACCTCGCCCGTTACTCCTTGCTAGCTCTCGGCTGCCTTGCGGGATTCATCTATGTCTGGAAGATGTGGTTTCGCCTCGCCGGGCACATGCGACGGCTGGCAAGCTTCAACAACGAACGCCAACGCTATTTCGTACCTGCGCATCAGACCCTTGCGAAGATCAAGAACCATATCATCTACGCTCCGCTCTTCCGTAACCGGCACAACCGCGAGTTCCAGCTGTCCCGCGCTGTCAACATGGGAACGCTGCCTAGCCGTTTCCACTCGTTCATCATTGTTGGCATTATCGCAATGAATGTCACCCTCTGCGTGGTTACCGTCCCCTACAAGTCGGAACCCGACTCTGTTGCGGGTGTTATACTCAGCCGGACTGGCGTTATGGCGACTGTGAACTTGATCCCTCTTGTTCTCATGGCCGGTAGAAACAACCCATTGATCACCCTCCTCCAGGTGCCTTATGACACATTCAATTTGATCCACCGCTGGCTGGCAAGGATCGTCGTTTGTGAGGCACTTGCCCATACCGGTGCCTGGCTCATTCCGAAAATTCAGGAGAGTAAGTCGCCATTGCTTAACCTCTCATGTTGAAAGCGTGCCTAACTTTAGTAGATGGTTGGAATGCTCCTGCACAGTCATTTGCTCATAGCACTTTTATCCTGACTGGTTTTGTCGTAAGTTGGTCCGTGTATTGCTCTGTGCTTTGCTAACCTGTCCTAGGCTACTTGTGCCTTTTCAGCTCTTCTACTGCACTCCCCTTCAGCCATTCGTCATGCCTTCTATGAGACGTTCCTTCACCTACACATTGCCTTGGCAGTCGTCTCGTTTGCTTTTCTGTGGGTTCATCTGGACGGACGGAATGCTCAAAACTTCCTGCTCGCCACTATTGTTATCTGGGCGCTGGAGGTTAGTCTCGCTTCTTGTATGAGGATTCGACGTGAAGCTAATTGTTGACAGAGGTTTGCACGACTTGTGATCATTGTGTACCGCAATATCGGACGGGGTGCTACGACTGCTGTAGTTGAGGCGCTACCTGGTGATGCAATGAGAATCACCCTCAAGCTATCCCGCCCATGGACCTTTGAGCCCGGCCAACATTTGTACCTATATATTCCGGCGATTGGCTGGTGGATGTGCCACCCCTTTTCAGTCGGATGGAGCGACACGGAAGATGTTATGAGCGACGAGAAGAGCCTACCCATGAGCCACGGGGACATCTACGGGCCCCAAAAGACGACAATCTCTTTGCTCGTTCGCCGCAGAACTGGCTTCACCGACAAGCTTTTCCAGCGGGCCGTCAGTGCTGTCGACTGCCGAATCTCCTTGACGGCTTTCGCCGAGGGCCCCTACGGCAGCATCCACTCGATGGACTCGTATGGCTCGGTCCTTCTTTTCGCTGGAGGTGTTGGTATCACCCACCTGGTGCCATTCACTCGTCACCTTGTTCAAGGGTATGCGGACGGAACTGTGGCTGCACGCCGCGTCACTCTGGTCTGGATTATCCAATCTCCGGAACATTTGGAGTGGATCCGGCCGTGGATGACCAGCATCCTGGCTATGAACCGCCGCCGCGAAGTCCTCCGGATAATGCTCTTTATCACCCGACCCCGCAATACCAAGGAGATTCAGAGCCCAAGTGCTACCGTGCAGATGTTCCCTGGGCGACCCAACGTTGACACGCTAGTCGGCATGGAGGTCGAGAACCAAGTCGGAGCGATGGGTGTCTTGGTTTGCGGCAATGGCAGCTTGAGCGACGATGTCCGACGCGTCTGTCGAAAACGGCAAGACCGCACCCATATTGATTTCATTGAGGAGAGTTTCACCTGGTAGACTTTGGCTAGGCATGAGCCCATGTTTATCTGTCTACCTTTGAATCGGACGTGTTTCGTATGATGCGAGGCTTTGGTTTGTTTGGAGCGCTTGGAAGATTATCTATCAGAGATATAGAAGGGAGTCAAGAGACGGTTTCATTCACTGTAGATATTTTAATTTCAGAACTTGTCCATGGCTCCTCTTCTCGTTCTTTCCATCAATTGCTTATGGTAAGATTTCCGATCTCCGCCAATTATTCAATACCCTCTGACAGTTCGGTTCAACGTTTGGGGAGCTTAGAAATCAGCTTATGTGGGGCAGCCGATGGCATCATTACTTAGAGCCACAGGGACCCGGGCCTGCACCACCTTCCATTAATAATAGCGGTAGGTTCGTCCAGATGAGCGGGGTCAGACTACTTGCTCGTAAAGTCTATAAAGGTTGCCTTTTCAACTTCTGCCACTTTAATCTTCTTCAACATCAACAATTACCCCCTTCATCTCATCTACGTCGATTATTCTCCTCTTCTTCACCCATCATGAGCAACCGTCCTGATATCACGCTGTACACAGCGCAAACCCCAAACGGGATTAAAATCTCCATTGCGTTGGAGGAACTAGGGTATGTCGCTGCTCCTGTCACCTCTACCAGTACTATCCTACCGCAATTTTGACAGCTAACACAAACTATAGACTCCCATACAAAGTCGAGAAGATTGATATTAGCAAGAACACCCAGAAGGAACCGTATGTTCCTACATCTATTGCTCCTTCCTCCACATTATATCTTCTCCGAGATTGCTCCTTCCCAAACCTCAACTAACAAAATCATAGCTGGTTCCTCGAGATAAACCCCAACGGCCGCATCCCCGCTATAACAGACACCTTCTCAGACGGCCAAAAGATCCGCCTCTTCGAATCCGGCGGCATTCTCACTTACCTCGCCGAGCAATACGACAAAGACTACAAAATCTCATACCCGCGCGGAACCCGCGAATACTACGAAACCATCAACTGGCTGTACTTCCAAAACGCCGGAGTCGGTCCTATGCAAGGCCAGGCGAACCATTTCTCGCGGTACGCGCCAGAGCGCATCGAATACGGAGTGAACCGGTACGTCAATGAGACGAGGCGGCTGTACAGCGTGCTCGATAAGCATCTCTCCGAGTCGAAGAGTGGGTATCTCGTCGGGGATCACATTACCATTGCGGATATTTCGCATTGGGGATGGGTTGCTGCTGCCGGGTGGGCTGGGATTGATATTGAGGAGTTTCCCCATCTGAAGGCTTGGGAGGAGAGATTGGCGGCTAGGGAGGGTGTCGAGAAGGGGAGGCATGTGCCCACTCCTCACACTATCAAGGAGCTGTTGAAGGATCAGAAGAAGCAGGAGGAGGAAGCCGCCAAGGCGAGGGCTTGGATCCAGGAGGGGATGAAGGGGGATGCTGCTAAGTAGTTGGCCTGGACTGCATTATTATTAAATGGGTCTGACGGGTACAGAATATGAAATATAATGTTTGATGGATGACAACACTACCTATGCCAAAGATGCATCTATCTTGTTCTTCCTAAAATCCATTATTATGTGGTTTTAGCTGCCAGATATGCTTTTGTATCTTCTCGAGCTTGGCGGCGTCCTCGTTGGCTGGCTAATCAGTGTGACTCCCCGTGTGACCTCTCCGTCTTGCCTGGTGCTCGTAGACGCCCATCTCAAGGTCGTTTTCCACAGGCATCGATGCCGATCCCTCTGCAGAAAGTAAAACCCCGCCTCCTTCGCCTGACTGCTGAGGCTGTTCAGAGCGGGGTGTATGTCCATAGACTCCACCAACACTTTCCATTGTAAACGGACTTGCCGTAGGCCCATCTAGTGCCGAGAGTTCCTCCTGGGTGAACCAACGAGGAAGCAGGAACGAGCGCACCGGAATGAGAAACAAAATGATGACAGGGAACCCAATAGCGGCAATAGTCTGCGTAATGGCGAAAGTGCCACCGAATCCAATAAGCTCCAGTATAACAAAGACCCAAATAGCAGAGCGTCGTTCCAGCCCTTTCAGACGATCGGACCGAGGAGTGAGGTCCCGATCCTGGGCCAGGAAGATCAGCTTTTGGGTGATGCCGTTACCCTGTAGCGCTTGGACACCCATGACGAAGAAAAGGCCTGCCATGACACCTTGTGGAATCAGATGGAGGACAATTAGCAGGGGTCCAGTCATGGTACCAAGCGTCAAGAGTCCTTGTGCCAGATTGCTGACGCGCTGCTCAACGACGTGGTCAGTGATGCGGATGGTTTTTCCCTTGTTCGTGTCATCTTCGTCCGCAACATTTCGAGTAACGCAAAGTGCAGCAGTATGGAACGGTGCTTGCGGGATGAGGCCGTTGGGGAATGGGATGCCGAGAATGCCGGCAATGAACGTGGTAAGCCCTAAAAGCCAAATATCCCAGTGGAACCCCGCTGGTTTGCGGAGGGGAAACTCTGTTCCTTGCGCAATGAGAGACGACACTGCGCGCTTGTTAGTCATGAATTGGGAGCCTAAAGGCGGGCGTACCTACCATTGTGGTCAAAGTAAAACAAAATGGTAAGGAGCAAAGCAAATGGGATGGCGAGGAAAATATCACCAACGTCAATATCCCAGAAATGAACCAACCATCCACGATCAGCAGTGGGAAAGAAGGCCTTGGTTGTAGGTAGTGTCGCAACCTCGACATTTCGCATGTGTCCAATGTGCACGAACCCAGTAAAGAAGACAATTGTCAGAGGCGTGCCGTAGTCCTCTAAGAACTTACGTACGTATCTCTGGAACAGATTACTATTCCCGAGTTCGCCACAAATCCAAGCAGCCATAAGGACGAGTAAAGCCACCATGATGCTCAAATAGGCAGATGTCTCTCCAGCAAATCCCCACTGCCTTGTCAGTACCTGGATTCCTTTCTGTAGGTAAATAAACGCGACATAAAACCCGAAAATATCACAGGAAAACCGCGTGACGTAAGTTAAGGCATTGCAAGCGTTAGTTATGGCAAGTATCCAATGCATAATGAGGGACCAGCTAGAAGAGGTTAGTCGAAGACAGTTGTGAAGAAAAGTAGAAAACTCACATTCCAATCCAACACATAAAGGCAAGGTAAGGTGTTCCCCGCGGCGAGATAATGTCGTACACCGTGTAGTTGAAAACGGTAATCGGACCTGTTGAACTAAGTCATGCTGTCCATAGTCTTGAAGCAGAGCTCAGAACATACCAGTAACGCCAACAATCACGAGTGGCTGAGCCGCGAAAAGAGAGAACACTACAGCCCCCAAGACCGAGGCTAGAAGCACCTCGTTGACACCATAACTTTGACGAGTCTTTTCAAACATATCAAGAGAGAAAGCCAAAGCCGGCAGGATGCTAGAGCTCCATGTTAGAGATCTCCGAGAGCAACAGGAGTTGACCGAAGGTCGAAAGATGAAGTGGCCAACATACTTTGCGAAATACATGTATATAGTTGCAGGAACAACGCGATAGTCCCAGGCATCAGCCCAATCACTCCAATAATAAGGTGCGCGACGCTTAACATCGTCTATCATGCCGCGGAAGAAGCGAATGCGCCACCATTTTGCGTCGCTCGTGCTCTCTTCACGTGGAGTTTGATTTCTCCCGGCTGAGGACACGGAAGCTCTGGTCCGATCATGAGAAGCACCCTCAGGCTGTGCCCTTCCAGCCGTCGCAGACGATCGACGAGAAAAGAGCTTTGACGGTGACCGCCAGGATCTTCGCTGTGATTGCAGCGAAGCTGGTGGAGATGGAGAAGCGTGAAAACCGGGTCCCGGAGAAATATGCATAGACCCATGAGACGAAGTCGCCCTACTATGTGTTTCCATCACGAGGTCGTACAATACCTGCGGAAGCTTGCGACTCAACTGCGGAGCACAAACTCGTCCCGTAGAGGATGTCTGAGGACGTCTAATTTATCGCAGAAAAAAAAAAAAAAAAAAAAAAAAAAAAGAGCAAGGATGGACGACAATTCTGAGTGCCAGTATCTAAGAAAGCGAAGATAAAATGACCCGTTAATAAGACAACAGAGGGCTGACTGTCTCGAAAACGCCACCGTTGAAGGATAAGAGAACTCGAAGCGGAGCAAGTCGAGCATTAGTGCCTGAGGCAACGACTTTACCCCAACATTTTCCCATCAGAGCGAACTACATGTACTTGAGACCCTCTAGGCAGTAGGAAAGAACCCTACATTACGAGAAATAGCGTATCGCATGCAGATACAGGTCAATAGAATATATTCAACCGAGATATGGTCAAGTTAGTACTAAATGTTAGTTGTACGAAACAAAGGCATAGAAAAATGAAATTATACCAATTGCCCGCAGAATAAAGAATACCATAACGCGCCTCCGTTTGTTTGTTTTTATTTCATGAGTCCGTCCTCTTCCTTACCAGTTTGCAGACGCTCTTATAATCACCAGGTTTCGCGACAGCTCATCGACTAAGCTGGGGGAGGAGGTGGCGGCGGCTGGTCACTCGGAGGCTGCAAATGACGTTAGTATCGAATGGCACTTAAAAAGTTGTTTGGGGGGAAGGCGTACCGGAGGAGGAGGCCCTTCGCCAGGAGGTGGCGGAGGTGGACTAACACCGGCACCGTAGTACATCGAAGGCATGCCGGGTGGTGGAGGAGGGGCGCCAAGGCCAGGAGGGGCAGCGCCTGGAGCACCCATACCAGGCGCAGGTGGGGGATACGAGGGATATCCTCCATATCCATAAGCGGCCTGTCCGGGCGCAGCAGGGGCGGCTTGCTGTTGCCAAGGTGCGGCAGATCCAGGAGCACCATAACCTCCAGAGGCGCCATATCCGTAATCGTTGCCGCCACGACCCTGAGAAGCCCATGGGGCGGCGGAACCGTGATCACGAGGGGCATAGTCGTCACGGCGACTGTCGCGCGGGCCACGTTGCTGCCAGGGAGCCACATCGCCAGGAGGGGGAGGGCGTTGCCAAGGCTTCATGTCGCGGTCATCGTAACCTTGGTCGGGACCAGCCTCAATACGGCGAGGAGGTTGGCCGTCTGGCCCAGGGCCACCACCAGACAATTCTTGCATGAGTTGCTGAATGACATTAGTGTGGATCTAACAAGGGGAAGAGGGAGAAAGCTTACCTCCATCTCTCTGTCAACAGCATCGCCACCGCCAATAGCTTTGCGGCCACCGAAGCCGCCTTGGTTGTTGCGCCAGTCGCTTCCTCTTTGGCGGTCGGGACAATCACGAGCCATATGGCCCGCGTTACCGCAGACACGACAGATGATGTTCGCAGTGAAGTTGCGCTGCTCGGGGCAGTCATATTTGCGATGCCCGATTTGACCGCCTAATGCACGTTAGTATTTATCCATCAGAACAGAATATGTACTTACAATTCTGGCAAGCCTGGTTCTCATCGTCACGAAGAGTACCGTTGAGCGCGGCCAGCTCACGAAGTTGGTTTCTCTTGAGTTCGTTCTGGCCTTCTGGAATAGAGGCAGCCTGTTTGTCTCAGTTGACGAACGTTCTCAAGAAAGCGAGGAGGGATGCTTACCGTCTCAATAACGTTGTGCACAAGTTTCTTGGCTTTGTTAACCTTCTCTTCAGTATCTGCCATGATCAAACAATGAAGATCCTCTTCCTGGTTGCTAGCGTGAGCGGCGTCAGATCGGCCTTTTCCTTCCTTGACAGAGCCTTTGCCTCGAATAGCTATCTTGGCACCGGACTCCGACTCCATCTTCTTCAGGGTGTTTCCACGAGGACCTATGAGTAAGCCAACTTTGAAAGGTAGCAAGAGCTAAGTGTTAGTTTGGTGTATTCCCCTGGGTTTCTTGGTAGATAAAACAAATGCAACATTAAGCAGTAAAGCAGGGGTTAGCAAGAAGCGAGCCGAGAAAGCATCGCTGAGCAGCAATGTTTAATCGTGCGCTCGGCTCGAGCAGAGATGTGTGCAAAACGGTTAGGAGTTAGAGGGTTAGTTATCATACTGAAGTTAATCTCTGGATAATCATTCACTGGCACATAGACCTTCTCTTGGGTCTTGGTGGGACGCCTGTAGTCAGAAGGTGGGTGATAGTTAGGGATGGTCTTCATGGCTTTTTCCACCAGTTTATGACGCTCATCCTCGAGGCGCTTGCGGTAGCGGTATTCTCTGGTGTTAACACGTCTTCCAAAGTTATCGTACTGCGGAGGTGGAGAAGGTGACCTAGAAAGAGAAGGCTTGTTAGCATCATCGGAGCGAGAAATTGAACCCAAATAACAAGTAGAGACTGACCTGTCGCCATCCGCGGGGACAACGTCGTTGATCCTGAGCTTTTGGCTGATTTCCTCGATACGCAGATGAAGAGTATAAGCCTCAAGCTGCTCCGTGGTGAAGTTGGCCATGATCATCGTGGGCAAGCCCATGAGGCCGGCGGCCTTGTTCTCCTGAGCATCGCCCCATCGATTGCGCTTCTTGCGTCTTTTCACGCCGTCGGCTGGAGGATCGGCTGCGAGAATATTCGTTAGTATACAGAATATGAGAGTAGAAAGGGGAAATAACTGAACGTACCCCGGACAGGACTTCTACCACGCTGATCCCCAACGGCGGACGCAGGAGTCGCTGTGCGACTATCCTCTTCCTCACCACCAAACCGTCTCTTCCCCAGGGGAATGTTGTTGGAACCTGTGATACCTTGGTTGCGCCACGCCATCTTCTCTATGTTTGAGATAGATGTAAAAGTTGAGCTGTTGGATAAGTGAAAACAGCTGGTTCAATCGACACAAAGACTGAACGAGAGGACGAGTGTATTGGATGTGGCAAGCCTGATTGTCACGTGACTCGACTAGTCTCCGGCGATAACAGGCCCAGGTGCAAATCGCCAGTCACCGCCTCAGCGGTCACCGTTCAACTTTTTTTTTCTGCCGAGAAAATCAAGAAAGAAACTTGACATCAAGATACAAGATGGGGCCCTCATCACTTTCAGGGTCTATATCGAGGGAATCCTCGGTATTGCCTGATGCTTCAGATGCTGGAAATGATCTAGACCAGAACCAATCTCAAGCGCGCGCTTCCAAGCGTCGGCGTTTATCGGTTTCCTCAAACGATTCATATACCGCAGCACCCACACCAGCACCACTCCCTACCCTCTCACGAATCAAGAAAAAGGCGCCCAGAGGCACAACGACCGAAAGCAAAGAAGATAACCCCGTTCTGATTAAGGATGCGTTGGAGATTGGGTTAAATGCTGAGGAGTCTTCGTTCAAAAGGCTCAATGTTGCGCCATGGCTGGTTGGTTCATTGACGACGATGGCCGTTCGCAAACCGACGGCCATTCAAAGGGCGTGTATTCCTGAGATTCTGAAGGGGAGGGACTGCATTGGAGGCAGCCGTACAGGTTCAGGAAAGACCATTGCATTTGCGGTGCCAATGTTGCAGAAATGGGCAGAGGATCCGTTTGGTATTTTCGGGGTTGTCTTGACGCCTACGCGGTACGTACCTTCTGCAGTATATTTTTTAACGGGCCACGACTAAGTCGTGATACAGTGAGCTCGCACTACAGATATTTGAACAGCTCAAGGCTATTTCCGCTCCACAAAGCATGAAACCCATCCTTATCACCGGGGGAACGGACATGCGCTCGCAGGCACTCGAACTCTCACGGCGGCCTCACGTTGTTGTAGCCACTCCAGGCCGTCTGGCAGATCATATCAACACATCCGGCGCAGACACAGTCGCAGGGTTAAAAAGAGTCCGCATGGTCGTTCTCGACGAAGCCGACCGCCTCCTTTCTCCAGGGCAAGGCAGCATGCTCCCAGACGTCGAAACATGTCTCTCAGCCCTCCCTCCCTCATCCGAGCGTCAAACCCTCCTCTTCACCGCAACCCTTACCCCCGAAGTACACGCCCTGAAATCCATGCCCCAAACCCATGGCAAACCGCCGATTTTCGTCACCGAGATCTCCTCTGAATCAAAAGACTCCATCCCACCAACCCTCAAACAAACCTATGTTCAAGTCCCACTCACTCACCGCGAAGCTTTCCTCCATGTCCTTTTATCAACCGAGTCCAACATAACAAAACCAGCAATAATTTTCTGCAATACGACCAAGACAGCAGATCTACTCGAGCGCATGCTTCGTTCACTTAGCCACCGCGTCACATCTCTGCACAGCGGCCTCCCGCAGTCCGAGCGAAATTCAAACCTAGCGCGCTTCCGAGCGTCTGCTGCCCGCCTCCTCGTCGCCACGGATGTCGCATCCCGTGGTCTTGATATTCCCTCTGTCAGTTTAGTTGTGAACTTTGACGTGCCTCGCAATCCGGACGACTATGTTCACCGTGTTGGTCGTACCGCTCGTGCGGGGAGAAGTGGTGAAGCAGTCACACTGGTGGGACAGCGCGATGTACAGCTTGTTCTTGCGATCGAGGAACGTGTGGGCAGGAAGATGGTGGAGTATGAGGAGGAAGGTGTCAACATTGAGACTAGGGTCGCTAAGGGCTCAATGTTGAAGGAGGTTGGGGCGGCGAAGAGGGAAGCGATGGTGGAAATTGATGAGGGTAGGGATGTGTTGGGTAGAAAGAGAAATAAGCTGAAGAAGGTGCGGTAGTTTGATGCGCACTAATAGAGTAGATTGGCTTCCACTGCCAATACTATCAATACTTAGAACTATCCAGATTTTTGGAAACATGTACTTTGGATCTACCGCCACGGTATATTTGCCAAATATACCTATCACTTCAGAGTCTACTACTAGAGGCAGTAACTGACTTTGCTCTGCCCAGGCCGATGCGCCATGTCAGGCCCCAGCCTATAAATAATATCGAAAGCCCAGTCTGATATACAACAAGCTCCAAAACGCCAAGTCCTCCCACAATCTAACAGTCTGCCTTTTCGTAGCCGGAACTACCTGCACCACTATTTGGAGTGGTGCCCATGAGCTTAAGCAGCCCGTCTACCGCATCGCCATCACCCTCGTGTCCACTGCGCTGCGAAGAGGGCGATGTATCCTCCGCTGTTTTCTGTGGTGACTGGCAATTTAGTCTACCACTTTGCGCGGTCGTTGCTGGATTAGACTTGTATGTAGGGCTGCTCAGGAGCATCTGCGATGGAGATGCTGTGTGCTGATCTTGTTGGAACGTATGCTGCGTGGGAGTCACCTCTCCGTCTCCGGCCCCAGCCGGTTCTTGAACGTGGTGTAATCGGGAGATTTGTGCGCGCGGTGTGGATAGCATCTGATCATCATCGTCATCGTCCTCGTCATAGTCCTCTTTTCCAGTACCATATTTCTGTTCGAGATGTTGTTGTATTCCTGATCCTGATAATCGTGGGTATTTCCGGCTATGGGCCTCCAATTCTGACACTCTTCGGTCGAATTGGGGATCTCGAATATGGCGCATGGCATTTTGAAGTCTATTTCGAAGAAGGGTTGCTTTCTGTATTGCATTAGCATCCGGGATCCTGATCAACGATGTGGAGGTGATTTGTACTTCTTTTATGAATTGCTTGCGTGTGTCGGGGTCCGAGGGGACAGATTGTGTGGAAATCGGTTGTGCTTCGCTGAATGGGATTCCAGCGTAGGAAGGTGTATCTATTTCAGGGAGTGGTTTTTCTGTTTGTTCATCTAGGTTCATCGCGTCGGATGTTGGCTGTATGTTTATGTTAGCTCAACGGGTCGTCTACAATAGCAAATAGATCCAGGATAAGGCAGAACCAGGGAGACCCTGGTATCTTCTTGCAACAATCAGCAGCTCACTTACGCGAACTTCCCCGTCTGCGGCCAATTGTTCAAATATCCCATGCTGGGCAGGCGCCAATGCTGCTGGTACCCGCGTCTCCACGCGCTGGACACCTAGTAAACCGCGCGCATCATTTCCAAGTTTCTCATCTACTTGTCCAATAGGTCGCTTCTGCGCGATAAACGAAGGCGACGGGAGTAGTTTCTTTGGGGACGAAGAGTCGACAGAGGCTCGTTTTACAGGCGAACGTGCGGCGGGCGAGAGACACGCGTTGACATTCTTTTCTCCGAGTATTCGCCGGCTGTCCTTGAGCGGACTGGTGTGGATAGAGGTTTGGGACATCGTAGAGATCCTTCCAGGCACGTTGGATTGGGTTTGAGAGGCGAGAGTAGTGAAGGATGCGCGCGTGTAGGTATTACCGGGTGAGGGATGAATGATTAAATCGGCGGAGGAGAATCCACGGCAATTGCCGACGGAGAGACGGAGTAGGAGTGAAGAAATGTAGTATATTTGTAAAGCACTATATCAGGAGAGGAGCACCGTGCGATTGATGTGAGGAGGAAATTGGTGAGGGAAAGAGAGAGGATGTTGTTGACGCGTGTGGGAAAGTCCGCGGCAAGGTGAAGCCGTATACAAAGTGGATAGTAGCGCGATCTCCCACGCGTCGAGCACTCCACAATCTGAGTTCACCACGTTGAATCAAGGGACGGCAACTGATTACAAAATAATGTATTATCGGATAGAATAAGAGTAGACGTCCATCATTCTTTCTACGTATCAAACGTGGTATAGGGCGTACGTACGCGTTCCCCATAACATTCTAGGACCGGCCGAGACTCGGCTATATTTATATCTAAAAACAAGTGCATCTATAGTAAACTTCAAAGTTGGCAAGAATGCCGCAGGGTATTATATGTGCTCGTGAATCATTCCGGAATAAGCCTGTAAACTGAGGCTTGTATAATTCGGTACTCGCTGCTTTCTGTTTATTAGCCTTTACCTACTCATACTACCAATAGGAATGTAAGATGGCCTCGCCTAGCTTCACTATAGAGAATGACATCATAGACCATGATAGCGAGGAATGGAAGGTTTCTCGACACATGGAACGATCCTCATCCCATGAAGACTAAAATTGAGGAGTTGAACTCCGCGCATGGCGCTGGCACCCTCCATGGTCTGAAGTGCACCTGTTCCTGCAGCCATCAAAGGCGTTCCAATCAAATCGAGCCATCCAAGAACAGTGGCAGCCTTCCCCGCATTTCCATTTTCAAGCTCGAATCCCTTTTATTAGAACATTCCTCCACATCATCTTCCGTCTGGCATTATTCGTCATCTGCAGCATCTGCAATCTGGTATTGTCTGTTTGCCCGATCAAAGCTTTCGACGTGAATTCCCTCGTCCTCGGAGTTGATCTCCAAGGTTGTTTCCTAGAAGATCGGACTGATTGCATCATCAACAACAACCGCGTCAGCTAGACTAGCCATCAGCTAAGGACGGGCATTTCATCCCTTTTCGAATATCTCTTCTGGCTACGCTATCTGCCTGGCTATACTGTACGAGATTTGTCTTGAATTTTCGTTTATTTTGCGTGTGACCTACCAGTTACACCATGCGATCGTCTCTCGCGCTGCTGGCAGCCGCTCTCCAGGCTACTGTCGGCGCGGCCTCGTCTTTGACTCCGCCCGTCCTGCCCTTGATCGTGCGGAATCCTTACCTCAGTACCTGGCTAGGAAATGCACGCGACGTCCCATGGTCCAAATGGCCAATATTTTATACCGGAGAAGAATTGGGCTTGTCCTTAATGGCCCAGATCCCCAGCACAGGAATAGTTTATCCTCTGCTCGGAAAGCCACACGAGGCTTTATCGGAGTAAATGCACTCCTCCGTCTCCTATCGTTTCACAGTCGTCTAACGCGGTGCTAGGTCTACGGAATACAAGTTTCCCACATATCTTGGAGCCAACTACGACGCATCAACAACAAATCTGACGTACACCATTCACCCTCACTCGTCTACTCCGCTCAACATTACGGTCTCATTTCTATCGCCCATCACCCCTACATCGACTCTGCGGCAGTCGATCCCTGCATCATATGTAACCATATACGTGGATAGCGATGAGACTGTGAATGTCTACATGGATATCAATGGCCGATGGGCTAGCGGGGACCCAGCCAGCCAGATCACCTGGGGGTTTGACGTGGAACGAGCCTCTAAAAACAGCTCACCAACCCTCCAGAGATGGAGTTTGCAGAGAGAAACTCAAGCCTTGCTCTCCGAGGTTAGAGATCGAGCAGAATGGGGCACAGTCTACTTCACGGGACCTGCCGTTTGTGCCCATGCTCCTGCGACCAATTCAATCTGAGCTGACGAAACTAGGACGTCCAATATCAATCAGGAGCCGGTCCAACAGTGAGACGTACCTTCGCTGCGAGGGGATCTTTAACGAATGTCAATGACGATACCTTCCGTGCAATTCGAGACCGAGAGCCCGTCTTCGCGTTCTCCAAATCCTTCGTCCCTTCTAAATCGACCCCAGTCTCCGAAAGTGTGACCTTCACTATAGCCCTAATTCAAGACCCGGTCGTCCAGTATGCTGCAGCCCGCGGCTTGACCATGATGCGGCCGCTCTGGAGCTCGTGGTTCAGCAGTGTGGAGTCACTGCTCAGCTTCCACTATCACGACTTCTCAAACGCGACTCTTCTTGCCGCAAATTACTCCCTTCAACTGGCTGATGATGCTTACCAGTCGGGTGCTCAAGATTACGTTGACATTGTAGCTCTTACTGCTCGGCAAGTCATGGGCGCGACAACGTTTTCGGGCACACCGGAGGATCCTATCCTGTTCTTGAAGGAAATTTCCTCCAATGGCAACTTCCAGACCATCGATGTCATTTTCCCGTCGTTCCCCTTCTTCCTATATACCAACCCGCGCTGGCTGGCCTATCTTCTCGAGCCACTGATAGAGCACATGCTCAGCGGACAGTATCCGAACAAGTACGCTATGCACGATCTAGGGACTCATTTCCCCAACGCCACGGGCCATCCAGATGGAAGAGACGAGTATATGCCAGTGGAAGAATGTGGGAACATTCTCATAATGGGGCTGGCGGTCGCTAACTCCATGATCTATGACAAAGACTCGGATGCATCCTCCATCTGGTCAACACAAGGAGAAGCTACCGCTTTGCCGGATGAGAACGCTGGCTATTTTCCTTTGAGCCACCTCCAAAGCCTCTCAGGGATTGACCTGCAGGATGGCAAATGGGGTGGGGCGACTTCTGGTCGTGACTACGCCCAGCAATGGGTCCAGCGCAGCTACAGACTTTGGACACAGTGGACTAGCTACTTGGTGGAATTCTCGCTGGAACCAGAAAACCAACGTAAGCTTGCCCTTTGATTTCTCGGTTAGTCAATAGCTAACTTCGTGCAGTCTCAACAGATGACTTTGCTGGATGGCTAGCGCTCCAGACCAACCTCGCCCTAAAAGGGATTATCGGTATCCATGCCATGAGCAAGCTCGCCGAAATTGCCGGATACAAGGAGGATGTCGCATATTACAAGGTGGGCTCCCCGCTCGGACACCTCTCGCATTTCTACTAACTTTAGTATCAGAACATCTCCAACACCTACATCGCCAAATGGGAGGAATTCGCCATGTCGCGCGACAACGCGCGGGCCAAACTTGCTTATAATTGGTATGGTTCATGGACAACAATCTACAATCTCTACGCCGACGCTCAGCTTTGCTTCCACCTGGAAGGTACCCACCTTGACACGTCGCTACCCTCTCTCCTTTCCCACAACGACGAGCACCAGCAGCATCTCCGCCCCTCCAAGCCAGATTCACACAGAACTGGCTTTGTACCTCACCACATTTACTCCAAACAGTCAGATTGGTACCATATAGCCCGCCAGAAGTATGGGCTACCCCTCGATTCTCGCCATCTATATACCAAGACCGATTGGGAGTTCTTCGCCGTCGCCGTCGCTTCCAAGCCCGTCCGTTCCGAGATTCTCGAGTCTGTCGCCAAGTGGGTGAATGAGACATCGACAAACCTACCATTGACGGATCTCCATAATACGGAGGGTGATGGCGGGTTCCCCGGGCCAAACTTCTACGCCAGACCTGTTATCGGTGGGCATTTTGCTTTCCTGGCGCTACAGAGGGCGTGCAACGGCAATGCGATGGAGGGACTGGCATTTTTGGATGACAGTGCTACAGGTGGTCATGAGGACGAAAGATATGCTGGCCCTGAAGCCAATGCTGTGCGAGATGATTTGTAGTCGAATTTGATGATAATGATCTGACAAGTGCTTCAAAGTACGTCGTGGATCTTGGCTAGGATAACAGATATGTTCAAGTTGGCAAGGGCGATTTATGTCATGCTTTGGAATAGTGCTGTTATCTGTTGTCATCTCTGGATCTAGACTATTGAGGCACCTCAGTGCCACCTACTTACTCGTGCATACTCAGATTCTTGCTCTGAGTAGTCGGCCCACTCGCTCTGCTGTTCACCTGGTATATTAGAGACCTTTCGTGCCGTAAAAGATACTGCTTCCCCAACGCAGGGAAACCCGGCCTCGCCAACAAAGCTGGTAAGATTCCCATCTTTGAATTTGAGAGTACCAACATTGGCCCTAGAGTAGATCTGGCCCTCGTTTTCACGGCATCTTAACCTCAGTTGATACGTGTGAGACGGGGGTCTCCCGGCCTTGGCCGTCTTTGGCCCGCGAGCTTGCTGAGCGGTGGCCTTTCTCTTAGACCCTACCACGGGCCGTTTGTCCTCGCCATCCTCCTCTTCGTCATCATCCCATTCATCCTCGTCCATATAGTCATAATGGTGCTCGTCCGCCTGAGAACAATACCGTTCCACCAAGGTGCTGTCCTTCCCGATGATCATGACGCCCTCCAAAATCCCGAAATCGAAACAGGCCTGGAAGACACCTGGCTCATCTGTGTGGTGAATATCGAGAGACAAGTCGTCCGCCAGATTCGGCCAGATTCTTTCGATTTCTGACAGTCAACAATGAAGCTTCCTACAGGTGATGATGATGCCTTTGCCTTTCGACCACTCTTCTTTACTGACTCGACATAGCCCTTATGCATCTTCTCGCGCTGCTTCTGTCTCTCCTTCTCCTGCGCCCGAAGATTCTTCTCCTCCGCCTCAACCTCCTTCTTCTCCGCAGCAGCATGCCCTTCGGCAGCAGTCTTTACCGTATCGCTGTCCCAGCCCATAAAGAGAGTCTGCGTCTTCGGACCCCAACCAGTTTCATGGTGCAAGCCCTCCGCTTTAGTAGCCGCCTCTCGCATTAACCCTGCACGATACTCACTCGAACGAGGAAACGACTGCTTAATAACGGCAGTCGTCTTCGTGCGGTCCGGCTGGCGATCTCCTATCCTCACAAAATATGCATCCATCACCCAGTCCGGCTGGGCAGTGATATCTTTAGGCATAGCCGTCTCGAACCACTCGCGGTGCAGCTGATCCTGTAGCGCAAGAATATGTACAGGGACCGCATCGCATTTCCCGGCCTCGAGGGCCTTCTTTAAGAGTGTAGTTCCGTTCCCAGTGAACTCGCTTTCGTCAAAGGATACCCCGTAGTGCTGCAACTGGCCGCGGATAAAGTCACGATGGTCTCTCAGTTGTTTCTGGGCTTCCCGTGTCATTTTGGGTATGAACATCATGCGTCGTAGAGGGGCGCCGTCCACTCGCTCGATTCGACCCTGGTTGGTGAGGAATCGGCCGAACTCGGATGTGAACCCGTCGCGGGTGATTGGGTCTCGAGACCAGGACATGATGGTGAGTAGGTGGTGCTCTATTTCGTCAGGGATAGTAATAGCTGCGCACGAGTTTGTAGAAGTAGACTCAAATGGTTGATAACATCATACCTAGCTGGGTAAGTGGGTGGG